TCAACTAAGATCGTTGGGATTAACATTATTAATTTAAATAGGTACTATTGCCTACAAATAACACTGAAAATCACAGAATACATTATGCTCTTAATAGTATACACCATGTGTACTATTGAAAAAATAAGGCTTAATCTTTAAATAAAAATAATACACAGTACAACAAGGTTTAATATTTGTAAAAATTTGCTCAAGTAGCAAGCAAAGCATAGAACACAGCAACTCAAGGAAAAGAAATAGATAAAGGAGTCTTTCGCCGCTAAAAGCAGTTGTAACCATTTTTTTTTATTTCGGACTTATACGTACTAACATTTATAATAAATTATTTCCTATTAACTAACTCAAAAGTATATTATATAAAAAGAAATAATATTTTATAAAGTGAGTATATTTTTACTAAGTTTACTTTAATTGTATATTGGAAAAAGGGATAATATAGTTTCGGAAATAAATTTATAAATGTAAAGAAAATAAAGCTATTATTATTATTTGTGGAATAAATATACAAATTTTAACCTTTCTTCTTATTGTAAAAATGTCCTTTTTGCGAAAAGGATAAATGGAGAAACTAAATAACTAATCAACGCTACACTAAAACTTTTTAAAAGGTTTTACGTTAATTTGAGAGCTGGAACAAGAAACATAAGATTTAGTACCAGAGGGAGACTTTGTACAAAAGTCGATTGCTTGGGTACCTCTGTCCCATTCGTGTTTCAACCGTGAAGCAGTTGTGTTTGCATAACTGTGTTTCGGTTTGAAGGATGGGATATGGCGTGAATTTACTGGGTACAGAGGAATAACACCTGAGTCCTCAGGAATGGCAACGCATGGGGGGTATCATGGGCGAAACAGTATACTCTATTATGTCCATGGTACTGCTCATGTCTATAGGCGACGGTTACTACTTTCCATCAGGTGGGCCGTCAGCTTGTTTGCCATTCTAAGTAGTATAAAAAAAAAAAAAAAAAAACACAATTTTCTTATATCTATAAATTAGTTGTCTATTAAATTGCGTATTAATTGGAAAATCTTATGGCATTATTATATATGGGTTCGTGTGTCTGAGTATGTAGAAAACAGTTAGTCTCGAATAATATTAATAGCGTTATATTGCCCTCTGGTTCATTATTCATTGCAAAGTTTTATCATAATGGGATCACGAGCAAAATCATCTTTAATTCACAATGTAAATTATGTTAAGACGATTAGAATCAGTAGTGGGGGCTGGTAGCGGCATGGCGGTGGCTCGCCGAATGACGTCACGACACCCTACCATACAACACGTAATAAAACATACCGTTACCCCTAGCCACTATCAATATAATAACATAACCATCAGTATGACGACCAAACTTACTTGGTCTCCGAAACTTCCCAGGTGGTACTTATTAGTATCAATGCTGGAGACCGAGATACGCTAGCATTGAGTAAATTTTGTTTGCGACTTAACCCAACATTTGACATTTCATGATTCCATATTGTTACGGTCTGGCGTTGTAAATAGTAGCCGGGCATTATGAATAATGGTGTTAAGAACACGCACGATGGCAGTTACGTACGAAAAATTGACAATTCAAGGTTGAAAAAATTGCTAACACAGACTGAGTAACGTTCGTTATAATGGAAAAAGTTCTTGTCAAGTTCAAGTTCTGTTATGATGACTAGTATACAGGTACGTTTGTTCTTCTCTCTTTTCATTTAAGAGTTTCCTCTTGTCGGTGCAACTAATTCATACATCTTCCTCCAGCCAGCTCTATCCTAGGCCATATCCTTTATCTCCCTATATGACATGACGCCTACTGTTTCCTTTATCTGTCCCACGTTTGTTCTTATGAGTCGTAAAAAGTTGAAAAGACTTAGCTTATCTGTCAAAAATCGAGAATCGAAGATATACTTACTTTTTATTATATATTATTCATAAAAAAAATACGACAAGTACGTAGTGTCCATATATATATATATATATATAATTACATATTTTAATTTATTCTATAACCTACTATTTAACAAATTTATAATACCTGGCTTAGTATAGCCTTATATATAAAAAAACAAATATTATCTATAATTGATAACAACTATAGACAGTATTTGACTGAAACGCAAGAATTTGCTGTAATAACGAGGAGTTCATTAGGTTCATAATAATCATAGTTTTCAGATCAGCTCTCTATAACTGAAGAGTTGTAAATAATAATTATTAAAAATAAATTAACTTCGGCCGGATTAATTCCACGACTACAAAGTTTAATTAATCTTATCTTATATTATAAAATAAAATAAAATCGAATATTATCCAAAAATACTTTTGTATAAGAGTCAGGTTGAACACTCTTTAATTCTGTAAAAAATATATAATTATATGAATGCCTAAAACCTAAACAGGAAATTAGTGTATCCAGAAAATTTTCAACGACTTTTGTCTTTAAAGTTCCTACTTCTAACAGTTCCAATCTAAATTAACTCAGATACTTGTAATTAGTTATTTGAGCAATATAATGCCACTCAAAATTAATAATATTTTTAAATTAAAATAATATGATAGTAAAAGTCAAGATATAAAATAATACGTACCAGTATACTTATTATTTATATATTGACTCAGTCAAAATAATAAATAAATAATATAGACATATATATATATATATAAAAGTTAAATATATATAAAAGTACTCATTAACTATACTTTAAAAATGATCTCATTCGTTTCTGTTCGATGACAAAATTCTCATATTTATTTTCATTCTTTTTTAATGCCTACCACATTTTAAACACTTTAAGTATATTTTCTTTTAAGATAATGGACTAGTACCTATACACAATAATATTATTTGACTTCATACCTTAATTATTCAATAACAAAAACTTTTTAATGAAAATAATTATAAATTAAATAAAGAGAGAATATTTCTTTTATTTAATCTCTATTAAACATTAAAATAACTACGTTGCATTATTAATGGTAAAAATTTAAGAAACGAAATATAACTAACTAACGCAATAGGCACTACATATAGACTTCTTGCTGCTAAAATTTTTTGCAAAGATGTATCACATATTTTGAAAAAGGAATTAGAACCATATCAACTTCGTTTCGATTTCAGAGGCGGGGCGAAGCAGCCATGCACTCTCTCCGCACATACCACCTACATATTACCCAGTCCATCAATAATATCTTGCTGAAGGTGAATGTTTAAAAATGTTTCTAACTCAGTTGGGACGCCCTGTTAACTCAAATAAAACAAAAAAAAAACCCACGTTTCAAACTTCCTTTTTCAATGTTATAGCAAATTTATTAAACTTATGTATTTGAATGATACTTTACTCTCGGATGTTGATTGTCAAAAGGACGACCCTCTGGGACTAGCCATTTTTAGCCTAGGAGTAATAAATAATAATAATTCGGCTTTTAAATTCAAACTTTAATGTGTGGTATTAAGACGACCGTATATGGACTCAAGTTTCTTTGCCTATCCAGAATGGAGGCCTGGGAATCCCAGAATATCGCTGAGAGCACCCGCCTACTCGCGTTGTCCAAATGGAAATATGGCTTATGGTTACACACAATTTTCTCACCTAATATCGGAACTTTAGTGGATGACGCTACGTTTAGACTCTTAATCTCTCTCAGATTGTGAGTCATAACGAATCTTTTCCACCGTTGTAGGTATGGGGACAACGTTAAGGCTTTATGACACCATGACATCTTTTGGTTTAAAAGTGCTGAGCGCTTGCTGCGCTCAGCTATCAATGATATTCTCCGTCGGGCCCTTGTCACTGCAGGTGTGCCTGCTATCCTAGAACCTCCTGGTTTGACGCGTGGTGACGGCAAGAAACCTGAGGGGATGTCCATGCTATCTTGGAGGATGAAGCGACCTGCTTGTGTGGCCCTTCACCTGCGTTGATACGCTGGCGCCATCTTACCTTCCAAGTATACATATGAGGGCTGGTGCCGCTGCAACACACCAGGAGACTATATATATACGAGTACAAGCGTGTTCATTTATCCCTTGAAAATGGATATATATTTGCGGCGTTTTGAGTTGAGACTTTGGGCCCGTAGGCCCCGAGCCCATTAGTCTTTTTAAAGAGATATTTCGCCAGCTGGTAGAAATCTCTGGCGACTAGATGGCCGGCCTATACTTTGGTCAACGCATCTTCGTAGCCATTCAGCGTAGAAATGCAGCAAGTTTCCTAGGTACCTTACCAGATGGCAGTGACCTTAAAAATTTTTTTTACCCTTCATTAATGTTTTGTTATCAATATAGTACTTAGATGTAAGGTGTGCATATATATATATATATATATATATATATATATATATATATATATATCAAGGTTATTTTTATTTTACATTGATATTATTCATCAAAAATAAGGCATCAATTACATTAGTTACAACTGTTGCCAGTACAATTTCAATAACGATTTTGTTATAGTAATAAAAGAAACGGTGACCTCCTTTTGTGCAATAAGTTAATAGATTAGGTGTCGGGCGGGCGGCGTTGCGTGTGGGCCAGGTTGCCCCGGCCGCTCAGGCAGCGCCGCCGCTGTCCGAGCGGGCACCGGCCAGCCGCGGCCAGTCAGTGGCATGCGCCCACCGCGCCCGCTCGCTCCGCTCACATCGGGTTATACCACACATTGCATTCTACACGGCACGCACAATCCTACATATGGCATGTACGCCGCCCGCCCATTATAACTAAATTTTGTTATGGACAAGCGCACCAGAAGCAGGGGCGAGCCTATCTCGAGCATCCTCAAGAAGCCCAAGGGTCGACTCAAAGGCGGATTCCTCGACAAAAGCACTAAAATTAAGCGTGAAAAGGTACAAGATACTAAGAAGGGCGAGGATGTGAGTGCGCCACTGCCGCAGGGTTGTACACCCCTTATGTACGCCTGCCAGCAGGCTGACTACAAATCCGTCGTTGATACTTTAAACAAGGACGTGAGTTCTTCATCAGCATAGTCTTTTGATCATTGTCATTTTCATTAATGATTGTTTTAGTATTTGTTTCATTTTTAATATTTATGTTTCGTTGACATAAGTATATATAATTGTAAATAATAAAGTTATACAATGGCACACGAGTCACGTGCATATTCACTCTATTCACAAACCAGGATTCAACTGATTCACAGAATATGAAATGAGAAAAGCGTAGTTATAACAGTCCGTGCACGGACATTGTGCACGCGATGTTACGGCCGGCAATCGCTCGAGCATCACCTCGCACCATCATGTAAACAACGAACAAGGCTGGCAAACTGCGCCGTAACGTTTCCGTCAATATTTTTGTTCCAATTACTGACTGAAAGAAGCTTTGCGAATAACCAATGACTTATAGTTTAAATATAACACTACCATAATATTTATAACAATATGAAAATATATTCAAGCCACATAAATAGTAAATGCACTACCTTGCAATGGCATCTCATATCATCAGCTTCTCCATCGAAGATGTCAGTAAAATATATTGGATATAAACACTATCAAATTGAAAGCTTTCAAGGAAATGCACCTGAGCACGGGGCACTGTCGACGGGGGTGCGGGGCACAATCAATATAATAGGTGTAGAAATCGACTGCTACACTATAAGCTATTATGGAGCTATTCACGCTAGTTCGTGTGAAGTTAATATCGCTCGAAGTCATGTCGCACGTGTTGACTGCATCAATCCTTGCCATGTCAATTAATTATTAAGGTACATTTTAGTAAGGGTCAAAGTATCAAATCTTGTTTACGGCATGATCATTATTCATACATGTCATAAATCGACATCAATCGTTATTAATTCTAAGTCCTCAAGTAAGTAGGTAACATTGTTCGTGAATTCTAAAAGTTGCTGTCAGACTTCTATGAAATAAAAAGAAAGTTAGTGATTATTGGCCCAATTGCAGTTAATGTTTCAATGATCTAGTTATATTTAATATTTTTTTATTCCATCAAGACATTGAAGGAAATCTTTTATAATTCTGAAATCTGTATGTTTTACTATATAAGTTACGGTCTTCGTTAAATTGTAAGCCCTGTAAATGTTTGAGTGTTTCTTAATTATGTATTTTTTACTTATACATTATAAACAAAAAAGAAAAGAATAATACTGATGAATAATGTAAACAGGAAATAAGAGGTATGTAAATGAGAGGTTTTTGAAACATTTCTAAATTCTATATTAGATCCTATTACTATTAATTACGAGTACTTATCGATTCTGATATTATTTAACCTGCTAAATAACTATCATATATGCATAGAAAAAACAATGTTTCATAACATAGCTTTTCATATTAAAACTTTAAATCGTATTATTGTAATTGTGGGGCTATGATAGTGTTGCAGATTCTTATTGCACCTTTTGGTGCATTACACCAAAATACCGTATAATCATAACATTAAGTTATTAATTTATAATCGTGTATTACACAACTTGCAGCCAGCTTCAGTGCGCATCCGTGATAGAGGCCTACGTTGCGCGTTACACTACTGCGCTTCAAGCGGCGCGGGCGCCAATCAAGCTGCGCGTGCTGCGTGCGCGGACCGCGTGCTTATGGCCGCGCCGGCACTGGCCGACGCCCGAGACGCTGACGGCCTTACACCGCTGCATCTTGCTGTGGTTCACGGAAACGTGCCTCTGGTCCAGACGCTATTGGCGGCCGGAGCTGATGTCAATGCCAGGGACGATGAACATCACACTGTAGTACATTGGGCCACTGGTAAGTGTATGTACGATGATCTACATAACGTAGATAAAAAGACTGTCTGTTTTATCTAATCAATGAGATCGCAGTTTATTCGACTTGATCAACACAATTTAGGAAACGAATCTTTCAAACTGACTCGCTCTTGTGTCTTTTGATTGTTTACCCGGTTTCATGTTTGCTTTATTAAAATCTTCACAGTTTCGTGATCAGATGGTTTGGTTTAATAGAAGATAGGTAATTTTATTAAAATTAATTAGGAAATTTGGTTTTGAGTTGATATTTATTAACTTACAAATTAGGCTACCGAGACAGATTCTTAAGAATTGACTATCACTCAACTGTCGATCAGGGATTTTTTTCTAATTCATTGCAGAACTTGTATTCGGTAATGGTGACCATAAACAGTCATCGTATTTTATATAATTAGCTCAAAAATGTAACACTATTACATGTTAGTCTTTGGTTTTTATTTACATTTTTATTGTGCTAGAGCTTTAATTGTGGCCTATTATAGGCAACTACTTTACAGAGATTTCATAAACACAAATTCTCCTATGTAATTCACGTGAATAACACTATTTTAGTTTGCAACACGCAAACTTGTCGTTGTGTTGAATGATGTGACACACACTTATAAAATTAACGACGCTGCTATAGAAACTTTGTATTTTATTAATATGAATTAGTCGTAAAAGTGATATTAGATATTCGCGGTAGTGGTTACAAACTTGTACTTTGGAAGATCCGTTGACGTAGCTATTTACGGTAAATGTATATTGGTGTCAGCCACTATTTCCCGTCGGGAATCCCAAATCCAAAGTTATGAGGAAAGTCATATACAATTTATTATGCGTATATAATAAAAATAAGCGATAATAAATAAATCAATTATATTGCTTTACTGGACGTTATCTATTATAGGCAGGAAATGTTTCAATATTTTGTTAATTTATTAGGCAAATTTTAAATTCTACTTGTACTTAGCATATTCTGAGTTATTATAATTTATTTTATGATTGATTGACTGACAATTTTTTATATATTATAATTTTTAAGACTTTGCTCTAAAAATACTGGCAAATTAGTAAACATCTTTTAGAACTTGTTTAATTAACATTTTTATTATTACAATTCATTTTATGGTTTTTTATATAATCATAAGGGACCTACTGATCCGATTTTCAAGATGTTTTTTTACCAGAGGAAGACTTAGTACAAAAATCGTTTGCTGGGCACCTCTATCCCATTCGTGTTTCTACCGTGAAGCAGTTGTGTTTGCATGGCTGTGTTTCGTCTGAAGGGTGGGATAGGGCAGTGAATTTACAGGGTACAGAGGAACAACACCTATGTCCTCAGGAATGGCAACGCATTGGGGGCATTATGGGCGAAACAGTATACTCTGTTATATTCATGGTACTGCTCATGTCTATAAGCGACGGTTACCCCTTTCATAAGGTGGGCTGTCAGCTTGTTTGCTATTCTAAGTTCTTTAGATCCAGTTGGCGGAAAGAATTGTGAAAACCAATTATTATCATTAGCATAACAATTATTGATAGCACGTCTAAATTTATTTTCTCGATTTAACAGATTTTAAGTGCATACTTACTTATACTTGTGACTTTATTATTAACGTTTTGATGCGATTTCAGGTATTTAAATACTATTTATCTAAAAACTCCATAAGGAGTATCAGGTCATTTTTACATTGAAAAGTTGTACTTTAGGTCTCAAATCTCTATTACTGACATAAACAACCGATCTAAGTGCGTTTCCCTTGATTGGTATACGGCATCGATTCAACACACGAAGTAAAATTAACTTGAACGCAGTCAGAGGGCTAACAGGGTGCCTAGGAGTGAGTTGTTATCTATCTAGTGTCACTCAGTGGCGTGGCGTAGTGTTGCCTTCGCGGTTATCTAGCGACTCATTCTCGTAGCCGGTAGCTCGCACGCGATCAATTAGTTATACATTGCATATTACGCTGTTAGATACAATGATGCGACAGTTATGGATTGCTTTGAAACTCTTGCTTATCTAATGCATACTATACTTAAAAAAAAAGTTTTGTAATACTGAATGTATTGTACGAATGTATATACGCTCTGTTGTTGTTTATAATCTATTGACGCGAATTGAATGGTAAGTATGAAACCAGAATACTCGTAAAATATGTTGTTGTCAAGCACTTTATGTTAAGTAGATATTCGTAAGTGATATTGCATAAACCTAAACAGTAGCAAAATATTATAATTTGAATATACATTCTTTTCCTTCACAAATACTATATTTATTTTGAGAGGTAAAAACTGTCTCCTAGTATCTCTGTTTACCCATAGACGTACTTATCATCTAAGGTCTTATCTAAGATTTTACCTTTTAAAGACACTGCGATACCTGGGATAACACTTAGACAGTTGTATTAAGCAAAAGCAACATATTAAAATAAAAAGAAATAACTTGAACCTATGCTTTAGAAACTTTTACAGGCTTACTGGGCGAACATCCAAACTGTCTGTAGCCAACAAATTGTTCACTTATAAGTCCATTTTAAAGCCTACATGGACATACGGCTAACAGCTCTGAGGAAGTATATTCAAATCTAATGATGCGGGATGGATTGATAGGAAGAGGCGTAGTGACGTACGAGTAAATTTCACTTAATTAACAATTGACAACAACTCACTATATTAACGACTAAAAATTATATTAAATAACGAACAAAAGAATTTAAGACGGTAATGATGGGAAGACACATTAACACAATATGTGCCGTGCTAAATTGGCAATTATTAAACCTCTTAATATACAACTATTTTGTTACTGCACTGCACACATTAACTTACATAGGTATGACTCCATATCCAACATTATTATTATTCATAGGACCCAAAATATTATTTTTTTTTTTTTTTTTTTTTACAACACAGGGGGCAAACGAGCATGCGGCTCACCTGATGGTAAGTGACTACCGCCGCCCATGATCACCCACAACACCAGCGGCATTGCAGGTGTGCTGCCGGCCTTTTAAAAAGGAATATACTCTTTTCTTGAAGGTTATGTTGTCGTATCGGTTCGGAAATACTGCTGCTGGAAGTTGATTCCAAAGAATGGTTGTGCGTGGAAGAAAGTGCCTTGAAAAACGCACGGTGGAAGACCGCCACTCGTCCAGATGATTGGGATGAAACTTTAGTTTGTGGCGGGTTGTACGGTGGTGAAAATCAGCAGCAGGTATCAATCCGAACAATTCCTCAGAACACTCCCCATGATAAATTCGGTAGAAGATGCACAGAGACGCAACATCTCTGCGCAGTTTCAATGGGTCAAGTCGGACAGTAAGGCGTTGACTATCGATAATTCGAGCCGCCCGACTTTGAATGCGGTCTAACGGAAGGAGTTGGTACTGTGGCGCTCCTGCCCACAGGTGAGAACAGTATTCCATATGCGGCCTGACTTGGGCTTTATATAATTTCAGGCGGTGTTCTGGCATGAAATATCGTCTCACCCTATTGAGCACTCCTAACTTTTTGGAAGCTATCTTAGCCTTCTCCTCCAGATGACCGCAAAACTGGACGTCGCAAGATATATCAACGCCCAGAATTCCTAGACTTGACTTTTTATCAAGACTTTATTTTTTTATCCTGAGAATAATGTCGGACACCCTTAGTTCGTCAACAAATGACATAATCCATAAAGAATCGAGAATGCGTAAAATGAACGAGGCACAAACTGGCCGCTCAATTTCAAAAACGGAATTATTTTGTATAATTCGTCTAAAAAGAAGCAATATTACTAATTAATACTATCAGTACTAATATTATTATCCTTATACTAATATCACACTAATCTTAAAAAGTAGATCTACCTGCTGAGGTGGACATTCCATAATACATCTATACACATAAAAATTTTCCTCATAGTTCTGGAACTGATTGTACATTCTTATCTGTAGAAAAAAATGCAAAATTTCATGACGATTTGTTCAGCTATTACGCTCCACGATGGACCCGTGATATGCTATTATTATTCTAGTTTAATTACATTATAAGAAAAACTGCAAGGCTAGCCTATCTAGAGACGGAGGTACCATATAGAGTCCAAGGCTTAATCTAGACTTGGAAATAAGTCCGAGGTCGCATTGGTTTCCGATGTTGTGAGCCCCAACGGACATCCGCCTAGTTTTGACCTTCCCCTTCTTTCTTCAAATGACGTGAGTCCTTGAGATTATTATTCATATTCCGCGAAAGTAACAAAGGCTTACATTAAAAGCAAAGGTTACATTAAATGTATCAAATAAACTTTTTCAAAACTCTTTTTTATATTTAATTTTCTTTTTATCTTTAACTTAATTATCTTTAACTATTTTTGTCCGCTACTTTGAACGCATATTTTTCAAAGTAGGAAAACCAATAAAGTAGACTATTTCTAGATGGCGTATCAAGATAAAACATACACCATACACTATATAAATTTTTCTTTAATATCTTATATTTACAATTTTATAAAATAAGTAAAATATTTTTATAAGACTCTATTTTTCGAAATAAGTAATTATTCTTGTATATATGAAACTTATAATTTTTTGCACATTTGAATTTATTATTATTTATATTTTGAATAAATATTATGCAGAAATATAAATATCAGGGTTATTAAAATAATAATAATGAGAAACTAAATGAACTTTTAAAAATAAAATGTTGGGAAATAAGTCAAGCATTTATTTGACATTTTGAAACTATTACGCATTTAACTATCTGGATAAATGAAATATTTTATTTAAAAATTCAAAATTCAAAATTCAAACTAACATAACTATTACAATTCCTGTGATTTAGACCAGTTTAGATAGGCTATCTAAACTCAAGTAGTGTATCTGATTGCAGTTGGCAAAATATTATTTAATTTGATCTTACGAACACGGGAGAAAAGTATTATTAGTAACTGGCTGATGCCCCCGACTTTGTCCGCGTGGTCTTTGTTATTCCTGTTTAGTATGTATCGATGTATGTACCTACCTATTTATTATATCTGTGAATATTGGACCAAAATTAACAAATGACGTGTCGTTCTCATTCTTTGCCTTAAATCAACATGACTACTTAAGTAGGTTGTGTACTAAGATGTATAAGTTACTATAGTTTTTTAACTATCCCACGGGAACTCTTTAATTTTCCGTGATTAAAAGTATCTAAAACGTTAATTGCAAAATTTCTTTTAAATCGGTGTGTACGAGAATGTAAAGTGGACTGTATGTACGATAAGTTCTTTGAAATATTTGAGAATGCGAAAAAACGACAAGTTGTTTTAAAAGCAGTACTAAATTACCTAGATTCAAAATTAGTTTAAATGACTTACCCTTTGATTAGCGAAAATTCCTTTTACAACATACTCAGATCACTCAGTTCCCTAAAGCATGCTAAAGTTACCTGAGATTACCTCGTAAATGTTATAAGAACTAAGGGTTTCGATCTTGAATCTTCCGACAGACGTTTCAATCTTAAATCCTTTTAAATATTTAAGAACGACACGAGAAATTATCTGTTGTGTAGTTCTTTTATAAAACAAAAATATTAAATTCAAAAACTAGTCACACGATTGTGAAATTAAATGTTATACTTATTAAATACTTTATGAGCGACAACGACAAAACTGTTCTGTTTCTGTATTTAAGAGCAGACACCAACAACTTTTTTTTATCTTACTACCTCCAATCAAAATTATTAATTGCCACATACAAGAATAAATGTTTTTATGAATTATCGAGAATGTTGCCATGCAATTATTACATCTAAAGTGAACACGGTGCAACAGTTTCGGAGATTAGCCCGTACAAACGAACAAAAGAAACAAAAAATGAAAAAATCTGGATATGTTCTATTTCACTTTTAACATCCCCCTGACTTGGTTTTTACCGTTTTCTTTCTATGCACAGATGTTCTCTGCAGTTTTATTATATGTATAGATAGATAAAGTAGCTAGTTATCATTACCAGCAATATACACTAGCAAGTTAAATAATTGTGGTTAATTCCAAAGAATTTGTTAAGGTAAGCCAACGGATTCAGTCTCATTTATCATCTCTCACTGGTACCTTGCTAGCATAAACTAATATCGCAGGTAAGATTACTATTCCATTGTTATTCACAAAAATGATTCTATCAATAAAAGCTTCTGCGGTCGTCACAAAAAACAGTATTTTTATCTAATCTGCGATTTAACAAAATAATCAAGGTCTTGAACGGGTAGAAACTTGTTTGAGATCAATGTTCTGGAATTAAAATTGGATAAGAACGGCATACAAAAAGCTCGATGTGACATGGTGAGGTATAAAAAAGATTTCTTTTAGAGTTCAAGGATAAAGTATAATGCTATTGGATATTTCTGTCGCAAACAGTATAGCCGTTTTTATAAATGCTTAAGAATATGAGTACAACTTTAGAAAAAAATTGAAAACACTGCTATACATTTAGTATCGTAATACGTGTTAAAAATTTTCACTCTTGTAAATTTCGATTAGATGTCGATTGTAGGTATATATAGAGATTTAAACATTCTTCGTGCTGCTGAATTGTTGGAACTGTATTTTAGAATCTATATAGGTAATGCCGCATAATAAAAGGTGGTTAGATGGTGGTCAGTATGGTGTATGGTGTAGGGTGGGTATAAGTGGGGTATCCGGCGCTCAGTCCGGTGATATTGAACGCCGAGCAAGGTCGAGCCCTTGAACTCTCGGACTGTATATCTAGGACTAGGATTATTCAGAGAAATCAAAAGGTTACCCACCTCGTTGCGCGTCGATGTTAACTGATTAATCAATGTTTTAGTTCTAATCGAGTCTAAACGCTTTCATATTGCATTATTAATGTTATTGATTAGATTTGACTATTAATATAGTTGACTGTATTTTGTACATATTGTTTGGTAAAATCCTTAGGTAATCTTATTCCTTTAAATATATGTTGGAAAGTATCGCTGTCCATTCCACACGATAACAATGGAAATCCAGCAAGAAATCGAGAGACTCTTAGAACGTGGCGGCAAAGTCCACAAATACTATGATCTTTAGAATAGGCAATGAGCGTGCTGACGATCTTGCAAAGACTGCAGCCTTAAGAAAGAAATCGAAATTCGTTTCTGATCGGTGTCTTCTAACACACCATAAAACTATTTAGAGAAAAATCCTTTACATGTGGCAAAATAAATGGTATATAGACTCAAATATTGCAGCCGTAACAAAAATGTTCCTACCTGATATCCGTAAAGCATATAAAATAGTAAAGACTATAGATATAGATAACACTATAACTCACCTTCTCACCGAATATGGGGGGAAACCGATTATATTTCCATAGGTTCAAACTGGCAGATAGTCCTAATTGCCAATGTGACAATGAATCCCCACAAACAACAAATATTTGACTGTCCAAGATTTGCTAAAAACCGTTACGAATGTGAGTGTAGAATGAACGAAACGTTATCGGAAGATGACATTGAACACATATTTAAGAACAAGCACACTAGGGGACATATTACTGATCTTCGCAAAGGCTTTACTGAAGGTCGTGGCAAGGGAGAATGGTGCAATAGGAGCATATTATTAATTTACATTAATTATTAAGTTATTACAATTTTACATACAGTTATATTCACACAGACTTAGAAGGTTGTTGCATAAAATACAGCGCCAGAAAAAATAGACAAAAAAAAACATATGTACGAAGTAATATAATATTTATTTTTTCACTTACTGGATATATTATCGCAATTATAGTCTTAAGTAAACATAGGGAAAGTATGATCAATGAATGTGATGAATCAAGCTGAGGAAATTGTTCCTTCTACGTTTTCGGTTCACTATTTTTTCCACAATTTTAGGTAGATCGAACGTAAGAACGTACGTATGAAATTATGATTTCGTATGTACATTAGTATGATATATAAAAATGATAATTGTGTATTAATTATTACAATTTATAAGTAAGGGATAACCATAACTAATAATTACTTGTTAACAAAATAGACAACGAAGCTAGATCGACTTCCGTTTTTTGAAGCATTATATTTCTTAAGGTTTTATTTATTTTACTTTTATAAATAGCATTTCTTTTTTCTGTCAATAAGTATTTTGTTAATAAAGAACGTATTTTTAACATATTTTTATTGTTGTACTAGGAAAAATATATATTTAATCAGTATTTTCTATTTTATTGCTCTATATAACGAATCTTTCACACACTGGTGACCGTGCAGATAAAACATGTATATAACAAAGGCGGAGAACTCGTCGCAAATTTACATTATGTGCTCAAAAATTAGACAAGTTATGACGTATTTATCCCAGCCGAGCTAGAAAAACTGAATAAGTTGTTTGAAGGGCTCATTCTAGTACAAAACAGAGTTGTAAGTATTTGGCTGAACAATGCTAGTCGTGATGAAGAGTCATTTGACGAAGATATTGATAAAGGGGATGTCTACGAATCACGTTTTTATATGCTGAAACAAAAGGCAAGTCAATCTACGTACGCTAGTCGTGTATTTTTATGAACAGAATTTAATAGTATTATTATTACTATACGACTTGTATTAGCGAAAACGAGAATTATGCCAACTTAACTGTTAACTATTCCTAAGCTTGAATTGATTGCACCATTGGTGGGTACAAGGCTAGCTGCTACAGCCAAGAAAAGTTTACAGATTGAAAACAGCAAAGTGTATTATTGGTCTGACTCGAGTATTGTTATTGCATGGATCAGAAAACGGACAGGTTTGAGTGTTTTCACTCATAATAGAATTGCTGAAATTATTAATAACACCGATATTATTGATCATGATAATTGGAGGCCACTGACTTACATAGTAGAAAGCTCAGAAAATAAAAGAAATTTGACGCCTGCAATGTTCCTAAAAGTCGATATAGAGGAAAATAAAAATGACATAAGTCAAGACCTAGTAAGACCTAAGATAGCAGTATTTTGTCGTCTCTGTGGCGATATATGAAAATATTAAATGGCGATTTAAAGCAATGGTTTCGAAATGAATATTTATCACTCTTGATTCAAAGGGCACGTAAAGATAGAATTACACATATAAACTTGGAAATGTCGTTTGGTTGGCTGCGATAATATTAAAAGTTTACATTAGCCATTAGGGATAATTTTAGATATATATCCGGGTGTTGTGTCCTAGAGTTGTTACAGTAAAAACTGCTAAGGGCGTATTCAGCGGTTGCATGCATTAGAGGTTGAATTAGATGAAATGCCTATGAGTAAAATTATACGAAATAATAGAAAATATTATATGCGAGGTAATGCATTGCTTCGTATCATACGCATTGGTCGTTTAGTCAAAATACCTCACCGCCTAGACTTATGATGTTGTGAGAATTGTGGTTTCATATAAAATGTAGTTTTTGTCTATCTGTCTGTCTGTCTTGCAATATCATTGCAGAGGGGGAATATGTTGAAGTTTTATTCATTTTACTTTTTTTTTTATAAATAGAATTTCTTTTTTCTGCCAATTAATATTTTGTTAATAGAGAACGTCTTTTTTTAAATATTACTATTATTGTACTGGGAAAAATATAATCTTATCTTAATATCTTTATCCAGTATTTTCTATTTTAGCTATATACAACGAAACCTTCACGATATTCATAACCATTTTGTGCCCTTATAATCTATGTTTTATGGCAAAGTACTTTGGAAAATCTTACTTTGGAAATAAAGTTTTTAAAATTAATATTTTGTTGTTAGTGTGTGGTGAAGTGGGTGCCCTCCGTGCGGTGTTAGCAGCGGGCGCGGATGCTGCCACGCCTGACCAGCATGGCGGATATCCGTTGCACTACGCGGCGCAAATGTGCGGCGCGCCGGCGGCCACTGACCATCAGGTACTAGAAATAATAGTTGATAAAATCAAATATAGAGTACGTTTGCAAAAATTAACAATTATTTTAATAATATTAGTCTCGTACCCGATAGACTCGATTACTTAAGAATAAAGAAATTGTATTAGAAATAATGAGGAACATAAGAATTCAGAACAGAGGCATTGTTCAACATAATGCCCACGGCCACTTTCTACCATTGTACAGCTTGCCATCAACAGGAAGTTCACTCTCATATCTTAGAGCCTAGATGGTCGTGTAAAGTGCGGTTTCAGAGTCGTTTCCTCCCACTAACTTCCAAGTTATGGAGTAAGCTCCCTATCGAGGTTTTTTCAAGAGACTATAGCATAGTGTTCTTTAAAAAAGGGATAATGAAGTTTCCTCAGGGTCGGCAACACTCGCGTAGTCCCTGATTTATAAGCATTTATAGACTTTGGTAACCGCTTATCACCAGGTGGGCCGTTTGCTTGTTTGTCACTTCAGTGGTATAAAAAAAAATAGTTTGTGCCGATAAACCCAATTCAGGCTCTTGACCTTTTGTTGCACTGAAATTATAAAAATAATATTTTTTGTATTTAGAGATAAAAATTTAGGGACTTTAGTAATTTATAGGATTAATCGTAAACTTTACCAATATACTCGTAGTTAAAAAAAAGACAAGACATGAAAAATATTAAGAATATCGATCGATATAAAATGTTTTTGTTTCCATATTCACGGAAAAATATTATATAATAAATATCATGACTTGTCACAGACAAGAGGCGCAGCTTTAGAAGTTCTTCGTGCATTAGTTAAAGAAGGTGGAGCTCGTGTGGACGTACGAGATGCAGATGGACGCACACCGCTTCTTTGGGCCGCATCTGCGGGTTCTGCTGCGGCCGTCTTGGCATTACATCAAGCCGGCGCAAAAGTTGATGATGCTGATAGGTATTGAATGTTTAAACGCGATGTAGTTATTATTTCAGTATTAAATAAAAAAAAATTTTTTTTTTCATATCCCTAGGGACGGGCTAACAGCCTTACATTGTGCAGCAGCGCGAGGTCATACTGAAGCATTAGAAACTCTTCTAGATCTTTGCGGTGCTCGTGTTGACGTAGCAGATTCACATGGTTGTACTCCACTGCACTATGCAGCAGCGCTAGGACATGCTGATGCCACATCAGCATTACTACAGCATGGAGCAGACTCCCATCGTCAAGATAGAAGAGGTCGTAGTCCAGCGCATACAGCAGCAGCTAAAGGACAAATTGAAACTGTCCGCATTCTTGGTTAGTTTTATTATAGAAAATACTTTTAGTAAACAAAAAATACAATAAATATAATAATAAGCCTTTCAAAGTCCAACCCCGCGTCCGAGCTGACTATCTAGCTCACGTGAAAGGCGGTCATGCGTATAAATAAAACTTACGTGACTAAAGGGGCCGTGGCAAGTATAAAGATGGCGGATAGAAATAAAGAAAATGGAATAGGGTCGCTGCCCGGGAACCGCCGGGACACGTCTACAACTGGCGGTAGGCGTGGCAGAATGCGAGCCAGCCGACCGGCTCCACCACCTAACCGGTCCGAACCCTCGCCATCAACATCAGCTGGCTTCGCGCCGGCAGGGCCATCACTGGCCCAGCAATCGGCACCCGCCACTGGTGGTACATGTCGCATGAGGTGGACGAGAACCATGAACGAGGACCTCATGCGCGCGTTCTACAGGGACAGAAACAGACAGAACAGGATACCGGGCAGTAATGCACCGCGAACTGCTGCGTCTTTTACCGGATCTAACTGTCTCGGAACAGAAACTAGCCGATAGAGTTAGGTACATACAGCGCTCTGGTAAGTTTAGCGCGACCGAACTCGAACGATTGCGAAGTGAAGTTGTTCCAGAAGCAGACTCCGCGACCGTGGAGCAACCCATCTCAGACGTGCTACCTAGCGTAGAGATGGTTGCCGAAACGCCTTCAGAAGCTCGAAGAGAGACCGAAGGTTCCCCAGATATATCCAAATGTGGCGACTCGCGATGCAATTGAGGCTGCAAACGGACTGCTGCCTCAATTTCTTAAGGGCAACAGTGACCTGAGAGAGACGAGTTCAATCCTGTTTGGCGTTGCGTTGGCAGTATGCCGATATACCGGCGCAAAATGCCCCGGGCTGAACGTAATATCCAAAGGGGGTAATGCAAAACCAGCCTGGAAAGAAGGATTGAGCGACGGATCAACCAGGCCAGGGTCCTCATTGGCAGATTGCTCTACTTTAGGGGGGCAATACACGCCCGAGAATTATGCGCTCCGTAAAAGAGGCTTTTGCTGGAACAGGTGTACGTCTGTCCCAGCCGGACTTCGGGCAAAAACTTACGGAGCGCATGGACGACTTGTAGCAGAAGATCACTGCATGGGGGAAGCAACTCCGACGGTACTCTGAGAGGATCAAGAGGTATCAACAGAACGTCTCTTTATGAGTGATCAACGGAAGTTTTATAGGAACTTGGAGCGCCCAAAACTACAGCCCACAGGGCTAAGCCCCGAAACAGACTATTTCGTCGCCTTCTGGCGACAGCTGTAATCTGAACCTGTAGAGCATGAGGAGGATGCATTGTGTTGAGGAAGCATGTGCTCGAATAACGCCGATGAACGTTATTGCCATTACGGAGGAAGACATGGTTGCCGCGATCCGTCGGGCTCCGAATTGGAAAAGTCTGGGGATCGACGGCTTGCAGCACTACTTTTATTTTTAGTTTATTTTATTTAAAGGTATACACAACAGGTTACAATCAGGTTACAACAGGTTACATTATAAACATTTACTGGTTAAAGGCGTTCTCGGCCAGCCATGCGACCTTACACCTCGACCGTGCAATTCCAGAGTGCCCTCAAAAACAGGGCGCTCACGAATTTCCTTACAACCGGGATCACTCATTTAGCTCCTAAGACGGACGATACCGCGGATCCATCTAAATATCGCCCCATCACTTGTCTTACGACAATATATAAGACGTTAACATCCGTTCTGAGCGCTAAGATCTCTCGTCATGTGTACGAGAATAAGATCCTATCTAGCGCTCAGAACGGATGCAGGGGCGGTAGCCGCGGATCGAAGGAGCTGCTCCTCATTGATGCTGTTGCTGGCCATGTGGTTAAGCAGAACCGTCGAAATTTCTCCACCGCCTGGATAAATTATAAAAAGGCGTTCGATTTCGTACCCCATTCATGGCTCCGGATAATACTCGAGCTGTACAAGATCGATGATATAGTTCGAGTGTTCTTAGAGGCATGCATGGAGCAGTGGACGACGATCCTGACTATCCAGGACGAGCGATTGACGGATACCGCTGACCGGATTGAGATCAAGAGGGAAATATTCCAAGGCGATTATTTGAGTCCACTTTGGTTTTGCCTGTCCCTAAATCCTCTCAGTACTTTACTGGAGAATTCGGGGACTGGATTTCAGTATCGGAGAGGAGGTACACGAGTGTCTCATCTTTTGTACATGGATGACTTGAAACTACTAGCTCCGAGCGTCGAACGCCTGACAGAGCTGCTAAACATCGTAAACTATTATAGCAGCTCTGTTAGGATGGCACTCGGAATTGACAAGTGCGCGGTTCTCCATGTGCACAGGGGACGGGTCACTCAAACTAAAGGGATCGTCACACATCCCTTTAATATTAAAACCCTCTCCGAAGCTGAAACATACCGGTATCTGGGCATGTTATAAAATATCGATGTGAGGGAGACAGATATGAAACAGTCAGTCCACGAGGAATTTTTTGCGCACCTTACAATTATATTGAAAAGTTTCTAATCGGGCACCAATAAAATCCGAGCTTATAACGGCTGGGTCATACCCGTACTCCTTTACACTTTTGGCGTGCTCAGAGGGTCTTAAACCGATCTAGAAGCCCTGGATCAGAAAGTCCGCACAACTATGACCCTCCATAGAATGCATCACCCGAAATCGTCAGTCATGAGGCTGTACATCCCGCGGAACGCACCAGCGTTCGGTCGAGGCTTGTTAAGCGTTAAGACCATGCACAACCGCGAGATCGACAGCCTCAGGACATATTTTCTACAAAAAAGAGACGAGGGTATGCATAAAGAGGTCATAGAATGTGACAAAGGATTCACCCCTCTTTCTCTGGCTAAAGAGGACTAGCAAAAACCCGAAGTCCAAGGTATCTCTCAGCGGGAGGCTATATGGAAAGAGAAGCAGTTGCACGGAAGGTTCTTCAAAGTCCTTCACGGGCCGTACGTTAACACGAAGACCTCCGTGCACTGGCTACAATTCGGTGATCTCTTCGGGGAGATGTGAATTTTCTAAAAATTTAAAAAATAATAATAAATTTTAATTGTTTTAGGAGCAAGAGGAGCAAATTTGTGGCTCCGTAATTCTAAGGGTGATTTGCCGTTACATGAAGCAGTAGCCTCAGGAAGAAGAGAACTTGTTAAATGGCTTTTAGATGGAAGACCATCACAAGTTAATGCAACTAATCATGAAGGTCGTACACCATTACATATTGCAGCAGCTACAGATAACGCTGACTTATGCCGTCTATTATTAGATCGTGGGGCTGAAGTCAATCCTGTTGCAAGATCCTCTAAGAATGAGCCATTAACGCCGTTAGATTGTGCCACAACTCGGGGTCATAGATCGACTGCAAAGTATTTACAAATGCATGGTGGTGTTCCAGCTTCAAAATTAGCTAATACACAAATAGTAATTGATGGTGCTCCAATTACAGCCTTACCAACACGGAGAGTTACTAGTACAAAAATTGATGTACGTGACAAAATAAGAATAGAAAAACGTGAAATTGTGGAACTATCCAGTCCTTTACAGGAAAGAAGATATTTAAAAGAGAAGAATGACACTGATTCCACGAATGAGTCATCTTCTTTAGATAGAAAACGATCAACACGAAGATCAGAAAGTAAATATTCAGGAAAACATGATAAAAGAAAAAGATTTATTGAATCTCAAAAAAGCTTTAGTGATGGTTATGACAGTGAATTTGATGGCTATACTAAAGGAAATTATGATCATCAAAAACACAAAAAAAGTTCAAAAAAGTCTAGATCAAAAAGTGAGCCATCTCGTCGTAATGACAGTACTTCAAGACATCATCGCCGCTACAGATCTGGAACGGATAGTTCCTCTGATTCTGAAAGTTATTCAGAAAAGAAAAAAAACAAACGTCATCGTAAACGTAATAAAAGAAAATCTAGTTCTTCAGAAAGTAGTAGTTCAGAATCGAGTGAACGTCGAAGCACTAAACGTAAGGGTAAAAAAACATCTATACATATTGAAAATGATGAAGAAAAACAAAGTGTTAATATTGTAAAATACAAAAGTACTGAAAATTCACATCACGTGGAAAAAAATGAAGATTTATTACAAAATACTGATGTCGCTGTTAATGTCGTAAAACCAGAATCAGAAAAAGAAGATACTCAATTAGTAAAAAATAAAACTCTAAGCGAAACTGAAACTGATACTCTTTCTGTTAAAACTAACATGATTGTCACTGAAGCACAGATACATATGGAACGTGAATCAACTCAACACGGAAGTTCAGAACTTACTGTAACTGTTGATTCTTCTAATAATATATCAATAGAAACGGCGAACTTATCAGTCACTCATAAAGATTTGGATGGTGAAAAAAAATCAGATGATGAAAAATATAACCAAGAGAATAATATTATTACGGAATCACAAATGCCCCCATTACAGGATGGTGTTGAATCAAAAATTTCCATACCAACGAAAATAAACGAGTTGAATGAGGAAAAGGAAACTGTGAACACTAGACCATCAGACAATACTTCTAAAAAGGAGGAAGATAAATCTTCAACTGTGTCTGAACCTAAAGATAATGAAAATACATCAAAAATAAGTGAAGATCTAAAACATACTCAAGAAACAACTGCAGCTAGCCCTACATTAGTTAACGAAATTAAATTAAATGATACTTCCTCGTCTACTTTAAATAAAGGCAGGAAAAGATCATTTCAAGTATTATCTGGTCCTGATGAAGCTATACTAATACAAAGTAAAGATACGTCTGGCGACTTGAAAACAAGTTTAGATGCCCCTAGTATTGAACAAACAGAATCCCAGGACAAAAGTAGTTCTCCTGTCGTATCATTCGCTAATAAAGATGAAGTGTTTGAAAGTAAAGATTCCGATAAACCATGTGACCATTTAATGGGAGAATATGTTGATCACACTAATGTAGGAAGTGAAACAGATAAACAAATTCAAGAAAATGTACAAATAGAAACTAGCGAGAGTAATGTAATAAGTTCAGATGAAAAAAGAAAAGAATATTCTTCAATGACAGGTAGTAGTACTGAACTTAGCCAAACTATTGACAAGGGACTTGTTACAGTCATTGATGGCAATCTTTCTTCAAATGATAGAGCACTACAGCAAATTATTTTAGAAAACGTAGATAAAGAATATGACGTAAATTTATCGTTATCACAAACTTCGCCCAGACGAATTAGAAAAACTTCAAAAGATAGTCAGGTTAGTAGCAGAAAAAATAGTATTTATGAAACGGAAAGTTATAAAGTATTATCTGACATTGCTAGTGCACCTGATGCAATAATTACGACAGGTATATTGAAAAAAACTCAATCAGTTAGTCATATTGATGATGGTTCTCAAGAAGATGATAAAGATATTTTAGACAACGATAATACAATTATTAAAGATAACACATACGGAAGAATACCCAGTGTCAGTGATAATGAAATATACAGTCACTCTGAAGTTAACAGTCGAAGGAAACGTTTTCGTAAAAAAGGCAGGACAAAAAGTCGTACTACAATTAGATCTAAAAGTGAAAATTCTGAAAGAGGTTATGAATCAAGTGGCTTAATGGACTCGGGTTTCGAACCTAGTCCTAGAGCTTTACAAAGACGCATCACTAGTCCACGCCTTGCAGCTTATTACCAATTGAGAAACGCTAGCGGAAGATATTCGGGAAAATCTGATAGTAGAATTCCAGTGCGCAAACCGGGAGATAAAAATGCAGTGGACATGAAGTCTGTCACTCAACGAATTCAAACCAATATGCGACGGTAAGTATAAAGAGCTAAATTAATATATTATTACCATTTATAATATCTATGTGCTTAATATAACCTAAATTAACAAAAATTAAATACTATTAGTAAGTTTATTACTTGAGAATGACTAGGTCGATTTTTTAAAAAAGGTTTTTAAAGAAAGAAAAAGGAATAACCAAAAACGTATTTTGGATCAACTAGTACAATAACATTATATGCATATAACAATATTAATTAGTATATATTATGTACGTATTCTTTAATTAAATAGTTTTGACCTTAATTTAATTTTAATAATTACATTTTGTATTTCAGCTACTATTGTGAACGAAAAATTTTTCAACATTTACTGGAACTGAAACGTTTACAAATAAGAACCAGTAAGACTAATGAAGCTGTTCTTGTAAAAAGAGCTATTGATGAATATAATAAATCAAGTCTAGCTAGTGTTGGGTTAGGACCATATAACAGCCCCGACTTTTCTTTTAGTAGTTTCGAAAAGTTTCTATACGAAAGTTTAAGAAAGCTGCAAAAAAGCGGCAAAAAACATTTAGATAATCTACCAGAAAATCCTATTGACTTTGATTACGGGGAGAGTGAACTGTACAAAATGAGTGCCATACCAGATAATCCATGTTTGTGTACCAGCAAAACGCATCGATGTTTTCATGCTGTACATGCTTATACTGGTGTACCATGCTCTGCTTATAGTAAGTATTTTGTATCTTTCTATCGTAATAGATAACTACAAAAACATTAATTCAATCTACACAAATTTCAGTACCTTACAAGTGGAATCATCACACCATGCCTAAACCTGCAACGGCAGGGCCAAGCACAAAATCGAAAGGATTTTTACCAAAAATCAATACGAAGTCACCCTCGAGTTCTGGAAAAGCTCATGTCACACTGGAGGTTTCTCATGGGACAGAAAAACAATTAATAGCTTTACCAGCTGAGAAATTGGACAAAAACAAAAGATATTATGTCACTTTTACTGTTAAGGGCTCTGAACCGCCTTCAGACAATGATAATGTGTCGCCCAATACTAAAAGTGTACTCAGTGGCTAATATTTAAAACTTTAAGCGAAAACGATAACGATTAATACTCACTGCCAGTTAGTGGTATAGATAAAGATTTTAATAACTTATAAAAAAAGAATTGGTTGTATTGTTGTGCACCATATCTATTGTGAGATTATTGTGATTAGACTGAAGAAACCGTCCGATATTACAGTCAGATTATGGTAGAAAATACCTATTTTTCTAAATGTATAGAAAATAAATTATTATTTATTTTTATGGAAACAGTAATTTATCTTCAATCAACATTTTCTAATGTTTAATATATGTGTGTAGTCTTCCTATTGAAATATAATATTCTGCACAAATAAGTTTGTAATAAGGATAATTATGTCCGTTTCTTGTTAATTTGTGGAAAAATTATTAATTCGAGTTATTTAATAACGATTATGACGGAGGTGGTATCACATACGAGTATGTATATAGAAACAGTTGTTATTCCTTAATATTCCATTCATCAGTTTTTTTTTTCATTCTTATATCTATAGATTTTATTTCATAGTCATATTTATATCATTACAGTACACAAGACTCGCGTTTTCTTACAAAACACGACCAGATGATCAAATAGATTCAATTAAAATTTCATTATTTCTATATAATTTTTACATTTTATTGTTCATTTTATAGAAAAGTACAACGAATTTCAATAAATTACTTTTAACAAATAAAAGCTTTAGTTATGTTAACCAACATATTTACTTTTCATCTATTGGAACTAATACATTTACATATCTACCTATCTCAATGCCATATCTATCTATATATCTATCAAATATTATAATATCAGACAGAGAGAGTATTTACAGAGGGCCTATTAGAAAACTTGCAATAAATAGAAATATATAAATTTTTATTAATGTTTTAATAAAATTCCCTACCTACAATATTCCTAATGTCTTAATCTGCGGCCTATCTATATCCATCATAATTATAAACATTAAATTGAAATATTCAAGAAATATAAGTTCTGTTTTACAATATATTGGTCAGTTACTGATTACAAACTCGAGACAAATTTATCAAGTTGAAAAAGAGTGATGGGGCATCAGTAGAGGATGAAACAATGAGGACAATTTCGAAATCAGCAATTCACTAAAAAATTGCTGTTATGGTTTCGAGGAGAATCGTATAGAGTTAGTATACCTGAAGGAATATATTACTGGGTATAATCTAAGATTAATAGTAATGGGGACTACTACTGTTAATTATTGTTTACAACAGTACAAGTCAGTTTTGATGCTAACACTAATGCCTGTAATTCATGTAATGTAATTTTTCTCTAGATTTATTGATGAAGTTCCATAGTATTTATTTGGTTACACTTTAGTACGAGTAAAGGTATTAGCGCAGATTAAAATAAAACACCTCCATATTAAAAAAAATAATGTATTAGCCTAGAAAATCATCTACATTAAATAAGCGAATAGATAACAAGCCATAAGCAACTCTAGAATCTATTAAAAAATACTGTAACAAATATAAGTTTCACTAGTGATTAACGTTAATTAGAACTCTGTTGGGGCTTCTATTCTGGAATTGTTAAATAACAACGCCATTATTAATAATGTACTACAGTATACATAAAATATTTAAATATTAGACACCGAGTAGCAACGCAACACCGGCCAGGGTCCACCGCGTCGGTTTATCCTTCGTCTTTAGATTGAAAGTCCACACAAAAGTTGGTCCGCGCATACTGTAAAATAATTAATGGTGAAATTTCTTTTGACATTACGAACGATTTTTTTCTTGAAATTACGAATACGAAAGTTTTTTTATGAGTGATAATGAAACGGTAACCCCACCTGCTATATCGGTATACATTGCTGGGGCATCAGTAATAGATGATAGATGAGGATCAAACAGGTCAGTTCGACTATAGTATCAAAATCATAAAGAATTAATCAAGATGATTACCAGGGCGAACCGCGTGGAGGTTAATCTGATAGGATACATTGCTAGCAATGAGGCTGTTAGATCTCCAATGCTAACAATCCCTTCAATTTCAAAGAAAATACACAGGCAAAACTACTGGCTTTTAATATTTTTTATGAGCGGTATAGGGGATAAATATATCTGTAGAATCTCAGTTATATTTATATTATTTAATACGTGATTCTCTTTTTTAATATTATATATACAGTTTCCATGAGTAATTACACAAAAATCAAACTTTTTTTTTATACAACTTAGAATGGCAAACAAGCTGACGGCCCACCTGATGGAAAGTGGTAACCGTCGCCTATAGACATGAGCAGTACCATGGATATAACAGAGTATACTGTTTCGCCCATGATACCCCCCATGCGTTGCCATTCCTGAGGACTCAGGTGTTATTCCTTTGTACCCAATAAATTCACGCCATTCCCACCCTTCAAACCGAAACACAGCAAACATAACTGCCTCACGGTTGAAACACGAATAGGACAGAGGTACCCAAGCAATCGACTTTTGTACAGTCTTCTTCTGGTGAGTCTAGCCCTCATCAGTCTATTAAGTGCGACACCATCTTTGGTCGCCTCTTTAATTATTAGTTGAAGTATTTTTACCGTATCTTGTAGACAGGGCACTCGTAGACATTGCGCGTGTCCTGTTTGTCTTGTGTGACAGCTTTGATGTAGATAACGGGCATCATGGGGAAAAGTTCCATCATGCGAGACTCCACGATGCCACCGGTGGCCGTGTCCCACCGCGCACCCTCCATGTACAGTCCGTGAATATTGGCACCTTCACGTGGCGGTGCACTGATAAATAGAACATATAGAACCAGTTACATTTTATCAACCCGATGGAATTTTTTTTAATGGATGATGTAAGACTCCAATGTGTATAACAATGGTGTTTTAGAAACTCTTGTCATACAAGAATGACAACCTCACGCAGTAGTAGTAACAGATGATGTTAGAGTTAAAAGAGTCCGACTTTTGAGGGTATTTCATAAACTTTTCACAAATAAAAAGACTGTACTGGGTTAAAAATCTATTGTTAAATAGATTTTTTTCACAAGAACATGTTTAAAGATATAAATTATTACGTGATAGATGCAAAATTAATGTTTAATAGTTTAAAGAAACTTTATTTGAAACAATATTCGTAGAGTTATCTCTAATAATGTCATTTTCACGTGATTAACTACATCAAGTTACGAAACTGTTGTGGCAATTATAGATAATACGAGTCTTATTTACATCCTAAACGTAAATATACTTTAAAGTAATCGTATAGTTACTTGAAGTCTCCTCTGTTCTTTTTGGTGACATCACAGTTGAGGCACATCTTGTCGAGTGGCCACTCGTTCTTGCGCGCTGTCTGCTGCATTATAGCAGTCAGGAACGACTGCGGATTGAAGAAGCCAGCGAGCCACACAGCCGGCGGCAACTAGACATCTCAATACATTAATTAACCGTTGCAGAAAATTTGCTGCATAATTTGGTTGGGTGCTATTGTCCTCAGCAGTGAAAAAGAATATAAGGACAAAAAAAAACTAAAATCTTTGATTTTACTAGTATTATTTAAGTAAGATACAATAAGTATGGATAAATAAAGAATTAAAGTAAAAAATATTGGAAGATTTATTATAGAATATGATTGTTATGTTTACCTAATTATATTACAATAATATTACACACAAATATTTTCATACCAAACAAATAATCTTTCAATAAAGATAATAAATGTAAAAATTCTTTTTACATTTATTATCTTTGCAGATACATATTTCAACATTTACATCGTAAGTCATAAAGACAACTATTTACGGGTCATTTTTAAATGTTTACTTAAAAAAATCTAATAATAATTGCAACACTAAAGAGATCGTACAAACAGGAAATGACAAACGTACATTAAAATCACCCGACCAATTTTCCAGTTCGCTGAGCCTTAGACAAAGGTCTGAAAACCAGGCGGCGAGACCGAGTAAACTTGGATACGCCAATTTTGTCCACAAATCTGGAACCTTGTCCATGAACAGCGATTCCATCAACTTTTCCATGTCACTGCTAATTGTCAGTTCTCCCTAAGAGACAACACATCTTTATGTTCTTTATGTAAGAAACTCGGAAAATTTTTATGTTTTATCACCTTGTCCGTTTTGGTCTTATTTGGTTTTTGACTGGGTTTTATACTGGTTACTTACATTCGACAAGAAATAAACTGTTGACAGGACAAACGTTTAAGCGGTTTTTATGAACCGTCGAGGATTTGGACGTGTGCCGTGTTTTTTTTATACAACTTAGAATGGCAAACAAGCTGACAGCCCACCTGATGGAAAGTGGTAACCGTCGCCTATAGACATGAGCAGTACCATGGACATAACACAGTATACTGTATCGCCCATGATACTCCCCATGCGTTGCCATTCCTGAGGACTCAGGTTTTATTCCTCTGTACCCAGTAAATTACATATCCCACCCTTCAAACCAAAACACAGCCATGCAAACACAACTGCTTCACGGTAGAAACACGAATGGGACGGAGGTACCCAAGCAATCGACTTTTGTACAAAGTCTCCCTCTGGTAATACAGCAGCAGATTTAGAATCCCAATTATCTTTATTTTTCTATTTACTTGGACTGTATTCTTTTATCTAATTAACAAGAAGCTTAGTGCTATAGTAACTTACATGAACACTTTATTTTTTGTCGCCAAGTAGTTATATTTACATGGCTGTGATTTGGTTTGAACGGTTGTATGTGGTAATAGGTATGTGATGTTTATTCATCTCAGTATACCCAGTTATGTATATTTATAGTTTATAGGACAGATTCTCAAGCTACAATAACAAAATCTTAAAGGTATATATATCTATATATAAATCTCCTCTCTAATATAAAAACTCTTCCGAAACAACTCGTCAAACAACCGATTTTGATGAATTTTTTTATGTATATTTGGTAAGTATGAGTAATAAGTCGTTAAGTATATTTTATACCACTAGGATTAGATTATTGTCACTATCTCGAAAAAAAAAAATATATGACAGTACAACATTTGCTCTGGGTCAGCTAATAAGCATATAAGGAATATGCAAACCTTGAGACCAAGTTCGAGCTCTTTCAGCGACCGTCGTATCTCCCCCATCAGTCGGTTCATACGCTCGCACTCTTGGAGCGCGACAATCGTGAATGGTGTAAGTTCCTCTACTTTACCCATCAACTCTTGCAAATTGAACGGCTCGGGCACTCTGTCCAGTATATCGTCCAGCATGTATCGCACCTACCGTTACGTAATATATAATTAGCTAGAGATATTACAGTTTTTTTCTGCTGGTGAGAGGTTTTTCTATTTAAAGAAGCCCATCTTTCAATAACAATAAATATTTATATTTTAATTAGCTGTATTCCGCGGCTCTGTCTGCGTAAATAATATATCCTATGCTCAAGTTCTCTTGAAATCTATTCAGTAGTTTTTGCGTGAAAGAAAGTAACAAACATCCATCCATTTATCTATCGATAGAGACATTCGCATTTATAATTATAATTTTTTTTTCGCATTTATTTTAATAGGATTTAAATTGAATAATAAATAATATTCTTAGATTCCATGTTCAAAAATAGACAATGAATGATTAAAATATGATTAAAACAAACACCATTAAGTTTTAAGACTTAGAAATTGAACTAAAACCATAAAGAGTACATGACAAAGAGCTAGAATATAGACCTACATTCAAATTTAGACACTATATAAAACAGTTCACGAGTTTTGATAATTACCATTTCTTCTTTTGTAGCTCCGCCACCAGCTTGTGCGCCACTGTCACGAGGCTGCATTTCGAATACCACCTGGTATAAGAACATCAAAGATTTTCATTAAATACAGAATTTGGAAAATGCATGATGAAGCTATTTTTATTTCTGAAACTTTCTTTAGACAGTTGTAGTAGACATGTATTTGTTGATAAATGTCTCTGACCAGTTCATATTAGATAGGAGATTATATTTATAAACATATTAATTTTATTTCTCTTATTACGAAAGTTTGCAAAGAAACAAATACTGTTTCTTGTCTTTTAAAACTTCCAACTTTATGAAATTTGGCAAACTTAATGTTTAGTACCTCCTTGGCATGAAGAATATGGGATCCTTTGTTCACTTCTTATTCTGAGTACAGCTATTTATAACATTCGAATCCAATTCCGTTAAGAAACATTACCTTGAACAAGCGCTCTGATACGGTTGTCAAGTATCCAATCTCTGCGTTGGGATGTAGTCCATACAAATAAGGCGTTTCATCAGGCAAGTAGTCGTCTATGTACTGATGATAACCCATATAGTCCGAGTTGGGAGGTGATATGAAACCTTGGGCGAGTTGCAATTCACCGTCCACCTAAAATGTTTAATCATAATCATTAATTATTAATGATAATAATTAATATTATTAAAAAATTACTTCAGGTACCTATAAGGTCTTATTTGCCTATCAAGTCTTATAATAAAACTTTATAATTAGAGTATGTTATAATTAGAGTTATGAATATAGATGGTTTTAGGTATTTTTGACAGTAAGCCAGCATCGCATCTTAAAAACTCTTGCATTACTAGAGACATTGGTATATCAATTGTATATTCCAGATCCCTGTGACATGAAAATATAGTAAATAATAATTACTTAGTATTTTCACTGCCATATATTCTGTTTTAATCGAAACACAGTCATGCTAGTACAGAACAGCTGCTTAATAACATTATTGAGAAAGATACTCTGTAGACCAGTTAGTATTCCTAAAAGTTATATAGCCTACAAACCAGTTCCGGCTGCATGTACTCGAGCAGGAAAGTGCGACACAGCCGCCTGTCCCAATCATCGGTGATGTGGCCGCCATACATAATCTCGCCAAACAGATAGCGCAGGTCCTCCCATGGCACACGAGGATTAGCCTCCAAGTAATTATATAGCACATACACACAAATGGTCAGGTCGCCGAAGTTGAATGGATAAACTCTACAAATTGTGTGAACAGTTAATTGTATTTTCCCTGTTGTATGATTTGTTTGATATTAGCAACTTCAAGTCTTATCTTGTCTGATGATTCATGGTATTTTTATGAACTTTGAAGTAATCTTTTAAGTTAAAGGTATTTTATTTATTTCACCTATAATCGTGCATGTAAATGTAGTTTATATCTTATATTATGAGAAATGCAAAAATCAATCTTTGCATTTCTCATAATATAAGACTATACCTTCTTTATGACTCGGATTAGTACTCGCAGACTGAAAGTATAAATGAAACTCACAGAAATAAGCGATCAATCTGGTAGCTATAAGTTGCTATTAATAAGAAAACTCCTTAATACAATCTCTGAATATGTAGTGTGTTTAATGTATAATAATTAAAATTTATGAAGCAATCAAGTTCACCTGTTCCAACCCTGCGGGCCGAATTTACGGCGCTCGGCGACGACGGCATGGAAATAACACAACGAGAACAGTATCGACTTAAACTCCGCTTCTTTGCTGCACATCTCCAACGTTTCCTGACTGAAGTTATCCAACGACTGGTAAATATAATAAGTGAAGTGTTGTCAGTGACGGTCATTGTCGATAAGAACTCGGGAGTAAAATATCAAAGCTAACTGAAAGGCAATTACTAGGTACAATGTAAGTTTGCACTCCTTTTTCTGACGAAAGCCAATACCACACAGTCCAGTCACAGATAATACAATACAATATTTTCCATAGTAATATATTATTTGTGTGATTTGAATAAGCTACTAAGCTACTATGTATGTTAAACGAAAGTTGTCTATCAATATTTTAACATAGTCAAGAACTATGCGTCGTTACCGCTGAAAACTATGACATTATCTATTTTGTGTACAACATGTTCTAGTAAAATAGCCACAAAAATAAATTATAAATATATTACTAATTACACAATATTTTACCATTAATCAATTAACCGATGTGTCATTACGAATTTATAAGATCAGCCTTTGTATGCGTGCTTCCGTAAACGTATAGAAAATGGATATAATCAATAAATCAGCAACTTTTTAGATAAGCAAGGCTTGTGATGTGACAGGAATCTCTTTAAGATTTTGTTTAATTGTAATTCAATTTTTAATTTAAATAAAATTTTTAATTGCATTGATTTTTCAATTGTTTTATGTTCAAGGTTAATAGTAATATATTATTATACCTTATGTAAATTAGCCCACATTCCAATTGGGGGTTCATTAGTGATCTTAATAGCTGACTCCAAGATGCCTTGTGGTATTATGTGGTATGCTGCATCTGCCGCCGGCTCGGCACTCAAATATAATCTGTTTAAATGTAAAATTGTTATCATCAACGATTAGTTATGAATAATGACGGAAAACCGTACTCTGTAACACAATTATTAATAGTGCGGTTAATATACACATAAATGTGGTTTTAGATTATCATCTTTTTACGATAACATTTCAGAATTTGTATTATGCAGTAGCAATGTATAATTCCTTGCTCATTGTGTACAAAGATACATTCATAAATAATTATTTCATTTTTACAGAATAAGATAGCGTTGATAATTTATACTTAGCACAAACAGATTTAGTTAGATAGATAGAACATTTTGGCATTTGCTTTATTTGCATCAAGACATATATGTTGCGAAATTCGTAACAAAAAACAATGTTTAACATAAGGGTGATATACACAAAGTTTTATACATAAAGTAATTTGTGAAAATGTAATATGTGTACCACAATGATATAAAGAGGCGATATCTCAGCGAGTTCTTTGCCTCATACGCAAATCAGTAATTTTTAGTAAGTGCATAAAATACTTCCCAAACTAACCTGTATTCAGGTAGCGGATTTTCAAATGTCTCCTCCATTTTTTTCTCCAGTGTTGCCAGCCACTTGGCTACTAAATGAATATTCTGCAGTATCACCCAATGCCCATTAACCGAAGCCACGCTCATAGCTTCTTCAGCGACCACTTCTTGACCTTGACCGAGGGATACTATATGAAAGTTCTTTTTATCCGTAGAAAAGCCAAGTTTACGACCCAACTTTTCTAAGTCCTAGGAAAACAAATTTAAGTATGAGGCGATGTATTTAATAAAAAAAATCCTTCGAAGTATGTCTATCTATCTATCTTGGTTTACCTTCAGAGGATCGACACCGGGTGATAAAATGAAGAACATTGCCGTAGTCGAAGTACTCTCTTGATAAGACTTCTCTAGCGATGGCGTTCGTGCCTCAGTGTACTTTGTTCCAAGATTCTCTTCACAAAACGCACTAATAAAACATTTAGTTTATTAAATATTTTTTTACTATATTGACGTCACGAATATACAGATTAATGAAAATTAATCTGATAACAGTATTTAAAACAAAACATTGTGATATTATAGTACAGGGTGGCCCAAAAGTCCTTAGAAAAGTAAAATTTGAATTAAACAAAAACGGCGCGCGTGAGCGGTGCAGGGGAAGCGGGGGCAGTAACTTCGGTTTCTGGGAATTTAGTCGCGATGGAGCGTTTCACCGGAGCGGACCGTGCGTTTTGTGTGCGCGAGTTTTATCAAAACAACAATTCGGCAACCATTGCGAGGCGTAAATTTCGAGAACACAAAGGTTTACACAACTTTGATGACACCCCAGCTCTCCAAACGATTAAGAATTGGGTTGCTAAGTTCGAGGAGACCGGTTCGACGTTAGATAAACCGCGGTTGGGTCGCCCAAGGACATCACGTACGGAACAAAACATCGACACAGTGGCACAATCTATTCGTGAAAATGCTACACAGTCAACTCGTAAGCGTTCCAGTGCATTAAACGTATCCAGGACATCGTTACAACGGATTTTGAAGAAAGATTTACTTATGCACCCTTACAAAATTCAGTTGGTGCAAGAATTAAAAGAAACTGATGCTATTCAGAGAGTGAATTATGCTAATGAAATGTTTAATCGGTTTACTTCGTTCAATAACATAATGTTCTCTGATGAGGCACACTTCCACATTAACGGACATGTTAGTAAACAAAATTGCCGCTATTGGAGCCCGATTAATCTAAAACTTAAGCACCAGAAGCCCTTACATAGCCCTAAAGTTACAGTTTGGGCCGCTATGTCAGCCCATGGCATCATAGGGCCTTACATTTTTTGAGGACGGCAGAGGGTGTGCTGTTACTGTTACTTCGGAGCGATATGTGGCCATGATCGAGGAGTTTTTCACACAAAAATTGCAAAACTTTCCAGGCTTTAATGCCCGAACATGGTTTCAACAGGATGGAGCAACTTCCCACACCTCCAATACTGCTATGCCCGTTATCCGTCAACTTTTTCCAAACAAAGTTATCTCTAAGAGAGGAGACATTTCCTGGCCACCACGTAGCCCGGATCTGACTCCAATGGATTTTTTTTTGTGGGGCTACCTTAAGGCTAAAGTGTACGACTCTAACCCGCGATCAATTAATGACCTAAAAGAAAACATCCGCAGAGAAATGGCAAGTATTTCAGCAGTGACGTGCCGCGCAGTCATCGACAATTTCAGAAGGCGTTTGCAAGAGCGCCGTGACTGTAACGGATTACATTTGGACGACGTTATTTACAAAAAATAATTCCCGTTTTTCTAGCTATATTTACAAATAAAAATATTATTCATAGTGTAATTAGTTTTATTTTAATTAATTTTTTTCATTACTAAGGACTTATGGGCCACCCTGTACAATAGCGTATTGATTCCTCGTTCAATCGATTGTTCATTACTTAATTTTAATCGTAAAACAAAACTTCGAAACGTTTGCTAATAATATAGTAGCATGCATTGGTATAGTTCTAATTGCTCATTACGCATAGGTAAGATGTCCTTATTGCGCTAAGCATGAGCACAAAGACATAAATAGTGGGAACAATAACAAAAATAGAATGGTTTCGGTATCATCTATGGTTATTTATGAATTAAACATTATAGACATTGAAATGTCGTTAGGTAATTCATGTAAAAAAGTCTCACCTGGATGCGTATGACATACGGTCAGGACGCAGTGCACGCATAATGCAAAGTCGCTGCAAGGGCGTTTTGTTTTTCCATTCACCTGGCAATTTGTCTCTTTCGGGCGCTTCGCCGTCGGTGTATTTTTGCCATCTATTTATTAATATAAATTATACCTATTTGATTTTCTTGGTTTGTGTTTCCCATATAAAATTTAAAATTAAAAACTTCACTGATAAAGCAAAGGGTATACTTGCTTACTTTATTACTATCAAGGTATTGTACGAAGCTTTCGAAGGTGTTCACAGTACATAGAATTAAAGATAAAATTAATTGCAAATTATTGAGTGCTCGCAAGTGCCTCAAATGTGTGTATTTTTGTATTGCCTGTATATATTATGAAATGAGGTTATTAGTGAGCAGTTTCTAATACAGACCAGTTAACACCTAAGTTCTCAAAAATGGCAATGTAAGGGTGATGCTTGTTCATTTCTGGACCTTTGATCTAATATGCGAGCGCTCAATTTACCACTCTCAGCAAAAAAAAAATAATGTAATAAAGTACACAGGTTAATAACCAGTAGTAAATGAACAAACCTTTTAGTGGCCCCCTCGATGTCCTTGTCGAGGTTCTCAAATGCATCCATTTTGGACAGCGCGATGATGCCGCCCCAGGAGTTATTTGAGAGCCACGAATACGGGGACACTTCGGGCGCCACAGCGTACTTTAATAGGAAATCCAATTCTTTCGGGTCTACTTTGCCTTCAGCTTGTAGCACCTGTTAATTGCAAACGCAGCCAAGTTGCAAAAGCAACTTACAACTTTACAAACGTAATAAAAAATACCTGTTAAAAATCCATGTAGCATAGATTAGGTATTATAATCTATGCTACATTCATAGTTGCAGATTGTTATTTAAAAGAGTTTGTAAATACATTTTCCTTTTGTAAAACAATATTGAGAAACGATTTTTAAAATAGCGGTTAGAAATTTGTAACTTATTCCTTTAATGGTGTAACTGGGAACACACTTGCCTCGAATATCTGAGAGACGTGTGTTTAAAACTCGTCAGTTCAAGCTGTCGGAAGGTAAAATTTTGTAACCTATTAATTGTAATTTCTAAATGCAGTAATATACTTATTTTAATTTTAAAGATAATATTAAATAAACTTCTACGCTATTAAGAAGTAAACACTCGTATATAAAAATTGTAAATAACAAACTCGTTAATAACATTATAATTTAAGAGATAAAGACTGGCCTGTATCGTAATTAGGAACAAAAACACCAGCTTGTCTTTCTCGAAAAGACCTCTGCTAGTATACACAAATACTGCAAACGTGATGCTGTCGAGAAGGTTTCGCACTCTCCCTTCAAGGTCCTCTGCTGGTTCAGCCCTCATCAACGCGTCCTTGAATACTACACTGTATGCCTTCAGCGAAAACTGATACATCGGATTGATCTTGTTCAAGTCATTTAGAATGAAGTACAACAGGGATGCACGGGCCGCCGCACGTCTGTTGATTTTAAATAATTTCTAAAGTTATAGGTAGTAGGTACTATTATAATTTTCAATTACATTTTAATAATTATCTACTATTGATAAAGATATCGTGTAAAATACAAACAAATTACAATCCAATTTTTTTTACTTTAATTAAAACAAGAAATTTCTCTTCTTAATTTGTTTCAAAATTGTGAATAACAAATTTAATTTTAATTACTGAAACATGGTTTCATACTATAATGTCTGTGTTTATGAACACTGCACATATATGTATTTGCAGTGCATTTATATTTTACATTTAAAATTTACCTATATCTTTCTCTAGCTTCATCAATTTTTAAAGCAGTAACCTTCCCCTCTTCTACCTTTATTTCGATATCTGCAGCAGTTTTTTTCGTAGTTTCTAAATTGATGACCAGCGCTGAATCACTAAGTATATCAGGTCCAGCTGAAGACAATCTTTTCAGTAAATCATCTTCTAGTGTTTTAAGGGTAATTTTAAAGTCATTTTGTTGCTTAGTAAGACCAGCTCGGAGACTTTCCAAATCTGGTCTCTCTGCTTTTACTACTTCTCCAAGGAGTTGTTCTTCAAGACTGTCAGGATTTTAAATAATTCAATATTTATAATCAATTATAACAAGTATGTTATGTAATTATGTAAATACAAATTAAATTTATATTTTGGTCACCTGCAGGTAGCAAGCAAGCATGGTAAATTATTCTATTACTACAGAATTAAGTCCAGGTTATATATGATGTATTTTTAAGGATTTTTTTACATTTATATATTATCAAAATATTTATTAAAATCTGAATACTATTTTTACGGGTTCTCTTTTGCAAAACAAGTAGGAAAGTCTGTAATAAAATTATTTTACTTACCCATCTTTGGTGACAGTGAAGTTAATCAAGGTGCACTGTGCTTGCATTTCTGGTTGGTAATGAGGATTAGCTAGTTTTGTTTGAATCAAGAATCGGAAATTTGGATGATAATCTATTTCTCTGTCTCCGATCTGTAGATTTAAATGCGAACAATAAATTAAGTAGAAGACAGCAATATCCGATTTCATGTAGAGTAAGAGAAAATAAAATCTAAAAGCATTTTTTACTGTGGAAAATAAAACGATGGAGAGGAAGTCAGATTAGTTGGCCCGTCATGGAAATTTCGCAAGGAATTGATCGTGAATATTTCCAATGGACTCGCAAATCAATAACCTATTAATGTTTTACTACTAGACACAGGTCTCTCTCCAAAAGAGAGCCTGTGTTTAGTTAGATATACCTCTTGCAATGGCGTTTAGTACTTTTTTCCTTTAGACGTAAGAAATAGAAAAAAGAAGTAGTAACATTGTATTATTACTCATCACAAACAAATTTTGATATCCTTGACCTGCAGCTCGGAATAGTAGTTATTAAATTACTTCATGGCAAATTTATCATTACCTTGAGCACTCGTCCCTTCCGTATGAGCACCCGACCCAACAGTGGCTCCAGCACCGCGTCCACTGTCTCCCCGATGTTTTCCAACAATAGCACGTCACCGTTGCTTACACCACGCTCGATACGATCCAAGTAGTTCCGTTGTGTCAGTCGAATGACCACTAGCGAGTCACCATACTTCGACTTTATCCATTTTATACCCTGTCTGAATATTTCATTCATTGTATAATTAATTATCTAAGAGACAAATTAATTATCTTAGAGAAGCTTACTCTGGTTAAATACGCTATTAAGCTCCCTTCTCTTATCTTCAATTGATCGATACAAGGTATATTACCTATTACCGAATTGTGTAAGTAAAATTATGCATTATTAACTAAAAAACATGAGACTAAAACTTTCTTCTTTTGGAGACCATTTAAAAATGCACGAGCTACTTATTGTAAGTCAGGATTGAATGTATCTGAGTATATAATAAGATATATAAATGACAACGAATTTGTCCCAACTAATTCAGATCTAGGTATTATGAATTACATTAAATAAATAAATTAATTAAATCATTTATAATTAATTATTTTTACTACAATTAAATAAATTATCGTTCTGTGTATTAATTACACTTCTAGATTTGTATTATTAGCATGTAAGACACATATGATGAGTATATACTTACAACTGTGGGTCAATCATGAGCGGCCACCGCGCCGAGTTGGTGAGTATAGTAGCGTTCTCAGTACTCATTGTATCGGTGGGTAACCCCTCGTTGTTCCAACAAGCTACTTGTGCGTCATCAGTCAACATCGATAGCGGCTCTAGGCCTTCAGTCATTTCGATCTTAGGCTATATTAAAAAGAAGCAACGTGCTTGTGAAAGACAGTCTAATGCATTTTAGATTGTTGTTATTCTGATGATTGAAAAAAGAGTTGTAGTTATCGATTTGTTCAAATTGTGCCAATTTAATGAAATATAAATGAAATGAACTAAAGTGTTTCGAAAAATTTAATGTTTATTTATATATTAATTTAGTCAGGATTTTCTTTCTTACGGTCATTTATTACTGCATCTTGCAATTAGTTCTTACTACTATAAATACTAAACAGTGTTAAAACTTATATAGCTCGGTTTATTGTCTGGTAACAGCGATTCTCTAATTACTGTAACCATAGAGTGCGAGATATAATAAACTGCACCATAGTAAAACTTAACTAGATTAAATATGTTTTTTTTTTACAATTTGTTAAATGTCACCACATATATCTAATAAAATCCACTAACATTAGTTTTGATGACCAACTTCTTAATTATATTACGTAATTACGAATCTGAAAGCTACCAAAAATGAAATGGTTTTCAAAAATGGTTTTCCTTGTGCGACTTTTAAATCTTGAGAAAGGATAAAATTTGAGTTAAATATTTTATTTTTATTTATCTATTATTATAGATGTAGAAAAAAACTAGTTACCAGTAGTTTGTAAACACCAAAACAATATCTAGTAATGATTTTATTTACCGATAGTTCTATCCCGTGGTTTCGTTCTCGTAAATAAAAAAATAAAGTATCCTAGGTGTTAAGTTAGAATACAACCTATCTGTGTATCAAATTTCACAATTATAATATTACTAGGATAAATTTATATCTGGAAAAATTGGAATGTATCAGTTCTACTAGGTAAATAGTAGTACAGGGGTAGTTAAAAGAACGCCTACTTACATTAGTCTTCTCAAGCGATGGTATCCAGTCTTCATACATGAGTTGCTGCCTGTAGCGGCGCATGAAGCAACCCACGTACGATATGAAGGCGGTTATAAGCAGCACGTCTCCGGGCAACATAACTCCAGACTCTTTCAAGTTCACTACTGTCGCTGACCATCTATCAATGCAAGACTAGTTTAAAGTCATCTCATCTACTTAATATAGAGGTATGCAAAATTTTATGAATTGAAATTGAAGGGACATTGAGGTAACTATCATCTCTGGATGTAATATAAACAGTACAACACGAATAATGCATAATTTGTACATCTATGCAAAATATTAATATTTAATAAATTCTTTATTGCACCAAAAACATAAAAATATACAATGATCATTAGAAAAATCAAATTAATTACAGTAGTATAAAGTAGATCAAAATATAGATATAAAGGTACAAAATCGCTAGGGCAATCGCTTACAGACAATCTTTTATCGTTTTTACTTATCAAAGTCAGGATTTTTTTTATGCAACCTGACCAACCTGGGCCTTTAGACAAATGGCAAACGAATTCGTCGATGGAATCGACATCGCTAGCGAGTCCGTGAGGTAGGATGACTCATTCCAATTATGAATTCGCTTACCACTTGTCTAGAAGCCCTGATGGAAAATGGTAACCGTCGTCTATAGACATGAACAGTACTATAGACATAACAGTATACTGTGTAGCCTCTAATACCCTTCACGCATTGCCATTCTCGAGGACTTTTGTTATGGCCGTATACCCTACAATTTTATTGCCATATCCCGTCCTTCAAACCGAAACACAAATGGAACAAAGATATCCAAGCCGAAGATAAATCTCCCTCTGGTTATTGTACCATATGTTCATTTCTATGGATCTTAATAAGAGCAATAAATTGTCTAATAATGGCTAATTATGATTATATTAATATGCCCACCTAATTTTTTCTGACGCTAAACCATTGACCAATCTATTTGCTAAATCGATTGTTGCATTTGTAGCATCTGCCTCCGCCTGACACTTCATCTTCTCGTTCACCGCCTCTTGGAATGCTTTCAATAGCTCTTCGAGCTTTTCTTCTAGTTCCTGGTAAGATAAATTAAATATATAAATTGTTTTTATAAACCAATAAACTTTTTAACTCTACTAAAATGTAGAACAATTTTTTCGACCAGTCGACTATAATGTACCTACATAATTAATGTAAGAATGTCTAATAGAAATTGTGACAATATGAGTTTTCATGAGTATACTCGTATGTATATGGTGGATATATATGGTGAACATGCGTGGTAATATGAGTTATATGATGGACGTGGATAGCAATATGGTAAACTATAAAAACAGTGCCTTGATTTGTTCTGTAAGGAAGGAGAGTTTGTCTCGAGCGGCTTGCAGTTCTGCATTAGCAGCATTAAGAGCACGCCGCTTAGGCTCCACCACTACGTATACGTCGTAGAATTTCACGATATTGATCACCCATGAGCACAAACCCGCCGCCGCTGCTGACTTGGACATTATAAATTCAGCATTGAATTCGGGATTCTTGATATATGGTTGCACCGCCTGCCCATAAAAGATATGGTTTGATAACTATTACCTACATGTTAAATTCTCAAGCACTAACATGTTATAATACTACACTTGCAGAACTTTACAATCTATTAAAAAAAAGGAAATCCGCACCTTCATAAAATAAAAAAATATCAGGAAGTCATGATAAATATAGATTACCTTAATGACGTCTGGATGGATATTCTCTTTATCATAATATACTAAATCGTATAAGAACTGATCTACTTTCGCCATCATGAGCTGAAATTGACACAATCAGCGTTTTATTAGTATATTAATACATAATTATGTAGTACTTATTAGTATTAAAATTTGACTCACCTTACAAGCTTTCCAAGATCTGTCCTTTGGAATTTTCCCTTTCTTAGAGAATAGTACGAGGACAGCAGCAGTAACATTGACGACGGCGTCAGGTGGTGAACCGAAAGACTTCAGTTCTGTTAGGTTATTTTTGTTGAGGGTGTTAAGCGCTTCTTGCGCTGCGAGGAGTGCTGGCTCAGCCTTTGCTAAGTCATCTGCGCAAATCTTTGCCTTTATCGTTACATCTTCTTCTATTACTTTGACCTTCTTTTCTTCTTCAGCCGCTATTTTGAGAATAAGTAATCTATATAGAGATATGTAATTACACAAAATCCAGAGATTTTGTGGGATTGCAATTAATAATAGAGTAGATATTCCCTTTTTAGCTCAGAATTCAGTGAAACAGTAATAGGTAAATCGCAATTTTAGAGTAAAAATGTTACACAAATACGTAACGTACTGAATATTCAGGTTACTAAATTACGCTTATAATATTTTTCATCAACCACAAGGACAATTACAAAAAGTTATTACAACTATTACCATACCAAATGCTTTCTCTTTGGACACCTTTTCGCTCTCTGCCCCCACAACATCAATAAGTTCTTCAGCGGCTTTATTCTTCACTTTTAATATAACTTCTTGCTCTGCTAGTGTTACCTATTTAAATAAATAAAATTGTTGTAAAGATATTAATATTTTTCTTATTAACCAGTTAATAGTATATTTTTACCTTTAAACCAGCAACATCAGCGGCACATGAAGCAAGTTTTTCTAATCCGTTTTCTAATCTGGAAATCATCATTTTCAAATTCATAGTTTTTTCATTAAGCAATTTGCTGTAAAGTGCAATCTGTTCTAAGAAAGTTTTTGGAGTCGTATAATTGTACCGCTTTTCATTTTGAAAATATACTACGGACATCTGATTCACGCTTCGATGGACGTGTGACATAAAGACAGCAACAGGATCCACTAGATGTCGCTGTAAACAATGCGTTAGGCACTAATAAAAAAACATTGAATTGTAAAAAATTAAAATAAACATTAAATTCTTGTTTCGTTACTTGTATTGAACGTTTTTAAAATTCTATATATTCTATAAGTAATTACAATGAAAATCAGACAAACAACATTCTCTATAGTACTGATTTTAAATAATCGAGATACATGACAAAATAATATGAATATTGAGGAATCAAGAGCTCCATAGCCTCTGTTTATCCAAAAAAATAAAGATATAATTGATAATAATGATTCCTGAATATATGTATCAGTTAAATTCTCAAGTGAGTCGATATTGAAAATTCAGTGTACCGGTAATGACTCGACTTCAGTAAGGAACCGCTTGGAGACAGATCTGAGTGCTTCCTGAGGCCACTCATGGAACCAATTTATGGCAGTGCAGTTTACTATGGAGGGGAACTTGCGGGCTCGAATACGCAGCGTAGCACCCACCGGTGAGAAGCATAACACCACCTAATTTATATATTTATTACAAAATGTTTTAAAATACAAAAATATAGTAACAGCTGACAGTAACAGTAAATATTCTGGGCGCATTTATAATATTTAATACATTATTTGACTGTTATCAAAAACTTACTGAAAATAACCATTTAATTTCCACCAACCTTTAACATTGTACGAACGCGGTTTATAAAGAACCTCCAGCAATTCTCTCTTGTATCAGGTACGCCTGATGCTTTTGTCTAATAAAAGAAAACGTTATTTTTCCTCAGTAATTTTCTCTTATAATTTTCTATAATATATCATCCAGAATTTAACTCTGTACATATGTAATCATTACATTATGTTATTCTAACCTCTCCTCTAACACCGTTAATGATATTTTCTATTTCGTCATCGGCCAGTAATTCTGGTATCTCACCAGAGGCGAGCAGGTCGTTTATGAGAACCAAAAACCTCTCCTCGGCTACCTGTGCATCTGTCATTAGGAACATGTTGCCAATATTCTTCAGACCAGCTTTTATATACAAAGCAGCTGAAATTATAGTGTAAATATGTTACTTTTAATTATACATTTACGTATAAGCTATAACTGGTTATATTGAATTATTGATTTGAAATAAATTATAATTTTAAATCTTTGTATAAAAAATGTTTGGCTCTAATTAAATTCTACTATATTCTGTAAATGTGTTGTAAGGTGAATTCTATTACGACTGAAGCTACTTTTTTATGGGGCGAAATATATTTGTTATAATAAGAATTTGTTGTCTTATAAAATTAATTATAAATATGTATATGTACAGAAAACTTAAATTATATATAATTATATATTATACCAATTAAATGTAAAATATGTTTGTATATGTATGTATGTATATATTTTGCATATATAAAAACCGATCAATTGTGTCATTACGCAAATGTGAAAACGATTCATGGCTTAACATAGATATAAATTTGATTATGTGTTGATTGTAATTCAGCTGTACTTTTTCCAAAAAAATAAATAAATAAATTTCGTTTTATTCTATTACCCTGTCAATTACCGCCACATAGATATCTAGTACCCTGCCGATTGTCATCACGTGAGTAGTGTATCTTCAGTGGCGCAATATTTAACGATATAAATAATAACGATATAAGATAAAATCACTTCAAAACTGACCTAAATCAACTTTAAGATCGTTGATACTGTATCCCTTCCTCAACTGTATTTGAAATACTTCAAGTGAGGAAATAAAGGCTGACAGTCTAGACAGCGACTGTTTTCCAGAACCACCGACGCCAACTAGCAATGCATTGCCTCGTGGGGCTTCAAGAATGCGATTGATCCTAATGAAAAATAACAGATTATTAGTAACCTATTTATTTTCCACCTTATTTACTTCCATTTCTTATTTTATATATGCTTTATTTAATTTTCATATAGAATAGAGTTATTCCAGTACATCGTCAATTTTGTCGCTGCACTTCTACCATTCTTTTATCGAGGTCATTTCTCATCAAAGAGAATAAGTACTTGAAGGTGAATCAATTCAAGTCTAATACAGCTAAGTTCATATTTTATTGTTGAAAACATAGTAACAATCACAACAAATAACAACTTTGGTGTTCTGAAATAAAAGAACTTCAATATCATTCCAAAAAAAAAACACTTTGTATGAAATAAAATTATAAAAATAGCACCTGCAAATATGATACATAGCATCCTCGAATAATACCAGATTCATAGTAGCAACTAGATCGTTATATCCGGAAAGCGATTCGTCTAGTAACTTTTTAATCTGGGGCCAGTCTCTTATTGGGAAGTATTTGGGGTCACCAATGCCCTCGGCGAAGTGACAGTAGATCAGGGGCTTCTCAAATACAACATTCTCATCGTAATCCTGCATGAATTTAAGATAGTTCAATATTCAGAATTATACATTCAGATTTTTTTCTAGTGATCATTGCTCAACTGAAACATTTCGAATTGAAGGGATTTATTTATAAGACGGCATACCTCACAGTTCTTTTTTATAACCTCCATGATGAGTTTCTGGAAGGTTTCATTGTCAGCACCGTCGACTAGTTTATCCGAATAGACACGGGTTGCCTCATGCATCCATAATCTAATCAGTTCTGATTGCTGTTTGATCGCATCTCCCGTTGTAAACAAAATGCCCTGTAATGAGTCGCATAATGTTGCATAATAATCTCTGTTAAGTGCATGTATTCTTACAGAAGAACTTGTGGAAGTGTTTAGTGGTAGATATAATAAGACTACGAAATATGGTTTTTTTTTCTACCATCGTACATCTCGCAACTGACAGCGAGTTCACTCCCATACCTTAGAGCCTAACATGCTCGGGTACAGCGCGGTTTCAGAGATGTTTCCTCCTACTAACGCTCAGGTTATGGAATGAGCTAGAGAAAAGACTAGAGATTTCTATAGAATCGGCAACATGCGCGTAATGCCTCTGGTATTGCAGGCGTTCATGGCCCACAGAAACCACTGACCATCAGCGTAGCGGTGGGCCGTATGATTGTTTGCCATCTTAGTGGTATGAAAAAAATAAGATATTTTTGTCGCTACAGTAGTCTATTTCAATGAAACTTAGTAATTTTTACAGCAATACAGCATTTTTTAAGTTCATGCATGATTAAATAAATAAAGAGCTTGATTAAATAAATGAAATAGATGTCATCTAATAAACCTTAAAAATACATACCTGAAATATATTGGATAAATCTCTAAGGTTGAAAATATAGTGGAACTTAATGGCGGTTGGTAGGAATGTAGAAGCAAGTTTATTGTGGAGCGCAAGTGCTGCGTTCACTAGCGGCTCGGTATACCGCTGCACCGGCAGAGAGAACTTGTTCAGCGGATTGCTTAAGTGTTGATGCAATATTTGTTTGTAGATGTGAAAACAGGCATCTAGACCTGGGAAACTAATGTAAAAAATAAGTTTTATAAATATTCTAAAGAATATTTTTCGTAAGAAAATAACTCTTATTTAGTCTCCTATAGGATATTTATTAATTTATCAAATATTATTTAGGCAGTATTAGAGTTATTTACTAATGCATTCATCAATGGCTAAAGAATATTATTAAATAATAATTTAATAACAATAATAAAATTCATTATAAATAATAAATTGATATTTTAATATTGTTAAAAATTGGTGTATTTTATTTAAAAGATGCAAATGGCATGAATCACATGCAATTTAAAAATATTTTCTGTAATATTTTTCTATAAAATGTCTGTTTACCTGACAGCGAAAGTGCAGAAGTGCCTTTGCAGTCGCGGATCAATGGTGAAGGAACCCGCAGTGGGATTCATGCATGATACAAACATGCAATTCGATATATCTTTTAATGATAACTTCTGTCTGTCGTACCTTTACATAATAATAAAGTGAAAGTGTATTAGTTAATGTTAGATCTTTATATTTACGAAAATCCAAAATGAATATTCAAATAAGGTGCTAATGGAAGTTTTACTCTAGAACTTTATTAATTTGATATTAGGTAAAAAAAACTAATTAAAATAATGCTATATATATACCAGTGTTTGTAGTCCATGAATTGCCTAATAAGTGTATGGGGTTGCACAGTACCATACGTATCTACTTCGGGCATATTAAAATCATCCACGAAATAGATCATAAATTTGCTTCCAGGTGGGCCAAAGTTGCGACCCGACTTTTTCTCTAGAGGCTTCTCTAATACTTTTTGTAGCATTTCTGTAGATGTTACATGTATTAACAATTATTCAAACTTTCATGTAAGTAAATGCAAAATATTAAGTAACGTAATCATTATAACATAGAATCTAATGAAAACATGCAGTTACTACTACATACAGTAATTATCAAATATTAACTATATTTTTATTATGCTTTTTGTGAAACTATATTACCTTATAAACTATATTATTGGTTATAAATAATAATAATACATAGGTGTAGTTTAAAAAAAATTCAAAATCCTAAAGTTCAGCGGAAAAACAGAAAAAATATAAATTTTGTATAACAATCGCTACTTTTAAAGATGGCGTTGTAGTTGATATGAAGTTCGCCAGGTCATCTACTATCTACTCGTAATATAAAACCCAAATAGAATAAAAATTGGACAGTGCAAGAAAACTGGTTTCCTATACAATATAGGTAAAATAATACTAATAGTAGTAGAATTAAATAAAATAATTCTAATCAATTAACTAGAAATACATAATATTGTTACATATCACCTGAAGTGGTATAGAAGTTGAGCGCTGCATTAGTGATAGCGTAAGAGTCTGGCAGTGAATTGAGTTTTGCTGCGAAACTAACGGTCTTCCCACTGCCGGCACTGCCAACTAACATTACTGGCTTTTGTTTAGCTATAAGCAGATCCATGAAAAATCGAATACGTGTCGTTTCAGAAGTCGATACCAAACAGGACTGGAATAAATGATAACAACCTCAATTAGTTCTAGTAATATTCGAAGTATAGAAATTTAAGTGTATATAGAAATGACTGATTTTTAGGGTTCCATATCAATATATGTAAATATATGTAGATAAAGACGCACCGTAAGGATTCCTTTGTACCTTACAAAGGAATCCTTACGGTGCGTCTTTATCGATTCGTCCGTTCGTTCATCCGTTCGTCTGTCCATTTGTTACAGAGTTATATCTCAGCAACTACTTATGCTATCGATTCGAAATTTGGAACCGTTTTATATATCATTAGCTCGCATATATTACAATGGAAATAAATGAAATATTAATTTTATTTTCTTTGGGATCCTAAGCGGATAAATGATATGTTATACGAAAGGGCTTCATTTTCAAAATAAAAAAGTTTTTATTTATTTTAGTTATACGGTCCAGTTTTTAACTATAAGTATGGCCCAAAATGGCGAGTGGTCCCATCATAGAATAGGCTACCCTTCCTTTCCCGTGGGTGTCGTAAAAGGAGACTAACTGAGAGCGAAGGATGGGCAGCAGCATCCCTCTTAAAACAACCCAAACCCAAAAGCAATTACGCGCAAAACTTGTCAAGGGGGAGGCTTATGTGACTATTTATATTTATGTACAGAACCCTAGGCGCGTGAGTACAACTCGCACCTGGCCGGTTGTTATTAAAGAAATGTAATATTTTTCAACATTTAAAGTAGTTAACCTATTGTTAGTTTGTAATAATGCAATCAGTATAAAACAATGAATTGAAGCAAAAGTTTTAAAAAATAACTTCAAATATATATATTCAAAAATAAATTAAGTCATGTTGTATGTATGTATTCCATTAAATTTACTGTATTTCATTACATATATACATACTTATTCGTCACGCCTGTATTTCATTATATAATCTAGAAAGATTAAAACTTCATTGACATACCTGTAATGGTAGTTCAGGGTCCAGTTCAAAGGTCTCTATTTTCTCAGACCACGGTAGGAATTTCTTCGTCTCTGGATCTATAAAGAAACTGAATACGTTGCCATTGGAAGGGAATTTTATTTGCTTGAATTCATTACAGAACCATTTGCTGAACTCATTGCGCCAGTCTACTAGTTGATCTTGGAACAGAGCAGAACCAAAACCCCAAACTATAGAGAAAACGAAATAGGTTTCATACCTGAAATAACAAAAATGTTAATGATCATATTCATCATCATCATATTAGCCTTTGACTGTCTATTGCTGAACATAAGCTTCTGCTTTGGAAGATTTTACTAGTAGTTGCCACGCTTGGCTGGCAAATTGGCAACCGCAGTTAGGCTTTGCAGATGTTTTAAGAGGGACGCTGCTGTCCATCCCTCAACCACTGAGTGCCTTTAAAAGCCTTATTAGATTCGACACCCACAGGATAGGAAAGGGTGGCCTGTTCTATGCCGGGACCGACACGGCGACACACAAATATAATATTATGTTAATATAAATATAGTATAGTATAGAAAGCAACATAATATAAAGTAACTTGTCGGTTATCTCGTACACGAAATCACAAATCGAAATAATTTCAAGTAAATTAATAACAACTAATGAAGTAAATTGGTACAAACACGAGTAGTTAACTAAGAACATTATTTGTGTTGAAAATTGAAGCAGGCCTCTTACTGGGCAATTACTTTGAAGTCATGATGATGATTATGTTATATTTAAGTTACATACCATTCTTTAGGACAGTCGGAAGGCAGCAATGACTTGTTGAGGAAACACTCCAGTAAGTAACACGTGAGCTGTATCTGCTGCAGTTCAGTGAGCGGTGTGATACGCTTGTATTTCTTGCAAGACTCCAATAGCGACGGAATGTACTTGTCGAACATTACTGTCAACATTGCTTTTTCAGATTCGTCGTCGCGAGTCGTGTCAATCCAAGAAGCCACGAAACTAGTAAAATAAATTGTTATTCGTGTAAGTCACTAAACTCCACCAAGTTAGTGTGCGGATGAAATTGTTGTATTCTTCCAAAAAATTATGACTGAGGAGATAGATCAATAATAACTAGAATATATATAGATAGAAATAATAACTAAATAGTTAAATAGTAATAACTATTGAGACCATGTTTGAGGTAAATGATAAAGTGTGACGAAGAGATTAAAACGACATGACACTGAGTATTCATTCTGTAGATAATAAATATCTAAGTATTGAAGGCAATTATTTTTGTGCTCTTCTATGTTTTTAAAAGTATTTTAGTATCTGAAGATTCTATAGAATTTAGGTATTTTCGTATTGTTTTGTCCTTACGGATTCCATCCCAAATCTTGTGGATTGATGTAGAGGATGCCAGCTCGCGAGACCGTGGCCGGTGTAGCAGTACGCAAATTGGAGATCTCAAAGAGCAGACGCATTGACTTAGTTAATGCAATACGTTCATTACTGGCTAATGTTAATACCTTAAAGAGTAAAAAAAAACTATTATAATAAATGTTTGTCACAAATTAAACATACTGAATTAAAACACGACCATTGACTATATCATAAATCTTGATATATTATATTCGAGAAGAGACCAAAACCAGCCGAAAGCAACCGAAAGTAACAAGTTGCACTTTATATATTAAATTTATAAATTAAAAAAAAAGAAATTTAAACCAACTCATTTGTTGCATTAGACTAATTTAAATATTATTAAAAACAGAGGTATTTATTTATAAAACTCTTACTAACTTTATTATCGTCCATCAAAGTGTTCAAACTCTCGATCCACATGGGATCAATATCGCCATCTAACACTATCCACTTGGGTCCATCCCCGGGCATATTAGCCATATCTCTCATGATCGTGGAAAATAAGCCGTCTTTCCATTCTCTTGTGGCTGGATTGATGATACCGAATAACTCGTCATTAGTGACTGCCTTTGGATCCAAATCATTATAAAAAGGTTTCAATTTCAACATTTGGTAAGTTTTATTCAAACACTGCCACACCATCGATTTTCCGGTGCCGGCAAATCCAATAATAAACACCGAGTGGCGTACAGCGAATAGTTCTACCAATTGAACCATCTGAAAACAACATTACTTTTATATCAATTTACAAAATCTGTTTAACTCGTAATTAATATTACTGATATGACAAACTTATCAGAATTCAATATTCTTAATTTAATAATTTAAGAAAAACAGTACTGCCGATGATCTTTTTAGTCTATTATCCTACCTTCAAAATGAATCCCGGTTCAGGTTGCAATTTCATGGACAACGCGCCTTCTACCAGACTTTTCTCAAAGTCAAAGTCTCTTTTTCTTGGCACGTCGAGAGCCGGGAATAGATCGCCGATCAATCCCATAAAAACAGGAGTATCGTCAGTTACAATTTTAGGTATATTGAAATCTCGCAGGGCTCTCATTAACACTTGATCCTCTGGTCGAAGACGGTCACCTCTCTAGAATGATAATAGTAATTAATATAAACAAGTTTTGACGATATCTTGTGAAATAGAGTCAGAAATATTAATAATAGACAAATCTATTATTTGAGTTGAACGGAAACTATACCTTCAGCGATCCAGCAACGACGAGTACAGACTTAATAGCTCGCAAGCCCCAATCATAGTGATCTTGTTTTGACAGCAGCTCTCGGCACAGCATGTATAAAGTAATAAACTTGCGCGCTAGTAGACGAGCTTCTTGAAAACCCTCCGCTACTAACATTATCTCACAGATCAGTTCGAAATCTGGTACCACCATGGCACATGGTCTGAAAAACAATATTTATTTATAAAATAATATTTAGTACTGTTTTCTTTTTTTTGTAATTTTACTAACCGTAATCTAATAGATTGTTTTTAATTATTACAATTTTGATATTTTTAACAGAATACAATATAATCACATATTTACATATACAGAAAAAAAGAACGCCAAGTATTTTATAAATTTCCCTCGCTATTCTATCATAGATAATACCTACCATTTTCTAAAGTAATATCTGTAATATACCTAAACAGAGCCTTCAAGTTTTCAGGTAATTCTGTTCGTCCAGCATATCCGGGATTCATAGTAATAAACATGCCAACAGTCGGTATTAGTGTTATAAACTCTCCCATGAAATCAAATTTTTTCTTCTTTGTTTTGATCGCATCGAGAACACTCTTTACTTGCACAGACACAACTGATAGCACTTCTACAGAAATTCTGTTGAATTCGTCGAAGCAACCCCATGCGCCAGTTTGAGCCAAACCTTTGTGAAAATTACGGTAGTTAAATAAAAATGTATTTTTTAAATATGTTTTACCAACTTAAAATGTGGTCTCCGAATGTTACTATTATATTAATTTAGTTCTGATGCAAAAGTACCCTTGTAAATATTTCCGCAGGATTTGTAGTCCATTTGTTCTGAGCAATTGAATACATAGACCATAATTCCCAGTGCTCTTCCCAAATCCTTTGTAGTCTCCGTCTTGCCAGTACCAGCAGGGCCGGCTGGAGCTCCACCCATTATCAAATGCAGACTCTATAATACAATAGAAAAAATATCACACAACTGTTTTGTAAACTCGTATTAAGTAAATACAAATAATCATGGTGTAACAACTGACAAGAGCAAAAAATGTAATTAAAAAAAATCAGTATGGTTTTCGGAAAACCTTTTTTATTTAAGCAAATTCAAACTTATATACGAGTGCAAAGATATAATTATTTTTTAATATAATTACCTCTTAATTCATTAGTAAAATTACATCTTACCTGCGTGAGAGTGATGTAACAACGATCAGTCAAGGGAGTGATTACAAGACGCGGCGTATTTCCCAAGTATTCATAATCGTAAAGGAACTGTGCGTCACATATATTCGCATAGCAGTTATTTAAATTCATGTCCCAGCGATGCCTGAACATAAAATTAAACTAAATAACGAGGAATATGTTAGGTATGTATTTGGTTTAGTATGACTTACGAACTGAAAGTGTTTGCTAATTCTAAACAAAAACGAATACAGTACTAAAAATGTTAAAGATAACTTGATTAGTACCTACACATTATGAGTAAGTACGAGTGTTAAGTGTTAAAAAAATTAAATCAAGCTTGAAACTTGATCCGAAAGAATATAATCTGAACATGCGCTCAATCGATATAATTAAAATTCAATACCTTAACTGACTTTGCCATTGGAAAGCATTCGAAGTCTCTACTTTAGAGACAATGAGCTTAGCGACCACATCTCGGGAATGAACGTCAATGGTACAAATTGTCATGATCTTTTGACGATCACCTACTGTCAGGTCGCCCAACAACAATATAATGAGTGCATTTAATTGCGCGATTTGTTTCTTCTGGTAATCTTTTAGCGCATTTTCATAACCTGATGAAAATGTCCTGTTGTGAATTTATATAATAAATACGTAGTTAAGTATGCTTCTATATATTTTCATTTATAATACCTTCTTCAAGCTTCTCAAATGCCTGATTAGTTTCAGTAGTCCACCATATTTGGGTGCCAACCAAGGCAGGCTGCGCTGGCCAGTCAAACATCCACTCGTCTCGAGGCTTTTCCTCATATGACTTCACACTGTGCTCGAAAATGTCACGAAGAGTGTATCGCATGCAATCTGTCACACGATTCAGCCATAATTCCACCTGATTTATACATAATAATTATTAAAATAATGTATAATGTAAATTGCTGTGGCAGTCAGCAATTTTGTTTTATTAGTAGTACCTGTAACCACTGCGATTAAAAAATATTCCACGTGAAAAAACTACTAATTAGTAATACCTCTTAATTTATGTCGTTCCTGATTAGTAAAAAAACAGAATACCAATTACTTTCTTTACTTTGATATTTTATTTAAATATTAGTAAGGTTCACGTCCTTGTGTATGGTATAGAAGCCAAATAATTAAGATCCTTAAAAAAAAGAATTTAACACAAATGGCAACTTATAAACTTACCTTTCCAGAGCAATCACAACAAGGTGTTTTAAAGGGTACATGTTCTTCATTTTCTTTAGATATCATTTCAATAGCTTGCTTGCTACCGGGCTTGGGGAATACAAGCTTAGCTAAATTGTCATAGAGTTTGCTGAGATGACGACACACCGCTGGAGGATTGTTGCCATTTGAAAGAATATCTGAAATTCGATTATGATGAATTGAATATGAGCATGCAGTTAACTTTCAAGACTATTAGTGTGTATGTATTAACCGTTAACTGGCCACTGCTGAACATATTACAAAATAAATATAAATATGCTGACAGCCGTCATTTCAAACGGTGTAGTATCAGGCATTTTGTAAATTATTATCGTATTGTAATAATGTTAGGTATTACATTTCGATGTAGCAGATTCATACACTATCTCATGGATTATCGGATTATTTGAGATTATTCATGATATCTTGGCATCACTGCCTAAAGTGAAAGCCGAACTCAAGAATACTGAAATCTTTATTAAGAAGATAAATATTTATAGTAGTATAGTCATACCCAGCAAATCTGCAGATGATACAAAGTAAAAACGTGGATATGCCAAACGTTTAGTCTCAAGATAATCGTTAAGCGCCTTCTCGCACAGACTTAGTCCTTTCATTAGTTCTTCAAGCTTATCTAGAAGACCTGGTTTGTTAGTAGCTTGTACAACATTCGGAATTGCACCTATGTCTCTCAATAGTTCCTAAAGTAAACAAAATTAAATTAAATAAATTATATCCTTTTATATGTATATATATATTGTGGACTAATATATCATTAGTATATGATGTTCTGAAACATGTTTTTATTAATTTGTTACAATTTAATTTGAAATATGATATTGTTTAAGCGAATAAATTTTATTAATAAATATCTGATTCTCTAAAACTCTGACCTTAAATGTTTTATCGATGGTATCAAATCTCTTCGAGTCCTCGGGTAGCTGCGAGCGAATATCATCAGATCCAACGAAGATGCTCTCCAAGTACTGCCACTTACGTTGCACCTCAAACCACAGTACGATTACAGCATCTGCTGTACCCAATTTCTTCTGCCAAGTCGTTACTTCCGCTTCGTAGTAGCCAATAAACTTAGATGACATCATATTTTGGACTTGATTCTAAATAAATATATTATCTCTTTAAAATATTAACAAAAATTACGTAATATAATATAATATAGATAGAATTGACTTCATTCAGACTATAAAATCACCACTTAATATTAGACATGTTATTAGGTACCTACCATGTTTAACGTTACCAGTACTATAATTAGACATTTCGAGGTTATCATAACAATCTTAGAATTATAGCATCGTTTTAATATTTATCTAAATATTTTTTTATAGAATAAAATATTGAAATGAACCTGGTTATCTTCCAAAGTTTCCACTAACTCTTCGCTGGCTTTGGGCAATTTAATTCCAGTTCTATCGTGCATACTATAATCGAATTCCATGACCGCCCAAGTAGTTTCCAATTCTTTCAAGGTCTTTTCCATAGCAGCTTCCTTTACAGACTTATCGACAATTGTCTTTACTTCCTCTTCATATTTGTGAAGATTCAACGCTAACAAATCAGCCAATGTTGTATCATCGTCTATATGGAATTTAACCTGAAATACCAACAAATTTTATCCGAGTACGTTAAAATTAGAAATATTTTATATGTTATTATCTTACCTGATAAATAATAGGCACATAATAAAATGATTATGATTAAAAAACTACTAGTAACATTATCTAAGATATTACTCTAATGAATAAATTCAGACAATATAAGTGAATTATCGCAGCAGTTATGACGAGATGATCCTCTCCGCATAAGATTCAATTGCATTCCATTTTCTTTAATTTCTTGTATTGTGTACGACTTTTTTAGTTTCCTGAACTTGGTTCCAGTATTCTTACATTCCTGAGACTTTAGTCTTCTGAAGTCTTGTATTTGATTATACTGTTCTGCCATAGATTCTTCAGATCTCCCTTTATTATTTCTAGTACCTACTAGATCTACTTGGGCAGCTAAATCTTCTAAGGATTTGAAATCATCTAAAATGTCTTCTAGAGATATAAAACTGGGTATATGATATTTGGCTATTAATGGTGACTTATATACATGTTTTGTATTGATGGACATGATGTGCGAATGGACTGCTTTCTATATGAGACAAAAAAAAAAGTGATATTTACATATCTATTGATCAAAAAATTAAAAATAAATATGGTTTTTATACAAATGTTACCTTAGTAGCCATCATAAGCTCCACCCAATGTCTATCTTTAATAGCTGGGTTTTGTAAGTCAGTTACAGCTCGCAGCGATGTCATCAAATTCTTTATTGTTCCCTCAATTGCAATATATGGTTCCCTTTATTAGCAAGTAAAAGTACGTTAGTTTACGACAAAAAAAAATTTAGTAGCATAAAACTATTGTATAATACTAATAACACTAACCAAACGCGCATATCCTTGTCAAGTTGTCGTAAATCTTTAGTGAAACGCTTACACTCTTGATCCATGCCATCTGCGTCAATTTTCTTCCACGGAGACTTTTTCCAAAACTCAATTGTGCCCATTACCAAATAGTAGTAATCCCATAGTTGCTGATAAAAAAAAATTATAAGAGTAATATATAAAATTATAATTATTTATAGTCAGTTTATATATATTTAATCTTGATTAAAAATTATAATGTTAATAAAGTTTTGCATAATAATGATTTTTCACAAATAACAGTAAATAATACAAATTGTTTTAGTCAAAATAAAATTTGTGGAATAACATTTTTTATTCGTATAAAGTTAAAATAAAGTGTCTTACCTTAATAAGTTTAAGTTCTCTACGACATTGTTTGAGATTTTTCTCATCTGGCGGCTGAATATCAAATAAACAGCATGACTTTTTCAATCCTTCAACAATTTCCTCAAAACCCATTAGTTCTTGATTTACTCTGTCTATTTCCCTGTAAGGCTCCTTGCATGTCTCCAGGAATACCTAGATTTAAGATTCAATAAGTATTTACATAATACGTTCACGAAGCAAGACGTAGTTTCTTACGTTCGATTCCAAATATTTATTGAACTACTGGTTAGTAATTAGAACTATTAGTAATTCAATTCTTTCTATTTGAAATTACTACTCGAAACAGTATATCAATTAGTGTCTTTTAAATTTTACGTTAATTTAATAAAACTGTAATTTTATTTCAGTTTAACGAGAATGTAAAAAGGAAATGGATATTTTCGATATTTACGAGTACAAATTCGGCAAACCAAACTGACCTCCTTTAACTTAAACTGTTCCCTGTACATCGTGAGACGTAAGTTGATGAGCGCAACTCGCTTAGCTATTAAGGCCGCTTGTGCTGCCTGCAACGGTGCTACATTGTTCTTCATTACTGTCGCCAACTTCACCAAATTTCGCCATTTTTCAGGCAATACGTCCAACTGAAGAATTAATTTTACATATAAATTTACACCTACCTTAGAATATATACTTGTAGGTGATCTGTATTATTTTTATCAACTTAAAATTAGTTAAAAATAGTTGGGTTTGAGGTTTGTGATTAAACTTTTTAAGCTACTCTATGTAAGTAAAACTTTTAAATTATTTTTTTATATAATACTAAGTATATATATATATATATTAAAAATACTTTATAAAATTACCAATGTATACACGGAGTACTGATGAAAACTTGAATCCTGCAGGTATTCCAGTAAGCAATAAAAACAAGATAACAATACAAAAAAGACTATGTAATATTTACTTAACCATACGATTAATTTCGAGTATATAGTCAATTTTAATATAGTTAATCTTAACTTTCGCGTTGTTTACATATATTTTAAATACACAGTCGGAACTTAACGCGATGTAAAAGCCTGTAAAGGTTTTTATATCGCGTTAAGTCCCGATTGTGTATTTAAAATACAATTTCAATATAGCATGAATATTTAGTGCATAACTAGCCGATTTTTTAATGCAATGTACCTGCTCATAGGTCTCTTCTGGAAAGTCAACTCCATACTCTTTGAGTACATCGATAATGTCCCTAAGTGGCTCAAATATGAGTTCGGTGCCAGCATCGATCTTCCCTCGGACCTCATTAAGTACGCGCATGACTTGCAGTAGCCCTTCGTAATCATCATCTCCCAATTCCACGGATAATTCCTTAGAAGCATATACTATAAACTTCTCTAGATCATCTAAGCTGGAAATATTTTTATATGTACAGAATAAACATTATTTCAGTGCTATTGTCACATTAATCATATTCACAATAAAAAATAACTAATAACTGTCTATGGTGTTACGTCTCCGGACTATCTTCTACCTAAAACACAGCCATACAAGCACACTGATTGACAGCAGAAACACAAGTGAACTACTATAAATACAAAATCTTATATAAAAAAATCATAATGTGTTCATCTATATACCTAGTTTGTACGTGATCCTTAAGATTTTGCTTGTAAAGATTGCTCCATTTACATATGATGTTCATTATTGCTTGATTTAGCCGCTTCAAATCTAATTTTAACCAGCCATTGCAGAGGTACTCGGATGGCAATGCTGCTACTTCGTCATACATTGAATTATATTTATCAATCTATATAAAACATGAAACTAAGTTTTAAATAGCTGAATACAATAATGATATAAAGCTAAAAATATTAAACTTATAAATCATGAGCTAACCTCTTTTTGATATTGCTCAAGCTTTGGCTTTGCTTCAGGTGGCTCGCATCCATTTTCATACTTGTATTTATCAAATTCTTCGGGCGATATGACTTGACCATATTTCATGAACCCTGCTAGTATCTCTTGCCTATCTTCTAACCACAGTGGAGTATATTTCTCATATTTCTAAGAAAATTATTATTTTACTTTATTTACAGAAAACAGAGAACAGGCAACAGTTTCATAAAAGAAAGATCTATGATTACATCTGCATTAATGAATTTTTTTAATAACTCATGACACAAAAGCAAAATATATGACTTACCGAAGCATACTGAACAATACCATTTATGCTGTTTTCAATTCTCTTAAGTATATCGTGATAGAGATCAATCAAAGTGTCTTCATTAGCGATGTCATCTATATACATACAATTAATTAGTAAGGATTATCTTTAATGTCTTATATATATCAATACTTGTTATTTAATTAAGTCAGAATTACCTTCGTAACTAGCTATTGGAATAATAGGATCTATTCTTGGAAACAGAGTCGCCTGCAGAAACATATCCTTCATCATCTCCCGCAAGGTGTCATGTAAACCACCTTCATCGTCGAGATCCAATGAAGGCGAAAAATAAATATCTACAAAATAGGCAAATATAATAATTGAATAAACTGGACACTGTTTACAAAATTATATTGATGTATATATTAAGTTTTTATAGAACTTACCTGGATCTTTAAGTTCAGCAATTACTTCCATAAATGCAACCCTTGGACCTTTTTCCAGATTTGTTTGCAATTCAAATAAGTTAACGCTCGATTGTATCGCTTTCATGACTTGCTTTGAGACCTAAATAACAACATTACTAATAAAAATTAGTTCAGCCCAGATGAAGTTTGCATAACATATATAACACATTAAACATTCACACTTTAATAAAAAAAATTAAATATACAATATTTCGTTTCATAAGTTAACTAATTTAATATTCAAAGTCATTGAGAAATTATCTATACTGTTCAATGAATTGTCTTAGTCAAAGATATCAAAAAGTTACTAACAAGCGAATCAACATATTGAACGTAAGCTGGCCACCGTGCAGCTCTAAATGCTTCTTCCTCCAGTTCCTGTCGCTCAGCCTCAATATCGGCTAATTCTTCGGGATCTACAATTTCTTCTTCTTCTTCAGCTGGAGAATCTACTTCTTCACCTGAGTAAAAAGTTAAGCGAGGGTTGATATTTCAAAGTGGAAGAAAAATTTCAATTGCTACAATTATGGGCTTCAAACCACATTAAATATATTTTACAATAATATATGGTAACAAAAAAAAAGGCAAATAAAATTCTTTGTTTACTTGATATAATTAAAATACTTGCACTTATTTATACAGCCCTTATAATCATTTATTTATACAGTTAATTATTACCTGCATCTCTTCTTTCTTGTCGTTCTCGTTTCTCGACAGCCTTGGCTTCTCTTTTCAATCGGCGAGCCTCTCTCCGTCCAAATTTAATCTGAGCAGCCTCCTCTTTTTGTTTCTGTCTCTCTTCTCTAATAATCCGTTTTTCCTCTCGACGCATTAGTATTTCTTGTAATTTTGTCGCACGAGCTGCCTTTTCATCCTGATCTAAAGTTGCTTCATCTACTTCTTCTAACTCTTCTTCTTCCTCGTCAGGCTGAAATTTGATATTATAAATAAACCTATTATTCACAAATTTAATTTTTATGTAATAAATAAACAATATGCCTTACTTCCTCTTCTTCTTGAATGTTGAAGAATAACTTGTAATTATCCACTAATATATTTTGAAATTCCGCATGACTTTGAAGTATTTTATCTCTCCTATAAAATATGAAGATATTTCATATCAATATATAGTAATTAGCATATTAATAATAAAAAAAAAATATTTTCGTCCATACACAATAGATATCCAAGTTAATCTAAAAATAATAATTAGTAATTTTTATACGTATACCTCTTAATAAACCTACGGTGTCGTTCCGCAACCGCTAATAGTTCTACTTTATCCGGATTTTCCTTTCGATTGTGTAACGGCTTGTCACCCCAAGCTGCAATATTGGCTAGTCCACGTTTAACGTTATTCTGTGCTGTCAATACGCGCTCTTGTAGCGTATTTATCGCCGCGTATACCTCTGCCATCCATTCGGTGACTGAAGGAAATCCCAAAATACTAATCGTAAAATCCAAAAGTTTAATATTCGACTATTATAAGACTATCGATTCAAATGTTATTAAGGAAACAAATTTTAACATAATTTTTTTTATGAAACTATGGTAATTTTCGATTATAAACATGAAAAATGGAACATTGTAACCCTTGTACGTTGCCAGTCCAGAGGGTCTCCATTATTATTGCCATATTTCTCTCTTTACCGAAACTTATAAAGTAAGAAACCGAAATGAATAATGTCATCCTCGGGAGTATTATAATAGTGAAACTGAATATTTTCAATAATGAAACGTGGATAGAAAAAAAAACAAAATATTTTTGAGTTGAGAACATGGGTAGATTTCTAGTTTAACGAATGGCTAACAACTTCGATATTATCTTGTGTATAACAAAGAACAATTTATAAAATATATATCCTAAATTTGAAATTAAAAAACTAACAGTCATCATTCCATGTGAGTTCCTCGACACCACGGCCAAGAAGTTGGTCAATCGCGGAAATTTCCTTCTCAATGAGCGCCACTTCTGCTTCGTGACTACCCTCTCGGATGGCATTGTACCACGAGATCGCACGGTTCAGGCGGTTCATGTCGTACTGAGGAAAATAGTTTATATTTTTTTTTATACAACTTAGAATAGCAAACAAGCTGACGGCCCACCTGATGGAAAGTGGTAACCGTCGCCTATAGACATGAGCAGTACCATGGACATAACAGAGTATACTGTTTCGCCCATGATACCCCCCATGCGTTGCCATTCCTGAGGACTCAGGTGTTATTCCTCTGTACCCAGTAAATTCACGCCATATCCCACCCTTCAAACCGAAACACAGCTATGCAAACACAACTGCTTCACGGTTGAAACACGAATGATTGAAGCATCGTGTGAGAAAATTAAATAGTATAAATAAAGAAGATAAAGTATGTATGTATAATCAAGGTGTCGACATATTGGAAGCCATTTGAGCTGAGCGCAAAAATTAGAATTTTAGTCGTATTTACGAAGTTCAAATATAAATCTAATATCAATTTGATACATATCTACAGAGTTAAAGCCGCAGTTACTTTCAACTTTATTCAACTCATCTTCCAAATTATGCTCAAATTATTTCTAGAATACTTCTAGAATCCAACACTAAGTAAAAATGTCAGAAAAATTTATAATAACAGGCATATTTAAGTAGAATATAATAACTAAATTAGTTACCTGTAATTTTTCATTTCGAGCATACAGTTCAAGTCCGTCCGGTGGTATACCTTGCTTGTCCAAATATTTCATGTATTTCAGTTCTCGTAGTAACATCACCAACTGTAAAACACATGCCGCAATATAGATTGAAATTATTTAATAATTCTATTTTACATAGCTGTGTTTCGGTTTGAAGGGTGGGATATGGCGTGAATTTACAGGGTACAGAGGAATAACACCTGAGTCCTCAGGAATGGCAACGCATGGGCGAAACAGTATGTGTGTGTATTGTTATGTCCATAATACTGCTCATGTCTATAGGCGACGGTTACCACTTTCCAGCAGGTGGGCCGTCAGTTTGTTTGCCATTCTAAGTCGTATAAATAAAAAAAAAAAAGTTATTCAAGTCTCCAAACGACATATGCCAATTTATCTTCAAGAATTTAACATTTCAAGTGTTAAAAGAAAAATTACTGACTTAATTCACACTTAACTACTGACTTAATTCAAAAATTAACTAAAATATAAACCTAAAACAAGCTACGGTAAAATATTATCCAAATTTAGATTTTATTCCTATATTTCCTACAAGCTGGCAACTTACCTATTATAAAAACATACATTTGCATATCGAAGAACCTTCTTATTAAAATTGCTTGAATTTCACTGATTGCAATTTTTTTAACATATCAAAGCTGCTTCAGTAGTTAATTTAAAACCTTTGCATTTTGCATTTTTCGTACATATTTCAATTCACAACTCAATTTACCTCTGGACTAAAGTTGTTCCTAACAAATGGTGGGTCTCTGTATATGAGATTCTTAGCGAGGTGCAACTTGCAGATGCCCGGCACGATAGCAGACCACAGCTTGAACTGGCGGTCCTCTAATGCGTTGAGGTAGCCAAGCATCTCGTTATGTTTTTGCTTCATGTATACGGCGGATTCCGTTTCTGTTATCCTAATGTTATAAAGATAAAATTTAGTCAGTTCAACCAGGAAATAATGCACTAAGAGCTTGGTCTATAATCAATAAGTAAAATTATTTGTTCTGTAAATGTACCTACCTTATGAAATAGGCCCTAAGCTTTATGAACAGACTATGTGCGCAATGTTAGACTGCTTTGAAAATATTGCAGTTAATTTACTAAAATACTATAAAGATTTTCATATAACAGATTTTCTTAAATAATGCCTTTGGTTATAAATGTTCATTGGCTGCAACAGTCGCTTACCATCTGACGAGTTGTAGATAATCACTTCATTAGTGATATCTAAATTAAATCCCTTCAATAAAAATTAAAATAATTTAATTTTCCTTACTAAACATAATATTTACTTTGTTATGACATTGTTAATATTATAATCAGTTTATACATCTTTATACATCTTAATTGCCTGGAATTCTTTCCATTGGAAAAGTAATGTGTTTACATACGAATTTAGGGTAACTGTACATACGGATCTTCAAACAAAATAAAGTCCTCCATAGGAGCCTGTAGTCGTCTACGTAATTTATGTATCCACCAAATCATACCGGCTACTGGAGGTAAGTATGGATCTACCATTGGCCTTTCAGGACCCTTGGTTAATTTCTGTAATTAAACAAAATGTACACTTAAGTAACAATCGATTTTAGTAGGTATATTTTATATCTTTAACACATTTTTAATAGATATTTTTAAAATTATATATTTATTTATTAAAAAAACATTTTTTATGCAAGTTTGAATGGCAAACAAGCTGACGGCCCACCTAATAGAAAGTAGTAACAGTCGCCTATAGACATGAGCAGTACCCTGGACATAACAGAGTATTCTATTTCACCCATGATACCCCCCATGCGTTGCCATTCCTGAGGACTCAAGTGTTATTCCTCTATATCCTGTAAATTTACTGCCATATCTCACTCTTCAAACCAAAACACAACTGTTGCATGGTAGAAACACGAAGAGAACAGAGGTGCCCAAGCAGACGACTTTTGTATAAAGTCCTCCCTCTGCTAATTGAACTTGAGGAGAATCATAAAACTTACCGACATTTCTTCATCATAAATTTCCTTCACATCATCTAAATTCGAATGCATAAAATCCAAAAGCTTTGAGAGTTTCGGTTTTAATTCATTTTTAATAATAGGACGATGAAACAGGTCCCCAATAATTTGAAAGAACTGAAAATTTTAAAAACACTGTTTAACTCAAAAATGAACAGATCAGATATATTCGTAATGAAGTTTTAACAGTCTGTAAGAACCATTTTTGTTGTAATTTTCATATTCTAATTCGCTTTGATTGTTAAGAGTTTGCGCGGAACACCTAAACGTATTAGAAATCTAGATTTCATACATTGTCGAATACCTACTAAAACTTGTCGTTAAAAAAAGTTTTTTTGCATGCCAAATTTTGAATTATTCGAAAATAAAACTCCAATGACGATATACCTGTTATTAACTAACCTAACAGACGTCATTCTATTAACAACTATTGTATATTTAAATAAGCAGTTAGAAACAGTTCGTATGATAAAAAAAATTTACGTATTTCCGGGATTTTTCCAGTTTTTCTCTTTAAAAGAATCTTCCTTGTATTTCAATAAATACATTTGAAAAAAAAATCTAATTGATTTCATCATTCCCGAGCTGTTAGCAACACATTTAACAATTCATTTTTATTTATATACATTCTACAAACGACGAACAAACGCAAGCACTTACTTTGAAAAAATGTTCCAAGTTGTGACACTCGTCTAGTCCTTGCGAGAACAATGATGCGAGCCTCCTATCGATATCTTCGAGCACACGCATGTGCTTCTCGTAATCAGCGAGGAACGAATCGTCTTCAGGGTCTGCCGGGTCATACGTTATGTTTCCCAAGTTTTGATATTTCAATGTGTATTCTTCCAGTATCTATAAGTTAGGCAAGTTAATTAATATTAGTTTTTACTCATGACTTTGTATGCGAGACGGCGATGTAAAAATGATCAATGTCCTTCTCCATTGAAACAAGTCAAAAAATAACAAAAAATTCTGCGCCAATGCACCATTTATGTATGGGAGACTGTATTTATTTATTGTATTTCGACTCATGTTTCAGGAAATGTTCAATTTCACTGGTAAAAATGCTATTAATGTGTATATAACAAAAGTTTTACATACATTTTTTAATATTAAATAAATACTAACGTATTTAACCTATATGAGATGTGTAATTTTAGAAAAACATATGATTTTACCTTCATACATTCGGTACCGAGAATTTTCCCTCTTAAACCACAAAACTCTACTTTTTCTAATTTAAGTATTTCAACTGTTGCCTCTAGAATTTCCTCGATCATTTTGAGACGTTTCATATAAATATTAAACCTCATAAAGACACGATCAAAATCGAAAGACCAACGGACAGGCATAACTCCTGGAGGGAAGAATGTATGTACTTTGTCACGATTCATTTCATATGTTTCACTGTAAATTATATATATAAAGATGAAATATTGTTTACATGTTTTCATTTAAAAATTTAAATACATTTCAGGGACATTTATATAAACTTACATGAAGTGATTCAATATACTTATAGCCTTTCTAATTTTCAATATTTGCTCGTCTGCCTCTCCTTGAAATATTGAAGCGGGATCGATAGAGTTCGTACATTGTTGTATAACCAAATTGCACACTTCACGCAGTAAAGCTAAAACAGTATATTATGTTTAAAAATTACATTCCATTTATAGCTGGTAAAGTTGAAGCAGACTATAGAAATTCCTTTATTAAATAATAGAAGTATAAATGTATAGGTAAACAGAAATTCCCTTTACTCTATGAAATATTGTACAATATTTAACGAAAAGTTATGTGTCCTTATGGTATACAGTTTATAGTAGAGGCATAAGAATAAAGAATATACTCGTATAGTATATAATTGACTTAGTTTTTACAGACTATTTCGTACGCTTGGTTTCAGAAATAGGAAAAATGATGTAGACCACTAGACGGTATATCAAAATAAAACATGCCAGATTTTAAGTCCTACCTTCAGGAACACAACTATAAAACCGCGTCTAATTTAGTTTAGTAGTTTTTGCGTGATGCGGGAACAAACATGCAGATAGACAAATGAAGTTCCTTAAAAATATTCTTTTTAAATATCTCCCAAGTACAAATATCGTGTAGTTACAATTTTATTATATTAATAAGATTATTAATAACTAGTCGTTTCCCGCGGCGTGGAACTCTTCAAAAATCATAACCTTCGTTGCGATGCGACAACATAACCTTCAAGAAAAGAGTATATTCCTTTTTAAAAGGCCGGCAATTAATAATTATAATTTTAATATATTAATATTGGTAATTTTATATACTTACGAATAAGTTTTTCTACACTGCTGTAATATCGGGAGTTACCCCATAGGAGGCCAATACAGTGAAACATGGGACGTATCAAATATTTGGAATCAGCAAAATCGGTGCCTTCGAAGTTTTCAAAATGCGTTATCAACGGTTTCTGGTATACGTATATGTCACGGCATTCCACAATGGCTGTAAATAAATTTATAACAATTAACAAATGAATGAAACCAGTCAACTGGTATAATGCATGTACAATGTAAAAATTCATGGTTTTCATTACTTCATAAACAGATATTTTTTTTATTAACTACGCAATTAGTTTACGCTGACGGAGTACAAATGAAGCATGATAATTGAGTGCAAATGCAAGACCAGATGTCCCATCGTAACAAATTATCCAAAAAATTTACTACGATAGTTTCCTTCCAGGGATCGACGTAGATGGTGACTACCATAGCAAAGGAGTCGCTACAATACTAATACCACCTTTCAGTAACAACTAATTATTGTACCCCCCACAAACATATATGACCTGAGTTCATTGCGTGCTATTTATGAGTGGTCATATTCGTATCATGGAGAGTTGATAAAAACAGCTCGAGAGAGAGGTAGGAATTGCTATTATGCGAATTTCTTTTTTTAAATTGATGTTATACACACCTATCTAAAAAAAAAGACAAAATAACGGGTTGCAACTTGGCGTTGTTCCTATATCACACCCAGTGTTAAACATCTAACTAATCATTAGGCTGGCCAGATGAATACTGAATGAAAGAAAATGTTGATTTTCTTTAATACGTAAATATTTAAATAACTCACAAGCAACTACGTTAGTGAGCATAGTCTTGAAGCAACTAAGATACGCCGAGTGTGTATCCTCCAAATAATGGGCCATGCGTTTCACGCGCGGATCGCGCAGCTGAGAATAGATACCCTCTAGATTACGCAATCGGTGGGCATAAAATTCTATGTCCGCACTTGGCAGAGGAAACTTCATTCTTTTAAATGCTATAGAATATAAGAAAAATTATATTAATTAAAAACAAAATACAAAATAATTTGATGAAAAAATAGTGCATATAGACTGATAGGATACCTATATAAGAGTCCTCTTGCAGCAAATCGTGTACTTGTTGTGCCCACTTTATGATTGCACCCTCTATATTAGTTTTTAAATATAAATCTACGTCTTCGCCGTCACTACAAGTTTAAATAAAATATTTATGTATGATATCAAAATTAAATTTCACATATATTAGTGTATATTTCAATATATTCAAATTATCGGACCAAAATAATCTTCTTGGCGGTCGATAATACGTCCACGACACCCTGATGCTGCAGGCGTTCATAGACTGTTTATAACCGTTTATCGTCAGTGTTATATTCGTGATTTTTTTAAAGAAATGTAGAAACCAGCACCAGGTGATGCGCACCAAATGCTAAAACTGGTCCCTTGTTACTTGATAATGTAATCTAAAAACAAAATTGGCAGCAAAAAACTTTTTCTCAAATATGCTTGGAAATGTGAGCATTATTTTGACAATCTTCTTAGAGATAAATCAAAATTGCAGTACTGGCCAGATACATGCAGGCAGCGGCCGGCAAAAGTTGTATGAAAATCCATATCTGTCGTGTTTTGCGGCCAGATAAATTACTATGTAAATTCAAATCTGTCCTGTAATTGAAAAATGGAATGACCTTTTATTTCGAAATATAGCTACCAAGGAGGTAACTAATAAAAGGTTTTATTTAAATTTCGAACTGGCTTGGAAATAGAAAGCTGTTTATTGAAAAAAAAAAACAAAGGATCATTATGACGCGTGAAAAATTAATATTGTTAGTTATTCGTCATTGAATTTAAAAAGTTAAATTGTCTTTTTGATTTCCGCGCATTGTTTGAGAAAAGTACTATACAAGCCTTGGCCACAACTAGGCATTGATGGACTCACGTATATGTGCCTCAGCTACGCCTCGGCCCACATTTGCACGTTCGTCCATCAATGCCTCAGTTGCTGGCCGCTACAGTAATGTACTATTGTCTTACCTTTCTTTCAGTCTCGATTCTGCGTGATAAATATTTTCTACCCCTGCTGGCATCGGAAGCATTACTTGGCTGGACATTTCTCCTTTAAGCTATTAATATGAAAACAAAGATTGACTACCTACAAATCAACAACACTTTTCAGCGGACTTCAAAAATGAGATTCTCAGTTAAGTTATACTTATTATGTGTGTTACTCATAACTTACTTATAAACCGATCTGGAAAATTATTTTTTCATCTAAAGAATATGCTCACAGATTAGTCTGATATAAATTGTATCAAAATCGGTTCATTGCTTTAGTTATTAAATCAAAATATCTGGTTTTGTCACAATTGAAGTTGATTTTTTTGTAGGACACGAACTTAAATTATTTATATTTTATAATTTGGGTATCCAGTTTTATGATTTACTCCTCAGTTGGATTTGACACATTCTTATTTTTTATGCAACTAACATTGTTTTTAACAAAAACAACAGTCTTTGCAATTCTTACTTTAAAAGACAGAAAAGAAGACCAAACTAGCCATATCCATTACGTTTAAGCCAACTTCGTTACGTTGTAGCTTAAACTTTTACAAACAAAGGCTACAATCACACACATGATTTGAAAACTTAATTATAATACTTTTAAATTGTCATCACTATCATGTCATTCGTTGAAAATATATAAATGAACAGTATATTCACATAGTTTCAAAAATTAACCTATCAGACACACGGAAAAATAACTAACCTGGTGCATTAAACTCCGTAACTCGTTGACATGCCGCTGCATGTCGTTCTTCACTATTTTAGGCCAGCCTTTCTGATTTTCGGGATTGCATAGCAGTGGACCGATTACCTCATCCGCCATCACGCTTATATCCATCAGAACGTTACCAGAAATCTCACCGATTGTGATAGCCTATTGAAAGTAAAGATTTAATTGAGTGCCACATAACCAATACCGGCCGTAGGACATAGGCAGCCGCCAAATTAATAAAATATGGCATCAAATTCGTTCGACTTTAGTGAAAAGCGTTAACCTTTTTTTCAAGAAAACCGTAAAATTAAAAAATAAATATGTAATACTTTTTTTAAAACCTATGTTCATTTTTTATTTATATCTATGTATGGTATATGTATAATGCGAGAAGTCTTCACAGATGTCTTCACGTTCTTTGCGAGCTGCAGCCGAAGCGAGACGCAGACTTTCGGATCAAGTTGAAACAATTGTCGAAAATAACAAACATAGTCAATAAATACAAAAAATTCCCATCACGTATGTATATACAAGGGTCATTTGAAAAGTTCTTAGCCTAACATGGTTAAAGTCATTGGTTTTTTTATAACTACCCTCATTTTGTAGTTACATTATTTAGCAACAAGTATACACAGTTTAGTTTATTCACAGTAACTCATTGTTCGTTTACACGTGATACCGTAAGTCAAGTCAGAGCTATTTTTGAAAATGGATAGAATTGAACATCGTACAGTGATAAAATACCTGAATTTAAAAGGTTTAACTCTAAAAGCTATACATGAAGACATGTCTGCTACTTTGAGTGAGTCCGCTCCTTCGTATGCGACTGTTTAAAACTAGGTGGCAGAGTTTAAATGTGGTCGTGAGACCATTCAAGATAAGCCCCGTAGTGACCGGCCTTCGACTGCTTTCACTGATCAAAACAAAGACGCAACCGACTCACAACTTCTCGCGACTGTTTAGTTATATGAAGCTGACCCAATAGAATTTGTTGAAAGATGAAACCAGGGTTCACCACAATACACCCGAGACAAAAGAACAGTCGAAACAATGGAAAAGAGCAGGATCGCCCACCCCAAAAAAGACAAAGGTGGTTTTATCGGCGGGCAAAGTCATGGCATCCGTTTTTTGGGATGCAAAGGGTATAATTCTCGTGGATTACTTAAAAAATGGTGAAACAATAAACTCCGATTACTTTTGCAACCTGTTGCGTCGATTGAGAGAAAAAATCAAAGAAAAACGTCCAGCTTTATTGAAAAGAAAAGTCTTGTTTCATCAGGACAATGCACGCGTTCACACCTCTGTGCAATCCATGGCAGAAATCCATCAATGTGGCTTCGAATTGTTACCTCATTCCCCATATTCACCGGATTTAGCACCGTCCGACTTTTATCTGTTCCCAAAGCTGAAAAAATGTTTAGGTAGTAAACATTTTTTTACAAATGAAGAGGTCATAGCCGCCGTGGACGCTTATTTTGAGGAGTTAAACGAAGATTTTTTTAAAACGGGTATCGAAGCCTTACCGGGTCGATGGAAAAAGTGTTTTGAGCTCGGAGGAGAGTATGTTGAAAAATAAAAATAAACTCAAATTCGTGTGGTTTCATTAAGTATGTTAGGCTAAGAACTTTTCAAATGACCCTCGTATAGACATACAAATAATTATTAATTTTTTTATTTGCACTGCCATAGGACATCAGCAGAGTCATATTAAGTATGCGTTTATTTATTTCTCTCGGCAAAGCTGGCCATAAGAGATATCGTTGCCGGATCTATGACAAGGAGTGGCGAATATTATAATTATCATCATCGTCGCATGGAAAACTCAAAAACGTCCAATTCTACTGTCTATGGTAAAGCAAATCTAGATATCCCTGTAATACGTAACTTATTAATTTTCAAATATTGTTCATATCTTTATTACTCATATCTAGTATAATGTTTTTTTCTTTAATATCTGTGTAACTTGCCTTTCGGAAGTTGGCTTGTGTGATTTTATCTTCAATGTTCCTTAGAAAGTATACCATCTTCCCCCTACTTATTGGTGGAAAATTTGTCGCACAAGTGAGTAACCCTGCTGTGTTCATGCGAAATACAATTAAATCATATTTCGGTATATCGAAGAATCTGAACAGAATATGCTGAAAGAAAATTAATTGGTCTAATATAAAAATATTCGAATCTAATGCAGTGGGAGGTATTTTGTCGCCACATTGAATATTATTAAATAAATAACTTTAATGTTAGTTAACTAATTATTTAACCCATGAATACACCGTCTACCCATTTCTCTGTTCTCCCAATAGTTGACTGGTAGAGAACACCGTCTAGTGATGAGTCTGCCAAATGTACTTAAATATATTTACACTGTGCATTAATAATAAATAATATTCTAATTGCTTTCTAAATTTCTAAAATTCTAAATGTGAGCATGTCAAGTGTAACGTTGGTCACAACAGCAACGGTCAATTATAGTCTAATAAGGATTATAATCGGATGCATATTTTTATAATTTTTCTAGAAATGTTTTGACCAAAGATCTAAAGTTCATAATAGGATACTATCTAGATTGGTAAAATTTATTCCTGGTTGCAAACTATTTGTTTACCAACATTCTTTCAAATCGGTTCAGTAGGTAAGTAGTAATATAACAGATTTTATTTAATTATTTAAATTAATCTTACTCTTTCGTCGCCTGTAATAAACTTATTCCATTTATCTATCTTCTGCTTAAGCGTCTTAAGTAAATATTCACTTATAAACTCTAATCGAGTGTCGACGTCTTCTTTCTGTAAAGTTCATTTCAAAATTTTAAATTTGAATATTACAAAAATTTTCTCCCGAAAGTAGACTAATTTGTATGACTAACGAATAGTCATTAAGGGGCATATACATAACATGTGTTGGTTGTCCAATTTTAATTAAAATGCTTTTCATTAAAAGTGATTATCAAAATCGGCTTAAAATTTATTATTATTTTATATCCCGTAAAATATATACACACGAAAATAAAAATTTAAAAAATAGAATTCGAATTCAGAATCTACTCTTTTTAGTCGTTAAAAAGTCCTATTTATAGTTGGTACATAAATACATCGAATCACGTAATTCAATGTAATTAATATGTACATGTACATAATGTATGTAAGTATAACATAGCTTTTCCTTTTTAATATTGTAATCATAAAATTAAATATAAAAGTGAAAAAAGGAATAAATTAGTTGAATATGTTAAATACTATGCTTACATCTCCCATTTCGTGACATCAACTATAGGTTCTCTCTCAAAAAAATGACAATCATGCTAGCCTAAAAATATATTACTAGAGTTAACACTAAGTATTTATTATTACTATAACTTTCATCTAAAAAACAGAATTATCGTAATATGAATAAAATGTGGTATTTTCCTATTTATTTATCCGTCGACATAGAAACAGTTTTCGGAAATTGATTTTTAAATTTCGTAACAAAGATTATTTTCTCTGATCAGCGGAAATAAACCATAAACGCCTATAAATTAAAAAAAAACATATTCTATGTTATCTATGCACGTTATTTTTTTTTTATAATGAACATAATTTCAACTATTCCAAAATCTTTGAATTTCAATGGTATCGATTCTGTCGCGCCATTTCTTTAAATCTATATTTAAAACTAAAATTTCAATTTGATATCACAGCAAAATCTTTATTCCAAAGATTGGTCTTAATTTATAATTTATATGCACTTAATTTATAATATATTGAAGTCAAAATTATTGCTAATTTAGTTTATGATGCCATAAAACAGTAATTTCGCGAAACTATCAAATTAGAAAAATGGCCCGTATAAATAAAAACTCTAAGCCACATAAAATCATCTATTGTTCTTTATCTATCAATATAAAGTCGTTAGCATAGACTACTAATAGCAATCTGTACTAATTGTCAATATATACCATCAAATGTCAAAACAGTCTGTTTAAGACATCGGTTTTGTCATATTTTCGCGCCAAATCTGTTAATTTTCCCTGCTTTTCGTATAGTTATTTTAGCTTTAATTAATTAATATTCTTATTGATTCGACAATTATCTGTTTTAAAATTGTGTGAAAAATCATTGTTCAATTATGGAAGGTTTTGATGATCCAGGAGTTTTCTTTTCTGATAACTTTGGTACTGAAGAGAATGAGTCTCAAGATCAGATTAACCTACAAGCTGTAAAGAAGAAATTTAAAGAGTTTATACGCCAATTTCACACTGGAAACTTTAATTTCAAGTATAGGTACGAAATCTATTCCTTTTTAAAATTTATATATGTTTATTGTATCAGCCGTTAACTGTCCACTGCTGAACATAGCCTCTCCTTTAAGGAGGATTTTGCCAGTAGTTGCTACGCCTAGCAGGTGGATTGCCAACCACTGTTTAGCTTTGGTGATGTTTTAAGAGGTATGCTACTGCCCATCTTTCGACCATAAGCTCCCTTAGTATCCTCTAACAACCCACGAAAAGGAAAGAGGTGGCCTATTCTATACTGGAACCTACACCACTACATTAGTTATTTAAGTATAATTATATTGGAACTAGTTTTCACCAAACTAGCTTAAATCCTTTTCAAAAACTATGTATAATCCAAATGTCGTGACTATTGGATAAGCCATTGACATGCCAAGCAATAACAAATATTGTTACATATTTATAATCTTTTGTAGTATTAACTTTTATCTGCAACTTCATCTGAGTGACGAGGATGTGTTTACTGATCAGAAAAAAAGTGGCCTCTATCCTTATTTATCCCATATAGTATATATATATATATATATATATATATATATATATATATATACCAAATTTGATTAAGCTGTTTAAGCACTATATGGTAACAAACAATCTCAATTTCAAATTTATATATTAGTAAGGCTCAAGTAATAATAAATACAGTTAACAAATATATACTATTTACAAACTTCTCTGTCTTTTAATCCTTACTTTAATAATGTTTTCAGAGATGCTCTAAAACGTAATTATAACTTAAGCCAATATTGGGTAGAAATAAATATTGAAGATTTGTCAAGTTTTGATGAAGTATTAGCAGAGAAGTTATACAAAAAGCCAACTGAACATCTGCCCATATTAGAAGAAGCAGCAAAGGAGGTAACATTGTTTCTAAAATTAATCTTTAATAGTCTTTAATTTTATTTAATATATTTTTATTTAATATCATTTTATTTGTATTGGTTTTATACAATAAACAGAATTATAATGTTTTTTTTTTATTTGTACAAATATTATATTTTAATATTATCCCTTGAATTATCCTTTTTCAAACATTATGAATACTCAAATTACATTTTAAAAACAATGTGTCTAAGTACCTGCCACATATGCCATTATTAAATTATAGCTTGATAACTTTACAGTTAGCTGATGAACTAACTGCACCAAGACCTGAAGGTGAAGAAAAAGTTGAAGACATCCAAGTGTTACTGTCATCAGATGCACATGCATCTAATTTGCGAGAGCTAAAAGTATGTTTATTACTTTACACATTCATATGTTACCTACTATTCCAACTGTTGTTTGTTCCAATTGAAAATTAACAGAATTGGGTCCTAGCATCCTTATTACTACACATATTTATTAGAATGTCAGTCTATACATAATTCTTTTGTACACAAACATTTTACTAAACATCATCTCAAATCAGCCAGTATTCTTTTAAATTCAAATCCCTATTATTATTACTAATTAATAATCTCTAGCAACTTTGTAAAGTATTTTAATAGCAACAATTTCCTTTTTCTATAATTGTCAATTCTATATTTTGTTCTGCAAGGAGTTAAATTAATAAATACATGTATATTGTTTTAGTCAGAAACTGTATCCAGATTAGTGAAAATACCAGGCATTGTTATATCAGCATCTGGCATTAAAGCGAAGGCAACCAAAATATCCATACAATGTCGTTCTTGCCGTAATATTATACCTAATTTGCCAGTCAAGCCAGGTTTGGAGGGATATGTTATGCCCAGGAAGTGCAACACGTAAGATTGCCTATTTACTTTGATTCTTTTTTTAAACCACAAGCAGGGATTTTTTAAGCAATTTGAGTGGGATATTTCAGTTCAACTATCTTTACCAATTCTTAATTCAATATAATTTTTAATGATATGATAGTGCTGCATTTTATTAACAATAAACTAGTTTAAATTATAAATATAAATGTAATAAAATGGAACAAAACATGGTAATACTTTTATTTAAATTTACCAATTTAAATTACAATTTTAGTGAAAATTAAGCTTCTAATGCAACATGCAACATCATCATTTTGAAGCCTCTATCTCTGAATTATTGTCTTCATGAAATAGATGGGAGTGATTTATTTGCTTTTTTTTTTTACAGAGAACAAGCTGGCAGACCCAAATGTCCTTTGGATCCATATTTTATAATTCCTGATAAATGCAAATGTATTGACTATCAGGTATTGTTTCAATTTTTTTTTTTGTATACAACTTAGAATGGCAAACAAGCTGACGGCCCACCCACAAGTGCTTATGGTTGAAACACGAATGGGACAGAGGTACCCAATAACTTACTTCACTAATAATGTCTATAAAATAACAACATACATTACTTTTATACCAAATTTCATAAATATTTTACCTTGCCCATACATAAAACACATACAATCTCTATGATGAAGTAATGATAAAATATAAAATAATTTTTATTGTTAAAAGTTTAAAAACTACTTAAAAATTTAAAATTTACCTAATCACTTGTAAGTTAAACTGGTAGTTACATTAAAATATATTTTATTGAAAATTACAGAATAAAAGTGGTCTCAATTGATTTAACTTTTAGAATATTTTTTTAGGTTTTGAAATTGCAAGAATCTCCAGAAAGCATTCCGCAAGGTGAGCTTCCCCGCCACCTGACAGTGTATTGTGAACGTGTGCTCTGTGAACGAGTTGCGCCTGGTGCCAGAGTCACTGTACTTGGAATATATTCAATCAAAAAAATTGCAAAAATAGGAGTAAGTTATGTAAATGATACTATATAAATGCTTATGATTTTATGCCAATGGCTAATTGCTAATTGGGTAAATTAAAAAAAAATGTCTCTGATTAAACTGTGACAACGGCTTTAATCATCATTATTCACATCTAAATATTGTTACAGTACTATTTAAAATTTAATTATGTTGTATACAGATGTTGTGGCTTAATGATTTGCTTATAGACAAAAATTAGCTTTATATTTTGCAATAATTTTCATCACCAGAGGGAAGGCCGCGATAAAGGATCAGTTGGTGTCCGTTCGTCGTACCTTCGCGCTGTAGGTCTGACAGCAGAGGAAGGCGTCACTGGCGGCTTGCGCCCGTTCACAGCTGACGAGGAGGAACAATTCAGGCGATTGGCAGCCTCTCCTGACATTTATGAGCGCATAGCAAAATCTATTGCGCCCAGCGTCTTCGGTGCTGTTGATATGAAAAAAGCTATTGCTACATTATTATTTGGCGGTTAGTAGAAATAATAAATAACATTTGTTAAAGAAACTATCTCATATCTTATGACTTTGCCCGCATGAATTAAGATAATAGTAATCTATATATCCAGCTGTAATCATATGCTATTAGAATCTGTTCAGCAGTTTATACCTAGGCAATAAATAACTTCAAATTAATAATATTGTAGAAGTTATCATATAATGTGTAAAATACATTGTAGTGAATATAACAGTTGGCCAAAACTTTATTATAAAAAAAAGTAACTTCCTTTATGTCTTTTGATAAATATTAGTTATTAACCATTTTACGATAATGTACCTTACAATAATACTAGGGTATTGTCGTAAAATGAAACTGACAAATGTGCATGATTATAATCGATCATTCAAAGGCTTTTAATGACTGTGTAGTTTTAGACATAGTACATTTAAATTACAGTACATGTGTATAATGTTTAACAGAGATTTAAAAGAATAACTGTTGAGTTTCTTGTGGGATCTCGGCAGATAACAACTGACCGAACCGTGCATTCATGAAAAAAATATAATTTAAAAGAGGTTTTTTTTTAATGGTTAGTGATGAAATTGTATCCACGGCTACGCTATTAGTATACGCTGGCGGTGTACCAGTGAGATATAATAGGTGAGGATGAAACAGGTCAGTTAGCCTCTAGTGGCGAATTCATAAAGAATTACCTAAGATAGTTTCGAGATGAAACCGCTTGAAGGTCAACCCGATAGGGTATATTGCTAGTAATAGGGCTGTTAGAACCTTATTACTAACAATCTCTTTCCCCCCTTAAAAGTGCTTGTAAACAAGTTCTGTTTGAATAAAGATGATTTGAATTTGAATAAATGTCCATAACTGATGTTTAACACCTTTATCATAAGAGCTGTCAGTTTCTTTTTCAATCTAATTCTTACAGTTTTTTTAATTAACACAGGTTCTCGTAAAAGACTACCCGATGGTTTGACTCGTCGTGGAGACATCAACATATTGCTGCTCGGTGATCCAGGCACAGCTAAATCACAACTCCTAAAATTCGTCGAGAAAGTTGCTCCCATTGGCGTTTACACATCAGGAAAGGGTTCCAGTGCTGCTGGTCTCACTGCTTCCGTTATTCGAGATCCCGGAAGTGTAAGTCAACAACATGTGTTTAAATCTATATCGATATTTTACATTGTACATAAATGTAAAATATCAATATACATTTTTTTTTTTTTGCTTTTGCGTTCAATTAAACGTATCACAAGCGTTATGATAGAAAAATTTGCTGTTATACCGATACGACGTACACTCAGGGTTCACACCGAATGATATTTAGTGCAAGCGTGCTATGGAACAAAAGGATACGCATGGATGTAATTCATATATCTACAATCTTCTGCTGAAATACAGCGGCCATGTGTGTATTATTATTGTATTAATATTTTTTGCAATACTTTCTTTTGTATTTATAAGTTTTTTATTATTTTTCATAATATTTCATTATTATTCCCGTACAGCGTAACTTTGTGATGGAGGGCGGCGCCATGGTGCTGGCGGACGGTGGCGTGGTCTGCATCGACGAATTCGACAAGATGCGAGAAGATGATCGTGTTGCTATTCACGAAGCTATGGAACAACAAACAATTTCTATTGCAAAGGTATTCATTTTGTATTTTATGAATACGAAAATAAGAAAGAAAAAAAGAAAAACAAGAAATTAAAATAAAATATTTATCTTTTTTTTCTTTTATTTTATCGTTATCTTTTATTTCATCAAATAATTTACACCGAAAGTCAAACTCAAAAAACAGTACTCTCCTTTAGTAGTCTGATAAAAATAATATGTGTACTCCTTGTTTGTTCCTAGGCTGGTATAACAACTACTCTAAATTCCCGATGCTCTGTGCTAGCGGCGGCGAACTCTGTATTTGGTCGGTGGGATGACACGAAAGCCGATGACAACATAGACTTTATGCCCACCATCTTGTCAAGATTCGACATGATCTTTATTGTTAAAGATGAACACGATCAGAATCGAGACATTGTAAGTATTACTAATATGTAATCCAAAAATATGTCTGCCTCACAAAACCTATTTATCTGTAATCATAATGCAAAACATAACATGATATAGCTTACATTGTCTCTGCCCACTATAATGGGGGACAGGAGTAACAGATATTTATGTATGTATGTATGATTCCCACAGACATTAGCGAAGCACATAATATCTGTGCACATGGGTGGCGACAGCGCGGAGCGGGAAGGTGACGCAGCGGCGGGCGAATTGCCGTTAGCGCTTTTGCGGCGCTATGCCGCATACTGCCGCGCCCGCTGTGGACCGCGCCTTTCCGCTACAGCAGCTGAACGCCTCCGCGCCCGCTACGTACTCATGCGCACAGGCGCTTCGCAACACGAGCGGCAAGCGGACAAGCGTCTCTCCATACCTATTACAGTCAGGTATTATCACACATCTTACTTTTTAGTCATTTAATTGAGAAACGAATTTTTAACTGGTAAACCTGTCCGAACAACAAAATTTTGTTTTGTAACAATTAACAAAACATTTTGTTCAAGGCTAAAAAATAATCATCGGCATTTGCCCTCAAGAAGTTGTACTAGCTGTGTTTTAGTTCGAAGATGACGGTGAAATTACTGAGTATAGAGATAATAACACTTCAGTCTGTAATGCTTGTATGAGTACAGTACAATGCGTATTACAGCACTTTCTAAAATCTACATGAATTATGCATATCTGTAAATATGTTGTGGTTACCACATTCTATCAGGTAGTTATATTGTTTGCCATTCAAAGTTATTTAATATGGAAATTATATATATTAAAACTTTTTGCTTACAGACAATTAGAAGCAATCATTCGGATATCAGAATCTTTAGCAAAGATGCGTTTACAACCATTTGCCACTGAGGCGCACGTAAATGAAGCTCTTCGTTTATTCCAAGTATCGACACTAGATGCGGCTATGACAGGCAGTTTAGCAGGTTATTTTGTACATTTAATTTCTGATATAAATCATTAAATATATATATAGCTTGTATTTTTCCTGCATGTATTGTATTGTAAAATCTTTATTATATATACTTTACGCTAGAATCATTAATAAGATTTAATACAATGGTAAACTTATTCACGTGACAAATACGTATTTATAAACTTATCCCATATAGAGATCTCTTACAATCAATCTTTGAGAAGCTAAAAGAAAACTATAGAAAACATGTATTAGAATAAAAATATTCTGTTTGAGAACAGAAATTGTAACATCTTTATAAATATCCTATCTTTTCTTTTTAGGGGCTGAAGGATTTACTACTGAGGAAGACCATGAAATGTTATCACGTATCGAAAAACAATTAAAACGCAGATTCGCAGTCGGCTCCCAAGTATCAGAACAGACGATTATACAGGACTTCCTTAAACAAAAGTACCCTGAAAGAGCTATTCTCAAAGTTATCCATACTATGATAAGACGCGGCGAATTACAGCATCGACTTCAAAGGAAAATGCTTTACCGATTATCGTGACTTCCTTTTTTATATTTTAAACTTAATACTTTTTTTATTATCTAATTAAAATTTTAAACTAATTGAAGTTGTTTTTATAAAAACAAATTTTAGTCATTTCAAATTTATTATAAATTCAAAACTTACATAACATTGTAGCCTAAAATAAAGCACAATAACATTTTTTTAAATCAGTTGAACTGATCAATTTTAAAGCTAAGCAGTTCCGCTAGTCTTGAGACCATAATTGTTGCATAATATATCTAATATGAATTATTAATTTATTCAGAGGTAGTGATTAAACTAGAGGTAGTGACTAGAATATTGAATAAACTTCAGCTGGTCTAAACTTTAATCTTTATCATCAGACAACTTAAATGGGTATTCTGGATGATTTTCGACACCTTTCCAAAATAGGAAGTTAAATATACGTCCCTTTTCACCTTTATCTAACTTCTTCATGCTGTTCATTTCTTCTGGTGTCAATTCAAAATCGTATATGTCCATATTCTCCTAAAACATGTGAAAGCTTATTTAAAATACACAACTGATAATGCAAATAAAAAAAATTACGTTTAATATGAGATTGCCAACAATTTTGTTTTATATGAATCTACAGTTGTTTTACAATTATTATTTATAGAATAGTATATTACGAGTAGAAGTTGGTATACTGCATGCATACTGTATATGGAAAATTTTAATGAATATAGGGTATTATAAAATAATAGCAGAACCCAGAACAATTGTTTAAAAGTGGACTAAATAATAAAGGTACCTTTAGTCTATTTTCACTGGTACTCTTAGGAATAACAGTAATTTTCTGTTTGACGAGAAAGTGAAGTAATATTTGCGCAGTTGTTTTACCATGGTGATCAGCAATAGCTTTCACTTCAGGATGTCCCAGTAAGTCAGGAAATGTATCGGGACTGAAATCACGAAAAAAAATAATTAAATTACACCTGCTACTAAATTTTTGCTGTTGTATTGTATATTATAAGAAAATTCTGGGTCTATACTCCGCTAGTAGATATGTTTTCGTTTATTATTTCATAATTTCGTATAATTATCAAGATGTTCGATAAATTCAATCTGGTAACAGAAATGTTTGTAAACTGTTTCCTCATACACTATAATAACAAACTAAAATATAAAGTACAACAGTCAAACTGATAATTTCTGGGTTTCTCACTCGAATATTTTTTGAGATTTTTACTTTGGTAGGTAGATATGATAATAATATATACATCAATAAGTAACATACCTATAATTGTATTTGTTGACAAAATGATCCTTGGCTCCAGGGCTACCCAGTGGCGCATAAGCTGTAACGATTATATCATTTTCTTCACAGAACTTTCGGAGTTTTAACTGTTGGAAATATGCATGTAGCTCCACTTGCAGCACTTGAGGCTTTATTGTTGCCTCTTTTATGATTTTTGCTATTTGAATCTCATTGAAGTTTGATAATCCTAAGTTGTGTATAAGTCCTTCTTTCTGGCATTCCTCCATTTTCTACTAATATAAAATTGTATAAGTATTTAATTATAATAGAAAAAGAAACATTGTGTTCATGATTATTGTATTTCCAACAATGTTCATTTACCACCAATTGTTATTCATTTACAAACAATATAACCGAAATTATACTCTAACGATTTTTTTATTATATTTTTCTCTAAACTCACATAGACTCCCTATGTGGCAGAAGACCAAGGTGAGACAGAATACGGACAGAAGAACTTGTACAATAACATTAATTTAAAAAATCAAATAATCTGTTTACCTGACATGTATCAAAACCTACAAAAATTTAGTAGTAACAAGTTATTAATTTGAAATAACCACATCGAGTATACAATGAACTAAAATGAGTTATGATTAGTTACTTTATTTATTTAGTTGGTTTACTGCTTTTTTTCATATTTGTAATTGTACTGATAATTAATTAACTCACTTTCCAGGTAGCAATGTGGTCTGTTTCCATATCTAATTCATATTCCCCTGTAGGTTTCACCAATGGGGTAAATTTTTCAGGGTCACAGTGAAAACCAAATGAAACATGTATTAAATACAAGTCCACATAATCTAATTGTAACATTTTTAGTTGTAGCTCCAAAAACTTCTTCACATCAGAAGCTCTATTTCCAACATGAGGTAGCTAAAATAGCATTATTTTTAGTCAATATTTAAAAGTTAGAATTTTTTTATGCAATTTAGAATGCCAAACAAACTGACGGCCCATCTGATGGAAAGGGTAACCGTCGCCTATAGACATGAGCAGTACCACCATGGATATAAAAAAGTATACTGTTTTGCACATGATACCCCCCATATGTTGCCATTCCTGAGGACTTGGGTGATTTCTTATTAATGGATGATAATGAAATGGTAACCCTGTCTGTGCTATTGGTATACACAGACAGGGCACCAGTGGAATATGATTGGTGAAAATGAAAAGACAGGTCAGTTAGCCCATTGTGACAATTTCAATGATAAATTAGTCACATTCATTTCCAGAAGAACTGCGTGGAGGTCAACTTAATAGGGTATATTGATAGCAATGAGGACTAACCTCCCCATTATTAGCAATCCCCCCCCCAGACTCAGGTATTATTCCTCTGTACCCTGTACATTCACTGCCATATCCCACTCTTCAAGTAGCCATGTAAACACGAATGGAACAGAAGTGTTCAAGCAAACGACTTTTGTACAAAGTCTCCATCTAGTAAAATTTGTGTACATTTTCATTATTTTTTTAATATCACATAGTATATAGTACAAAAGCCTAAACATTTACATTTTATTTTTATAGGTACACTGGTATATATTTATAATGTCGGTACAACTAGATATAATGTCTATACATTACCTTAGTAGTTATAAAAATATCTTTTCTTGTTCCTTTCCCATCATTTAGCCATTTTTTAATAGCATTACCAATAGCTTGTTCATTATTATAATTGAATGCTGTATCAATATGTCTATATCCTAACTCCAATGCATTATACACGACATTTTCTATTACATCAGGGGGCGCCTGAAAGTTTTTTTTTTTTTATTGTTGTATTGTTGGTAAATTTTCTATGGTATAAAATTTCAGTTTTTGCGTTAATACGCGAATAACCAAAACATTAGGATATATATTTACTGTTCCTTTGCAATTTAGTAAATACCTACCTGCCAAGTTCCCAAACCCAAAGTGGGCATTAAGTCTTTTGTTTGTGAAAGTATAGCGTATTTCATAATCATGATCTTAGAATGAAAACAACGTACTGGAAATCTGAAAATAAAGGGCACACAAATATCCCAGTTTATCAACTTCACTAGTAGCTAGGCCACACATGAAAAATTGGAATCAAGCCAATACACATCACAACATCAGAATAACAATATTAAGATAAATATTTTGTGTTACGTTTACATTTAATATTTTAGAAAATCAGGCAGGTAGATAGGTTATTCCGAAGCAATGGGAATCTATCAATTCTTCATACGAGCTATTGATTTTTCCAATTTTCGTTGACATAATACCGAACGAAAATTTAAAATTCGCGCCGTTATTTTTTTTTATTTATTTTCCTCAAAGCTAAGCAAAGGCACTATTTATACTGTTATGAACTCAAATAAATTACTATCTAGTACCTACGTACTTCTATGAGCATTTAGATTTACGTTATAGTATATAGACGTAATATCCAGATTTATTTTCTTATTTTTTTCATAATTCGTCAGCATTCTAACAATAAATAAAGTAAAAATCCATTTTCACTTCACTTTTACGGATAAATAGCCCAATACGATTCATTTTGTTTATGTATGCATCTAACGCAGTCATCTAAGCAATACATTACATACAATACAATACATACATTCTTGTGAATCTTTATTCTTTAAATATACTCGAGATGTGTATACCGTTTACGAAGGTGTAATTTAATTAATTTACCCATAGACTTAGAATAGTATTCCATATTATTTGTTTATAATTATAATTTGTTTCCATTTAGTAATATGTTAACTGTCAAAAGTCTCATGCCTAGCTTGATTGGTTAAAAAGTAAATAGTAACGAGTTAAAATACTATGAACCAATCATATCTAATCCATTAAATATGTCAAATGAATGTTAAAACCCAAAAAAATTAAGAAAATAAAATTTCCCGCCTACTTTCTACAAACAACATATTGAATTATTTTTTTACTAAAAAAAAATAATAATATACAGTTAAACCATATGATTTGATCTAGTTTATAACATAATTTCTATTTTCTTCAATTAAACACAAAATTGAAAAATGGGTGTAAGTACACTTGTTAATTTATTTCCATTTATTTTATATACATTAAGAACGAAGTTAAATTTACGAAATAATAATCTATTGTATTTATCTTCGTTCTTAATATATATAAAAATGTAAATAAACAAATATGATTTTTATCTATTAAATATTTGTACGTACAAATCTGTTATTTATTTATAAAACACATAAATTTTTAGAAAAAGTCTAGTATTTCTATAAATAAAAGTAAAGAAAAACGTCAAGCTAGGAAGCTAGAACAACGTCGCATAGCGGATGCCATGTCACAGGTTACTAGTGCAAATAAAATTGAGGATTTAGCAGCCCTGTGCAAAGAGCTTCTTGTATACCAAACAAAAGACTTACAAGTGGAGATGCTCATACAACGTGTGAACCAACTAGACAAAAATGTTCTCAATTGGGCAATAGACCTCACTGAGAGGAATATGAAGAAATTGTAAGTAAACATTTTGCTAATAAACCAATGGTATCCACTGACCACCAATTAAACTGACTTTTTCATTATTGTTTCATCCTAAACTGATACTCTGTCATTTTATATATATCATTTGCATAAACGAGGGTGCTATTTTATTTACATCCATTAAAAAACTATATATCTCTGTTCTAACAATAACATTTCATTGAACATTGATCCTATCAATTAACTCTGTTATTCATAAAAATCTCATAAGTCTATTTTAGGTATTGAAGTATTTTCTCATTTTGTGCTAATTTCTCAATTTGACAGTGACTTCAAAAATTAAAATAGTTTTACAGGTTTTAGATTTTATTAATAAGGTAATATATATGGTATGAGCAATAATTACACTTTTCGTAAATAAACTACTGTATTAACTTTGTCTGTGTAGTCCTGACATAAAATAGGGTTCTCCTTCCTTTTCTGTGAGTGTTGTAAGAGAAGACTAAAGGAACTTAATGGCAGCAGTGCACTTGAAGCCTAACTGCATTTGCCAACTTGCCAGCCAAGCATAACAACTGCTGACAAAACTCCCCTTATGAGGAAGAATTATAATCAGCTGGATAAAAAGGCTGACATGACGATTAACTTTTACATTTGTGTTGTATGTTTTATGTTTTGTAAGAGATAGGCATTCCAAGAATCATTGAAGTCATAATTTAGGTAATAAATTAATATATTTTACTTAAATGATCATGTTAATTTCTGACTTATAAAAAATAAACTGTTAATTTTCCACTTCCTGTAATGTAATAAATTTTTAAGGTTTTATCTGTTTGTAGATATGAAACCTGTGCCTGGGGCTGGAATAAAGAGCGTAAAGTTGAAGAAATGACTGATGATTCAGCATGGTATATCATTGCTAAAGAGAAAAATGGAACACTTCTTGCTTTTTCACACTTCAGATTTGACATGGACTATGGAGAACCAGTTCTTTACTGGTGAGTTCTTATTCACTTTCTTTATACAACTTGTATACTTGAAACATACCTAAGTCATCCACCAAAATGTAAATGAGTATAGAATATGATTGCATTTATAGGGGTTTACGAGGTTTGTCCGGAAAGTACGTATAAAAGTTTTTTAAAAATTTTATTTTACAATTATTCAGGTAAATCAATTTTATCCCCTTCAAAGTACTCCCCCTGTGACATAATGCACTTGTGCCAACGCCGTTTCCACTGTGAGAAGGCTCCTTGAAAGTCCTCTGGTTGTAGGTTTCTCAGCTGCCCCGTCGTAGCTTTTTTTATCTCATTTATGTCCCCCAAATGCCGCCCCCGAAGTACCAATTTGGTTTTTGGGAACAAGAAGAAGTCACACGGGGCCAAATCCGGCGAATAGGGGGTGTTCGGTCACCGTAATGGAATTTTTACTCAAAAACTCACGGACAACAAGAGAGGTGTGGGCAGGGGCATTGTCGTGGTGAAGAATCCAACGCCCCTCTCGCGCCAATTCTGGACGAACTCGTGCCACACGAGCTTTGAGGCGTCTGAGCACATCGACGTAGAATTTTCCATCAACTGTCTGGCCTGGAGGGACGAATTCTTGATGGACAATCCCCCGAACATCGAAAAAAACAATCAACATTGTCTCGGCCCTCTCTGAATCTTTTTAGCCACTTGTGGACGGTTGGTTCCTTCACAGCATCATCCCCATAAACTGTTCTGAGATCGGCAAAAATTTCACGGCCATTCTTGCCGAGTTTCGAGAGAAACTTGATTACGACGCGCTGCTCTTCAACGGAAGCGGGCTCCATGCCGACGGGGTTTCGTTAAGAGGTAACTTCACAGATGGCGTGACAAGCCAGTTCGCACCGCACGGCGGTCAGACCAGAACTGAAGCATTGTTAGGGACATAAGGAAGGGGTCCTGCGCTTACCTGGCCTCCCCACTCCTCTTTCTCGCATTCCAGAACACTTTTATACGAACTTTCCGGACAGACCTCGTATTGTGAAATGTTAGGCTGAGGCTCTTCATTACAGCACACTTAGTAATCTTACTGCTATCAGTAACTATTATTAACAGTTAGCTATGTATCTATATAGATAATGTTTACTGCTTTTTATTGAGTGGGTTTAATTTTTTTTTTTTAATTCTCTCAATTCTTAACTCAATTTATAGAAAAAATAATAACAAACTTAATAATATTAGATTTTTTTTAAAATCTGTGGTTTGGTGATAAACAGTCATACTTATTTTAACAGAAAAATACCCTCTTATTTATAAAAATATGTGGTAAGTAAATTCTCTATTTGAAAGACAATGAAAAAACATTCTAAAAATTAAAATAGGTTTATAGGATATTTTAATTTTTATAAGAGGATTAAAGTTTATTTTATTTACCAGTGAAATTCTTATATTTATGATTAAAACACAAAATATTTTAATTGTGTTTTAAGCTTCAAATACACATTTATTTTTATGGTAAATATCTTTCATTGGGTATAATTTTGTATCTAATCTATTATAAAGATTACAAAATTTTCCATATCTAATTAAATATCAACTAGTCCCTTGCATCTCTCTTATTAGGTCTTATGTTTATATAAACTTGTACAATGAAAGGAACTTATGTAGCTCATAACCTGCTATGCTATTCTGTAAAACTTGAGGAATTTCATGTATGGACTGGTTCACAATATTATGTAACAAACAATATAGACAATGGTTATTACTTTTAAGATTACATTGTATAGAAGTGAAATTGAATATGAAATGTCAGAATCAGATATAATCTTAACAATACCATTATGAAATTCAGTTTTGATTAACATACCAGATCATAAACCATTAAATAGTGTAAGAAAAAGTAGTAGAGTGCAAAATTCTTTAAAAGACAAGTATAATAATAACATATAACAACACAAAAATAATCATGTTTAACTATTTCAAACATTGCCTAATTCTTTTTTATAATTGTAATCATTCTATATAATTATAACATCTTCATCTAGTATTTTATCTCACACTGGGCATTTAAATACACATAGAAGTAAATATTATTGATCAATGATATATTATATATGGTCATAGTATGCATAATAAATTAACGATTTTTAAAAAGACCTAACATTATAGAAGCCTCATCACTTTCAGTCAAAATAATGCCACCACATTCCTATTTGTGACTAGTCCTCCACCGTGAAAACATATCCACATGCTCCAACACATGTCTACTTGTAGTGATAAGGCTTCAAAGATGTTAATTCTAATGTTGATGAATATAAACAAACCTGCACCAGTCAGTCAGCTAGTAAGATAGACTTATGCAAAGTAACTACCATAGTTATAAAGTTGTATGTTTATTGAATGGCGTGCATGAGAAGTTGTTTGAAGTCAGAACCACCCATAATAGTTTTATATTTACACATACATCTAATTAAAATTAACCAGTGACTGCATGGTGAACAGGGCAACAGATCAAATGAAAGACACTTTGTGACTATTAGATATGGTATTTTTTAATATACTAAATGCTGACTTTGTAAGTCAAAGATATTTATACTGTGCATTGCATAATTAAATAACCAGTATTTACACATGTAATCATGTAGGTAAGTTATAATAATATAATACAATTATGCTAATTATTATGTACATGGTCAATTGGCTTTTATTTTGTACTTCCACAACAGACACAGAAATACACTAATATTTCTCCTGAATAGCCTCTTTTCAAACACAAGTTTTTCTTTAGGCCACCATGTTATGCACCTAGTACAGATATATCTGAATAGTTTGTGAAGTATAAATATTGTCATTAATGCTACAGCTAAACTAAGGGCTACTACATCTAATAATAAGTATTCTGCGGATGACAAATCGAGTGCGGGTGATCGTAGGTGGGCAGCGCCTTTATGTCGTAGAACATACTCGATCCAGTAGATGCCCGTCTCCAGTGGCGGTAGTGGTCGGTCGAGGAATACATCCCTCAGTTTTAAAGCATTCTCTTTGTATCTGAAATAATATTTTTTATCATTTGTTGTTTTCAGCTTCAGCATAATAAAATTACCTTTATTTTTTTTATAGAATTAAAAAATTATGTCGTAAAGCGTCTTTAACATCTCATTGTGTGTTAGATTAGTGTTTATTTATAACTTATTGCTAATTGATAGCCAATCTATGTGATACCCACTATCTCCATTTCCCATGAACATGGGATTTACGCCAAGACCCTTGGGGGATAGGTTAGAGAAACTACTGGGCTTAAAAATCTGAAATGTGCAAAATTTCAGGTCTTTCTGTCTAAATTCAGCACTTTAATCTGCATTGATTATACACGACTCTTTATCGTTGTAATATCGCTAAAATAAGAAATTACAATTGTCTTGACGGAACTGTGAAGTATGCGTTCATAATATACCTACCAATGTAGTGTACCATGATAATACTACTATATTGTGAGTGTTCGTTAAATGTTATTTTACCTAAAGTACAACTATAAATTATACCAACGTAATAAAGACATTAAACAGATTGTGCTTTAATCTCTGAAGCTACTGAAAAATACCAAACAAAAAATTATCAGTTTAGACGTACCAGAGACAGATACCGACCCCAAAAGTTCAATCGTAATATCTGTAGTAATATGTAACTGTCATTAATGGACTAGGAATTTTTATAATAGCGGCTTTGCCTTTGTTTATACTAATAGGTACTTTATAAGATAATTTTAATTAGAGACCTATGACCGCTTCAAAGAATCATATCCTTTTAATAAATGTCGTTGAACTATAATGGACGATTTACGTACGATTTAAAAAACGTAATGTACCTACTTAATGAGCTAAATTATTATTCTTTGACACTTAAAAGTATATATATATGTTACCTTTTACACGCGACTTTATCCTCGTGATCAGAATAATGTTTATTGCTATTATTTATATCGTATTTACTCACGTTTTAAATATGGGAATTCCCGCCTAGTTTCGAACTTAATAGAAACATTTAATATATAACAAAAAGTAACCTATCGCCTTTCCCATCTTAAATATAAAATTTCATGATGATTGATTAGGCCATTAAAACAAAGTAACAAACAAACACACTTTCTCATTTATAATATTAACGGGGATCAGATAACACTGCTCCTATAATATGGTACTGCTCCTGTCTATAGGCGACGGTGACCACTTTCCATCAGGTGGGCCGTCAGCTTGTTTGCCATTCTAAGTTGTATAAAAAAAAATATACGTCACTTTGCATGAAATATAAATATCATTATTTTAAATTATATTTTGGTACTTAATTAATAGTAAGTATATCCGACTGAGGTTTACTACTTACTTCGGATTCCTTAATAATTGATGTAAAGCACTTCTCCACGTTTGTGAAGTGCTATCTCGGAGCATGACAGTGAGTGCCACACCTCGATCATTCATTGCACGCGCGTTTAGCGCCTGGTCGGCATACAACGGCACTGAAAGCATCGGCACTCCGCACGCCACCGCCTCTTGGGTGCCTAGTAACCCCCCATGTGATATAAACAACTTTATATTCGGGTGACCTGCAACAATGTTTATTGTTTCAAATAAATTTATTGACCAAAAGAAAATATAGTACAAAGGCGGACTTAATGTTAGTCTCAAACATGCTTGGAAATGTGAGCATTATTTTGACAATCTTCTTCGAGATAAATCAAAATTGCCGTACTGGCCGTAATATGCGGGCTGCGGCCGGCAAAAGTTGTATGAAAATCCATATCTGTCGTGTTTTGCGGCCAGATAAATTACTATGTAAACTCATATCTGTCCTGTAATTTAAAAATGGAGTGACCTTTTACCTCGAAACATGGCTACCAAGGAGGTAACTAATAAAAGGTTTTATTTAAATTTCGAACTGGCTTGCAAATAGCTGTTTATTGAAAAAAAAACAAAGGAAGGCCGGGAATCATCATTATCATCATATCGCCCTTCAACTGTCCATTGCTGAACATACGCCTCTCCCTTGGGAGTTTTGCCAGTAGTTGCCATGCTTGGCAGGCGGATTGGTAACCGCAGGCTTTAAAGATGTTTTAAGAGGGACGTTACCCTCGCTCTCCCTTAGTCGCCTCTTACGACACAAACGGAAAAGGTAAGGGTGGCCTATTCTATGCCAGGATCACACGGCATAAATTTAAAAATTACCAAAGCCTACCTACGGTACCCCTCAATAGGAAGAGGCCTATGTTCAGCAATGGACAGTCAACGGTTGATATGATGATGATGATGATAAAGTTACATGATGACAGTACATAAAACCGGGGGAAAGGGATTGTTAGTAATCAGGTTAAACAGCCCCATTGCTAGCATATTACACCCTATCAGATCGACCTCTATGCCGTTCCCCCTGGAAATCATGGTGGTTAATTTTTGTTCAATTGTTCGATACGGGCAAAATGACCTGCCTTCATTCTCACCTATCATCCTTCACTGGTGCCCCACCAGCGTATACCGATAGCGCAAGCGGGGTTACCATTCCATCGTCACCCATTAAAAAAAGCATACCATATACTGGTATGGTTTACACCGTCAAACAATTTATGACTTTTCAAGACGTCACCAGTCGACAAAAAGTATCTTATGTCCAGTCATCTCCATCATGAGCATATTTATTTTTACTGTACGTGCATTGCATACTACTTGCCATCATATTTTATGAATAAATTCGAATGTATAATTTGATATTTTCCAAACTGTGTGTTAAACTTGCATAAATCTTAGACTTATGACCCCAATATACTTGATAAGAGAAGAAAAGATATTTCAGTTAGTTCCTATCGAACTAACAACATATTTTCTTAGCGACAATGTGTAATATAATCGTCTTGTTTTAAATGTAATTTTCTTGGTAATTATCGAAAAAAAAAATAAGTATCTTAGACTAATATAATTGATGTTTATTTTTTTTTTTTCTTATTTTTTTTTAATATAGCACGATATGAGGCTACACCATCATAAGCGAACATCGAGATTATAGGGTTCATGAATGGGATCAAACGAAAAGAGAATGATTTATTCTCAACGGTTGACCGCACTATGCCGACTAACTAAGTGCTAACATGAAAATAGTTGAAATAATGATATTGCTGAACTTCTCCTCCCACAAATTCCATACAAAAATCTTTGAAAAAAAAGCTAGCTGCTAAAGTATCTTTATTTAATGATTGTTATTATTCCTTGATATTTTATTAGCGATACTTACATAATGTAGCGAATTGAGGAATCCAATCCATTGCATAAACATTATCTGGTACTGTGAGATTCCTAGCCAACATTCCCCTATTCATTTTAACGAGTACCATTTGGTTCAACTCCGATAAAACCTCGAATATTTGTGATAATTTCTGACTTGGTATAGTCTCAATTCTCGACATAGATCCAAAACTCCAGTAAATTACTCCCTCCGTAGATAAGTCCAAAAATTTTTTCAATTCCTGTACAGATAAATTTCAATACATAAATATTAAATACGTAAAATGATTACGTCATTTACGTATTTAATATTTATTACCAATAACTTAACTAAATTAATAACAAATATGGTACATTTATATCAAAGTACTTATATCATAGTATAAAAAGAAAAATACTATGTTTCATTATTAATAATAATGGTCAGACCAGATTATTTTTAATTTGTCATATTAATCGAAATAATGCACGAGAAAAAAACAAGACAACAATGTCAATTTTCTGTAAGGTCTATAGAATGGACCTCTCGATATATTTTGCTAATATGTCAGTTACATCAAGCTCATTGCTAAATGAACTCGTATTAATCATGATTTTGCTGGATGGACCGTAGATTGTCGAAAAAACAAGTTTATATGTTATATATTTTAAATAACCATTCATAGATATAATTTAGTTTACTTCAATAAAAATTGTATGACAGGTAGAGAATGCTACTAAGCATTAAGTCCGCTTTTTTTTACCAAATTTTCTTTTGGTCAATAAAGTTATTTAAATAAATAAAATCCTTATATTACGACTGCGTTCATGTGTTCGTCGATGAATTTGTATGGAAACTTGAGTTTTTCAAACCATCTACTAGAAGCACCAGCTATGTTTTCAATATCAAATATTGTAAACATACTAAATGTAAATCTCTCTCCTCTATCTAGATCAATATACTGCATTTAAAAATTTATAAATAATACCAAATGCAAAATATAGGTTTGAGAAGATCCAAAAAAAGTGAATAGATTGAACAAAATTAAAGGAGAAGTAAGGCGAGGCAATCTCATCATGTGATGAAAACAGTATACTGTTTTTTAGGAGGCAATCGATGGTATTGGTCGTATCCAAATTTAATTAACAAATCAATTTTTGATGAATGAAGCATAATAAAACATGAAAACCTAAATTTAAAATGACCTACTTTGTTTGGTGTCAGATTTTAAAATATAATTTTAAATTTTAGATTGCGAAAATGTATATGGGTCACTGATTGTTTACTTGTTGTTTTACGTGAAAACTACAATTTGATACGACAGTTTGATCCATTTGACACTATCTGTTGTGTCGTGTAGGTCTTAGGTCCTAGGTCGACGAGATAGTCGGATTCCCTACTGCAATTTAATATAGGTTAATAAGCCTCAGTCACAAACTTCGATAGTTCTATTGTTTCATGCATTGTCCCTATTTTGTTAATTACGAAATAACACTCGTGCACAAATTAGTTTTTGATTTTAGTCAGTAGGTGCTTTTTTTCTTTTAATAATATTTTTGATATTTGATTTTGAGATTACTTTAGGTAAACAGTTTAATAAGTCATAATAATTTTATTATTAAAAAGATTAAATCATGTCTATATATATAACGGGAAATTAACGACTCACTGTGTTTTGCCGTTTCCGCCAATTGATGTATATACATGGTATTAAATAATGAACATAAGATTAAATCATGATTTATGTAAGATTAAACAGGATATCATCGTTAATGATTACTTTTTTTTTATTACAAATATGAATATATCTCATTATGTTTAACTATTTATTGTTATTTTAGATATTCGTTAATTTAGTTTTAGATATTTAGATTTTTATACATTCCTATACGCGAAAGTTTGTAAGGATGTTTGTAACACTTTCACTCGAATACTACTGAACGGATTTGGATTAAATTTTGGTACAGAGGTAAGTTATGTCGTAAATTAGGACATGGGATACTTTATGTACTAATTAATATAAAAACTAGCAAAGAAAAAGTTCCAAACTAAACTCTACTAAATCATCACGCTCATATATATAATTTTTAAATGTGTTAATTAAGCCTTCCATTCGATTGCCCAACACCGCACCATTAAGATAATATTTTTTTAGTTTATGACTTTGTCCTCTGGAAGGCATCACATTCAATTTATGTCACATATAACCAGCGGCTGATCATGGCATTTCCAAGGATATCTCATTTATCAACTTATGATAAATAGTTTAGAAGTTATGAGAGGACACAAACACCAAATAACAGTCAAAATCTGAACTCTCCTTTTTGTTTCATCGTAGTCAAGTAAATAGAAAATGTAAAAACTACATATTAAAGTCAATTATTGCAATTAACAGTTTATCTTTCGCAAAAAAAGAAATTATAAAATGACTCCAAAATTGTCTTCTCTACAAAAAAGAAACAATCATGTGTAGGTATTATAATATGTAACTTATCGAGATTGGCCACGTGTCTACTCCATAATACGGATATCATTAATTTATTAAATATTTCACACGTTGATTAGCGACAGATTAGTGTTATTTCGCGTTTTTAAATAAGAATAAGTTTACATGTGGTAATATTAAAATATTTAGGTATTATTTATTAATTAGGATATTTTTATATCTTAATTTATTTGTCAACTATATAATTAGTAAAATAATCAGCAGTCTTAACAAACAAACGATGGGTTAAACGATAATTCAAGTATCTGAATAGTTTTATAAACAATATTTTTTTTATACTATATACTTCTCAGTAATTAAATGAATTATTATTGAATTGATAACAGGCCGTAAAGTATATCATTCTTGTACTTGGAAAGAAAAAGTATGATATTCCAATAGAGTTCTGTAGGAAATGGGACTCAAAACTCTTATAATTTCTTTGTCTTTGTGCCAGTCTTACATCTAACAATTTGTACAGATTGTACCTCATATTATTTGATCAGTAATCAAACGTTTGAATAATTGATAATAGTATTTAATTTACCGGCATATGTATAACGAACTGTGTATATTAATGTTCATTAATTCAGTGTGAATTTACTGTTTTCAAATTTTATTGGATTTTATCAATGTTGGTGGCTTTATGAGTTGTAGATATCTTAAAACAGTCTCCTTAAATAGAACCAGATAAGTTCATGTAAGTAAGATTAAATGCGATATTAATTCGATACTACAAACACAATGAAAGCATACAAGGCTTTAGATTTTTTTTACATTTATACAAGCAATTTCTTTAATCTTCGTTTCATTTCCTTCATAACTTATGAAACAAATAATTATTGATAGCATAAATATGTTTTTTATAAAAAATATTCTTTCACTTACATTGGACAATGTTTGAGAATCGTCTAAATGCAAACCTCCTACTTCAACTAAAGTAGGTACCAAAGGGCGAACTTCATTAATGCTGAAGTGGCTGTTAGATAATACTAGACTGTAATTTTGTGCTAGAGTTTCTAATTTAGGTCCAGGTCCAAAAAGACGATCAGCGATTACCTGAAATATACAATGTTATATTAAAATCCGTTCATATTTATATGTCACACTATTTCGCCTTAATTTTTAACATAATAATTATTTCTCATTCATATAAAAAAAGACATACATCAAAACTATTTTAACAATACCTGTGAAGTACGAGGTGATTGAAAATTAATCTAAACCCATTTGATTCAAAGTGGTAACCATCGCCTATAGATATGATCAACATAACATGTATGTTGATCATATTTCATTTCATGTTTTATATATCCTAAATCCACTATACGTTATCTGTAGTAATGTCTCTGATTGTCAGAGATCGCGCTATCTTACCATTCAGACAGAATCACAAAAACGTGCGCATCACATTGATACGGCAGAAACAAATAAATGGCCTTAACTTAATCTTTGATAGAATAAATAATAATAATTAAAAATAATAAATATAAATATAAACATGTACCTGTGAAGGAACTTGCGATTTGTGTTTGTACAAAATTTTTGCCCAAAGTACTGCTATTGTATTCACAAATCTTTCAATAACATTCATTCGCTGGCCGTAAGACATCATGTAAGCTGGTACGTAAGCTGTTGCCTCTGGATTACCAAGTTGTTCATTCACCCAGGGTAAAGGTACACTTGAAAGAAGACCCACAACAGGAGCTTGAAACCTTTGACCCAAGGGAAGGAAACATTCACTACCAAACACTTCAACAATGATCATGTCGTATGTCACCTTCGAACTGAGCAACGATTTAACAGCCGGTATACGAGAAACAACGTCACACGCGTTAACACATTCCTCCATAATCTGTTCTAGATTTCTAACAAAATCGGGTTTTAAAGATTGTTCTTGTTTGGTAAGATTGTTGGTTATTTCCGGTATAGTACCGGCCAGACTTATCTCTTCCACGTTAGGTGGTGGATTTTTCTGAAAAGGAAACATTTTTATTTAAATTTCTTACAAAAACACTTACTCTTTCTTCAAATTGTTATAATTAATACATGACCAGTTATGTTGTTTTATTATAATAATTCGTGGAAAAATAATTAGTGTTTGTTTTTTTAATAATATCAACATATATTTAATGTCCCAGCAAGTGCCAACAATCATGATTGTGAGTATACTGACAAAAATTATGTAACAATTGTCTTTAAGGAAATGTAAAAAATGCCTTAAATTTTTTTTTATACCGCTAAGGTGGCAAACAACTATATGACCCACCTAAGCGGTTACCATAGCCTGTAAATGCCTGTGATACTAGGGGCAATTTTACGACACTATGAAGGCAATCAAAAAATTAATATAGTTTCATTGGTTTCTAGAAAATGTGTTCATAAGGGTGTCCATTTCGTCTTATAAATTTCATTGAACTACTATTTGAAATGACTTATTTTTAATGTAGTCTCGTCAAAAAAATTTTTCAACCTATTTTTATTACATACTTTATTGTATGGATAAATTTGTTCTTTTTTTTTTTTGACAATTTCATGAAAATCTGATTTAAACGATACTGTTACTAGTTCTTATTACTGTTTAATGCTACTAATAGTTTTATATTTCTACTGACAGATTTCATATACAACTAGCTCATATTAACGTTGTTGTATAACAGGACTAAAGTTCTGTAACAAATTTAGATTACGAATACATCTTGAACAAACAAACGACAGTGTCGGTTTTCTCCAATCGAATACTTAGTGAAAGTTATTATTTTTATATTTGAACGTAACAGTTAAATTCTATAAATATAATACACTATTACTTCACCATATTTTTATTACAATTTTAAACTCTGTTTACATCGGATCTTTTCTCTAAAAATAAATAAAGTTTGTTTAAGTCATGGCAGTTTGAAAGATACAATTATTAAAGCTTTGAATTTGAAATTAATAGGTTAAAAATTTGAAGAAAGTACACAGTACACAAAAATACGTGGATACATACCATCGGAAAATGCGTAATAACTGTTACTTGATGTTGCCGTCTAACTAATTCTTCCACTATTTTACCATACATGGCGTAATGACTCCTTGTGTTAGTTGGCAAAATGGCGAGCAGACGAGCGGCATGGCTCGCCGCAACACATGTCGCCACCAGCCAGAGCAGCTGCGCCTGCATCTTCGCCACCCGGTATAGTTTGCGCCCACAGATGAAGTGGACACGACAAGCGACCTGCGATACGAGACGCGCTGTGGTCTGATAAGAGGAGACGTCACCTCGCGACCGCCAGATCAAACAAGTGCCACCAGTGTTTTTTACATACTAACTACTATCAACATGCGGACGATGCTCATTATCTATTCTTAAACAGTGTATTTTTTTCTTTTATATTCAACACAAAAAATAATTATAAAATAAATATTCTTACCAATTAACATGTAGTCTTGATCCTATCTCTAGCCAATACTCTATTTTTTTTTTTATTTGAGACCTATTAATTACATATACCGTCTACATATAATACTTCTTAATGTTATTAAAAATCTACTCCATAGGTACATTGTAATCGTATCGCGACTTTCAAACGATCAAGCCAAAAATAAATATAATTGCTCACAATCTCAAGGACGGCTTTTAACGAGTGTTTTATATAATAAAATAATCAAGAACACTATATGTAGCGTAATATTTTAAGTTGCAAACGACTGATCATGTTCTGACTTCGAGTAGATTACTGCCTTCTGTATTTACTTGTACTAAGTAGCTGGATAATAAATAAAAACGTCCTAACGAACGTCGTAACTGTACATGTTTAGCACATTGTAAACATAAAAACATTTCAAGTCAGCTTGAAATGACTACTTTTATTTATGATAAAAACTGGAGAAAAGGCTCCCTTTGTTACTTCATTAGCAATGATATTAAAGTAATAAAGCGAATGTTGATTCTTGTCTGGAGTGCTTATCTTACCTATGTATTTATTTTGTTTAAAAATAGTAATGATAAATTTATCTTCTATATACAATTAATTGATTGGTTTGGTTGATGTTTTTGATGTGGTATTTAGTGTGTTAAAAGTGCGTTACTTTGACGTTTACAGAATAAGATAAAAGCAAGGATCATCAAGAATACAATATAGTGGTTTATCTTATGCAGATTAAATACTATAAAAGATAAAATATAAATATTTACTTAAGGAAGGGCACCTCGTTTTAAATACTATCACTACAAAAGTTCGTCTCATATCATATTCGGTCATTACAACATCCGGTCCAGATGGACCAATGAAAAATATTAACTCGTGCGTAAATAATTCAAAATACATATACGCGAGCGTATTCACGGATACTGCGCGTACCTATACCTATTACTATAATAAAATTGTAAATGACATCAGTTCATATCAATACAAAATGATAAATATGAACCCATGTCGCCTACTTGTTGTTAAGTTTGATAATTTATCTATCTACTCGTATATACAAAAACATGCCTCATTCATCATCGCCAATATAAGTAAAGAATTTCCTCCTTACAGAAAACCTCTAAGACCTCGTTCACACTACGCTGGTCCGGAAAGCCGGAAGTAGTAATGAATGGTCCGCCAATAAAAGCGACTTCAGTCATAAACACACTCATACTGATAAACTACGAGATGTTCTAGTTGTTTCGAACATACCTTACATTGTAAATATTGAGTGTTTACATATAGATTTTGTTTCGCAAAGGAAACGGCAACTTCGATCGTTCCAAATTAAAAATGGGATCTAGACGGGAGTAAACTCTATCGTTTGCGAAAATAGATGAAATTGGATGTAATCGCGTAACTTAGTGGCGAATAAAAATTCAAACGTATTATATATCTACCTATATATATATATATATATATATATATATATATATATACACACACACACACACACACACACACACACACACACACTATATATCCACCTGTAAAAAGCTACATTACCAGCAAATAACATAAGCTATATACTATTTTGGAAAATTCTATATACCTGTATGAGTCAGATCGCCAGTAAATAACAAAGAAATAAAAATTTTCCCCTTTATAATATTGGTTTAGTTTACAATTTTAAAGCTTAATAGGAACACAGGTTTATTTATATAAACGGCAGGAAATATAAATTGAACCAACTTTCATATGTTTCTTATAGATGGAGTAATGTAGTAATTTTTCACATGCAAATGGCGACAGTAATTTCTTTACCATACCTATATTAATACATATTACATTACAGTTGCAATAATAACGCAGTATATAAGGTTAAATTGTCTTATCCCCAGTTACGAAGTACAAGTGGAAGCAGCTGGCCGGCGGCGCGGTCTCGGGCAGCGTGTTCTCTGCGTGCTGGAGAAGTTGGCGCGCGTCACACGCATGCGGTTCGTGCGCCTCACCGCACTCACACACAACCCTTCCGCGTACGCTTTCTTCAAAGCCTGCGGGTTCGTTTCTCACATCTTTATGTATTACATGCATAGAAAATATAAGAATTAATTGTTAAGAATTAAGTAATCTTTATTCAAATAAACTAGATTATCATCATCATCATCATCATTTCAGCCGTCAACTGTACACTGCTAAATATAGGTTACCCCTATAGATTACCATAAATTTAGTCAAAACTACTTTTAAATCGCCCATTTATGACACTGCTGCACTGTTGTTTGCAGAATGTTAGTAACTGTTGAGAAAACCCTACAAGAAACGCAACGCAATAATAATTACTATTAATTAAAAAAATTATTTCACGAAAAACAATGATGAGTTTTTTAATAAGTGCGAGTAAATTATGTATTTTATAAAGAGTACCTAATTAATTAATTGTTAGTTTGTCCAATCTCACTAGTTCTATTATGAAATTGGCGCAATTAACCATTTTATTTTGCTGCCCTGGTAATATAATCCAATGTTCAGTCTGTATGTATGTCACTTTCTCTATATTGTTTGCATATACTGCATAAAAGAACAGCAATCTTAATTATATTAAAAAAAAGAAGACGAGCAGAAAATTCTAGTGACAGAGTTCACTGCTGTTTCTTCGTGTGATAAATTCTTATATACCTAATCATTTTTTTAGGTATCAATAGTAGCGCCATTTATTATTTCTAAATTGTCTAATATCTTTCAAGCCAAAACCAATACACACAAAATTTCCTTGAAATCGGTTAAGGCGCTTCAAAGATTAGCATGTACGAAATGTGGTTGTGGTTCTTATATATTAAATTTATTATATGTCCATATAATAAATAAGATATACAGTTATGCCAACTGCTTATTGTGGTAACAGTCCATCATTATAGCGCAAATTAAAAAGGAATTAAATATTTAAATAGTTTATTTAGAGAAAACACCATATGTTACGTAAACAGAATTTATAGCCTGGTTTATTTTTGGTTCATTAATTAATTATGGAAATAAAAAAAATTGTAATACAGTAGAGCGTCGATTATCCAAACTCACCCACACGTGTAGTCATGCTGCCCTCCCCTCATAAAGTAGCCAAAATGATGAAAACATATCAACAGCTTCTTCAAGCTTTTACGTGCCTAAATCTGACGTGCTATGTTTTGAAGCTCAAAATTAAAGCGATCAGTATCAGATAACTGTTTTGAAAAAAGTGCATAACTTAGCTAAAAAGGGTGGGTTTGCTTAAACACACAAAAATTAAAGATTTTCTGAAACATGAATACTATAAATTATGCACATTCTTGAAAATTTACATAAGAATATACAACATAATAATACGTAAAAAGAAAACACCTTATCGTTTATAAGAAATAATACGAATAAAATGTACGAGGTTTGTCCGGAAAGTACGTATAAAAGTTTTTTAAAAATTTTATTTTACAATTATTCAGGTAAATCAATTTTATCCCCTTCAAAGTACTCCCCCTGTGACATAATGCACTTGTGCCAACGCCGTTTCCACTGTGAGAAGGCTCCTTGAAAGTCCTCTGGTTGTAGGTTTCTCAGCTGCCCCGTCGTAGCTTTTTTTATCTCATTTATGTCCCCCAAATGCCGCCCCCGAAGTACCAATTTGGTTTTTGGGAACAAGAAGAAGTCACACGGGGCCAAATCCGGCGAATAGGGGGGGGTGTTCGGTCACCGTAATGGAATTTTTACTCAAAAACTCACGGACAACAAGAGAGGTGTGGGCAGGGGCATTGTCGTGGTGAAGAATCCAACGCCCCTCTCGCGCCAATTCTGGACGAACTCGTGCCACACGAGCTTTGAGGCGTCTGAGCACATCGACGTAGAATTTTCCATCAACTGTCTGGCCTGGAGGGACGAATTCTTGATGGACAATCCCCCGAACATCGAACTCTTTCTCGGCCCTCTCTGAATCTTTTTAGCCACTTGTGGACGGTTGGTTCCTTCACAGCATCATCCCCATAAACTGTTCTGAGATCGGCAAAAATTTCACGGCCATTCTTGCCGAGTTTCGAGAGAAACTTGATTACGACGCGCTGCTCTTCAACGGAAGCGGGCTCCATGCCGACGGGGTTTCGTTAAGAGGTAACTTCACAGATGGCGTGACAAGCCAGTTCGCACCGCACGGCGGTCAGACCAGAACTGAAGCATTGTTAGGGACATAAGGAAGGGGTCCTGCGCTTACCTGGCCTCCCCACTCCTCTTTCTCGCATTCCAGAACACTTTTATACGAACTTTCCGGACAGACCTCGTATACTATAAACATTGTTTAGTTGTTATTGGCAACTAAACTTAGGTATATAGTTCGATTATCCGTATAAATCCGCTTTCCGAACACCTGTCCTCTGATTATTTCGAATAATCAACGCTCTACTGTACTTTCTGAATTTAAAACACTGACTAGATAAAAATTTCACGTCCTAGTTTCTCAAGCTAAAGTTGAATACGATTCCACGACGTTTTACTATTAATTATGAACCGGATAGATCCGAATTACTTTATCACATTACCCTTCTTTTACTAACTCTACGCATTATTTCATATACTGATAACCCAAGTATGTTTACACATAATTTGCAAGTCTGTACTACTCTCATGTGTCTGTCTCTACTGTTTATTCAAGAAATACATTTTAATTGGCAAGTGGAATTAAATCGTTTTTAAGTAGCATTTGTCTTGTAATACCTCTCGCATCATTCTTTAGGATATTTTTTATGCCACTAAGGTGGCAAACAAACATAAGACTACCTGATGGTAAGCGGTTATTTATTGTATTTTTTATTTTCATACATATATCCTTTTTAACTAATTAATCTGTGGAATGAGGTCATTTATCACTATTGTTTATACATTTATTTAATATTATTTACAAAACACGCAAATGTTAATATAGGCCGTCATTATGGAACACCACAGATATGCCTGTGATACCTATGAGATATTACTGCGTTGGTCCTCATGAGAAAAGAGCTTTTATTTCTTACGTCAGGGATTACACTAGTTTTTTTTCCTTTAGACTATAACAGAAATGCATGCATGGATAATTCCTACGCACACGAGTCACCTAATAGGCATTATATAGTAAATACATTATTATACTTTCGTACTCCGATAAACGAGTTCATGCAAATGAAATTACCAACCCAGATATTAATACTTATTTCAACCGTTTTCAAAATAGCGCCGTATGACGCTATATTTTTTATGCATCTTCGTCCATTTCCAAATTGATTTTAATCGATAAGATTTACTCTCGTGTTATGTATTGTTATGTATTTACTGTCGTGTCGTGTTCGTCTTAGAATTTCTTTTATTGATTTTTGTAGGAGATAATCTTTTCTATCCCGTCTATCTAACTCACTGTACCTATTCTAAATATGTACCTATATATAAGATCATTTTTAAGTTCCTAAAACTATCGAAGAATTAGTTTATTTTGTTATGAAAGATATAATAAATTTTAAGTGCAATAGCAGTGAATGTTCAATCCTATCAATGTAACTTCGTTATCTGTACCTATCCTCTACATAGTATGTATTTGTTACTAACAGGAATACATACCTACGCATAATTAAAACAAATCTTGTATTTGTAATTAACGCAGTGTTATTTTCATGTGATTTGATATATCTACTTATACAGCCACGTGGACTAAAAACTATAATATTTTATTACCACGGCGAAACACTATAAAGCCCATAGATTATAATAACCAACGTTTAAAATGTCATACAGTTACAACTTATGTTGTTGTTCATATAAATTGTGTATCTGTCGATACGTAAAATATCAAAATTTATCTAGTACGCATACTGGACAAGACCTATGTCTGCACATATATAAGAAATATTTAAGAAAAATATGAAGCGTCTTTATAAAAACAATAGAAGACAAAATAATATTTTTTGGAATTTTTGACCATCTGTTTGTATGTACAGCATCATGCAAAAACTATAGTATTTTTAAAGATTTTACTTAAAATCTGATGTATATTTTATCTTGATACGCCGATCTAGAAGTGATTATCTTTACGTACTTCTAAAATCTACGCGTGCATAATAGCGGGCAAAAGCTAGTATGGTACGTAAAGTTCTTCGGTTATATGATAAACTTTTAAACTTTTATCTATCTCGTACTGCGATACTCAGTCACCATTCAAGCGTTGTTTTGATATAACGACAGCCTAAAGATGTATGTATAATAGTTACTGAGTTTACTGGCAAATCACATTCGCTATCCAATTTCCAATGTCTTTTTGTCTTCTTAAATTTTAATTAGGTCTTATCTCGGTCTTTAATAAAAATAAAATAAATAAAACCAATTTTAAAAATTATACATTTAATTTTTTTTTGTTACGCCAATTGTAAATTGATTTCCGATATATAGTAACTTGGTAGTCACGATTTCTAGCAATTTTTATATATGTTATCTACAATTACATATAAAGTACGTGCACTTTCCTTATATTCCTTCTTTGATGTTTTTATTGTGTACTTATCTAAAATCACAATTTTATTGTTATAAGAAACTATTCAAGATTTACTAAAAAATAAAAAACATGACTGTGCTAGACAGATGGATGCAACATTTTGCCTTATAAAATTTATTTCTTTTTAACATATACTAAAAATATATGCCTTGTAGTACATATTAATCATTTAACTAACAGCAACATGTCACCCACAGGTATAGTTTAGACGAGACGAGCCCGCCTATAGAGGAAGCAGCTCACTATGAGATCCTGAGCAAAGCGATCGATACCAATGACAGCCAAAAGGACGAGGAAACTTCACAAACAGAAAAGTGCCCACTCAGCGACGGCATGAAAGCGGTGTCGGTCAACACTCAACAATCATAGCGTACGAAACGTGTAATGTGCAGGAGAATGACAAAAGACATTTTAATTAGAACACTGTAAGAAAGTTGATGATGTATAACTTAGTTCGTACTCATAGCTCCTAGATGTCTTTTTACAGATAAATACTCTTTATTGTTCTCTCTAAATAGTTACAGTAGTAAACTAGCTTTTTAGTTTTTTTGCTAAGTTTACTACTTCAAATGTAGCCTTATTGCATACGAAAGAACTGGACGCCCGACGCAGCTTCTTTTATTCTGTGTCATGCACCATTTCCTTTTCCGTTCAGGCTGGAACTATATAATAGCCTATAGAACTCGCTACCACCTTCTATATGGAGTGCCCGGTCTTTAGCTTGGTTTAATGGACAAGTCAAATCGCATTTTCCTTCACTGTAATTACTCTATTCCTTTCTTCTGTAATATTATACGGGGTCCATCATATTTCCTTTTTTATGCTATGTATATATATCTTATTGTTATAATAAGTAGTTTTATAAATATGTATTTAATATTTTTTGCAATATATGTTTTTGTATTTTATGCACATAAAAATCATTAATTCACTCTTCCGCCATCTACCCATTTCTATATGTTCTCCTTTAACTAAAGGTTGTCAGTAAGAGATTGCCCTAGCGATAAGACCGCCTCTTGTACCTTTATGCTACTGTATTTCACTTGAATTGTTTAATTGTCATTGCATATTTTTATGTTTCTGGTGCAATAAAGAGTATAATAAATCAATAAATAAAATAATGCATACTGTAGCAATAATGTATTTATCGATACATATCGATATTCATGTTCCACTTGTCCCTAAATTTATTTTAATTTGAAACTTGAACGAATGGTTACGTTATAGACCAACTACAACTAGATAATTTGTTAAATTAAAATATCAAACTGAATTTTAGCTTTTTATTAAAGCCTGGCATAGAATCCATCCATCCATATAATAGTATAAGTACATAGTTGTAAAGACAATAATATAATGAAATTTCTTATTATTATATGCATGAAATTGTAAAAACACATTTTTTAAAATGTAAATACTTACTAAAAATCGTGAAAATTTACTAAAACACTTCTTGTATTTAAAATTGAAACTTTTAATTTCATAAACTACAATTGAATAAATGAATTAATTTAAAAATATACCCAATGCAATTTATATTTTATTACCGTGAAAATTATTATTATGAGCTATGGATCTTTTATATTATGAGATGACAGTTTTATTGTATGTAAATTCAAAATGCTCAATGTTAAGATATTTTTTTTTTAAATAATAAAAACAATTAGATCTTGAGCCTAAATTGTCTTTTCTTTTTCTACTCTCTCCCTCTCTCTACTACATTTTTAAAACGTAGTATAGTAAAATCGTACCCACTTCAATGTTAGAATCATTTTCTAAAAATTTAAATGGCGTTCCTACTTATAGAGACACTATATACTTGACATGTTTTGTGAACAATTTCGTTATATCTTTATACAGAAATAAATAATTTTCAAATAAAGTAGACAAAAAATAATAGACGGTAAAAAATAATAGAGTAAGAATGGTATTTCATGAAACTAATAGCGACTTCAATCATGACAATAAGAGAATAAAAGCTAGCGAAAAAAATCTTTAAAACTGGCGGTAATACTGAATAACACAAGCACATCGATCCTCATCATGTTTGTAGTCACTTAAAAAACGTACGCTTTTAATTTGTTTTAAAAATATTCGATTACCGTTATATTGTTTTTTTTTTTTTCAAATAACTTGATAGAATTTTAATTACTGATAACTGCTGATATGAATGTTGCGAGGCACGGTCGACCGTTACGAAATCGGAAGTCAGCATACACAACAATAAAACATATCTCAAAGAAGTAGAAGATGTAAATTTTAGGTCGTGGCCTTTACACAAAATCATCATTTGTGGTCGTGGGTGGACTGAAAGGAGACTTCTAGAATTGATAATATACATAACCCAAGATCAACTAGGAGTCCAAGCTTACATCAAAGGCTGGATACCATGCAATATGGTTGAAACATGTTAATATTTAGCTAACATTAGACTGCGTGGATAGTATAATTAGACTATCCATGCAGTTTAATTTGTAATTATAAACAGAAAGTTTCTTCTGTAAGTAATAATTACTTCATCTTATTGCAACTACATAAAGAATTTTAATGGCTTATATATTTTTATTTTATAGATATATAGTATCCATATTTTTAGTAATTGAATGCTCAATTAAAGTAAAAAAAAAACCATTTCATACAGATATTATCACAGATATTTATAATTTTAGCTCTAATAATTATTTTGACAACTTATGGTGATATTAGTATAATACTCCTATACTTGCTCATCTATCATGCGATACATGACAGAAAGTGTGAGATTGTCACTATTCGATATTTTCAACATCTAAAGGTGTATCAGATCTTTCTTCGTCCGTTGTTTCTTCAGCGGAATGTGGTTGAAAAATAGTTACAGGCAACGAATTCTCTATCAAATCATGTGGCGTCTCCGTGTCTACAGGCAAGTTGTGATCGACTGTCGTCAGTGAGTTATCAATGACATAGTGTCCATTAGATAAAGTAAGTAGGCCAGTATTAGGATATGTTATCCAAGTATCGGGCGTGAAAGTAATTCTTTGTGTTGTCGGAGCCAGGGTCGCGTCTCTTGGTGGTGGGATGATAGCACTTTTCTCTCTACGTTCACGTGCGCGACGATTTTGAAACCAAATTTTAATCTGAAATATTAAAAGAAAAATTCTTCAATACCTCACCTAAGATATTTATCTTCCTTTTTTAAAAAGTTTTTATTTTCAATTTTTTTTAAAACTCAGGTCCTTTAAAACCATTAACCAGTAATTTGCAGTTATTAATTTTAAAAGAATTTTTCTCCATCTTGCAAGTGAGCGCTCTCCTTAGAACTCGAGAGGCCCAAAAGGAGTGGTAGTTGACACAGTTTTTATTTATAAATAAATACACACTACAAACCTGATTAATCTATAAGTAGGTATTCTTTAAATTCAAGGGCGTATTTATCATTTATATTCGATATGGCCTATTTGTTTTATCAAATAAACAATCATTCGCCAAGGAATGCTTGATTTGATTGGGGAAAACTAATTTTCTTTTAATTAGCTTTAATGTAACGCAGTACATAGGATTTTCCCTAGTTTTAACCATTTATACCTAGATGTATAAATGTTCTGTTAATAGTTAATTAAACTTATCCTCAAGCAATGTGGTGATTGTTGTATAGACCATGGGAATTGCTAACTAGCTACTACAGCTGAAGATAGCAATGTTGCTGCAATATAAATAATAATCATACGCTACAGGTCTTGTGTTCTTGCAATAATTTGTCACATTTAACATTCTCGGTTCTTTTTATTTCTGCCTTGTTACAAGTTTACCTTGATTGAACGTAAAATATATGGGTTCGAAAATTTAACTGCTCTCACCCTGTCATCTCGGAGTTGCAAGGCGGCTGCGAGGGCGCGCAGTGCTGGCGGCGCGAGATAAGGGGCGCGCGCGTACGCCGCTTCTAGCGCAGCCGCCTGCGTGGCCGTAAACGGCACCCGCGCGTGCCGCCCCGAACGCCGACCGCGACACGCGTTACTGTTCACTGACCCTGTTATTGACACTATGATATATTATATCAAACTACAATTATTATCTAACGACGACGCATTGCCTCTTAGATATCACACAATTATGTTTACAGACTAATAGGAATGGAAGTAATTTATTACCAGATGCACAACAGCTAATAAATCAAATATTTGAATCCTAAGTCGCATTACGGAATTAATGTCATGCATAAATTTTAATTTTCAATTTCTCAGAAATGAAGATGCTAGAGTGGGCGTCACAATGTATTTTGTGACGTCCATGGTGCCGTACACGTCTTAAAGTGTCTCTTACAAATTTCCATCAATCTGATGCAAATTATATAAATAATTACCAGACAAATTATCTAATAAAATTAATATGGATTAAAATTATCAGAATTTGATAGACACAGAACATAATCATAAATTTTATGTCGATAAAATCAAGAAAAAACAACAAATAGATTTTTTTACAAAAATGCTAACGTGGAAGACGCGGAGGTTTATAGCGCGTGCAACATAGCCAGCTAGGAGTTTCAGACTGCTCTACTGTTCTGTGTCTCGGATCTTCACTTAATATTCTTTCTATACTGAAATCTGAATTACTGCACTTTGCGCCGGACATCACCGGAGGAACGTCCATATTGACACTGGCTTAATGCAGTCAAAACGAATTCCATTTTGTTACCCACAAAAAAGCCGCACCTGATTATGGGTGGGCTTAGAAGATGCCACGCCCCAGGGATGATACAATCCTGATCTTATAATACGTTATCATACACCGCAATCAATGGGGAGCACGCACCGTTGAGCTCACGAGTGTTGTGACGCTAGTTCATTCATGTCTCGCAAATTGAATGAGAAATGGATACTGTTTGCACACAAAAGGATGTTATTACTTTAAGGGTATGTGGGAAAATTAATTTGTAACACAACATATATTATATTACCATTGTGCTAGTACATGTGTTCAGTAATTTGATATCGGATTGTAGAAGCCAATTATAAAATCATTTAACTGACGCATTCATCATAATTGGCAAACGGGGGTTAAGCTTCAATCTAATTAAGCACCTATTTATTTAATGGAAAACGTTAATAAATAATAGGTCAATCAGGAAAATACCCATTTTTCCGTAAGTATACAGTTTAGATACCTATCTAAGTGCCTAATTAAAGTTTATTCTAAATTGTCAATTTGCATTAAATGATGATTTTACATAAAAAAAATACTTTATAAAGGCACCATAATGTTTTTAGAACAGGTAACGCTGCCTAAAATATACCTATTTATCATCATATCAGCCGTTAACTGTCCACTACTGAACATAAGCCTCCTCCATAAGGGAGGTTTTGCCAGTTGCTATGCTTGGCATGCGGGTTGGCTACCGTAGTTATTCTTTTCTTCATGTTTTAAGAGATGCGCTTCTGCCAATCGCTCGACCTATAAGTTCCCTTAGTCACCTCTTACAACACCCCCGGGAAAAGAAAGGATTGCCTATTCTATGCCAGGACCACACGGCATTATAAATGATGTAAATCGGCACCTGCCTAATTTAGAAATTATCTACCCATTCAGATAGGTACTTATTTGAAAAATGGCAAATATAATTTAGTTCTCTTTTAATTTTTTTGCGTAATTCTAAATCAATTTACCATGCAAAAATACCGTGAATAAATGGTTCAATATAATTATTTACAATTGAATAAGCGTCTGTTGTTAAGTTGAAAAATACTGGTAGGTTTATTTATTAATTGTTAAAATTATCTAGAATACAAAGGAGATACGAATGAACAAAGATTGTCCGATAACGTCTCTTACTACAAACAAACGCCATAGAAGTACTATAGAATGACCGCAGTAGGTAATTTACTATCTGATGGCAGATGTTTTGGAATAAGTAATTGTCCAATTTTACAATTTAAAGTGGTAGGGAGGTACGTAAGTACTTATTTAAAATTATATTATAGTACTCACTGATGTAAGTACTCACTTGTTTATTCAATATTATATCTTTATAATTTTAGGATACCAAAATATATTTTAATCTTAGTTAATTACTATTACAGTGATTAACTTTTATAACTTTTAATAAAATACTTTTGTTTTTCATCTTTTATATTATTTTATCACAGGATCTCGTGGTTTTCAGATTTGATTAGTATATCTGACTGTTCAAATCCCTTTTTTAGGAAAAGATAGATCAAGTTGAAATTGCTTTATTACATACGTATCTATATATTATAACTATAATAGCATGGATTCCGCAACCAGCGAAATTTACAGATCTTTGGACTTCAAAACTAATTGCATATGATGTCCTCCTGTCTATGATTGAAGGCCTGCCTGCGCTCATTCCCGGAGCGTCTACCTATATATAGGATCTTACTATATATAGCAAATTATTTATCAGACACGTCATAAAAGATATAAATTGAAATATCATTGGATTATTTAAATAGGAAATAAAAGTACCTAAGTATTTATAGTTTTTTTTTTTTTTTGCAAGAAAAAATCAATGTCATTTGTTTTTGCTTCTTTGTTAGAGCTAACATGTTTAGAATAAATAAGAAAATAACATTTTATTTTTTTACAAGAAAAGTATGCTATAGTTACTTTATCTAAAATTTTATATTTATTTATTTTATATTATTAAGTACTTGCAAGAGTGGTCAATACCCACTAGTAAAGTAGATGGCTATCAAGAAAATTTACGTAACGGATGAGAAAATCTCAACACCTAATTGATACCTTGGACAATAAACAACCCACGTCTGTACTATGAACGTCGCGTTTTCGATAAAAGACATTAAATATTAGTCATATATAAACCTTATCAGCAGTATAAAAAAGAAACCCTTAAAGACTTCTCTTACCCTTAAATACCTGTTTAAATCGGAAGATATAACAAACGTCGATAACATATTAATACGAATACTTCTCCTATTCATAGCAACATAAGTCTTTTTTCAGCCCAGTCCTCTCAACGGTAGCGCATAAGAGTTACTCAATGCATCTCAACACTAATTTGATTTTGGGTTAAAATAATGTAATTGAGCTACGTTGACCTAATGAAATGATTTATGTTCGATCTGATAATCGAACCTAAGGCTATTTATTTTTATACCAGTACCCAGATCATTCGTCATCCGTCAAACCTTAGGGCCTTACTGGAGTAGAGTGGCAGAGGATAGAGTTCAGTGGAGAGAGCTGGAGGAGGCCTATGCCAGGAGGCACACCGAATTGAGAGATATATTATAATAAATAGAAAGGGAAAATATGTCTTACTAGGGTTATAGTGAATTCGGAGTAAAAGGGCTTATATATATATATATACCCAGATCATTAATCAATGAGGTACCAAATACAAATCCTACTATTTATATTAATTTTATAATTCTACTTATAATGAAAATTTGTAAAGATGTTTAGATATATGTATGTTTGTTACAAAATCAGGCCTATGCACTTAAGTTCTCGTTCTCATATCTAATCAAAACTTACTCACATTCAATAAGTACTGAATATTTTATAAATATTACGTTTAAATTAATAAAGCAAATTTGTACAATTAATGAATCACGGAATTCTCGTTACTTCGGAAACCAGTTACGAGTGAATTGAGGTAGCTAGGTAGCAATTGTTGTTCCAAGGCTGTTAGTACGCCGGTGCAGCGTCACGCAAACGCTCGCTCTTACATTGTAATTTTATCTGTGGATAAGAAAACAATTGCTGAACGACTTATAAATAATAATTGATAAAGTTAATATAATATTTATAAACTTTTCCAACTAGAAATGACCAACGAAAAATATTTTGAACTTAACGGCGGCGATCAAATGCCACGTATTGGATTCGGAACCTGGCAGGTAATATATTTTGATAATTAATTGCATTAACACTTTGTTTCAGATAACATAAATATACAGTAACGATCAGATACTTATGTAAACTAATCTAGTACTGTAATACATAAATGCACAAGTTGGAAAAAACCTCATAAATACATTTGTTGACAAACAACAAGCGTTGTCTGACATGATGTTTTACAAATTATAACATCATGATTTAAGATTCTGTTCTACAAAAAACTGACTTCAGTTGTGTCAAAACCAGTTATTTTAATTTGAAAACTAAACTACTAAACCAATTTCGATAAAATTTCTATGGGACCAATCTGTAAATATATCCTTTCAGATAAAAAAAAAAAGATTTTCTAAATCAGTTTATAACTGACGAGTTATGTAGTAACAAATATTAAAAACAACATACAATCGAATTGAAAACCTCTTTCTTTTTTAAGTCGGTTGAAAACAAAAATTCTACACAATAAGCATAATTTCACCAGAGGGAGACTTTGTACAAAAGTCGATTGCTTGGGTACCTCTGGCCCATTCGTGTTTCAACCGTGAAGCAGTTGTGTTTGCATGGCAGTGTTTCGGTTTGAAGTGTGGGATATGGCGTGAATTTACTGAGTACAGAGGAATAACATCTGAGTCCTCAGGAATGGCAACGCATGGGGGTATCATGGGGGTTTAAATTTATTACTAATTTTAAGTGAATATTTATGTGATAAATGCACCAAAACTAAGTTACCTTTCCATTAAATTCTATTAAAACAGACTATACATATATATATATATATATATATATATATATATATATATATATATATATATATATATATATATATATATATATATGTGTGTGTGTATAAATAAATGGCAAAATAACTGAATATAAAAATACCAAACGTCTTTTATTGTGCCAAAAATAAAAAAAAAAATAAAAAATATCAATGATCGGCAGTTAAGGACCGGACTCAACAGTGAAAACTCGATATGAGTAGGTACAGCATATAAAGTAGCTGTACCCGCAGCTTTATTTATATAAATTAAAAGAGAAAGTATCCTATATATATATAGGATACTCTTTATATATGTATCAAAGGAGATTTTAGATTTTCAGATTAGTATATACTACATAAATAAATTAAGAAAAGCACTAAGATTATCTGAAAAATAGAATTAAATTTATTAAGTTTATTCTATTTTTCAACCTATTAAAAAATCTAATTGAGAACCACCTTGTTTTTGAAGTGAATCAAAAATGCCCAATTTTATGTATAAGTACCTACGTGAGAATAAAACGAAATAAGTGATTTCTAAATCTGATCACTTATCAGAGATGTTAAACTCTTCCATAACAAGTCTTATAGCAGCCCTCCTAAAAGAAAGTGGTATGTATCACCTACATACAGAAGTTGACATACAGAATCAGAATACACCGCCCCTTATAGCCATTCTAAATTGCCATTTCTGAAGAGTAAAAGAATATAATGTCTTCATTCTTAGTAATATCCTTAACATTTCTTGCGCCTATCAAATCTAAACTTTCCTTATTTTTATACTAAATTCAGATCAGTTTTACAAGCATATCTATATACTTGGTGGCAGAAATACAAGTGTGATGGTAACGACGACATCTAAATAAAATCTCATATTAACTCATAAAATTTTAGTAGTTGTAATATGGCTATTGAACTCTTCATGAGTTTCAACACCAGTGAATGGACTCGTGAGAATATTCTCACATTATACATGTATGTATACTGACGGACAAAATTAAACAATTATTAGTTGAAGTAGGTACCTATTAATTAGAATGACCTTATGAACTGCTGAACTTTTAATTTTAATTTCATAGTTTGGTTGCTTTTGCATTTTTTTCTTCTTTCTCATTACTTTTACGATTTCCATCTCTTGTAATAATTTTCTTTTTTACTCGGATACGTTTTAAATATTTTTTAAACGCATCCCACTTGGATTTAGGAAATTTAGCGGTAGAATCTACAATGGAGCACGGTTTTCCACTACATTCAGAAAAAAGGAAATGGGCCGATGCACATGAGCATGTTTCACTGTAGCAGGAGTCACCATCATAATCTCCACTTGAATGAGATGGCAACCCACGAGATGTGGACGCTCTGCAAGAACTTTTACTTCCATTAGACCATTTATCTGCGATGGCATTGTCGCATGTCACCGATGGTTCCAATGACATACTATATTATATTAAGCATAATCAAAAAATATATTATCGGCATTCACCTATATTTTTGTTCATATTCTATTTTTGTAATAAAATGTTAGTGCATGAGGTAATACGAAATTACGGTTGATCACTGAAATAATTAATTATATATTAAGACAAAGACCCACGGAAAACTTAAGTTATTTTTCTAGAAGATGATTAATTATATTTTATTGCTATAGATAAACAGATGATTATGACAACATAGACGTCATGTAATCACATTTGTATTAACTTATTATTATAATGTAACGTTCAAGGTTTTATAGATACGCCAGACCTATTACAGCCGGCAGGAAAACCGAATGCCTAAAGCCTCTTTTCTTATACACATTTCTTAGTTATAGATATTTAAGCTAAGTTATATATTTTTTATTATACAGGCTTCAGACGAAGTACTAGAAAAATCTGTTAGCGAAGCTCTAGCAGCGGGCTACCGGCATTTTGATACCGCCCGCGCATATGAAAATGAAGCAGCGCTGGGCAGAGCCTTATCTCGATGGATCGGCGGTGAGCCAGCCAAAAGAAAAGAGTTATTTGTCGTCACAAAGCTGCCTCCAGGAGGTAAATATGTTATACTCGGGCATATCTTCTCACTATATTGGGTAAGCTGAAAGAGGTCTCTTTCAGATACCTCTCTCTCTCTCTCAAATCCACTCTTGCTCACAATATTTATAACTATATTTTTTATATAATTTACAAGTGCAATAATAAATATATAAAATATTTATTATGAACTAGTTTTCTGTTCACTATTTCATACTCGTGTATTTCAGAAATAGGAAATCCAACGAGATTATATCTAGATGGTGTATGAACATGAAACATACCAATTTTTAAATTAAGTCTTCAGGAATACAATAAATTGTGAAAAACATATCCAATTTGATACAGTTCTTTTTATGTGATGTCGGAACAAATATATAAGCAGAAAAACTTTAAAAAATATTTTGTTTTGGCTTCTATTGCGTTTAGAATTTCATTATATTAGTAAGATTATGACAATATACAGATCATTTAGTTATTTTTTATTATTACATTATTTACCTAAAAACTAATTAATTAATTAAACAATTACAGACGTGTCCATATTGACTTACAAATTATTTTTATGTTTCGATTTGGAAGGCAAAATATTTTAGTCCTTAGGAATGGTAAGGCATGAATATGGTAGTATACTCCGTGATGTATATAATCACTGTACATGTCTATTGACGACGACTACCTACCACTTCCCATCAGACAAGCCGTCAACTTATTTTCCATTCAAAGTTTCATAAAAAAATACAATAGGTAGTTAATTAGATGCAAAAACCGTTCACCTAGAACAGTTTACAATAAAAACCAGTCGAGAGCGTCACGGTAAAGTCAATCGTAAGTTTTTTAAAGATATTTAACTTTTTTACATATATTGTCAACACCGTTATTTAAATAATATAAAAAATAAATATAATATATGAGTGATGATGCGGAAATACGAGTACAATCATTTTTTCTATTTGCTACAGACCCCTAAAAATATTTCCGATTACATTAATTATCAATAGAAAAAAGTTTACATTTGTTAATGCCAACGTGGCCGCCATTCAGCGTGTGCTGCAGCAATTTAATTACTACAGCGCTGATATTCTGTGGTTGTTGGTATATTTAAGATTGGAGTAGTAGTTGTTTGGATTTGTGTCATAAAAATATGTGTACTTATTATAGAAGTTAGTTTTTATTATGTAATTAATATATTAATTCTAATTAATATATTATTATATTATTTGTAATTATACATGCTTTATTCAGCAATATATTTTTTTCTAAATGTCTTAATTTTTCACTGTGCATATTACAAAATACTTAATATTAATAAATATTATCATTCCCAAAATCAGCAATAAAGCGACAACTATGAGATAAACTTACAGAACAATTCAATCCTAATAAAATGTATATATAAACCTGTTATAAAAATACCGATTCGTATTGGTTCCATACAATTATTGTCACGTTTGCGTCATTACATTATCTATAAATTCATTTCATTTGGACGATTGAAAAATAATCACCGAAATTGATACAAAGAAACATCGGTATTAAGCACATTCTCTTTTATTTAATATCTATTCTAAAGAAAACTATAGATAAAAAAATATATAACTACAAATTATGCCGAGCATATACAATGCATTACACACATCATGTAAAACCGCTCCCAGTCTGAAGATCGCGGGTTTATACAAAATATTAATATTGATTTATGTATCTATTGTATCTCTATATAAAGACTAAATAAATAAATATATTAAACTTTGATATACCCAAATAAGACGGTTAAAAATATTCATCTAATTGATTAAATATATCCAACAGGCAACCGGCCAGATCTAGTTCCAGAATACTTCAATAATTCAATTAAGGACCTCGGCTTAGACTATGTAGACTTGTATCTCATGCACACACCCTTCGCATTTGTGCATGTACCTGGAGATTTGCACCCAAAAAACCCTGACGGTAGTATGAAAGTTGATCATTCTACAGACCTCATTGCAGTATGGAAGGTACGTGTAAATTTTCTTGAATAACGTAAAGTAATTAGTAATTGAATATAATCCAGAACCAAATAAAAAAAAATCGTTTACTAAATAAGCACGACCAAGGATTGAACCCAGCACGTCCTTATCACAAAGCAATAGTATGTGCGTTTCGCTGCACTACAGACGTCGGAGTGTCAAATATATTGGATACGTTTTTAATTATACAATTACAATTATTTTGTTTATTTATTTATTTTTTTTATTAATAGATATGTAAGTTTACAAAAAATCCATGTAATTGCCCATACATTTTAATATTATTTTTTGAGAATCAGTACCACTTAAACACTTCATCCTACAGACATTGATTTACTAAACTGATATGAAAAAAAATCATTCCCTCCATAAAATTATTACAGTTCTTATTCATGAATCTCCTTAGAAAATCTAAAGACATTTTACGTAAAAACGTATGTCAGAAAACAACAATAGCGCTTATAATGTCAGTTGGTAAATAAATTTAATTTTTAATATAGGCTTAATTTAATTAAATTTTGTGATATTATAAGAATATGTTATAACAATAAATTTAATAATTGGCACATCAAGAAATGGGGATTTCATTAGAAGTCAAGTACATAAACCGCAACAATGAGAAAGTTCGAAAACGAGATGTAAAGCGAATTAGAATGAATGCTATTTATCGTTGTGACTCTATTTATAAAGAATGCTGTTATACTGGATCCTTGCCTGCTACAGATCTGAAACAAAACAAAGTGTTAGTAACGCGCAAACAGAATACAAGCTCACCTAACAGTAATAAAAAGGTTGCTACCAAAATTGAACAAGACGAAAGCGATTTCATATGGTCCAAAGTATACAGGTCTCCATTATCTAAAAGACAAATTAATGATATACCTAATCTGGTATCAAATAGATCTTATTCACAAACCAAAATAATTGAATCTAGCTCTCTAAGAGATAAGATAAATAGTTTAAATAATAAAATTATAACGACTACTACAACACATACTATATGTACTTCAATAACATCACTTCTTAAAAAACAACAAGTGACTAAGCAGACTTTTCTGCTTAATCTACCAAACCTTTTATGCCCTTGCTGTACGGGAGGAGACGATGGCATAGATGCACCGTATCAAAATCATAGTGCTATAAAATCTTATGAAAGTATCGATTTAAAACAATGTAACGCTGCTCTGCCTACTTTGAATTTAGACACTTCTATTTCGAGTATTATTGATTTACAAAGAAGTATAAAATCTAAAACTCCAAAATTATATACAAAAATTTTTAAAATCATTCTACATAACACATATAAAAATGCTATATGTATATTTCAATTTTTGAAAGCCATCTAAAACAAATTAAAAAATATTGTATCTACCTTAATGACATTGTTTGAATTTTAATTATTACATATGAAATAGGCAAAACGTTAACTACTTCATTAAACTACTTATTATAATTTAAAATACCAATAACAAACAAATATGATAATATATCTAAGATAATACCAGCCAACCTTCAGTTCATTATAGAAAATTAATATAGTTGCTTAAAAACTGGCAAGAACAAAGTGCCAAATCAATCATTCGACCACTTTGATAGAAATGTATGTAATTTCGAGGAAAAATAAATTTAAGTAATTATTCTTGGCTAATAACACCATATATTTTATTAACAATGAAACCAATTACGGTGATCTCAAAGACGTATATAATTTAAATGAACAAGATGTTATTAAAATAATAAATATGACAGTGTATAGTTATGAATACAGCTCCACCGGCTGTAGTAATAGTCGGAAATCAAGGAATTCCTGTAAATAAATATTTTGCTGCGGTTTGTGCTGTAACTCATGTTGTAGGCCGCACCATGAAAGGCGTCCTGATATAATTACTCACCGTGAAGCACACTTTGAATATATGAAAAATAGATCCAAAAGATCCAAGAATAAACAATATACACAAACTCAACTAAACGATAACGAAAATGGAACATATTTCTCTACTGCAAAACCTACATTTACTTCGAAATGCCAAAAGTACAAGGAATCGTCCTTGAACCCTGTAATATGCTATTCTACCGACACGAGATAATAATAAGAAATCCCGAAAATGCACGTAAAACTAATAACCAAATCCATGGTTTAAAATGTATATATATGACAAAAGGTATGCATAAATCTTCAATCATGTAAACGAATTGCATAAATCTGTGAATATTATAAATGCTTAACTGGCATTTCTCCTTTAAAAACATTTCCTAGACACAAATATATTTTTTTTTATAAAAGATCTTATATTGTTATATGGGGACAAAAACTGAAAAAGGAAAAAATAACTAATCTTACATCAACCAAGTTCTTCAAAAATTTCCAGTTCCAGGCCTAAACATAATCTTTTTTGAACTTGGGATGAACCTTAGACAAAAATAAATTAATCGAAGAGAACGGCAATGATTTTAGAGGCCAGTGTAGTATTAAATCGAATCAAAGTTAAATAAAATCACACTTATTAACAAAAACTGACTCTAATTCGTCAGTGGAAAGTATTTTTAGTTTAAAATGGCGTAAACGTTTTAGAAAATATACCAAATAACCTTTCATGTTATGATGTACACCTTAGCTAGCAAATTTAAAAGTCATCAAAAACATCTGTACGATCTAAAAAAAATAATGTGGTAATACTTCATGTGCCTAAAAAGTTTAGTAATTTATAAACAGTTGGCACTACATCCACTACACGTAATAGTACTAAATTCGAAAAAATTTATAAAGCGTTCTTTATAAAAGATAAGTCTTCACAGCGTTTGATAAATATCAATGAATCTTTTTAAAAAATTTAAAAAGCATTCGTTATAAAAGATAAGTCTTCACAGCATTTGATAAATACCAATAAATCTTTTCGACATCCAAACAAGATCTGTGGACCTGGGGAAATACTTGTGAAGAAGGATACTTATTATTAAAACATGTACTGACAGTGTGTAAGCGACATTTATTAAATATGCATAGTATAAACATTTATCATTTCACCTTGAGATCTTATTACCATTTTAATTAAATATGTTTTTTTTTTTTAAACTTGCAGGCAATATTAAAATTAAAGGATTCAGGGCGGGTACGACATGTTGGCGTGTCGAATGTAAATGAAGAACAACTCAGAAGACTATGTGCTGTAGAAAAACCAGCTTGCTTGCAGATAGAAGTACACGCACTTTGCCAGCAGAACTCAATGATTGCGACGGCGAATGATCTTGGTATTCCTATAGTGGCCTATTCTCCACTTGGTTCCAAAGCGCTTGCTGATGCTCTATCTGAAAAAACTGGGTAAGAATTAAATTCTGCAAGTATGAAAATTTAAAAGAATAAAATTGTAATAACATTCGTAAAAGAAATTATTTGTATACGGGGAAGGCTTATGTTCCGCAGTGGACAGTTAACGGCTGAAATAATAATAATACAAGAGACAAGACAAATAATTTTCAAAAACTATAGGCATTCAAATTTACATGGAATGGAAGACTATTATTATATATAAAAAAATATCTTGATGTATTGTTTCCTATGCATTATATATATTAAACACTTGATTCAAATAGGCACGTCCTAGAAATAGGCTGGTTTATTTACTATATATATATATTTTTAACACAATTGTTCAAGTCGCGAGTATCCCGATCTACTAAAACTACCGATAGTACAGCGCATTGCGGAAACCCACTCCCGTACTCCGGCGCAAGTCCTCCTGCGGTATACCTTGCAGCGCGGACTCGGTGCCATCCCAAAGAGTACAAACCAAACACGGATAAAGCAGGTATTTGTAATCAATTAAGTGATTTAAAATCGTTTTTAAATCATAACCTATTTACTAATCCCGTAACGATTAGTAAATAAGTGATAATTTATTAATAATAATATTACAAATTTTAATACCAAAATACTATGTTATGAAGTGTAATTACTGTATTGCATTTTACCGAAACTGCATAATGTATAGAGAAATTTCTATGTATAATTTATTAGCACTCAAACCAACTTATTGCATACCACTGTACTTTACGCATCGAGTTACCGGACGTGTAACCCTTTCACCTGTTGTATACTTATATATTTATAATAACATCCAAATACCTACAATACGTACTCGCCATGACTCTAAGAAATATAAGTAATTTTTTAACGTTAAAATGAAATAATTATTATTACTCTATCGCATGCACTACCGATATAGGTTCGATGACGAGTACCAGAAAGAGTTGATAGGCGAGGATTAAGTCAAATCAGTTAGCGTATTATGTCATGTCACAAATTCACCAAGAATTAACCACGATGGTTTTAGAGGGACTATTTGAACATTCATTTTATATCATCACAGAGTATATAGCACCCGTCCTTCTCCCTCCATAGGCATCCTCTTATGAAAGAATGATATAGCCTAGATATGATTATCACACTGGTCCTGACTGCGACCTGATATAAAATAATAGTGTTGAGTTCTTCCAATTGCATTGATCTATTAAAAAGGGATGATATTTCCAAGTCTTCATTGTCATTTTCATCATTGAAACTAAACAACATAACCCGAGGAACATGCAACACATAATAACTTATATAATTTTCAACTTTCAAATAACCCTGACATTACGTACGTGAATGATTTAACATTTTTTATCCAATTTATCTTTAAATGTTTTCAGAACATATCCCTATGGGACTTCGAACTAACAGATCGTGAAATGATGGATTTAGCAGCTTTGGACCGCGGTGAAAATGGTCGTATTTGTGACTTCTCTTTCTTCCCGGGCATGGAGAAGCACCCTGAATTCCCTTTCAAACATTAAGCTTGATTCAATTTAGAGTGAACGAAAAATAAAGTATAATTACAGAGATGTACTTTTATATACCTAATGTAAATAAATTAAATACTTATCATCTTTATTTAATATTGACAAATTTATATAAAATGTGTTATTAGTGTAATTAAATTTATCTACATTATTAAACTGATGATTGATTACTACAAAGAAATTATATCTGACTGAAATAATTATTGTCTCTGACTTTATGACCCGACCTAGCTAGCTATATCCTTTCAAGTGGAGCTGTAGTCAGGGGAGATCCTCTTTTTATATTTCAAATACTTAGGGCACTGAATTGTACTCGCACTTGAACAAATATGTAGCGACACACTAAGGCATAATTAAAGTCATAAATAAATTAGTAAAACTGTGAAGAAGATTTGCTATATCTAAAACCAATGTAATATAGAAAACTCTGTTATATATATATAAAAATATATATATATATATATATATATATATATATATATATATATATATATATATATATAATAAAATAATAATATATATATATATATATATATATATATATATATATATATATATATATAAAAAATTATATACACATAAATATAAATTGTTATAGGTATGCACATAAATTCCACAAAATAGGTACCGTAGTCGCTACAGAAACCCTATTATATTTCGATTGTGTTTTTGTGTGAATTTAACACAGATTAACATAGCTGTATCTGCTACGTAGTTTCGATGAAAAATCTTCCAATGAACTCTTAAAATGTCGCAAAGATTTTCTAAGTGTCTATTATACAGATCTTACAAGGATTGTGATAATACCATAATATTCATTTAAAATTGATTAATACCACCCCTGGCTACAAGCCTGGTCTCATGTTGCCTGTTTATGAAGTCGATTGCATATTTAGGTATGCATTTTGATAAGTCATCGTCACACCATATTTACATATCCATTTACAGAATGGCAGTGTAATCGGCGCAGTGTTCGCTTTTTCACATTCTGTTTATTAAGGTACTCGTAAAACTAAATTATCATGTCTGTAATTTTAAAGGGAGCATTTAGATTATATTATTACCTCAATGAAGAAATAGCTGGTAAGATAATAACTGTATTTTCATCATCATCATCATCATCATAATATCAGTCGTTATGTGTCCAATGCTGAACACATAGACTACCATAAGGAACGGTCCTAAACCACCTACATCCACCAGCTCCCTATCCTCAGTCTAGTGACGACCTTAAATGCATTGCACGAGATGGATCTAGTGAGAGTCGTCCTACACCGCGTTTGTCCGTACAGGGTCGCCACTCAAGAACCTTTCATTAACACACAGCTTAAACTACAGGAGTTATAAAAACTTGAAATTTTACCTGTTCATGCATTTTATAATGTAAACATCCACTAAGGTAAAGATGTAAAATAAGGGATGATCGGTTATATGGAAGCCCGTCCTTGTCAAAATTAGAAGCATAAAATTTCATATAAAAACTTCTGATTCTAGATAAATAAATATGTATTTCTGGATTTTTTAAAATCTGTCCCCTAAGAGGTTGAATTAAGGATTGAAAATTTGTATGGGGAGTCCGTCGTTTGTAATGTAAGAGGAATGAAATTGTTTTTGGAAATTCAACCCCAAACGAGAAAAACAGGGTGGAAACTTACACCACTTCTAATTAATTTCGTTTTACCATTTTATATTTAAATTTCCAAAATCTTCCAAATTGAGTATTTAAATGATAATATTTCTTTGAACGATCCACTTGAGCTTTGTGCTTATGTAAATTCGTGTACATTTAAATAATGATAGATAACCAAAGGCCTTGGGTCAAAAAATAAACTAGAGCCCCAACTAAACTATTGAAAATCGTTTGTTCCGTATTCATCATGCTCCGAATTTGACATATTCGAGATTTGTCGTATACCAGATACGTTGTAATAATATAATTGAATCCATAATTAAAAACCAAATACAAATTGTAACTTATTTTAATGAACAAATTAAAACTATTTTATGAAAATAAAAGAAAATATCTACCCGTTACCGTTTAAAAAATACAGTTCTATGACAGACACACATACAGCGGAGGCACGTTAATAGGGTCCCGTTCAGCACTCTTTGGGTAAGGTTATTCCGTAAAATAGAAATAGATGATATAGTGATGTTATTGGTTTAAAAATAGAAATTTTTAAACCAATAACATCATTTTCTTGATTGATTATAACAATATGACAAATCTGGAGTACGACGAATCTGTGTTACGACAAATCTGGAATATGTCGAGTTCGGAACACGACGAATACAGAACAAATCTTTAAAATTGTATCAATAGAAGTCAAAATAAAAACATGTCGTTTTAATATTACGTTAAAAATAAACGTTTAAATCTTTAAATAAATCTGATTTATTTATATTCCAAATATAGAAGAAATTTTCACTAGTTCAATTTATAGTTTGTAAGTCAAAGTCCGAGGGGCCCCCTAAGCTTGGAGGTCCCGGGGCACTGGCTCGTCTAGCTCTCCGGTAGCTACACCACTGTTACAATATAATTTATTGAAAATGTAAACAAATAATTGATCCAACCATGAAACAGTGTGCAGACATCATCTAATGGCGGTATAAATAAAAAATAATTAATTGTTTCGAATTGTAACTAATTTCCAACTTGGTTAGCTTTTATTACTTTAGTAGTTATCTTATTTTTTCATTTAGGTAATAAATATATTTATTTTGTATATTTTTATGATTTGTAAACAGATAAAAGGACACAAGATTGGTTTCTCATGGGAAACCCATGGCCTGGATTGATTATTATAGGAATATATTTAATGACAATATTTAAATGGTTACCGGAATATATGAAGAAACGTCCTGCTTACGATCTGCACATTATTTTAGCTATTTACAATATAATTCAAATAATTAGTTGTATGTACATCGTTTATCAAGTAAGTACCTTAAAATTTTTAATAAAATATATCTTAAATCATTCTACACTTTTCATGAGTATACAAAATCAAACAGCAATCTAATTATAGTAATAAAAATATTGTGTCATCCTTAATATAATAAAAATACTTCTACTATTTTACTATTTTTTCCTTTAATTTCGTCCACGTATCCGAGATAAATTGGTTGAACGGGATAAAAAGCTACTTCCTTGGTTACAAAAAAAACAAAGAACCTCACTTCCAATCTTCTGCCTTACAATGTTAATAAAGATTGCCTATTAGTCCAAGGTACAAATATAAGCACATGATAAGGTACAAATATAAGTAATACAACATGATAAGCGCACTATACTATTTTGCCTTTGTCTGAAATTTAAACTACCTGCCTACTTCAACTACAGGCGGCCAGAGATACAATACGACATTTCACTAAATGTTTTTGTTATCGTTTTTTTTATACTACTAAGATGGCACACAAGCATACGGCCCACCTGATGGTAAGCGGTTACCGTAGTTGTTGGGAATAACAGCTTCATTATGAGAAATATACCCAATTAGATTGACCTCCTTGAGACTCCCATTGAAAATCTGAAAATTCCTGCTAAACTCTACACGATGGGTCACTAAAACTGACCAAATCTTCCATTTCTCCTCTCACTAGTAGTGTAAACCAATAGCACAGGCGAAGTTACAAATCTATTTTCAATTTCGTTTTATGCAATTAAGCACAGATTAACGTACTATTTGGAATGAAAAAAAAAACAAAAGCTACCATTTATCGAAGAAATCGCGAGTAAAAGCAAGTGTTATGATGAAATCCGTTCTCACAGCGATGCTGTGTGTAATGACTTTAATCACCCCATATATTGAGAGCTTTAATAGCCCTAGTAACATGGGCTGTAGTAGTTTAATTAAGTATCCACTTCCTATTTTTACTATCAGAAAAAATATTATCATATTTTATCTAGTACGTAATAATATTTTGTACATATAATAATCTATTTCCCTTAGAGTCTTATGCTGGGATGGCTCAACCACTACAAGCTTGTTTGCCAGCCGGTCGACCACGGACCGAATAGTGTTGACTACGCATGGAATGTCTGTTACCTCTATTTTGTTAATAAAATGACGGATCTACTTGATACGGTAATCACATTATTTTTTATAAATTTTATAATGACACAAAAAAAATATCTGTGCCAGTCTCTATAAAGAATAGGACTTTGTCTGTCAACGCAAGAAAAAAAGGATCATGAACTCGGACCCTCCATTACATTAAATTGCATAAAATATAGATTCTTATTAAATATGTAAGCCAGTTAAGATTCCCTAGAAGATAAAGACGAGTTATCGATAGGTCGCTGGTTCAAATTCGGATTGAAGGACCATGTTCTAAAGGTCATTGAAAAATCGCCAAAGATCGAAAGAATAAAAGAGAGTAGCCATTTCGAGTGGTGATACACAGTTACGTTAATTATTGTTCTCGAGTAGTAGCGTTGTCAAATATAATAATATCTAATTAAAACAATATTTATGACTGACATTTAAAAAAATTATCGTTATAGATATCTAATTTATATGCGAACTTTATCCTAAGTTGTTGTCAACCATATCGTTGTAACCTGTGATCTGCCTGTTATAAATATATATTTTATAAGAAGATAATTAATAGTTACTATTAATGCCTACATTTCAGGTATTTTTTATATTGAGGAAAAAACAAAATCAAGTAACGTTCTTACATGTATATCATCATTTTGGAATGGTAATGGTGGCTTGGGGTATGGTTAAATGGGTACCAGGTAAGAACCTTTTATATAATTGTATATAAGTATAGCTATAAAACACCTATTCAGGTCTGTAGGTACCTATAAGTACTCTCACTTTAAGATGCGTGAATCATGACGTCAGATCCCTCATATTGCAAATAGGGAGAAACAAATTATTTTCTTATCGTTTTTATTTCGCGTCTATTTGTATTATTTTAAAACCATAGGAATAGAAAACTACATTTCTTTTTATTGTGACAATTATTTGGGAAAAGCTATGGGGACAGCTTGAAGAGAGTACCTAATAATGGAATTTATCCAAATCGTTCTATATAGGTATACATTATTACACTATTGTATGAGAATAGATAGTTTAAAAAATTATTCTTAAACTCAAATAGGCATTTTTTTTTTTATTTTTGTGTGTTTGTAAGAAATATCTTAGGACTATTTTCGAAACATAATAGATAATTTATTTATGGTATTTACAGTATACACACATACAAAGAATAATAAAGACAGTAGGAAAAAAACATAATATGACCACAAGTTGAGTTTATTGATTTGGCCTCAAAAGAGCAAAACATTGTTTTTCTGATGCGGCCAAAATCCATATAGAATCCAGTAGATACGTTGCTTTATAATTTTCTTACATACATTATAGAATGTGTTAATTCGATTCCCTGTTAATCTATTTTTTTTTTGATGATTTTTTTTCAATTACCTCCGACCGAACGTTGCTGTTTATCTACTTATAAGAATTTTATTTCTTTCAACAGGTGGACACGTAACTATGTTAGTACCACTGAATTCTTTTGTACATATAGTAATGTATTCATATTACCTACTCACAACATGGGACGAAAAATACAAACGATCTCTATGGTGGAAGAAACACGTAACACAGATACAAATTGTAAGTTTATCAATATAGATACAGCCTATTAAATTTATAAGTTAAAATGTTAAACATTTGTATTATTTTAAAATATTCGATTAGAATTTAAAGATTTGCTTTCCTTGTGTTGCTATAAATATAAATTAGTTGTTTATTTTATTAAAAATAATAGTTTAATAATAATATATAGAATTAAATCGAAACACAAATATTCATTTCATTTTTCAATTTATGGAAGTTCTAATTTTTTTTTATTAATTTTCTATTTGTCTCCTTATCCAGTAACTTGACTACTATAGATACGGCCATCAATTCGAAAAACAAATGTAACACAGCTGTTTGGCGGCAGAAATACATGTAGGACAGATGTACCCGAGCAGACAAGTTCGCGGCATAATATCATGCACCAATCTCACACACTATATGACATTACCTACTAAATTCAGTCTTTGTTTTCAGATTCAATTTCTGCTATTGCTGATACATTTCGTGCTAGTAGTAACGATCCCGGACTGCGCCGTCCCACGTCAACCTGCCTATATACTGATACCACAAAATCTCTTCATGGTGATACTGTTCGTTGATTTCTACTACCGCTCCTACATCAAAACTATGAAAAATGCGTGATTTTATATGTAATATGACATAGTACCAACAATCAACCATGCCACTGATCACGATATTAAAACAAAATGCAAAAAATAAAAACCAATATGTTGATAGCATACGTGTTTTCTCCCTACTTTATGTAATAGTTTTACAGAAAAATGGTAATGTTGTAGAGGAATCGCCACAACCTCAACAATACGACTTTTTGTTCTGTCGACATTTCTCAATTGCGTGAAGGCGTAAACGATTTCTTGACCCTGTTCTCATGGTCTAACTTGCGATAGCAATTCCATTCGATGGATTCGCTTGCCACTTGTCTATAGGGCTTGAGCAGATAAAATTCCCTTTTCGCTGAGAACAAATTCGTGCTAGCAAGCATGCAATTCTATGTACTTATGACCGATACAAATGTACGCCTAAAATACATTGGTTTGTACATTCCTGGTCTGCACAAACCTTTAACATGCTCATTGCCTCTATTCTGTTGATCTACGTTAATTCATACCACCCCTTATATATTGAAATTTGCAATAAACATAGATTATAAAATTTGCAGAGTTGAAACTATCTAACTACTAAAGTTATTAATGTATTATTAAACTTAAAGTGCAAAATATACTAATGTAAGTACAATCAACACCTGGTGTGTGGTACATGAATTACAGTGGCGGGAATGTGTGACAGATGAAGGAAATACGAAAAAAAAAACTAAGCGTGTCTATGGGAAGAATGAAACGAATATTTAAATTTAAAAAGTGTAACTTTAATACCCAAATTTATTAAATTCTACACTGCCAACGTAATAACTTAAAAATTATACGTGCGTCATAAGAAATAAAGTTTTGACATCAAATAGTTAAGTATAACATTTTCTCTTAACGACTAGTAACAAAAACTAAAGAGTTTTCAATAAGTAAAAGACCAATGTCAATCTTACATAAGAACAAGCTTAGGTTAAATTGTTTAATTAAATAAACAGAACTATATCAGAAAATTATCTAAAAATATACTTTACGATCATATTTTTTTTTTATTTACAGTCATGTATGTTATAACTGAGTTGTCTTAGGTCTGTTTAGTAATGTATGATGAAAACAGAAAAAAAAAACAATAAAGTAATCCCGTCGGAGCGCGTATAATTTTAAACAGTCTGATCATAGCTTTGCGACTAACTTGAATGCAGCAAAATCTTACCCAGACATCGCAACAATTATCGTGTGTTGTTACTTTGAAAGGTAAGGTGTGCAAGCTTCGAGACTTTGCTCAGAAATAGAAAGAAAGGAGAATATAATAGACACACAATATTGCATACATCCCATTTTACCCATGACTTTATTCGTGTTTACAGGTGACGGTTACTACTTTCCGTCAGATGGGTCGTTAGCTTATTATGCGTTGCCAATAATATTAAAAATTAACCATAACAAATAGATAAATTAATATACCTATATCGCTCTGTACTTTTAAAGGCACGTTAAACATATTTTTGTAGTATTAAATAACAGTCTTTATCTTATAAATTTTAGAGATCAAATTTATATCCTTTCACAATTAAATATCAGTAGCACCAAGCTAAATACCTACTTACACGAACATAGAAAATAAAAATACTCAAAAAAGAAACACTGGACCTCGAATCACAGATAATAATAATACTTATACTTAACGACATATTACATACATCAAATGTCGGTATTTATGCATGAAACTAGCTTAAACGATTATAGAGGTTTTGTTTCACCAGATCTATGACATTACTTTGACTGAACGCGTCAATAACGGCCTTCGTTAATCCTAGGCCAGTAGAGCTAGCGTCAACTTCGTCTTCGTCGTGAGACCTGTCAGTGTTGGCGTATTTAGTAAGATTCTCCTTTAGAATATTAATCAGATCGGTGCTGGCAATACTTGGGGCTATTTCTAATTTGTTCGTTGGCTCGTCCAATAAACTTTTCAGATCGAACTCCTCTTCAACAGGTACTGCGACGTCCTCCTCACAGGTTCTCTGCCGTTTGACGCGGCGCAGCTTGCGTTTTTTATCTAAGTACATATTGGCCACTGTCTCTAATTGCAAAAATAATACTGCTAATGGAGTGTCAACGATGTCATCCTGAAAAATAAATATAGTTTAATTGAAATAGTGTAGTTATATTGGTTCTTCACTTTATACAATTATGCATTGTGTAGTATAATAATTCGACACTGAATTATTTCTAGTATTAAATTAGGTACATTCCACTAGAATGGCTGTGCTAGAGGCCGTGTGATTTGACTATGATATATGGAACTATTAGGCCCAATTAATAACAATCCAATTAACAACAAGTTAAAAACCTCCTTTTAACACAAACATCAACGTTTAATACTTGATAAACAAATAGGTAGTTAAATCTTAAAAGTAGAACATTTTATTCTAACTACAAAACTTCAAGCAGCTAATTTGGTAGCAATATCTTGTTTAGTTTCATTATCAATGTGAGTTATTTTTAGACACCACAAAAATGATCTATACGTAACGTGATTAACCATAATAAATCACATGCTCCGGCGGCGTTTATTATCTTTACACATACCTACTATAAATAGCTTATTTATCATGAAAATTACCAAAGAAGTCTAGAAATAAACAACGGAACCCAATCACGTAATTACAAATAGCTAAATGAATAAAGCTAGCGTATTTTATCCGAATCGATATTAATCGACTATATCAGCAGATATAGTTTGACTCCTCGTGTTTACGAAAAATCCCGAAGCTCTCACATTTACTCACATTTATTAAATATATCACCACATTACTTTTTTATTTCTAACAATAAAATTAATATCATATAAGCCGTAAGTACCATGCTGTTTATCAGCACAACAATTAGTGTCCAGTCACAAGCATAAGTAGTAAATGTTTATTATTATTTAGATGTCTATATCTATTTACCAGAGGGAGACTTTGTACAAAAGTCGATTGCTTGGGTACCTCTGTCCCATTCGTGTTTCTACCGTGAAGCAGTTGTGTTTGCATGGCTGTGTTTCGGTTTGAAGGGTGGGATATAGCGTGAATTTACTGAGTACGGAGGAATAACACCTGAGTCCTCAGGAATGGCAACGCATAGGGGGTATCATGGGCGAAACAATATACTCTGTTATGTCCATGCTACTGCTTATGTCTATAGGCGACGGTTACCACTTTCCATCAGGTGGGCCGTCAGCTTGTTTGCCATTCTAAGTTGTATAAAAAAAAATAGATTATTATATAGATATTATTTATGATAGTAGCCCCTGTAAGGACTTTAGTTAAATTTGGTATTCAATTATGTAAATGATGATATAATATAAATACGGAAAACTCTTAAAAAAAAGTGATGTAAGATTGTGATACCACAATGTTGGTCTTTAAAACGGTTCATTCATATTAATACTTTTCTAATTTTATCGGACTGCCAAAGAAAGTGAATGCTTTTGTAGTTAAAATTCTTGAAATGGGTACCGTTAAATTTATCTTAACTGTAAGAATAATTATTGAATTATTTCTATACTATCGACACATAGCCCACAATCATATCATATAAGCTTTTAACTGCCCACTGCTGAACAAAAGCTTCCAGCTTGGGGGGTTTTGCCAGTAGTCCACACGCTTGGCAGGCGGATTGGCAATCGCAGTTAGGCTTTGGAGATGTTTTAAGTGGGACACTGCTACCTATCTCTCGCTCACAATATTTTCTAATAATTAAGATGAAACTTTTAATTATTAATTACGACAAACAAACAAAGAAACAAACATTGTAAATCGCTATTATCTTGAAACGACAAAAAGTTACTATGGCGATGAAATAAGTAGTTAGTATAAGATAAACATAATAGAACTCACTTCGTTGGGATTAACTAGCAGTTTGGCCGTTTCCTGCGGCAAATCCTTACATAATTGAGCTACTAATATTTTTATAAGAGCTTCAGAAACTCGAGTTGAAACATCCTTTTCCTGTTAACAAATATGTAATTAATTTTAATATTAACCCTCTAGGTGACACTAAAATGTGAGACTGCGGTAAATTCGTGAATTTAAAAATAATTGAGAATTCTAAATACGTCTAGTAATGTCTTGACGACGTAAAGGCAATGGCAATTTTAATTCCTTATAATAGTATTAATATTCAAGTCCATTTATTACTTTTTGAATGCACATCAAAACCAATCGCTATAAAATTTTGTTTATACTCATACTTAGTAAATGAAATGGAGACTACTTAAATAACATAAGTCATGGATCCAGTTAGTGCATAATGAATAATCTTTTTTTTAATGTAACTAAAAATGTCATATTATAAATTAATGATCCATAAAAGGAAAATGGTAACCGTCGCCTATAGACATGAACAGCACAGAATATACTGAAATGTCTATTGATACTGAATGTCTACAGGAATCGGTATTACGCAGTATCAGACGTTATGCTGCCAATTCCAATTATTATATATATTTTTTTACTTAATACATTCTTCCCCAAAATTATTGGTATATTTTTTAATGAATTATCAGTAAATATGTTCATGTTTATAGGCGACAGTTATCACTTTTCATCACCCTGTTTGTCATTCGAATCATGTTATTATTATTTTTTTTTTTTTCAGGTACCGAAAGAGGCCTACACTAACATATAACGATCAGACCTTTTGGAAATAAATCAACAATCTGACTCCGTTATATATGCATAAAGTAAGCTTATGAAAGTGGATGAAGCAAAAGAATTAATAAGTAAGGAATAGGATAATGGTAACCAATTCTCTCTGCCTATTTCACAAAAACTTGGTGTGATAATAGAATTTTATTTCTTATTTTTAATGGACCAATTTTGATAAAAAAATATCCTAAGATTATGAAAGACAATTTAGTTTTATTTTACTAAAACATACTTAAATGATTTGACTTAATACTAGTAAGTGTACATGTAACACATTACATATTATTCAGAAAAAGGCATTTTCATTATAATAACATAAATACATTACATGAGGTAGCCACATATTTAGTGCAATGTTGAGACTTCCTGTATTCTGAACATAATGCCACCAGCCACGGGGGACTAGCAGTGCATCTCCAGGTGCGAGTTCTACCATCCGACCACCTGTCAAACCTTGAACAAAACAATATAATGTAATATTAAAATACTATATTAAAATTTATCAACCTTATAGCCTATGATAGATACTTAATACTACTTTAATGAAAATTCAAGTTTAATGCATAGTGAAATCAATATATAAAAAAACCTTTGCAATACATCATCTAATATTTGTCCTTTTGTTAATCCTATTAATATTATAAATGCAAAGGTTTGTATAGATGAATAGATGTATGTTATTCTTTTACAAAAAAAAAAACTACTAATTTGATAATTTAAAAACTTATTAGCCGATGTTTAGATGCAGCATAAGCATCAAAATATATTACAAAACAATTAGTATTTTCACTCTATTAATGTTAAAATAATCAATCTCTTGACAGAATTTTTAAGTTATGTTATATTATCAATAAAATTAGTTATATAATAATAGTAAATAATTAAAATAAAAATTACATTTTATGTCATAAAAATCTCCAATACAAAATTAATAATTTTAAAACAGTGGCACTTTTTTATACTTTCCATTAGATTGTTTTATTAACAGATGGCTAATGAAAGCAATATATACCATTAAAAGGGTCCATATTGTTAGGGCAATAAAAATTTAGTTCACTGTAAACACTGGATTCCTCGTAAGGCACTCTTGTAGGTCTTAATCCGCCTGTTTCAGGAGGGAACAGTATCCATCGCTTTCTGAAACATTAAAATAAATTATTTAGTTTTTTTATTTAGGCTCCAATGATTATTTTTGCATTCAGCAAAGAAATTAAGTACATACTTTCACACCCAGCATTTTATGATATAATATTACTATTATACAGTTCAACATAAATGACTGCACCCTTATGGACATGTCTATCCAAAAATACTGAAATATATACTAAAAAAGAATATTTAACTTTACTTATAAATAAATTAATAAATCTGTAAAAAGTCTTTTAGACTGTAAGAATAAAATTATAATAATTATAACTGTTTGGGATCCTTACGTTCCGTGAAGTTGTGCTACAATATTTATGCCATATGTATCCTGATGGGCAGGAGTATGGGCTCCACTACTGCCCACCCAAAGTGTACTATCTTTAGCACCTTTATCAGCATATCCAAATTGATTCCATGAAACTTCCTAGATGAGAAAAAATTAATCATTATTATTTTTTTCTTTTTTCATTTATTTTGGTAAACAAACAGTGACAAAATAAACAACAATACATAATATTAATTAAAGAAAACATTGAATAAATTTGCCATCAATACCATTTACTATAATTTTCGATTCAAATATAATACAAATAGCCTAAGCTAACAAGAACAGTTAAAAATTATGTGAATCTTTTAGAGATTAACTTTTTAAAAGTACTTGGGCATTCATTAATAATATCAACATCATTAAAAAAAGCATTATATGAATTCACAAGTCTATACAAAGGTGACCATTTTCCAGAGTTTGTATGATAGCAACTAGTGACAAAAAGACAATTTTGATAACGGCAATGCACTCTAGTAGGTATTCCATAACACAACTTATTGATAATTGGACTATAGTCATATCTACTATGGCACAAATCATATAAAAGCATAGTTTCTAAATGGATATGACCAAATTATATAAAAGCATAGGCCCAAAATGAATCCTTGTGAAACTTCACAAGTAACCAGAACTAATTCTGACTCATGACCATTAATAGTTACCTTTTGTGTATGATTTGATATATAGGACTTAAACTAGAACCACAAATCACCATGTATACCATTATATACAAGTTTATCAAGCAATATTTTATGAAATTATTATAATCACTTAACTCTTTTACATATATAATACTCAGTTGACTAAGAGATACTAAATAAAGGGCTGCTTAGTCTTATTACTAAGAAATATCTTCAGAAGACACTTTGAACAAATTATTTAAAGGAAGAATATATGTAAAAACTCACACATAAAAATAATACAACATACATAATTCCAATATAAACAAAGGATCAAGTGGTTATACAAACAGGTTATTGGATTTAAGTTTTAACTAAGGTAAGAATTGAATGTTTCATTAGAAGTTGTCAGTAGATGCTATGTGAAATATATTTTAATCTTTTTAAGTAATACAAAGTTACTTTTAGAGTAAAAATGTGGAAGACATACCAGTTCCAGAAGGGAACCACAAATTAGGTTAAAATTATATTCTAATATTCCCAGTACAATCACAAAAATAAAGTCCACTGCATGCCACAAACTCCTTTCACAACTGTAATAATGGGGTGAAATTATGATCATTAGCATCCTTTTAAGGGAGTGTTCTCTCAGTGAAATTAAACATTTTTATCAAAGAAACATGGGTCAGAAAATTTTGAGCCACCTACTAAATATAGAGACTCCAGGAGACTTTTTGTCATTTTTAAAGAATAAAAATGTGAATTTTTTTTTTACCTAACATATTGCATAGCACTAGTAGATTCTTAGTTTTAGCTATGATCAACAACTTAGATTTCAATCTGTATATATATTTCTGAATATCAATTAAATTACTGAAATGGGTGGTTAGGGGCACATTTTAAGTTTAAATTATTAAATAAAAAAATTATAATCACCTTGTATAATTCAGTGTCTGCATTAAACCACTGATGTAAATACTTATAATCAAAGTACATCCATTCGTTACTCGATAATCCTTCAAGAAACTTCTTAAATGACATGGATTTGATTTTACACCGTCGCTCCCAGCATGGTTCATCAGACACCAAATCTTTTCTCATGCACCGAAAGGGTATTTGCCGGTCCCCAAATACTGAGCTCCATTTATCTATGTCCCAGTGGCATATGGGCCAATTTGTAATGAAATTCCGAAACACAAGCGGAACATTAATATTTTTTGTTATATTACGAACAATATCTTCATTTAAAACAGCAGACATTTCGTAAAACACAATGTTGATTCTTCAATATATAGAGGTATTACAAAAATACCAAACCAATAAACCAATAAATATAGTTTACGACATCATAAATATATTTATTTATGCGTATCATAAAAATTGAAAATCCACAAACTAGTAAATCCAAACTAAAAAAGAGTATTATAATTATAAATAAATGTCTCAGATCATTTGGTTATGGAACCAAAGCTGTCCAGACCTATGCTACTTTGAACCAAAAAAATATATTAATTTATTTATATAGAATCTATGCAACCAGTTCGTGGAATATGAAAGCTTTGCACCATAAAGTAACTAGATCTTTTGTGATACTTAACGGTATTATTACAAATACTTATGCATCGCTTTGCATAAGTATTTGTAATAATACCGTTATTTTTTAAATATTAATTTAAAAAATAACTACTTTTATTAAATAAATACTTAGGTACTTTTTGCAATACCCTCCCCCCTCTTCATTCGATACATATTACCTCACTATTTCACTCAATAACCCTCTCCGTCAGTCACATACACTGTCACACACATTCATACACAATAAATTTACACTGCGCATATGGGATATCTTTTTATTTTTTATGATCTAGTTCATTCATGTTTATTTTATAACAGCCTTGGACATGGATATCGAAGAGCAGGACGTGATATAGATATTGCTATGCTTATTAGCAAATCCCAACCTCATATTGCAATGTTGAAATGTTTGTAAAGAAATAAATACATTTCCATTTTCATTATAAAGAAGCGACAAAGTATGAGTCAGACTCGTACTTTGAAGGTTCCCATATAATAATAAAAAAAAAAAAAACTGCTGAATTATTTTATTGTTTCTTCGAAGTGGATGCTTAGAATCATTTTGGAATTTTGTCAATATCAGCACAGTGCTGATTCATCAATAACATAGTCACGCACTCTGTGTTAATGTCATCATAGTGTCATTATCATCCATATGTCATTGTATTTAGACAAAATAAAAATAACGCAAAATAGTGATTACTTGCTCTGTGGTTAAACTAAACAAAAACGAAGTAATTATTAATCTGTGGTAATAGAGCTGACAACTAGTGTAAATGCAAAACGGCGGCTAATTTTCGATATTCTCTTAGTTTTTATTTGTATTTTCTCATTTAGTTTTTATTACAGTGTTTACAATTTCTATTAAGTTTTCGAAGAACTACGACAGAACTATTTATAATATCATAAAAAATTTGAAGGTGAGAATAATGGAGCCTGAAGTCATGTCATCATTTTTTTATCAAGAAATACCATGTAATAAAAACTTGGATTTATGCAACGAGTTTCTTGATCTTATAGATGAATTAAATAATAATTTGGAACAGTTACATTTGCCAAAAAAAGTTGAGTGCGTGTATAATCCCACAATTTATGCTCGAAACACGTTTGAAATGTATATACGAAATTATTGTAATACAAAAAAAAGAATAATGTTTTTCGGTATGAACCCAGGACCATGGGGAATGTCTCAAACAGGAGTAAGCTTTGCCCATAATACTTTAAGGATGGAATAGATAGCGTTTTGTTTCTATTGGATCACAGAAAAACATGGATTGTATCTACTTCGCTTAAACTAAAGATTAAGCAGACATAACATATCTTTCGCCTCCCTTTTCCCTTACCTCCCTCAATGATAATACCAATATAAGTCCTTTCTTTGAGTTTATAGATATAATTGTAAAGATAATATGCAGATGTGCAAAATTTTATGTTCATAAGTACATCCAATAGTATTAATACCCTATTCATTCATCCAGAAAGAAAATTATTAGGAAATTGTGTAGTTCTAAGAAAGAATAACACTATTTTTTAATGATATTCATTATTTATCACGTTATTTTTATTATATTATTCATATTAAATTACTTGATGAAATAAGAAATATTCTATTTATTTATTTAAACTTTATTGACTAATAAAATGTGATGCAAAAAGCAGATTTAATGCTATAGGCATACTCGGCCAGTCAACCTTTAGGATGTGCAGAGATACTCAATGCCTGTTTAAAAGATAAAATTATTTATTTTATTCTATCCATGTTTTCTGTAATCAAAGTTTCAGTAGATTGCATGTTTATTGTAGTGTAGACTTTAGTGGTATCAATATCTTTGTTTACTTCTATTTTTCTTCTTTAATTTTCTGTCTTTCTAAGATTCCTAACATTGCTTTGTTAATATATTTTTAGTTATTTTCATGAAATTGTTCTAACCTTATTTATATTTCTAGGTATTAAAGATTTATATTAAAAGTGCAGTTTTTTTTTATAAATTGATAATTCATTTATTTATTTAGTTGTTGCACTCTAGCATATACCAAGAGTAATTTGATCACCCATTAAAAAAAGTTGTAGCATAAATGAAGTAAAATATCTCCTTCATTTATGCTAGCAATATATTAGTAAGGAATGTTAGGTATGGAGGAAGTCAGGTTGGTTGGTCAATTGTAACAAATGCACCACTAATTTACCACTCCAGTTAATTTCTTTAATTTCCAGGAGGGCACTGTAAAGAGGTCAACTTGACAATGTATATTACCAATAATATGGTTACTTGTCTTTGTTTTTAACAATCCCTTCCTCTTGATGTTTTGACTTTAGTTTTTTTTTTTTTATTGAAGTTATTTTGGTTATAGATTTGTATATATTTCATTAGTTTTTTGTTTGCAAATATTTATAGAGTTAGTAACTTTTTGCTTAATCTTGGTTTGCCTTGCATTTACATTTCTATGAACATCTGTCATTGTTTTTAGGTCCCATTTGGAGAAATTGAATCTGTTCGAAATTGGCTGCATATAACAGGACCAGTAGGAAAACCTCCAAAAGAACTACATAGTAGACGAGTGGAAGGTTTTAATTGCAGCAGAAGTGAGGTATATAAAATATTTTATCAAGCATAAATTTATTACCAAACTTTGGTTGATTACACCAGTAAGTATGCACAGAATGACAAATATATTACGTGTATGTGAATGGTCTGTGTTTGTCTACTAAAAATAACCATACATACAAAAATCACACTAATCTAATTGTACTATAACCTTAATGCCAACATTATAGAAAGAACATATTTTATTTTGGGCACAATCATTGTACTGTACAATGATCTAAGAAATTTAAACTAAATATGGTTATTATTGATACGCCATTAAAAATATATGATTTATCTTTTATTACATGCCATGTAAATCTAAAAATTAGAATAAACAGTTATATAACAATATGTAAATCATAACATAATCTATTTTCGACATAATCTAAAAAATAATAAAAAATTACCATACAAGAAATAATAAGATATAATTTAAGACTTTGTTCTACAGAAAAACATTGACTAGAATTGTTGAAAAACTAATTGACTGAAAAACTAAACTACTGAACAAATTAAAAAAAATATATAGGAGCAATCTGAAAGTATATCCTTTCAGATACAAAAAGAACTTTCCAATTCGGTTTATAAATTACAGAGTAATGAGGTAACAAAATAAAAAAATGCAAATGTAATTTACATTTTACTTAAAAAAGAAATGAGAACCTTAAACCTTTTTGAAGTTAGTTGAAAATAGTTAAAATGAGATAGCATGAGATACCTTTACAACATTCGACATATCACAGGAAGCGAACCTACTACTGTCACATTTATATAATTTGGTATGTGCAAATTTCCTTTTAAGATGTTTTTATAATATATATTGATTGGGCCCAGGTTCCATACTAAACCACTTTCCAAATAAAGACAAACTTGAGGTAATCAATGCATCCGCATCTTCGCTTGTATGATAATATAAATCAGATATATATATTTTTACAACTTAAGTGTATTTTGAGCATATGGATATTATCTTAGGGGCTATATTTTTTGTATGTAACCTTATCTCTTTGATATAACATTTTGACATTAGCATATTTAAGAATATTTTTCAAGGGGTCTTAGCCCACTAAGAAATGATAGATCCATTTGGCCGCCTTCCACACATTCTTGAGGAGAAGGAATTGTTGGTAATCGAAACTAGCAACCCTATTGCTAGTGATATGCACTGTCAGATTACCTGCTTCGCAATAGGTCAATTTTTTTTTGTAATTTTCCCTCTTTGTTTAATATTTAGACATTAGCATATGAAAGTACTTTCCAAAGGGTCTTAGCCCATTAAACAAATTATGAATCCATCTAGCCACCTTATACACACTCTTGGGCGGAAGGAGCTGTTATTAACTGGGACTAGCAAACCTATTGCTAATGATATGCACTGTCAGATCGATCACCACACGGTTCCCCTGAAAAATGTGCTTAATTCTTGGTGAATTCGTGATGAGGAGCTAACTGGCCTGCCATCATCCTCACCTATCAGTCAAGCGTATACCGATAGTAGCTGAAGTTAATAACTGTATTGTTGAACTTTAATTACAAAAATATAAATGATAGCAGTATGTAGGAAAGCTGTAAGGATTTTTTTTGATGGATGAAAATGGTATCCGCCTGCGCTAACGGGATAAGCTGGCGGAGCACCAGTGAAGGGTGATAGATGAGAATGAAAACAGGCCAGTTAGCCCATCATGATGAATTCATCAGGAATTAACCATGATAGTGTTCAGGGAGAACCGCGAGGAGATCGACCTGGTTGGGTATATTGCTAGCAATTGGATTCTCAGTTTCCATTACTAACAATCCCTTTCCCCCCCAAGCTGTAAGGATTATTTGTCTCATTATAACATTACAAGTTTATAAAAAAAAGTATGTTTATTAGTATTAATCCATTAGGGGATTTTTTTTAAATTATTATACTTTATAATTACCCGATATTTTGATTAATTTGTGTATTATTTTAAAACCTATTTATTTAATATAAAGTATGTTTTGTATATTATAAGGATTAAATATTTTAGCCCTTTTTTTAGGATTAAAGTTAAATATTAGGTATCTAATAACACTGAGTTCTAAGTTTCTTTACAGAAAATTAATTACGAATACCAAATTTCCCTAGTGTTTTCATACGAAGACACTAGCGAAACACTAGAAAAATATAAAACATCGGGCTTATGGTTAATTTACTATTCATTAATAATTGTATCCTTCCACCTAATTGTATATATATTTATATCACATTAAATAGAATAGGTTTTTTTATTATGTATATTTTCAATTTTAAAATTGTATCATTTATTACAGATCAGCGGTGCCAGGTTCTGGGGTCTCTTTAAAAAACTTTGTGGTAAACCAGAAAACTTCTTCCGTAGTAGTTTTGTTTACAATTATTTGCCGCAACAATGGATGCGAAGCAATGGGGCAAATGTCACGCCAGGTGAATTTAGTGTAAGTATGAATTATCATTTTATAATCAATTGATCATGTATTTAACAATAGACGAAGTGAAATATCTATATCACAAATTGTATACATTTTTTTAGGGAAAATAGACATGCCTATACATCAAAATCATTTTTAATCATTGAGTATTCTAAAGTAACTTATGGTTCGACTTTAACAGATATACAGTATGTTAATAAACGTAACTCATAACTTAAAATTAGAGTAAATATTCATTAATAGGATCTAAAAAGATATTTTCCTAGAAAAAAAATTACATTACCAAAAAATAATAAAAAATAAAATTATCGAAGAAAAGAACAGCTGTATCTGTATCAACTGTACAACACAGTACAAGGTATATACACAACACACCTATTATTATGTAGATACAAATACAGTTTCTTTTTCTTTGGAGAATTTTCGTTTTATTCTTTTGTAATATATTTCTTATATATATTTTTTTTTTCTAGGAAAAAGTCTTTGAGACCGTATTAATGAATCCTAACACCAGATTTAAGAAATTGGTTACGTTAATTAACATACTGAATATGATAGACATAAGATATAATTTACACTAATATTATTTATTTGTAACAGATAAACTAGAATACTGTTTAAACGATTAAAAAAAATTAACCACTAGAAAGCTATATAATTAGCGAGTAAAATAGACTATAGTCTATGTTACTCGGTAATATTGATATTAATTAACAATATGTATATTATTTTCAATAAATTAAAGATCCCTCTGAAAATTACAATAATGTATCAAAAATTTGCATATAACAGTCATTAGTGGGCGTCCGCTTCGAAAACTTTTGATAATACATAGAATAATGTACTATTTGTTTATAGTACTATTCATTGCTCACAAAAAAATGTAATACTGCATATTTAACTATTATATTTAAATCATAGTAATTATTTCAAACTGACCTTCCGTTAGAAATTACAACGGGTATAAAATAATAATGGTCAGAAAAATACAGAACAGCCTATTTTATTTTATTTTTTTTATTTTATACAACTTAGAATGGCAAACAAGCTGACGGCCCACCTGATGGAAAGTGGTAACCGTCGCCTATAGACATGAGCAGTACCATGGACATAACAGAGTATACTGTTTCGCCCATGATACCCCCCATGCGTTGCCATTCCTGAGGACTCAGGTGTTATTCCTCTGTACCCAGTAAATTCACGCCATATCCCACCCTTCAAACCGAAACACAGCCATGCAAACACAACTGCTTCACGGTTGAAACACGAATGGGACAGAGGTACCCACGCAATCGACTTTCGTACAAAGTCTCCCTCTGGTAAAGCCTTACGGTATTGTTACGGTATTATTGTTATCTTCTATTGGTCAAAGTAACAATTTAAAATACTAATTTACTTTTCTGTCTACCCGTGTGAAGCCGGGGCGGGTAGCTAGTTCTTAGATAAATTGATTAAATATGCCATCGAATAAATTTATTTAAGATGTAAATCCTCTGTCTTATTAAAAATAATAAAACATTTAAACACTGACTGTTAAGTCGACAAAAGATGGGTGTAAATATTATTTCGAACAATTAATTAAAAATAGGTTTTATTTTAATTTTTGTTGATAACAATACTTTTTAGGGTTAAATTAAATTGTTCTGTTATTTATATGTTCTATGCCCTAAAATAGATTTTTGTTTTTAGGCTTTGGATATGACCGCATTGTTTGATATATGTGACCCAACTTTCATAAAGGTCCTCGAAATTTATGAAGTGGAAATCATAATAGCTATCGGAAAGTTTTGTGAAAAAAGAGCACAAAAAGCATTAAAAAAATATTTACCAGAATCTAAAATACAGGTAACACATTTAAAATATAATAAATAATAATATACACGTAAAAAAATATTGTAGACATAAGTTTATTAAGTATTTTTTTTTTTTTCTAATTACTGCAGTCTGTTTTAAAATAAAACAGTGTTTTTAAAGAGTGAAAAGTCAATGAATGTCGTAAGCAGTCGAAACCATCCATCTTCTATTCGTATAAGTATACTCTGATAAGAAGAAATTGGCGCCATTCCTAATCTTATTCTTTAGATATATAATATTATTTCAATTTAATAAGAAGACATAAACAATTTTTTTTTATAGATTATATTCGAATTATTATAAACTTAATTTATAATGGTCTATAAAATAATACTTTCGCGAAACTATCAATTTAAAATATAAATTTTAAAGATAGGAAAAAGAAACCTCTTAATCAACACTATTGAGTAAATGATGCACTGACTGTCTGTCCTTGCATAACATTAGTAACCACTAGAAAAAAAATAGCACGTACATTGAAAATAGAGTTTGTGCGGGCGAAGTTGCAATATCTTTTAGAGTAGAGTTTTTTACTTATATGAATTTAAGTGGGTCCTATGGGGCTATATATTAATTCTTAGAAATAAATAGTACCTACGCATTGAGGGTCATTTCACGATCTTGATCTAAGTTTAAGACCTTTTCCAACTCACTTCCTTTTCTGCTTAAAAAAGCCATGCCATTTTCAACAGTGATTTTACCAAGACCAAAGTCCCCATACAGAACTAATATCTCTTGAAAAAATTATTGAGCTGCTTTCCTTTGTTTGATATCTCAACGCGGTAAAACCTATATACATTATTATTAAATTTCTTCCTTTCTGACGTTTTACTTAGTTTTCCATTGTTAATTCTGAAGTTGAATGTTATTCAAATGGTGATAATAAGTCGCCTAATAAATACCTACTTAGATAAGTAATACCAATCCCTTTAACTAGGTGTAAGGTAAATGTTAATAATCAGACCTAACAGTCCCATTACTAGCACTTATAATCTCACAGGTCGACCTCCACGCGGTTCCTGGAAACCATCGTGGTTAATTTTTGGTGAATTCATCACCATGAGCCAACTGACCTGCTTCATCCTCACTTGTCATCCTGCACTAGTACCCCGCCATCATGCCCAATTTTTAAACACAAATCATAATAGACTATCACAACTAATAGTCCTATATGCTACGTGCATGCGGAACGTATTGATACGGAAAATATTATTTAAAATAATAAATAATAATATATTGTTACAGATTTTATACCTACCACACCCAAGTCCAAGAGCTGTTAACAATACGAACTGGGAAGAAAAGGCATTGGAATCGTTAAAGAATTTCAATTTACTTCAATACTACACATAAATTATATTTTTAATGAGGTAGTATACCTTATATATCATACAGGAAACCTGAACGTAACCCCTTTTATAATTGAAAAATAATAATTATAATTAAAGATGACAAAAAAAAGCCGACTTCAGTTGTGACAAAACCAGTTATTTTGAACTAAAAACTAAACTACTGAACTGATTTTGATAAATTTTCTATGGGACCTAATAATGGGATAAACCTTTATATATATATATATAAAGGTTTATCCCATTATATATATATATATATATATATATATATATATATATATATATATATATATATATATATATATATATATATATATATATATATATATATATATATATATAGTTGGAGGTGTACTTGTTCAGGTATCTCATCCTCGCTATTCGATACAAGTATATTTGATGCCTGCTCTATTGGACACATAGAGACATACATATATATTTAGAGTGCAAATTAGGGGACATAAAGTAAGATCGACGACTCGACAAGGATTTCGCGCTATCTTAAAATGACAAACCCATTGGTGTGCAAGACTCTCTCCCAGGAGAGAATTACAAAACTCACTTTTCAATTCATAACGAAATTTTATAATATTTTATCACAGACTACATTTACTTGTGATAGCATAGGTACATAAATAATTACTAATCCATACTAATGTTATAAATATGGAAGTAAGTTTGGTCATTTGTTACCTTATAGCGCCTGGTTAAGCTGTTAAAGCTTAACCAGTCACTAAAATTTGGTATACCTATACGAAATGGAATGGAGAAGGATATTGGCTATAATTATTATTCCGGTCAGTAAACATCTCTGTAAGACTATAGAAATGTATGCTAATTACACCTCATAATTATTATAATTATGGTGTTTAAGCGACTTCTAATAATACAACTAGTAACAAGCTACTTTACCAATTTAGGTGGAAAGTCAATCCCCTGATTTAAGAATGACGCGTTGAAAATAATAAATATAATGTAGCATTTCTTTTCAGACTGCTCAATTATAATATAAAAAGACAATACTGTGATTTTAATTAAAAAAGAATAAATATAAAAATATGGTTGATTTTATGAAGAGAGCCCTTGAACTAGCAACGGAAGCCATGGAAGCTCAGGAAGTTCCAGTTGGATGTGTTTTCACCTACAATGGAAATATTATCGCCGAGTCTAGGAACAGTGTAAATATCACTCGTAACCCAACAAGACATGCAGAGATTAATTGTATCGATTACGTTTTAGATTATTGTAAAAGTAACAACATAGATTATACAAATTACTTCCAAAATATAACAGTATATGTAACAGTGGAACCTTGCATAATGTGTGCATCTGCACTGAACAATTTAAAAGTTAAAGAAGTTGTTTATGGTTGCGCTAATGATAGATTTGGTGGAAAAACTGTATTGGATGTGAGTAAATTTTATGAGAACACTTACAAATTAACAGGAAACTTACTATCAAATGCAGCTATGGCGTTACTAAAACAGTTTTACAAGGGCACAAACCCTAATGCTCCCGAGTCAAAAGTGAAAAAGAAAAAGAATCATATTTAAAATAAAATAAGTTTTCTAATCAAATATGAATAAATAATTTACCTTTGTGGTTTTACATATATATATTTCAATTATTAAGCGGTGGAGCTTATTAGTATTATGGTATAATTTTATTTTATGAACAATGAGTGTTCTATTATTGTAATAGTGTTCCTAGGAGTTAGTCATAGTCTGAGATATAATTTCCATAAGTATATATTTATAAAATGATAATTATTATAAGTAATTGACTTATTAATAAACATTATTTTGTACAATTAGTATTTTATAAATTCGACGACTCAGTTGTTGTAAATTTGGGTAAATTTTCATTAATTGTTGAACTATAGTTACTTAGTGATTTTATTGTTTTAATGTTAATAACAACAACGTTCAACATTTTCCGTTTCGTTTGTATCATAACAATAACATTTCATTACTTTTCTATTAAAGGAAAATTAATAATAAATTTTAATGTTGTTTGACGACATATACCCTCAACAAAAATCACAAAATTGTCGTAAAAAAATTATTATATTATCCAATTTTTCAAAGAGTCTAATCATGATTTTTTTCACATCTTGACCTTAATAATCCTATACAGATCTGATATTATTATTTAATTATAATAATAAATATATGTTAAGTTCCTAGATTTGTACATATAATAATATTCGACCTGTGTTTCATAATGTTCCTGTTTTAGAAAAAAATAATCCATACCATTTGCTCAATTGATTTTATAATAAGTCTATAATTTTGTATAAAAATCAGGGAGTGCATCTGAAAATAAGGGAGTTAATAAATGTAATCATATAATTTACAGCTTTATAAGAATCTATTAAATAATTCAACAGTAGTTTATCAAAACCTGTACAAAATTCAATGGACGTAGTTCTACTGTTTTAATACTATAAATGATTCTATCACAAATTTCTAAATTAGAAATTTAGTTATTATTTTGCATTAAGTCCAAACTATCCTATATAATTATTATTAGAGGACACGAATCTAATAATCACAGAACGGGAAAAAACAAAAAACAGTTTTTCTGTTCTAAGGTACCAACATATGTACATGTTTTTATTTTATGTATAACAAGCCCATAGGCAAGAGATGATATGAGGACAAATCAACTGAAATATATTACTGATGTTTAATTTGATAGTTGTGGAGTATTTAAAAAAACATTGACTCCCCAGTCAACAAAGTACTTCAGCTACTTGATTACGAGCCTAACTCAGCAAGTCTAAAAGTTATCTACATTTATTTCAACTTTAAGAATAAAAGGGATGATTCCCTAAAACAGCGATACACACTACGATCGTACGATTTTACCATTACGATATAGTAGGAAAACCTAATATATGGAGTTTATGGAGACGATGTTTCTGTACACGTCTACAATATTGTTGCGAAAATTTAAAGCATTTCCATACAATTGAATGCATATTTTACTTATATATCGCGATGGTAAAATCGTACATCAACGTGCCATACTTAGGTATAATAAAAAACGTCCTATATAGAGCAATTTTCGGCTATTGTTGTTATAAGGAATCGCCCTCAAATTTACTTTGTATATTTAACAAAAAAAAGTACCTACTTTGTTTGCTTTATAAATCACTGTAATACCTAATCTACCTTCATACGTCAATGTTAATTTAGTTAAAATAAATTGGTGTCCATGAATATTGTGTTTAAGTAGGTACCTACCTATGTCTTAAATATATACGTATACATTCAAGTGTTTTCTATAGTTTATTTTTTATTTTTTAAGGACTACTTTGTTTAAGTACCTATATTAGGCTTATCATACACCGTACTGATTTCTATCTACTTTGTCTACTCTTGGAAAGAGAGGAATTATTTACTTAAAAAATTTCCGATTTAGGATCAGCTAATATAGATTGAATTCAAAACAATATCACAGAATATCGACGGCTATAGTACCTCATATTAGACTCCCTATTATGCCTCCATACCCTGGAATGTCCCTGTGATATCCTACATTTTAAATATAAATTTGGGGATATGTTTATATCCCCAAATTTATATTTAAAATGTAGGATTTAGGAATATATGCAGACTAAAACTAGAAGTAAAACAAATTCAATATCTTTATATTGCTTGAAAACTTGTACTATTTTAATTTTTTTGTTTTTGACAGAGATAAGTAAACAGATTCTTAAGTAGCTTTACGAGCATGCATTCTGCATATCACTCCAGAGTGATGTGTCAGTAATTTCTTTCCCTTGACCTAGAAGTTTGTCATAATAAATCTTTTGTTGTTTAATACCCAGTGATTTACAATCACATACAATAGCAATATGCATTTTTTTTACAAATTAGGTATAATATTATTAATAGATAATTCACATTTAAGTTTTTTCTAAATCAAGATCTATTTAATTATAGTCATGTAATATGGTGAACATTTAAAAACATTAATCTCATTTATAACTGTCTTTAATGATTCCCTGTTTAATGTATATTTAAAATAAGTTATCCTACATTATTATCTACTTGACACATTAAATTTGGTTTTTAACTTACATTGTAGACACTCATACTTAACAAAACCAACAATAACCATAAAATATTAATATCCAAATAGCTAAAATACATATATTATAACTTTTCATACATTTTCTCTTACAACTAGAACACCTCACTGTATCAACATAAAAGTGAGATCTTTATCTGGAATATTAGTACATCACTCGTACATTAAAAAAATCACTACTGATAAAATATCCACAAGGATATCACAGAAAATTTCACTAAATCTAATATGAGATCTCACAATTACATTCCCACAGTGAAAAAAAAGTAATTGTTAAAATAACTGATACAATATAACATCTGGCAAGTAAACTAAATGCATTATGCTTAATAAATTTTCCCACAATTTAAAGTACAAAATATATTGCTAAAATTTAAATACTGTTACAAACTATTTAATACAAACAAAACTACTGTTAACTAATTATTCATTAGGACTGTGGAAACCATTAACAAGTGGATATTCAGGCTCTAATTCTTCAGTATTTCCATTCACTTCGAAATCTTGTCCTATTCCATTAGGAATATTTTCTGAAATGTTTACTGTTTGTGTATCTACTGGACTAGCACACTGACTGGAACTGCTACAACTGTCTGATGTGGAAGAACTATCACTTTCTGAATCTTCACTGGAAGTACTTTGTGATCTCTGTCTTAAATGTTCATTTTCTATTTGCAACTTTTCATTAGCCAATGTAAGTTGATGAATCTGTTCCTCTTGTTCCTTTAAACGTTGCATTACATCATCAATTGAAGGTTCGTCAGCACTAGACACAATGGATGTTCCTGAAGTGTCTCTATCAGTTATCATGCTGTCCTTATCACTTGCCATGGTTTCTTTGTCTGCTGCAGTTGATTCCTTATCATTATCTGAACATTTTGGCCTTGAACGTTCCGTTCTTTTAACGAGATTATCATACTTGGCTTCCAACAGAAGATACTCTTGAATAAGTTCATTCTTTGACATATTTGACAATCGTTCACTTTGTGCATCCTCATATACACTGGAAAACTCTTTAGTCAGATATTCCTCTTCATCTTCAGGAAGAGAAAAAAAATAATTTTCTTCAGAGTCAACGCTAAAACTAGAGTCACGTGTACGTGCGGAAGGTGTGTGTAAAATATGGAAGGTATTTTCAGGTTCAGGTTTATGTATCTCCATTAAAAATTGATTATTATTAAACGGTGCGTGAGTCTTTGCTAAAACAATTTTTCGAAATCTATTATTTCTCTTAGATTTTTCATTTTTACGTCTATCTTGCCAAGGAGCTTTCATAAATGGTAACAACAATTTCCGTTTAGATTTCCCGCGCCTCCTCTTCTTTTTGACAGTTCCATCAATTTTAGGTTTTTGCATATCAAGCATAGATGGCGCATCGACTAATGGAGGTCGCGTCGGTTCACCATCTTTTATTTCAGTTATTATGTTATTTACGTCCATTGGACTATTTTTATATATTATTATTTATCACTTACTCTCTTATATATTTATAAACTTATTGCTATAATCTTATTATGGATAGAGCACAAATTTTTGGAGATAACGACTACAAAACACTTGCTTTTAGGAAGCTAGACAGAACGCAAATGAAGCAACGCCACCATTGTTATTTATTTATTTAACTTATAACTTTTTTATTATCATGGTGTGGTGTTACCCGTCGTTAAGAACTTAAATTACTTAAAATTATCAATTACATAGCAGGTTTATACCTAACCCAAGACACGCTTTTGTAATTTTATTTGTAACCTTAGCAACCCACAATACAGATAATAGGAAAGAAAAATGGCTTTAAATTTTCGGCGACGATAATTATACATCAAAGAAATAAATAGATAAATGCGTCTGTTTTCAACATAAATTATAACAGCGTTGAAGATCATCCACTAAATAGTTAATAAAAAAATAGTACCTGCTAAGCAAAAAGATCGTACTTGTCCTACGTCCCTATTTATTATTTTACATTAAATTGAGGAGTAAACCTAGGCATTTTAGTAAATATGTTATACCATGGTATAATTATAGTTTTGCGTTGTAAAAGTTGACATTTGTGAAATTATGGGCTTCGTAGATAATTAGTAATTAATTATAAGCAGCGCAGTCTTTTTACCTAACAATAAATTTGCCGTTTTTGAATGATCACTTTATGTATCTCATTAAAAATAATAATGGAGGTAGGTACCTAACGTATCTAATGTGATTACTGGGAGGGAAGCGATTTTTAGTATTGAGGTCTAGCTTCTACATTGCTGGCAATACATCTTATCAGGTCGACCTCCTCACGCTCTCCCCTGAAAGCCATCATTTGTAATTCTAAGTGCATTTTTCACGATAAGCTAACTGACATATCTATTTATCCTCGTTACCCATCTCTCACTGGTACCTTGGCAGCGTATACCATCAGCGCGGGATAGGTAGTCATTCCATTGTCACCCATTTAAAAAAAATAGAATTACAAACCGCTAGACCTTTGAAAATAGTGATTCCAACAAGTAAAAATCAATAACTAAAAAAATAGAACACGTATAAGTGCCATTACTAGAGACAATCTGTCTAAAGTAATTATTATAGTCTGAAATTGAATTCGAGTTCAAAAATAAAAAAAAGGCTTAACCCTTTTGTTGACCATGGCAAAAAATAAATGACTTTTGTTGTTCATCAGAAAACATTGAAAAATTGTGGTAGAATCCAATACATATATTTATTTATTTAATGTATAGTATATAGTATTTATTTATTTAATGTATCAGTCATTCTTATAATTATTATAAAGATGCTCTGTTATTCATATTAATGGATTGCATAACCTGTAATAGGATACTATTGATTCCATATTTTGGAAGAAAGTTCATTAATTCATTACATTTTCTCCAAATCCACAACACAACCTAAAATCATATGATTAACAATCAGATTCTTTTCTACAATGTTGTTAAATATTTAATCCATGTATCCTTTTTTTTCTGAAACCGTGTTTTAGCCGTAGGTCCGGCATAGAATAAACCATCCCTTCCTTTCCCGTGGGTATCATAAGAGGCGACTAAGGGAACTTAATAGTTGAGGAATGAGCAGCAGTGTCCCTTTTAAAACAACGTCAAAGTCTAACTGCGGTTACTAATCTACATATCAAACATGACAACAGGCACCCCTAAAAGAGGCCATTATACAACAATGGACAGTTAACGGATGTAATGATAATGATGATACTTATGAAACCATCAGTACGAGTACCTCACACAACATTCCATAGGACTCCGCACGCATTTCTCTTCTATACGACAGGAAGTATAACCTTTTCAGTTAATAAAAGACAATAAAAAAATAAACTCAGAAAAATATAATCTAATTAAAAACATTTATGTCGACCAAAAAATATATCCGCTTTAGTTTTTAACATCAAAAACTTAACAACTTTTAATATAGGTTTTGACTATACCTTAGAGAGGTGTGTTATTAGCTTTATAAACTATAAATTGGCAACTTACGAGACAAAAATATAATAACCTGTATGTTAGAGCGAGAGATAATAGGATAATATTGTAATTTGCACAGCATAGGCTCGAAGCTATTTTCGTGGAAGTGTGAACAAAATAATTAGATCATCTAATTAATTAAAATTATGTGTGCTTTAACTGAATCTAATATAAATAACAGAGAAAACACATACAATTACGTGTTTTACGTGTATTTACACGTAAAATAAACATAATAAACACACATGCTTGAAATATTTCATTTATGTAAATACAATATTTAAAACCATAACAAATATTTTGTTTATAAATCGACAGATAAAATTAGCAATTTTAAACTAATTCTATTCTGAAGGTTTAGGTACTCAAATTAAAATAATAACAAGTACGTGAATATGTAAAAATTTTATCATCAATTCCTTAGCCAAAAAGTGTCAATGACTTGTAATCTAATATGCAGCTATAATTATTATATATAAATTTATTACATAAATTAAAGCAAATAATTGCAAATTATTATATGTATAATATCATATATTGTATAAAGCTCACAAAGATATTTGGTTTCTAAAAATTTAATTATTTTGCAACACAATATAATATGCAAATACTACGTATCATTTATTACATGCGTACTAAAGTTAAATAAACGAATAAATTATTATTAACTTTTAAAATTACTAATTGTTAAATAAAATTTAAAGTATTGAGTATATAGTATTGAGTATTATACAGAATCGATAAATCATTTAATATCAAACATTATATAGTAGATAGATTGTGCATTGTGCAGCACACATTTGCATCTCGTTTTTGCTAAGCATTTTGTAATAGTATTGCTAGTCTGTTAGTACGCATACGTTATAGTAAGACTATGTATTGTGCAAATTTATATCATATTGCTGTAACATACAGGTTATTATATTTTCTCTCTTTAACATTGCCCAATACTGGGCCATTATAGCGACTTACGAGGCCAAGATCACATACCCGTGTACTACTATCTTAGAATCGGACAGATTTTTTTAAGGAGGATACCCCTGACATTGCCAATAGATATATTTTGAATTCTAATATTACTACCTGCGTTATTATAACATAGTAGTTTTCGGCTTATATAGTAGCAATTACTAGGTCTATGTTATCTGTGGTGATTATTTGTCTGTTTTAAGTCTGTGTTATCTATGGTTATAGCTACCTAAGAATTTGTAAATAAAATTCATTACATATTAATTAATCAATATTAATTATTAGCACGGCCTCTCTCTTTCGCAGTAGAGGGTACTATATTCTTTGATTACGAGTTTTAAACGTCTAATAATTTGGAATTTAAATAAAATACAAACGACGAAAGGTAATGGCTGATGATATTTTATTCGAATTATTACATTCTGAGATTATAAACTATGCTTTGGAGCAAACGAAAGAAAACAATGATAAAAAGGTAATATTTTTATTGCATTTTTATACTAGTACTACTTTATTTTTTTTATACTTTTGCACGCATTAAAATATGTCTACGGGGCGGACTTAATGCCTGGTGGCATTCTCTGCGTATTTAGATTTACTCTTAAGTATTTATCTTAAGATTATTTACATGCAAATTTTTTATCCGCGACTTCATCCGCGTGACCGGGGTAAAAAGTAGCCTATATCCTTCATTACATATAGTACATGTGTACAAAATTTTATAGCGATTGTTCAAGTCGTTAGTGTTAATTAAAAAACTCACTTTACATTAATATAAGTATATTAATATTAGTATATTTATTTTTAGTGCTGTTATTTATTAGCCTTTATTATAATAAAAATTATTGCCATATTTCTTATCATGTTTAAATTGCAATGAAATAATATTTTTTTTTTATCTAATTAGGAGAGTGATTTATCAGTAGTGGAGTATATTGGTTTCGCTGCAGGCTACAAAATTATGGAAAGACTGACTCGAGAATGGCCACGATTTAAAGACGAGTTAGACACAATGAAGTTCATATGTACAGACTTCTGGATGTGTATATATAAAAAACAGATTGATAATTTGCGTACAAATCATCAAGGTGTTTATGTATTGCAAGATAATGCATTCCGATTCCTTACAAATTTCTCAAATGGACACCAATATTTGGAATATGCTCCAAGAGTAAGTATAAAAATTAAAATGACCACATTTAATATGATAAAGATGAAAGATTAAATTTTTTGTTTGTAACATGTGATAAAAAATTTTTTGGCTTGGTGTGTCTCGGGTACACGAGGTATGCAGATAGACTATGAGGCCTTAAAGCTGGTATGTATCTAACAACAAAGAAATGTAGCCATAAAACTTCAATGGATACCATCACATATAAAAGTGCCAGGGAATGAAACAGTAGATCAGGCAACCAAACAGGCTATTGAGGATGGAACAGAAATTGTTTGTAACTCTTATGCAAATGAATTCATTTGTAGAATTAAGAGAGATTGTGTCATGAAATGGAGAAACCACTTTGAAAACTGTTCAGGTTCAAAGGGGATATGGTATAAAACTATACAGCAAATACATTCATTAATACCCTGGTTTCAAACAACAAGTCTTTCAAGATCATATTTAGTGATAGCGTTCAGGATGCGATCTGGTCATGTTCCACTCAACAAATTTTATCATCTTATAGGAATGAAACAATCACCAAATTGTATGTATTGTGACAAAGCAGAAGACCTTCTACATTTGCTGGTGAAATGTGGCCGGAATTGTAACCTGAAACAGCAAATTCTGGGTAACATGCCATTATATAATGGTAATGTCAATTTAATACTGGGTCAACCTGGCAGTTGCAATGCAAGACAGCTATATCTGTGGGTAAAGGTGTCCCTGACGGACTGGCAGACTGACATTCAGACAATCCCTATGAGGCTGGCATAGTCACTCTGGTGTACAAAAATTTGATTAATAAAAAAAAATTTAACCAATGTTTAAAATTGTTTCACTTACTGAAAGTTATATTGTAAGTAAGTAACATGGGATGTATTTTATTTTGCAAAAACTGCAAAGTCAGGACAGTTTGCTAGTGATTATTAATTGGTTGTGGTAATTTAATTTATTGTTGTTTCAGTATGTAGCTTACACATGTGGATTGATAAGAGGTGGCTTAGCAAATCTTTGTATCAACAGTGTAGTCACAGCTGAAGTTCAATCCATGCCATCCTGTAAATTTCATATACATGTTCAAAGAACCTAGACTTATATTTATATTTTAAAAATATTTCTTGAAAATAAATTATAAAAATATATACCTCAAGGGACTTTTTAAATTTTTTAACCCAGTCATATAGATCATCTAAAAAAAGCTTACATATATATAAGCTTAGTAATAATTATAGGAAAAATGGAACAAATATAATTTACTAAGTGGAAGTAGTGCCAATAAACAAAAAAATATTTTAGGTTATTTTGTTTAATTGTTATTGTATATCATGGTTCATGTATATGTATATTTATAAGAAGAGTACAACAAAGGGTGTATCTATCCATGCTTGTTACTTTTGACTAAATGCTCTTGATAATCTAAACTTTAGTAAATATATATATATATATATATATATATATATATAATGGTAAATAATAATAAAATGGGTTGTAATTATTAGTGCTTTTATGTAATGATGAAAAGAAACCAAAATTTACAAAGCGCTTTTCAGATCATTAAAATTACAGAATAAAAAAAATTCACCAATCTTGTGTATGCCTCAACCTTCGGGTACAATAAAAATTAAATTGCACAAATGAACAAAATTAATTTTTTTAATATAATATTAATGTATCAAAAAAAAATTTTTTTGTTTTTATATTGCACTTCAAGTGCATGATGTTTAAAGTGTACTTACGTGTAAAACGTGGAGATTTTAATAATTTATATCCAGATATTACACATGTAACTATTTTATGTTCAATTAAATTTAAAAACGTAAAAATTTTAATTCGTTCTACTTGTAATTCCCACCAAAACATAGGTACTATGCTTAATCTATGCTCCCACCGAAACCTTCAGAACTTACACTAGATTAAGAATAGTTTGGCAAACCTACATGTGTACACTGTATTCGATTCTGAGCCTCCATTCCTTATTATATTTGCCTTTTAACCAAATATTTTAATTTAATAGTTTGTGCTATATTTAATATATAATTCCTTGTATTTAGATGGAGATAGATAAATAGGCAGATAAATAATAATAAATAGATATTGGGATTAATTGTAAGACGACATTTAAAAGTTTATGTCTTAGTTACATCGCTAAATCTTTTAGATTAAGCTCAAAATAAACTAAATTTTTAATAGATTGAAATCACAATTATTATAAATTTAGTTTTTTCTTTTTTTTTTTTGTGGCGTTCAATAAATTTAGTTTAATATGGTCTTCTTATGCAAATATAATTAGTAAAAAGAAAAGAAAAGATACACCATCAGTTGCTACTTTTGTCAATTCGTCTTCTTTTTATTAATTATATTTGCATAAGAAGAAAGGAGACAACCCTATGATTTACAGTTTTTATTATTCCTTTTCTTAGGTGAGATCTAAGAACAAGGAATTACATAGAAGGAGTGTTAAAATTGTCAATTCATAACAAGGTAGTATATAGAAAATATTATACAGCCGTATAACCCTACCAAATTCAGATACAACCTGCTTGCATACTTTCTACTTCTTGTCGAATATATAATCTAGTAATGTAAAATTTTCATTGTCAAATAATTTACATACCAAACATTTTCTGTACACTAGCCTGCTATGAATTGAGAAAAATAACAACTGATGATGTATTTTTTGTCCTCTTTTTACTAATTATATTTGTATAAGAAGAAAAGAGGCAACCACATGATTTACAATTTTAATCTTATCATTCCTTCTATGTAATTCCTTGTTTTTAGATCTCTACTGACATATATATCTCGCTATGACATTAATCTTTGGCTAGTCTGAATTTTCTTTACTCATCAATCTACATATTATTAATCTGTATTAAAAATTAATTTTCGTAGTCTATATACAAAACTTCTGACGCAAACTTCATTGGCGGTCTTTTACTTTTTCATTCATTCGCTCTTCCAAATTTCATTTCAATTTTATAGAAAATGGCTACCGAAAATTTGGTGACTGAGCAATTTCAATTACTAGGTATAGATGTTGAAAAAGAAGTTTTGACAAAATGTAAGTAATTATTAGATGAGCTAGATATCGCTTAAATATCTATCAAATTCGAGTTATTGTTAAACAAAATGTTGTTAAATTTTATGCCAATGGAAATGAATGTTCAAGGTTGTTCTAATAGGTATTCACTTTTTTAATAGGTGTAAGTTTGTGTGAAGATTTTGATGTCGACGCGGAAACTTTCATCGAACAATGGATGGCATTCAGTTTGAATTATTTAAACAGCGCACCACCAACGTTGGAAAACTTAGATGCATTTACAAGAAAGGAATTTTCCAAGCGGGCGTCAAGCCGCACCAACGCGGCCGCTAAAGAAGCTTCTGTATCAATTACCGGCTCTAGTTTGACGGTCTACGGGACGCCCATTTCTATTCAGTATCCTTTACGAATCTTTATTCCACGTGTTCCTTATTTACTATATATTTTGCAAACACTGTCAAATTTGCAAAAATTTTTTCATTATTCACATGATTTTTTTTAATAATAATTCCTGATAGCTAGGATGATCTTTTTTTTTATTTAATTTTAATTGTAGTTGTATTTCCTTAATAAACAGATCAGATAATAATGTTCTTTCAAATTACATGACAGCAACTCCAAAGGTTAGTTTTAATGGTATATTATAATTTAGTATTTTTATTCATATACATTGTGATTTATTTCATTTATTACTATATTTATGTTTGCATAATTCATCTGCATATCCTTCCTTATTTTTCTAAAGAATCATTTTTATAGAAAATACTTTTCAATAATTGTACTATTATCTACTTAATATTTTCAATTAGGACTTATTGCCATTTTTCTAAAATTATGCAGAGCACTTTTCCAGTACTTTTAAATTATATTAGTGATTACTTTTGCTATTTGCATATAGACATTGATGAAAGAAATCAAGTGGTATTTGTGTATAAGTGAGTATAAGTCCATTGGATCTAGTAATGACTAGAAATGATATCTGGTGCGTACTTGTGTAAAAAAATAATACAAGCAGAATATTAAAACTGCACTTTCACTGTGGCCAGACTTAAATGCACATATGAAGTTCCAATAAAATTAAGGTTTACTTTATTTAAATTTATTTCACAACTTAAAAATGATATTTTTTAGTTGTTTGTGCTATTTATATATTAAGGTATGACTAAATGATATTAAATAGTAGCTGGTGATACATAATGAAGTAAGAAGATATAAATACCTGCTTGCATTGCATGGGTGTAAGTCTGGTAACACAGTGAATGTAATCTGTGACTAGATCTACACTCATCGATTGCATGCAGTTTAAACTACAATCAACAAAGAAGAGATTTACTTCTTAATATTGCAAGTTGGTAAATGGTAAATTTAGATAAATTGTAGTTACTTTTAAATTATTACACATAGTATACATAAAAAATAAACGTGACAATTGAATATATCTTTTTCCTTATATTTGAACACTTATATTTATCAAGATTTACCTCAATATTTTATTAAACAATTATTATGTCATAATTTAAATATTATTATAAATTCTATTGAATATACCTAATGACTTGATGATATTTGTGGGCGAGTTTGCTTCTGGTTCATGTTTTCATTTCTATCATGACTAGATCCATACTCGTCTGCAGCCATCAACTCAATCAACAGACTACTCTTATTTGTAATATAAAAACATTGTAAAACATTGAAACATTGTATTATCTGTTTTTTTTTTATAATCTTTTTGCAATGACTATGGTTTTCTCATATTTTTTTTTTATGCAGAAAAGCCTTTGATTATTATACATTAATGATATGCTATACTTGTATCCATACATAGATAATCAAGAAGTTCGAATTAAAAAGGAAATGAATTGCCTTTTTACCTTAACACGTTCACGCCGGACTAGACTGTCATTGGACGGCGCGTACCACCGGCGGTACGCACTAGATTGTCTTATCTGGCGGCGCGTACCACCGGTGGCCCGCACTAGACTGTCTTTTCTGGCGGCGCGTACCACCGATGGTACGTATTTCATGATGAAGCGTAGTATCAATTAGAGCGCCGCCTCGCAGCAAAAAACATTAAAATCGGCCCCGGCGAGAACGTGTTAAGCTTTTTTCTTGAAAATAAAGAATATAGTAGTTAAATATGTATATATATAAATAATACAATAAAATATTGCTTTTCAGAGAGTAAAGCTAGAAACAGAAGCAATATCTACACCTCAAAATGAACTGCATCCAGCTACATATTCACCAACCACGTTAGTATATGTAAATACTATGTAAATCAATTGTTGAGACTGTTCTCTTTCATTTGTCATATATGTTGTATACTTATTCATACTGTAGTAGTATACTATTAGAAGTGTGTGTTAAATACACGCACTGGTATAGCTTAAATAAATAGCATAGGACAACTACTATAAAATTGGCGTACTATCCTGATATATTTTACTTACTTATTAACAATTTTTGTAAAAAAAAGTTTTGATTATAAACATAATTAGAGTGTTTTTATATATGTCAAGATTTGTCGATGTGTGCTTACGAAAGTTAAAAAGGGAAAATATTTGATTAATGATTACTAAATATACACTTTCTGTACATGTATTTATTATATCTGCATTTATATATTTAAAATTTAAATTGTATATTTGTAAAATTGCAATTTTCCATAAATAGTAAAATATTTCGTAATCAATAACTCTGTGCCGTAAAGTTCGTTATGCATTTTACATTGATATACTTCCATCTTCTATCACATTCCATCTAGACTTTGGCTGAGGCAGATTCATGTTTTAAAGAAATACCAAAAAATTTTCGCTACACGCCTATACGATGTATAATGAAATCCCCCAGACGCTACACTGTCTGCATCCTGTAGATGTCCGTAGGCCAGAGCCACTAGGAGTGTCGCGCGCAAAGTTGAAAATAGACACTGATCGGTAATCGACTTATTAATCACTGGAATAATTTTATAATATTTCAGTGGACGTTCACTTAAATACTCGTCGCGACCGAATCCAGGCTCAGTTGTACACTCGTACGGTGAAGAAAAACAATTAGAACTATTTTCTCGGACTAATGACCTCAATGATTTATCGAATCTCAATATTGTACAAATATCAAATGACGTCGGTGATTTGTATACAAAAGCTATGTAAGTATTAAAGACAATCTATAATAATAATACCTCATGTTCGAAGATTCTATTAAAATTTGTATTATTCTCATGTAGATAAAATACCCACATCTGAAAATTATTTATATGGACAATGGATACCTATAAATAATATGGACCCATAAATAATATTATGGGATTTATTTTTGTCAGGTCCCTAATTTGATGAGCTGCTATTGAAATTGACGTATTTGTAAATTGATGCTCTGATTTTGTTTTATTTCTAAATTAGAGGAGGAATAATATACCTATGTGGAACGAAATTGTGGATCCAAGCAAACAAATTATTTTTTTATCTTATCCTGGTTCATCACTTGATCACTCTTTCCAGGTTTGGTTTTGAAATGCTACAAGAAAAAGCAAGTATTTTTGATAGTCACATAACTTATTTGTCTAAATGTATAATGAAAAAGGCTGACATAACAGAATCTACCTCTACAAGACATAAAACACAGGTAAGCAGAATGTAGTCTACATTGGGGTCATGTATGTGCATTATTATGCATGTATTGCGTTACTTTTGTCATGTTCCCTATCTAGAAGTTCTATAATGTCTTTATTTGTAATGCAAGTGAAATAATAAACATGTTTTATATAGTCATGCAATAGTTACCACTTTCCATCAAGTAGACTTCCATTATGATTATTCAGGTGACTTCAGGAAGAAGGTTCTTAAGTTGGATTTTTTTTTTTCTATATTTGTATCCTCATAACTCTGTCAGTTGTAAACAAACTTGCAAAATTATTTTTTATCTAAAAGGATATATGTACATGCAGATTGGTTCTATAAAATTTTTTAGTAAAGTTTTTTTAGAAAAGTTTAGTTTTTAAATGAAAATAACTGGTTATGTTACAATTGAAGTCTGCTTTTTTTGTGTAATGGTATTATTTGCCACTGAAATACTAAAAACTCAATGTTCATATATTATATATAATTCTATTTATAAAAGTTACAATTTTAAATGGGAATGCTTGTTGTAGATTGTGGTAACAGTAGCAGGAAGAATAGAATGCGATGCTGACGCCAGACTCAACCCTAAATCAGTCGTACTTCAAGGGACATGGGAAGAGTCGCTCAGCCAAGCAGTACCTGTCGATATTGATAAGTAAGTTTATTTAAATTTAGTATCGTGCATAGATGAGATTGAAGTTACCCATGTTATAGGGGTGTTCTTCCACAAAACTTATATAGTCTGTCTCTTGACTTGAACAACAAATATCCCTAAAACAACTTTACCCACTGACTTGTAATCCGATCCAACGCGCTATTAAAAAATAGTACACACACCGGAATCGAAACTAATGAAGGCAGCCTGATATGGAGACAGTTTCTTGTGAAAATTTTAAATAAACATCATACGCGACAGTTCTGAAGTTCAATTATTTATATGGCGGCATTTTCATGAAATTTGCTTGACATTAATAAATATATATTTTCATAAAAAAGCGGTAGAATTTAATAGTCTGCAATAAGCAGAGTAGGGATTTTTTTTTAATAATAATGAACATATTTTTAAAGAACACAGATTCGGTTTTATAATTGGTAAATTATATTTGCTCCCCTCCAATGCTTCTCGACCAGAGTATATTGTCAAGAACTGTATCAGCTTCATAAATTAATAAATTTTTCTATTTTTCTAAATTCGATTGACCAATATTTCACTAAGAATTGGGCAAAGTAATTGATTTTATCTATAATTATGTATGAACGATAATTGTAGATAAAATTTTTACTATTTTCACAGTGTGAAACAGTATTCGTTGTTTCCCGGACAAGTGGTGGTAATGCGAGGCATCAACCCTCGTGGAGATCAGTTTATTGCACACGAAATTTTATCTGACGCTTCAAAACCGGTACCCGATCCCAAAGCTGATATGATGAACACGTTAGAAGGTAATTGTATATTCTATTTTCATTCATTTAACTTAGGTTTATTATTGCTGGATTTAAAAAAAAATTTAAAATCCGTTAAGTCATTTTCTCAAACAATATGCAGTTATTAGAATGATAAATCATATTTTTTCAATTTCTTCCATTTTAGGTACTTTATCTATGGTGATGGCAGCGGGACCGTACACGACTTCGGATAATATGACTTACGAGCCATTAAAAGACTTCATCACATACATTGGCACACATAGGCCGCACGTGGTGATCATGACTGGGCCCTTCATGGATGTAGAACATTCCAAAATTAAAGATAATTCTATGGCGGAGACATACAAATCATATTTTGAAAAGTTAATAGATAATTTAGCAGAATTAAATACAACCAGGTATGATAATAACAAATACCCCTTATTTCGCAGGCATTCATAGTTTATATTTGTCTTCAGACGGATCATATTCCTGATTGCCTACTGTAATAGTGAAAACATTTAAAATGTAGGACTTTAACTAGGTACAATTTGAAATAGCAAACAGATAGTTTAAACCCCCTCTTAGTGAAAAGCAGAGGAGCTCTGCTATATTGTTTTATAAACATCTAAAAAATTTTTAACAATTTGATATTACTGAATATCTTTACTGTATCATTCATGGTACATCTACTCCTCTTCTCTCGCTGCGAGCATACCTTTAATGCGTTCCTATTACTCAGAACTAGAATATACCCAAGCAAGATTTGCAAATGTCGTTGGGTAGTAAAGGCACTAACAGACTATGATGTGTGTTGTGAAATATTTATTCATCACTTTATTGCACCAATATAACACAACTTGTTGAAGGATTTTCAATAAGTATAGGGATGTACGAAAGGTGGTCTTATTGCTAAGCCTCTTCCAAACAACCTTTGGGTAGAAGTGACGTTAAAAAATAAATGTAACGTTGTAGATATATGTAAATAAACACAGTTATATCCATATATAAATACATAAATATATATACCAATATACAATACTAATCATCATCATCAATATCAATATCGGCCTTTAATTGTACACTGCTGAACATCCGATCATCAGCCTCATCTTATAAATGGACATCTTATAAACTTCACAAATGCAACACCTTTTCTACGATGTTTCTAGCAAATGAATTTCATTTCATTTCATATTTAATTTCATTTCCTCCTTGAGAGGTTTTGCGAGTAGTTGCTATGCTTGGCAGGCGGATTGGCAACACAGTTTGGTTTGGAAATGTTTTAAGAAGGACGCTGCTTCCCGTCCCTCACCTTAGTAATACATAACATAATTCTGGTAGTAGTGAAGGAGAACTAAGTGATAAATAATAAAAATAGCTAATTTGTCAAGGAAATAATAAGCTAATTCCTATATTTTATTTTTAGTCCATATACAAAGATATATATCGTATCAAGCTTGAAAGACGTTTTTCACGTGAACATCTACCCAACGCCGCCATACTCAACTCGACGGAAATACCACAACATACACTTCTTACCAGACCCATGTACGCTCAACATCAACGGTGTCGTGGTGGGCCTCACCAGTACCGACGTCCTTATGAACATAAGTCAAGAAGAAATATCATTGTAAGTGAATATGTTTTATATTCCTCTATAAATTAATTATAATGAAAATACGGTAAAATTTCTTCAATTCGTCTTCCCTAACTGTAATAGTTGCTAATTAAAAATGTCAACATGACTGTAACCTCTAATTGCATAATCATATTCATTTGTTGACTATTATTAATATTAAAAAATATATAAAACCCTTGACATCAATTTTGGATCCATTAACAGCAGATATAACTTATTAAGGAAAATTTTAGACATAAGTTCTTAATCTATTTATTGTTCAGATATTGTTATTGTTAATCATTATTAAATATTACAATAGTGCATGTGGTGTTCGCCTGTAAAAGATTTTTACATTAGATAATTTTTTTGTGTTATTGATTAAGTAGCATGAAAAAATTTAAAGTTGTAGGCGAACTTTATTAAATAAATAAATATAGTAAACTGATTTTTATAAAAGATAGTTAAAAACTATACCGATTAAATAAGAACCTATTTTTAAAAAATTGTTTTTCTGACAGCCATGTTGGCTGCAAACACAATATTGTATTAAGTAATTGGTATCATGTTCATTGATCGTGATGGGATACATTTTTGTATAACGTCACAAAAAATTTAGAAGTATAAGTATATATTATAAATAAATTCTTCTGCCTGCCGATCCTCGATTGATTTTTCTGAAAAATCGAGAAACTTTAGAAATTTCCTTAGAAATTGATTTCTGTTTGATAATTTGGTAATGTAAATCTTAAACACCAGTGGCCCGGTGGGCGACAAGCTGTCACGGCTGTGTGCACACGTGGTGCAACAGCAGTGCTGGGCACCGCTGTGGCCGCCGCCGGCCGCGCAGCCCTGCGACGCCGCGCTCTGGGCCGCGCACGCGCACCTGCCCTGCACACCGCACCTTATGTTGCTACCGTCCAACTTCAGATATTTTGTCAAGGTACTGTCTCCACCTATTTCTAGAAACTCTTCTCACCAGAGGGCGTTACCCTCACACGTACCTATATTGTTATCTATTCTGTATATATTACCACTTAAGTGAATAAAAAAAACATAAAGCATAAAAAGTATGTTATAGTTTGAAAAGCGGCATATACAGTGATATTAGAAGATAGGGAGGCATAACACTATAATCCTTAGGAATAGCAATCTATGAGGAGGGTACATCCTGTGACATCTACAGTACTATTTTTGTTTATACGTGACTGTTACCACTTTCCATCATGTGGACCGTCAACTTGTTTGTTATTTATAGTTATATAGGTATATCACAACATATTTTTCATTTTGTTAATATATTTACTTGTCGAAACAAAAACAGCTGATTTAGATAAAATGGTCTGAGTTCTCCGTTTCAGTTTTTGCCAACCTTTCCCTTACATTCTGTGTATACATATATATATATATATATATATATATATATATATATATATATATATATATATATATATATATATATATATATATGTATGTTTAGACACTAATTCTTGTTTAAACAAGAATAGATACCAGTATTTGCTTATTAAGTCCAACTTGATTAAAAAAGAATCTCGCAGTAATTGTCTATATTATAATATTTTTGTGATTTTTATCTTACAGGAAGTGTATGGATGCGTGATGGTGAACCCGGAGCATCTAACCAAAGGCCTGGGCGGCGGTACCTTCGCTCGCGTATTGATCGCCGGTGGATCCCGTCCCTCTGAGTTTATTAGTGCACAAATAATACGTATTTGAAGGTACAAATTAAAATGTTCTTATACTACGAATTTCTTTTATTTAAAATTATTATTTTTACATCACTATGGTTAAAAACCTAATAACCATAAGCAACTCTGGTATTGCTTATACTTATGTAATCACTTACCATCCGATCAGCCATAAACGCGTTTACTTCTCTCTCTCTCTCATAATATTTAGCAATTAATTCAGTAAATAGCAGTAGAAGTAGTAGTTCTTTATAATGTGGTAATAGTAATTATTAGACAAGTAGAATTACCTAGTTGTATTACCAAATTAACATGGTTTCTAGGTTGCCCCTAGACACCATGAATCGTCAATTTTTTATTGAATTCATCCTAACTGACCTGTTTTCATCCTCAACTATCATCCCTCACTGTTGGTGCTCCGCTAGCATCGGAGCATGTAACGATAGATTACATTATCACCCTTTAAAAAAATTACCGTTTTCATAAATACATATAAATAAATAAATAATATATTCTACAGTAAATTTGACGGTCAAACAGAAACGATAACCTCGTATTTTTCTATATTACTAGGTACTAAGTACTTTTCAATTTCAAAAAGGACAAAGAGATTTATATATAGGTACATATTTGAGGAAGGAACTACGATAAAAAATAGCGAATATACGAAAAACTTTTAATTTATATAAATGATTGAATTTCATTCAATGATTTATTTTTCAATATTACTATCGGTTACGCAACAAAAATTGGATCGTTAAGGGAAATAAGACCCCCGGGTCCAGAGCGTAGCGCCATCTGTAAGCCCATGCGAGGAGAATTGCCGGCTGTACGACGTGCAGCGGGGTCCTCCAATTGTCGATAACTGTAAACAAACATCATGTCATTAAAGTAATTACGTATGTTCATTAACTGGGATAAAAAGTACTCCACGTTCATCTCTACTCTAAATACTATGTGTAAGGTAACTTTTATAAGGTGTGGCTGAGCTCCTTTTTATCATTAAAAGAATCCAATATGAATAAGATTACGACTGTATAGAAAACTAAGTGTGCATTACATTGTGCACTATTATGTTTGTTTTTACATTTCAATAACCTTTTGTGTACAATAAAGAATAGTTGTAAATAAAAAAAACATTCCATTCTTTTGTTATGTGAAAATCAGATTCTTCTAATTCCTTGTAAATTTTATTTACTTCACCGTTAAATAAATGAATAAATTTTATGTATTTGCATTTCTAGTACATAAGTAACAAAGAAAAAGTCATTCTTTATGTACTTGTATTCCCGCATTTGTAGGTATGCGTAAAATTAATTTTGCCATAATTCGTCTAGTATTTCAGTTGGTACGAGGGTATCGTATACAAATATTAACCTAGCCGGTAATAACTAGAGACCAGATTATATGAAGTTATATATTTTACTTATGTAGTAACAATAACGGCTATGCTAACAATATTACGACAAACATAAATACAAAGTACCGAAATTACCTTTTCAAAGTCTCCAGTGGTTCGGTCTTAGGATTTCGTATTCCAGTCTCTGGATCAATTGTTGTCAAGATACACCTGAAAGAATAATATTGGAAACCACAAAATTTAGATAGTGACGTTGAGATTGCAAAGGAAGCATTTTAAATGTCAATTAAACCGCAGGAAACACATATGCTTCTTATTTTTTTTTATGCCATGTACCTTAAATAAATCTTAAATAAATAATAATAAATACCTTTTAAGCATGTACTCGTTTCTTTATAAGAAAAAATAAATAAAAACATTAATTAAAATAAATTTGTATGATTGCTCGTATTAACATTGTATTAGGCGTATAAGGCTGTATGTATCACATTTTAGTTCAATATATTATCATTGGCTGTTGCTCATCTAAAAGAAAATATAAAAGCACTAACCTAACGCATGGTTTGATAATTTCAAACACGTTTTCTCCAATTTTAACGAATTTCCAATTGTCTTCGTCATAAGCTTTAGCTCCAGATAACACGAAATTTGGTCTGAAAGATCGTGGTGTCACTTGAGTCTCCTTCAAGCGCGTGTTCAGATCGTCCACTGACGCTTGATTGATCAAATTATACGAAACTTCATCAGGGAAAGCGCCCTGAAAATCAATTTCATATCATTTATTAACGCCCCGGAAATTTGAGTATATCAGGAAAAATAGGAAATAAAACATATTACAGAATCATAGCAATTTTTCAGAATAAATAAAAAATATTCTGTATATAATATTTAGGCATAATTGCATTGGCATGCCCACCTTTAGGCATAATTGAGAAACAAATTTTATACAATTAAATAATTCTCTTACCGTGTCCTCTTTTCCGAATTTGAATATTGGATTGATTGAATTTATTCTTAAATTGCGGCTGCTTTGTGAAGCATAATACACCAATCTATAGTTAGTAGTAGACCGATCTATAAGCCTGTAACGTATAGAAATTAAAATTTTACAATACTGTATTATACGGGGAGCAGTAAACAGATTACATTTATTATAGTTAAGTTACCTGAACATATTTGTTTTAGCTACAAGGTAATCTGTGTTTTAAATATAGAGAAACTTCTTTTTAGACCAAAATCACAGATTACCTATATAGGTAGCTACCATTGATATACAACAAAATTAAGATGCACATTCAATATATAATTTATAGTAAGCTAGAGATACAACGAATGTTCTTTACATATGTACCTTGAAAACCATTCACTCACTGCCCATCCGCAATCGTATACAGGAACTGTAACTCCCCACACCGTGGCTGTTTTAGGCTTCTGAAGGGACACGACCTATTAATTTAAAGGGTACATTATGAATACGTAAAAACACTTTGATTATGGCAAAATATATCGTAAAAATACATTTCTAATTGAGAACATTCTTCATTTTGAAGCCGATTAAAGAAGAAATATCATAATTGCTTCAAAATAAATTTTTTATGTAACTACAAATGGTGAAAAGCCGCCGGTTCATCTGATGGAAAGTGTGGTAATTCTCATCTAGACATGTTCAGCATTAACTAGAATAATTGTTTACGCCAATGAATATTCCTGTATTGATTTATTATAAGTATGTTCTCAAAGAGGGTTGATGTCAGGCAGGCGGCCGGTTGTAAAACTATAAGCCAAATCTTTTTGTAATATAGAATAAAAAAAAAACATATTACGCCGACCCCAAATAATAATTGAAATAAGGGTAGGAAGATGATGATGATTTATTATAAGTACCTCGGCCAAATTTACGCTAATAGGTTCCATGTTTGCTTGATTCAAAGTAAGAACGGAACTTCTCACGGAGGGTTCCACTAAAAGTAACTCAGGGTAAGATCTTGCTGTAATGAAGTTGTTTTTGTCGTCTACAACCATCAGAAATCTGTGAAATAAAAAAAAAAAAACAGTATTTATTTATTAGTTCCAATATTAGAAAATATCAAAGTTTATATATTTTCTTTTAAAGTTTACAACATGGTACCTATCAGTTATTAAGTTTACGCATGTATATAGTAAACTATTAATCTAACTTTGCTCCACTATTTACCTGTCCCTGAGCCATCCATCTCTTAAACCTAAGAGCGAGCACTCTGCTTTATCCACTCGTACAGCACCGCAAGATTTAATTGGATATACATAGAGATCTTTCAGTGTACCCACTTGCGTCCAATTTTCTGGAATGTTTACTCTACTTGCACGTTCGTATAAGCGGTAGGCGCAATATGCGCCTCCAATGACGCCTGCAGTAACCACTCCCGCTGTAATATACTGAGCTGAAATATAAACAAATGTTGTAACATATATAACGTTATTTATATATTCTGTATTCTATGTAACCAGACAGATGATTACATAGCTTACGCTTATTGAGTAGCATAGTTCCAACTTGATAAGAAATCGCATTGAATGTATGCTGTTATAGAAGATGGCTCATATGTGGTGACGACAACTCATGATCAAATGCGTGTCGAACTCGCGTCCCGAGCTGAAAGGATACCTGATTGCCTCTCACATTGTATAAAAAAGTCATTGTATATATATGTATATATATATATATATATATATATATATATATATATATATATATATATATATATATATATATAGTAATTTAATGTATGCTTGATATCGAAAGTACTCTTTATATCTATAGCCAACAGTTATCACTTTTCGTTAGGTAAACCGTCAGCTTGTATGTTATTACAAAATAGATAAAACTCTTCCAATTTGTCAAAATAAAGACAATTTTTTCATACTTAAATTTCATACAAGTACTGACAAAAAAATACACAATTTGTTCAATTTATTATTTTCTACGCGACGTCTACAAATGAAATACATAATTCGAAGGTAGAAGATACCTTGTGTTGATAATGATAGAAATAGGTATATTTTTTTGACTAACTAGCTTTTATCTGTGATTTTGTTCTTGTGATCGGGATAAAAAGTAGCTTATTACCGTTTTCATTCCATATAGTATGTATAATATAACGTAATATATATATATAAATATATATATATATATATATATATATATATATATATATATATATATATATATACGTAACATATAGTACGTAAAATAGTTAAACCGTTATGGCGCTATAAAGTAACGAACAGACAAACGTACTTTCACATTTATAATATTAGTAAAAACTAGTTGTAACCCGCGACTTCGCTCGTACATAGAGTAACATATTTGCTAAGTTAAGACATAATCTACCTGTGTACTAAATTTCATTCAAATCTATTTAGTCGTTTAAGTGTGATTGAGTGACAAACATCCAAATATCTTTACAAACCTTCACATTAATAATATTAGTAGAAAGAATCTTCTTTACATATAGTAAATTCACAACGAAGTCAAAACTGTAATTACATTAAATATATTTAGAATAATAATCTGTATGCATAAAATAAAACTGTAGAGGTCGATTGTCTGTACATAGAAAAACAAAAACACTCATCTATCACCCTTCACTGGTGCTCCGCCAGCGTATCCCGTTAGCGCAGGCGGGGTAACCATACCATTTTCACACATCAAAAAAAAAAAACTTAGAATGGCAAACAAGCTAACGGCCCACCTGATAGAAAGTGGTAACCGTCGCCTATAGACATGAGCAGTACCATGGACATAACAGAGTATACTGTTTCGCCCATGATACCTCCCATGCGTTGCCATTCCTGAGGACGGTGTTATTCCTCTGTACCCTGTAAATTCACGCCGTATTCCATCCTTTAAACCGAAACACAGCCATGTAAACACAACTGCTTCACGGTAGAAACACGAATGGGTACCCAAGTAATCGACTTTTGTATAAAGTCTCCCTCTAAACAGATTGTGAAGAAATATTCACAATTGTAATTGATGTAAACATGAGCCAACATATAGGCTATAGATAAGTGTGTTCCACAAAAAAAAAAAAAAACGACTTCAATTGTGGCCAAACCAGTTATTTTGATTTAAAAACTAAACTTAGTTGTAGTTTTTAAACCGATTCTAATAAAATTTCCATGGGACCAATCTGTAAGCATATCCTTTCAGATAAATAAAGAATTTTCCAAATCAGTTTAAAAAAACCTCCTTCTTTCTGAAGACGATTGAAAAGTTGAAAAAAATATCCCTTAAGAAAGTAGTAGATATTAGGGGGAGAGGGGATTGTAATAATGGCAATTAACAATCTCATTACTAGCAGTATACTCCATTAGGTTGTCATCCACGCGGTTCCCTCTGGATACTATTGTGATTGATTTATTGTTAGTCACGATAAGCCAACTGATCTGCTTCATTCTCACCTACCATCCCTCACTGGTGCCCCGCCAGTGTATACCGTTAGCGCAGACGGGGTAACCATTCCATTATTATCCATTAAAAAAAAAAACTTGTTATTAATGCTTGGACACTAGATGGCGTAAATCATACATATACGAGTAATAAAGAGCTCTAATAAAGTTTTTTTAAAATACACGCAAACGAAGTCGTAGACATTGAGTATATTATGAAAACTATATACTTTACTTTCAGACTTTCATACAGTAGAGGCCATTACTTGGACATTCTTACACTCGGCGCTCTATCTAGAGATTATAACCTAGTTGTGTTTAAGCGTTTCAACGTCATAAATATTACATATACTAGGTATAAGTAAGTTCGTGAATTTATACAGGTAAGTAGCTACATAGACTAACTTCACTACGCCATTGCGCATATTAGCGAAGTGAAATATATAATCATACTAATAGGTAGGTATTATGTATAAGAAATAATCAATATATACGATAATAAGATTCATCTAGGTATTTTAAAATGACGGGCATCAATTTCCAGTGAAATACTTACTATAACTTGACATTATTCCTTTTGAAATGTGTTGTTTTGATAGTTATTTAAATATATTTCATCACGAGGTCTCACACGAAGTGCAGTCGCTCAGAATATTTAATAAGTACTCGAACAAAAGTAACCAGACAACAGACTATAATTTTATTGCAAAACGTGGCATTCTCAAGCCCCACTCATCTTCAAACTACACAGTTGCGTCAGATAACAAATTATTTATATAATGTTATCGTCTTATTGTTTAACCTACACAAATAAATATTAGGTATATCTGTAGAGAATTTGAGATAAAGTATGTTATTAAAAAAGGTTTGAGTGTAATCGTGTCGGTAGTAGGTACCCATGTTATTAAGTTTATAAACCATACATAGATTGAGAATAGTACCAGCTACAGAACCATATCAATAAAAAGATGCTGTATGAACACTAAAGCTAATATAATTACTTATTTATTGAATTTATTGTTAAAGTTTGGTAACTATTTCAGTAGATATGGAACGCAAAGTTATGTCTAAAAATTAATCCAAATTTGCGTATCATTATACCCAGATTTATTAATCTGGGTATAATAGAGATATATTAGTTACTGCTAATAACTATCAACAGACCTAATTAAGTATATACCCAACCAGGTCGACCTCCTCGCGGTTTCCCCTGGAAACTATCATGGTTTTTTTATGGGTGAAAATGGTATGGTAACCCCGCCTGCGCTAACGGGATACGCTGGCGGAGCACCAGTGAAGGGTGATAGATGAGAATGAAAACAGGCCAGTTAGCCCATCATGATGAATTCATCAGGAATTAACCATGATAGTTTCCAGGGGGACCGCGAGGAGGTCGACCTGTTTGGGTATATTGCTAGCAATGGAATTCTCAGTCGCCATTACTAACAATCCCTTTCCCTCCAACTATCATGGTTAATTCCTGATGAATTCATCATGATGGGCTAACTGGCCTGTTTTCACTCTCATCTATCACCCTTCACTGGTGCTTCGCCAGCGTATCCCGTTAGCGCAGGCAGGGTTACCATACCATTTTCACCCATCAAAAAAAAATTAAGTATATAATAAATATATAGAAAAATATGCTTGATAAATCAGTCGGGAATCGAAAGAAGAGACGGTAAACTATTCTCTATCTCATAGTCAGAGTCTTGAGGAGAGAATAGAAGCAAATTCTTTTTCAAACCCGAATTTATCGACTTTAATTTCAAATGAATTACTGTTACAAATTATATTTGATCTATATTCGTACCTTCCTCATCAGTCTCATTGAGTCAGAACTTCTGAACGCAGACTACAGACCAAAGATTTATTGTTATTAGCTATAGACTAAGAATAGTACTAAGAACAAGGAATTACATAAAAGGAATGATAAATAAAAACTATAAATCATATGGCTACCTTCTTTCTATTTAAGCAAATATAATTAATAAAAAGACGATGAAAGATATAAATGTTTTTAATAGAGGACCGTAGAATTGTTTAAATTTTAAACGTACTTCGTGACTCCTAAAAGTTTAGAAACCCTAATATATTGTATAATATGTACTACGATATAATATTTTTTTATTTTTTTTTTTTATTTGGTTTTTAAAAAAATATTATTTTACATCTTATTATTTAATATTTACATACTACATATAATTTATTACATGTGTACTGAGTTTAATAAATAGATTATTACTAACTTTTAAAATTGCTAATTATTAACAAAATCGAAAGTTTTGCATTTCGATTTACGAGCGAATACAAAATCAATGAATCATGGGATGAATCATGGGAAGAATGCATGCATGGTAGAGCGCTGTTTCATGTTATATTTACATTTCATGCATTAACTATATTGGGCAACATCAGCCCCTTGCCAGAAAAAAAGTGTAATTTCATTTTCGTCTCATTTTGTGAGTACGTAGTACGTTATACTAAATCTATAGGTAAAATATCTAATGGTCGTACATGAAGTCAATAATATTTATTTTTTCTACTTCAAAACTTCAGAGATATATAATTATGCAAGTCTCATTTCTGGTTTCGTCTCCATTACAGCAAGTAATCACTAAAATATAGTCTCTATCCAAAATATTTGTCCCTATAAAAATATAATAAAGGTATAAATATTTTATATTTATACCTTTATCCTTATTCGCCCCATTCTACGGTAATCTTTGTTTAAACGTCAAAACGTCATTAGTGGTATGTCAATTGTCAATCAACGTGTCGTATTCGTAATTCCGAATTGAAACTCCTTAAAATTTTTGTATGTAACAATCTTAAATTTCTCTTTTTTACGAGAAAAATGCTTATTATAATTAATTTTATAAGAGAAAACTAATCTATTTGATTGACTACAATTATCAATTTGATTGAAAATGGTTCTTTTGGGTAACGATGAGGTATTGATTCTTTAAAATGTATTTTATTATTTGAATTATTAATTTAACAAATCTTTTAATTTAAATTTATTCAATTTTAGTTTTTAGCCGAGCTAACGAAACTATTCCAGAAGGCTCGTGTTGCAGGTTCAGTTACTATGACTATGAAAAGGTGTAAGTGGTGACTATAAAGTTTGTTATTTGGTTAGGTTTAATTTCGTACATAATTTCATGAAACCCTTATTTCAGATGATGGACGTACTAAACCAACGCCGAGAGATGGGACTCCTGCTGTTAAGAATCCCAACTACAAGTGTTTGTTAAGAGCACAACATAAAAGTAAAAAAATTTCAACAGTTGTAGAACAACGTGATGTCGAAAAATTCACCACTGCCTATTCTAATTTACTGAAAACAAGCGTAAACGGACTAAAGCGCTTAAAAAAGCCTAAAAAGAAAGCAATGGCTACTCAGTAACAGTGAATGTGGCTGAGACAATGTGTCAAGAGACTGAAATATATTGTGCGCAAGTAGTGAAAAACTTATGTGTAATGTATGTGAGTGTACCACCATGATGTCCTAGCGTGAAGGACGAAGTCCATTGAACTATGCTCTTCTCTCACATGTGAGATGTGAAGAGTTGGAGTCGTGCCTGCCGTTGCTAGTTATGCACACGCAACACAAGTTTAGTCATTTGACCATCTGTCCAATGCACCTAATTTTTGTATACATTAATATTAAGTTACATTTTCAAATTAAATATGTTTCACTTTAAGTATATTGTTATTTGTCTCTTATAATTAAATAATAATCACAGGACAGACAGAATTAATATTCTGCTGTGCATTACCCCCCAATGTTTCAATCTAAGTAAACTTGCTGTAAAAGAGTGATTCTGGCTATCTATCATCCCTGTGTCGTTCTATAGCATAAAATATTTTTTCCCTCTATACACTGAATTTAAAAGATTTAATTGTAGTGGTTGGCTGAACATATGTTGTTCATAAGCATACTAGCAAAAAAATTTTATATTTAAATGTGTTCTGAAAGTGTTTATCACTTTACTGCAAAAAATGCTGTTCCCCTACTTAACCTTTTTATTAATTTAAATGTATGCCGGGAGCATTCATCAGTATTACTCTTTTACTTATGAAATTATTTTCTCTTAATAATTTTTTTTTATTAGTTTAAATGTATCAGGTATTCTGAGAGCATTCATCACTTTACTGTATTTTTTATATATATAATGTTTACATTGTTTTTTTAAATACTAGTTCCTTCTATCTGGTTTTCTGCTTTGATTCTGAATCTACAATTATATTTTTAATTTAACTAATTATTTTAGTAGCATTTTCAGCCAGCGATGGGGAGAAAGTAGTAATATATAATATTTTTTTAGAAAATACAATTTATTAAATGCCTTTACAACATTAATAGGATATTTATTTTTATACATCAATATTTTGTTATCACAATATGAGACCATTTTGTGTTTAATATGATACAGACACCAAAGGCTTTTAATATTCAATTGGATAAACTTATTAACATGCAACAATTTATTCATTATTATTTCTGATTTCATTAATATACTACTTACATTTTTTTTAAAGTATTGAAATCTTTACATAATAAAGAACAATTAACAAAACTAGAAATAAATCTTTAAAAAAACAATTATTAAATGGGTATACAACTTATAACTAGTGATATAATAACAAAAATACTTAATATTACCACTTAATTAGTACATGACGTAAAAGATTATAATTAAATTCTTTGTTCACATGTTTAACTTCCGGGTTGCCTAACTGGTTTCAGGTGCAACAGAGAACCTTGTTCATTGCCACGGTTCAATACACAATACAGTCAAGAATTAAGCTTTTATCAAGTCAAAAAGTAATCTGACAATGTCGAATTTAAATAGATGAGTAAAGCCGACATAAATACACAATAATTAACTTATGATAGTTGTTATTAAACAATAGCAAATTGTCAGGGCTCGATATGACTTAAAAGTGAAGGCGGTTGCTTGGTTAAGATTAAATTGTGTTATTGCAATTAAAATACTAAAGTGGAATAATACTGGTCTAAAAATGTATTTATTCATTATGGACATAATCTATTTTTATATCTTCCGCACACTTCACAGAGTAAAATCGAAGTCATTTGTGGTACATATAATTAAGAATCTACCCATGCTGTAGAATATATTAAAATAGAGAATTATTGGTTTAAAAAAGTATCTATCCCACACTAACAGCTGGATGTGTCCCATTAGCATAAGAGGCTCAAAATTTTTGGTTGATTTACGATGTTTCTTAGGGGAAAATGAATAAGGTCGTTATACCAATTGGTGTTTAGTGTTATAATAAACATTTTGTTTAAAATTATTATAAGCGGTATCACAAGTTAAGGCGCTTCCTTAATTAAAAGTACAAATCATCACATTTCTCTTGACCTATTTTATATAAGCACAAACGAATATTATATGCCACTGTATTTTAGGATTATTTAAATTCAATATTAACATGCTTTTGCTATTTGTTGATATAATAAAAATACAGGATAGGATAATACATGCACGTATAGAGTGAGTCACAGATACAGTCAATAATATAACATTTCGTTTCCAACATAACAAATACAGATTTCCTTTGGTAATATAAAATTAATAAAAGAGCAATTTCTTATTAATTATATAGAGAAAACAGTTGCTCTTTGAGTAAAAAAGGAACTCTTGTGCATTTTTATTTTGAATTCACCTGAATACACAAATATCACATTTCATACTTGGTACCTAATATATATATAAAAAAAAGTATTCAAAGTATTTTACCAATAATATTTATAAAATGTATAAAAATAGCAAGTCAATAATAGATGATATTTAGTGACTAGAAACTATGGTAAGACTATGAGTTTGTTATATGAGATAATTTTAGAAAAATATACAAAAACAACATTTTAGTTACTTAAAATACACTAATAGCACTACAAAACATTTTTGGAAGTAAGTCGTTTAAGACAAGCGTTTTTAACTTGGTCGTTGCCGAGTCGTTCGGCCTCCTGCAACACACGACGCAAGTCGTTGGTGCGATCGTGCCGGGCTGCCAATATGTATGCGCTACTAAGGTTGCGGCAAATCAGGTAACACGATATCTGTACAAATACAATTCAGATAAAACATTACAACCACAATAATGAGATAATTTATTTGAAAGAAAGGTTTAAGAGTGGCAGTCTTGTATGGACAGACATTGTGTAGAACAACACCCTACTAAATTAAGTGACAAAAGGTGTTGCAGGGAATTATTGGGTGTATTGGATCTTTTCACATACTCTTCAAAACAAACTTATAAAAAAAAACTTTCTGAAATATTTCTTCAAAACCTCTAATTTTATTTTGTCATTTCCATTGAAACATATATATACATATACCCATTTAAAGACGCTCACACAGACACACGCGCACGCACACACACACACACACAATCTAGTAACTATTGTTATGATATACTATAGTGTAGTTTTTTTATTTTTATTTCCTTCTAAATTTTATAATTATTCTAGCCACGACAAATTTATATCGCTAAGTCAGTGAAAACCTGTTATAGGCTTTTTATATGGATAAGTTGTTATTGTTTTAAGCTATAAATTGTAAGCTGTTGGTTTTCCAATAAATAAATAAATAAATGGGACGCAGGATCAATTCTTATTATATCAGGTTTATGGAGGAGACCTATGCTATACAAGTGGTCACGCGATCGAAGTCGCGGATAATAATCAGTATGTTACAATATACCTTGATTGAGACGCTGTGTATATCACATATGAGTAGCTCGGCTTGCTCGTCGTAGAGCTGGCCGCGCGACTCGCAACGCGCTACCACTGCGCTAACACCCGACTCCAGCACTTGGTCGCTCATCAGGCTGTATACATCATTACACTCATTAGATATTACCCTGTGTTACAATAAGCATTATAATTATCCTAAACATTGAGCAAATCTGTTCTCACTCTTTGGGCCCAGCACATCTGACAGAATTTATTATCGTAAAATTAACTATAAAACAAGTTTTAACATTTTTTATAAAGTAGTAATAAATTTATAAAGATGAGCGTACTTTTTTTTTATTTGCAAACACTTCAAATCCATCAACTACATTACAGTCAATTATGAAAATAAATATAAAAAATACATACTTTGCAGCAGTTTCTTTAGATGTACGTATACACTTTGCTAACGTTTTAACTTCCATAAATCTGTTTGCATGTACCAAATATCTTGCCACATGCGTATATATGTTCATGGAGTCCAATTTATGTTCAGTTATAATTCTGCAATAAAATTTACTGTTAATTGAAACAATCTCGTCTTGAAGACAATGGGTAACTTGAACAATGTATATTAACCCCTTAGTCATAAAAATTAAACCCTACTTTAAACCAAGTATTAGACTGTTTTGTCTATTTCAACTTGAGAGATGAGCACAAAAGAGACAAAACATTTCAATAGGTTTATGAGACGTTTGATGTTTTTATGAATAAGGGATTAGGCTTTAGGCTGGTCGATCAAATTTATTGCAAAATAATTGAAATCGGTACAGAATTGTCGATCATGTAAAAGTATAACTTCTACCACAAACTATACCAAGTTTTGCAAGAAGGAAACAAGTAGTAGTTGCAGACTTTAAATTTATTTTCTTTGACTTAAAGATTTTAAATGAAGTCAAAGAAACCCACGGAACATAATAGTTTCGTAATATGAAAATATTTTCATAGAAACAGTGAGGTTTCGCGAGTTGAGATGAACACGAGCGCAGATTGATAAGTTCGATAAAAATGAATGAAGCGGTAATACTAGTATACGAGTTATGTTAGGACAGATCATTGTTTTGAGAATACTTACAGGAAATTTCATACTGATATTTGATTTAGTATTGCTTTATCAGTTGTTTAAACCGGACAAGTCGTCTTTTGTTGTTAATATGGGGGAAAGTGAATTTCGAGTGTAAATAAATAATTATCGAAGCTAGAATAAATATTTTTTTACATATTTAGCGATTCATGTTTATGTATATTAATTTGGACTTTCAAATAATAACTTATCAACATACAATTTCATTGTATATTAATTGGAGTCTGAATATTTACAAATGAGGCTTAAAAGATTTTTTTCACAAAATATTTAACCAAAATTGTTGACTCTTACTTGAATCCCAATTCGAAACCAGCTTCGATGTTTTGTCCCGTCGCTAGTACAACAGCAACTAATCTTATTTTATCTGTATTGGACCCAAAAAGAGTCAATGGTCTAAAATCATTTGTTTCAGATTCTTTTTTCAAACTAGCAATTGGTATGACCTCGTTTAATGTTTTCTCTGTTAATCTGCCATTCTCTTCACAAGCTGCTAAATAGTCGGTCAGTTCTATTTGTCGCGTGAATGTTGTCATTAGGTTGTCTATCGTCATTTTGTTTAAATGAAATTGAATCGATTTCGGATTATTTTCCTCTGAAATGAAAATAAAGATAACATTACATAACAGTAAATAACATTAACACATACCTATCACATAAAAACAGTTGTTTTGACTGGTTTATCTATTTTTATTCACTAAATGATGTCTTATGTTGAAGGGTTAATGACCGTTTTGTGGGGAAGGAGTTATTAGCAGTGCGGCAGCTTTATTACTAACAATTTACTACTACTACTATCAGGTTAATCACCACGCAGTTCCCCTTAGAAACTACCGTGATTAATTCCTAATGAATACGTCACATTGGGCCAACTGCAGGTTGCATTCATCCTATTCATCGGTGCCCCGTCAGCGTATATTGAGAGTGCAAGCGGAGTTACTTTTTTTACTATATATTTTAAAAAGGATATAATGTTTTTGGAACCCGGAAATCCCAACCGGAAGTGTCAACTTACTTGTAAAGTGATATAAATGCAAACTACAGGCGCCATGTTATATGGTAAACTACAGTCATATATAATGATTTATTTTTATTAACTTAATTAATATAATAATGATGTAGCATCTAAACACGCGTAACCTAGACGTTGGTGATGTTAAGAACAAATTGACATTATTCAATCAGTGTGAAGTAACACGCCAAGAATCAACAACGTCTTTTAATATCAAATTTTTTATTATTTTTTTTTATTTAAACTGTACATTACACAGTGTACAGCAAACGTATAACTTAACACCGGATTGCGTTCTCTGCTCGTTAACTATTGGGCAAAGAGAGAAATATGTTATCTGTTGAGGTAACAGCCGTAACATTCGGCCCTTCGAGGTGGATATATGTTTGTGTGTACTGACTGTGCGCGGGCGCGGGCACACAGTGCGCGAGGTGCGCGAGCGCGGCGGTGAGGCGCGAGCGGCGCGCGCGCAGGGCGGCGAAGGGCGCGGGCGAGCGCGGTAGCGGCCGCGCGAACAGCAGCGCGCACGTGGCGCACGCCCGCGCGTGCTGCGCGCTGCCCACCTGCAGCGCGTACAGCGCCTCCAGCCGCCGCGACGCCTCCAGCGTGCGGCACACGTGCATTATGTACTCCTGCCACACCATGCAACAATATTCTTATTCATCCTCATCATACCAGCCTTTATTGTCCACTGTTCAACGTAAGCCTCCCCCTTAGGGGGTTTCGCCAGTAGTTGCCCCGCTTAGCGGGCAAACTGGCAACCGCAGTTAGGCTTTAAAGATATTTTAAGGGGGACGCTGCTGCCTATCCCTCACCCTCCCTTAGTCGATTCTTCCGACACCGACAGGAAAGAAAGGGGTGGCCTTTTGTATACCGGGACTACACGGCACATATTCTTGTTAAGCCGTCGTTAAAATTAGAATTTTGATAGTAAAACATTGTTTGAAAACTAACGAAGCAAAATGAAGTAGGTGCAAAATTTTTACTGGTTTTATATTCAAAGTATTCTATGATTCGCATTTTAGTTTGCTATAAGAATTATGAATGCCACTCTATAAAGACATCAATTTTAATAAAAACGAAAACAATAAAAACAATATGGAAAATTTTACTTACCGACCACATTTCTAACGTGCTATCGCTATCCGTCATGGCTTTCAACAACTCGTCTACTTTGTCCTTCTTCAAGCATTCCATATATACATATTCCGTAAACGTTTCCTTGTCGACTAGATTATCATAGCAGTATCTAATTACTTCTCCCATATCACTGTGTTTCATATAAAATGCTATATTTGCCACGTGTGATCCATAGTTACTTAAATAGTATACACATTCTTTGTAAAAGAATGGATCCAATCTTTTGTTTTTGTGGTTTGTTTTTGGCTCTGGTTGCTGATTGCTTCTCCGTAGTAAGCCTTGAGCCAAGCTCTTCTTTGGTGGTATCACAGCAGTTTGAAAATCGCTGTAATCTCCTTGTTTAATTTTTTTTACACTAGTTAACGTGTGCATTATGTTTAATGCTGGCTCTATGAGCTGTATTCGCTTTTTACTTGTGTTCATTGTTGCTAATTTCTCATTGGTGCTCTGGAACAATAAATTAAAATATTCGGTAAATATATTTCGGTAAATTGGTTCCCATTTACTAACGTAAGGATTGCTTAAAGGCATATCTATTTTTCTTTAATATCTCTCATGTACAGATATCGTTTAAATATAATTTTATTATATATAGGAAGACGTATAGACAGATATACTAAAAATGTGAATTTCGCATATCTGCACTTGTATATGCAAGAAAAAAACGGGTAGCGTAATAAAATGTGTTTTTTTTAATATTGATCGTCACACCCACAAAGCTTTTAAAGAACTAAATTTATTTTCAAAAGAGAGTAAATAAATTATAGATAAACTCTTAAAACTATTACCTTTATCGCATCAGCTTTTTGCAGTAGTTGCTGATTAACGGGATAGTTCATATTTTCAATCAGGCCAATGATTTCGTTGAGCAACGGTGAGTTGGTACGCGACCGGCCGTCCGACAGTACGCTCGACGTCGAGCTGGATCTCTGTGATGACCTCAGACTGTGCAATCTCTTGTTCACCAGTTGAGATTCCTGCGCCTCTTTTCCATATTCGCAGTCCTCCGTATCAACACTCACATTTACTGTATTCTTAAAGCATATCGCGAATTTCTCGCGCGCCTGTTTGAAACAGCCCGCCTTGAGACATGCTTTACCCCAAGCGGCTAGCACGCTGTTCCGAGGTAGACCAGATTTTGTCGCTATTTCCAAAGCTAGCTCCCATTTTTCCGCTTCCAGAAGTGAACGTACAATATGACCTAAAAATTAATATTTTTACGACGTGCAGTGGCAAAACAGCTTACGGCATATCTGATGGAAACTGGTAATCGTCGCCTATATATAATATTAACAGCTCCATCGATGCACATATTAACAATATATAAAATATTCAGTTTTTTAAATTAGTAACCCAAAATTATTCAGAAATAATAAACATATTGAAAATGTGAAAACAGACATGAAAAATAAAATGAGAATTCCTTCCTTTTGTCCTTAAATTGTGCAAATATATTAACAATTACAACTTTATTTCTTAGCGCCTCCATGGCTTAAACCAATCGTCGTGAAATTTGGTAAAGGTACAGAGTACAAATATTGTACCCCTACATACCAAAGAACGAAGATTTTATCCTAGTCAATCAATATTCCAAGACCAATTCCAAGAGGACCCAAGACTTCACGACACAGGGAATCCTAGTGTGAAGTTTTGGGAACAAATATAAAATTGAAACATATATTTTTGGATTTAATAAATATTGTTATTATATTATATATATATTATAAATATTATTATAATATAAAATCTAGGGGGTTCATCTTTTAAAAAAAATTCTTCGGATCAGATTACGAGACTACAATGTGGTCAATTTTGCCTTTGCCTTTAGTGTCAATTTGCAGGGCATCTCAATTTAATTTGTAAAACTGAGAGATTTTGAAATGTCTCAAAATTAACGAGGGCAGTGATTATGAAGTGTGCACTATGTGTATGATGTGGTGTGTGGTGGCTGGCGCGTGGTACTCACTGGGCAGCGCGGCGCGGTGCGGCGGCGCGGCGAGGTGGTGCGCCTGGTGCCGCACGAGCGTGGCCATGGCGTCCGCGTGCGCCGCGCAGCGCGCCGTGTGCGCCGCGCCCGCCTCCCACACGCGCCACGCCCTGCCACGCGTACGCTCACTTTAGCCCTCATGTCCCACTCTAACCCACCGGCCTCGGTACGCTCGGTACAAACACTACCACTGTGCTATATACACATTGTTTCTTGCGCAGTAATATTTCACCTGACCGACAGCGAATCGAGACCGGCGCTAGTGTGGTTCGAGCGTCACTCCCTCGCTTACGTTACACGAGTGTGCCGACGTCGGAAATTATTCGTTTAAATAAAATAAAACATTTAGTAACAAAGTACAACAATATTCACTAAGTTGGGACAACCTATTGTGACATTTTTTATAAATAAAGTTAGTTAACAGTCAATAAAGTATTAAAGTTAAATATTTGTTTGTTCAATATTTTTGATTGATTATTTAAAAAGTGCTCCGATAATGAGAATAAGTTACACATGAGTGCAACAATAGATTAAATCTATTACTAAATGTCTTGTACCCACTTTTTAATTTGGATTTAAAATTTTTCAAACACTTTTGATATCAAAATACAAACTTTCAGTGATAGCTTTACAAAAATTTGTTATATAATTAACATTTAGATTTTTTAAAAATATTGTATGAATAATCGATCAAAATATTGAAAATTATTTCACTATTTTCAAAAATTGATTGTTAAAAAAAATTAAATGTTACATCTACGACAAAAATAAAGTAAATCTGTTTTTCATATGCTAATTTAATTCTCAAATGTGGTAAGGGTATATTCAACTACGTTACTTCAACTTTACCGACAATAATTCTTTAGTATGTTGTTTTCTCACAAATCCAAGATTCAATTTTCATTTAAAGAATTCAACTAAAGCTGCTGGTATTTTATAAAAAGGTATTGCAATGAACATTATAAAAGTAATCAAAGCAAGGTGATCCTCGATTTATTATGTCTTAGAGATTGTTAGTTAAAACAGGTACTTTACAGGAAATGTATACCCGCCAAATAATCAGTGCTATGTAGTTCGTCAATCTTCGGTAAATGTACCTAGATTCTAAATTTAAAAATAACTTTTTTTATGCAACTTAGAATGGCAAACAAGCTGGCGGCCCACCTGATGGAAAGTGGTAACAGACTGTATTGTGATAAGTATACATCGGCTATTTTGCTATAGCAAGATATAAATTGTTTGTTTTTTATGGGTGAAAATGGAATGGTAACCCCGCCTGCACTAACGGGATATCTGGCGGAGCACCAGTGAAGGGTGATAGATGAGAATGAAAACAGGCCAGTTAGCCCATCATGATGAATTCATCAGGAATTAACCATGATAGTTTCCAGGGGGAACCGCGAGGAGGTCGACCTGGTTAGGTATATTGCTAGCAATGGGATTTTCAGTCTCCATTACTAACAATCCCTTTCCCCTCGATATAGATAGATTGACAACGTGTAACGATGATGAAGATTGAATATAATCGACTAACGCATTGTGCGACGTGCCGGCGGATGTGGCGGATGTAGCGGGCGAGCGCGAGTAGAGCTCGGCAGCGGCGAGTAGCAGCGAGCGGCGCGCGCGCACCAGCAGCCGCGCGTCGCCGCCCCACACCTCGCCGCCCAGCTCGTCGCTGCGGTCGAGGAGAAACCTGCAATTGATTATAACATGTGAGTTTATATAGAAATTAATTTAACGAATGAAGGAAATTCTTTATTGAATAAAAATACACACACGAAAAAAAAATCAGCATTAAGGAAACAATAGTTGGTCTTGTCGATAATTAGTGATCACTTCTAGGCAATTTTAGAATATATTTGCATACATATTACATTATAATATTATGGCTCGTTAGACACTTTAAAAAACTATCGATAAGATGTAAAACATGGATAATGTCGTCTTCGCAGAGTTATAATTATGTGTTACACTTCATAATTATATGTTAAATTTAATTTATATTCTGTTTTAAATCCTAAAAATAAAAATTAAAAAGTTAATTGATTTATATATATCAAAGACAAATAATAATAAAAATATCAAAACGTCAAAATAATTCTAATAATAGCGGTAGACTCGCCCTTTGCCAGGTTGGTGAATATAGTAAGGATCAGTGTGAGGTGAGAATGTCAAGTGACAATAATCGAGAAACGTCACTCGCTATACGATTAGAAATTATATCCTTGAGTATATTTATTTAATTTAATCAACCGTTATTACCTGGGATAATCTAAATTTATGGAATGCATTTTCATTATGGACAAGCAGAGAGTGACGTTTGGTGTGAATTCGTAGCCAAACTCTGCTCTAACTGCTTCATTTTTGCTTGCGCTGCTCGACAAACACCAGTCCATACAGGAGACCCCGCTGCCAGCCGAGTCGGAGTTACTGCTTATTATGAACTCTGAATCTGTGTTTGCTTTCCTGTGCATAGTCTGTGTGTAGCAGTCGTCGCATACACGGAACTTGACGCCACTTGGGTATGTGGGAACCTAAAAATGGAAGCGCATATTGTTAATGCATTTGCCATTTTGTATTTATATGAAGAAACATTCTTGATAGTCACGACCTTCGGCTTTGAAAAACCGGCTACTTAGTCTCAAAAAAACAGTCTTTAACAACGAATTAGAAATGTGTTAACCTAAGTTGCGTATTGTACTTTAAATAAAAAAAAAAAAAATCTATGACAGAATAAAAAAGTAACAGGAAACAAAGAAAAAAATAATAGAATTACAGATCTTTGTTTCTTCAAAGGCATATTATAAATGATCATGCTAATTGTTGGCTATGAAAAATAAGTAATTCAACTGTAGTATGACAGACACCGGGTATTGTGCAAGACTATGCTGCACGTAAGCTTCGTGGAGTAACTAGAAAGTGCTGCGCACAAAATTAATGTAAGTCTGGGATAAAACTTAACACAAAAGTAAGTGCAATTCAAAGTTATTGTTGTTTAGGGTAAAAAAGAAACATGACAAGTATAATACCTGCATTCTATTTCTTGAGCAAGCGTGACAAACAAGTCTACCACATCGTCTGCAATGATGTCTGCGGATGATCATAGAGAATATAGACGTGCGGCACAACATACATCTGTCGGCCGAATAATCTTCCACCCACTGCTCCTTGGTCGGGACTTGTTCTGGCATTACAAAGGGTCTAATAGCCGCCTCCAGGTTTATCGAATCAATCGATTGTAGCAAAGAATCATCCGTGGGTTTAGGCGGCACGGACCATGTGTTCCCAGGATTTTTCATATCTAACGCCTTCTCAGCGTAATATCTCAGCAACGCATCTAAGGCATTCCGAGAAATTATAACATTGTCTATTGCTTTAATATTATAATAAAGATTATCACCAGAAGGATCTTTTTTCAAGTTCGGCGAAATTTTATTTATTATATTTGTAAGTACATCCAATTTAGCGTTCATAAGAAATTGTTCAATCATGAGTAACGGCTTTTCTATCAGATCCCAGAACAGATGACGCATGTTAACATCGATTTCTTGCATTATTTGCAAGCCCACTTTAATGTTCTCATACACCTTCCAGTCAAAAGAGTTTTCTGAGATAAAATCAATGCACACTTGGAGTATTTCAATGTTTCTCACTTTAGACAATTCTTTTTGGATCAAATCCATTGCCTGATTAGTGGGAAGTCTCAACAGAAGCTCATGTACAAGAGTGGGAGTGGCCTGGTTTGTATACTCAAATAGCTGCCGCAGCAGATTCATTACAATCAAGTTCTTCATATTTTCTGATATTTCTTGCACATCTGCCCATTCCAAACAAAGTTGAAACTGCATAAGAAAAAAACAATTAATCTAGATCAAACATTAAAGAAAAGTAAAAAAAATCATCCATATTATATTCAATACCTGTTGACTCTCCAAAAGTAATTCAATAATGTTCTCTGGATTATTCAAGGACTTTTCATAAATATTATACCAATGACTTTCCCCCATAATGGACGCTATCTAAAAACATATAACCAACATTTAAAAAAACATACTTAAATTAACAAAAACTAGACATAGATTTAATAAGTTGTCGCAATTGTGCGTAAAATTTCGGTCTTAAATAGCCTAAGGTCTTTAGCTCTGTCTACGGCAAAGATTGAAGTTTTTACATAGGAAATCTAACAGCGAAATAATTACGATATTACTTGATACGATATTAGATTGAATTATCAAGAAGGTCTGGTGACAAAAAAGATATATAAAACTGTGGCAAGTGGATAGATACATGTTATGGCATCTTTATTTTACATTCGAGAGAGAGAGAGAGATTCGAATTACTTGCATTGTCAATCTGTCATCCATGTCTGTTAAAAATTCTATTGGTATTAGTAATAATTGTATTTAAATACCTGATCGTAAAGAGGTATTTTGACTATCCAATCAGTGCATTTTTTATACAATTCTTCTTCTAAACTTTCCTGGTTCGAAAGGAAACGTAAGTAGTCCAACAGCTCTAAAGCGCCTTCAGCACACCAAATGTTTAAATTATTCAAAATAAGATCAACCTTCAATTCTGGACATTTCAGGAATTGGCAATACTTCCAACTGTTACTGATTTTAGGATTTGTTGCCAGTTTAAATAAAATCAAATCTCGTAAATTGTTTAGATTGGCACTACACATTTGTTGGCGTTCTGACAGCGAGTCGATAATATTTAAGCACTTCAAAATTTTACCAGATGCTATCAATTGGGGCATATATAAGAAAAGTTTGTCTAAATCAATGGTAGTATGCAATGAAGCTAGGTATTTGTTTCCACCAAACAGAACTTTCAAGCAGTTAAATCTCTCCAGTTCCATATAATTATTCAATGCTTTTGTTCGAGCATCTATACTTTGCTGAAAGCTATTTTCAGTTGGTGCCGTGTGGATTTTTTTAATAATATGCGCAAGCACCCAGTTATGCATGATTACATATGTCAGCGATTGTGGGTCCGGCGCTCGTGGTAATGGAGCGAAGTTAGCTACAGGATCCAAAAACAAATTTTCTTCTGGATTTTTGAAATCATATACCGCTTGAAGTAAGTTGTTAAAATTAATTTCAGTCGCTTCCTTATGAGGGCCTGCTAATGTTATAGATGGACAGAAATTTAAAATTAACTTTGGTATCAGATCGATATTCAATTTTTTACATATAGGTTCCAAGTTTGTCACAGAAATATGTTTGTTATTTATCATATTTCCAAATATATCATGAAGTTGTTTTTCCAGAACAAAGAAATAAGGCTTTTCTGACGCCGTGTCGTCCGTACGATTCTCTTCTTGTTCCAATTGGAAGACTGTTTTGCAATACATATAACACATTCTCAGATATGGAGTTCGAGTTTTTTTGTTGCCATGTCGTGAAACTTCTCCAACATTGCATATATCTTTATCGGACGCCGCGACGACGTTCATGTAAATTTGATGATATTTCTGCAACAAATTTTGATCCAAGGTCTTTTCTTCTACCGAGTTTACAATATCAATCAAATCATCACAAGACTGTCTCAAATCTCTAGAGAGTTGATTCAACTTGCAAAACTCTTTATGCTTAATAGGAATACGGCAGTCTGTAATCAGGCCACAAATATTATCTACAAAATTAAATGCTTTCTCCATATTTCCGAATACTTCAAATGTAACACTGGCTATATCTTCAACAAAACGAATATAATTGGTTTTCTTGACTGCAGCTATATCAGTGCAGCTCCTGACTTCAGCTAACTTTCTTTCCACGACATTTATTAAGCCGTAAGTAATTTCTCTGTTGAGTCCACTACTGAGCAGTATATCAACTGCATTAATGAAAGGTGCATTTTGATGATTGTATAACTGGAGATGTGGATGCCTTGATGACAAATCTATCACATCAAACGAATTAGGTGCTCTATTAGATGCTAGAAATCCTTCAACAAGACCCATGACTTCAGTAGAGACCACCGACAACGTTGAAAGCTCTTTTGTGGCATAACGAGTGTCGTCTCTATAATATATAATATTTTTTATTTTAGCCACCAGGTGTCGCAACTGTTCAGTAAATGTAACTTCTGTTGCAATTTCAGAATCAGCCAGATCGAACATCTGAAATATGAGAAAAAAAATAGAACTCAAGAGAATCGAATAAGACAATGCTATACTTCTATTAGTAGTGTGACGGTCTCGTCCTCAGGTGTCAAGTTTTTTGAGGCAACATTCGTTTTATATGAAGGTCTCTGTCGTGGTTTACTGGAAACGGCTTTAAGTGACATCCGAAACACATATATATGACATTTATTTTTGAATTATGTAAATATGAAATAAAATTTTAAAAATTATTATTTAACGATTTTAAATTAGAGGTTTACGTTATAGTTCGATATTGCAGCATAAGCTAATGAAAATTAAAGATAATAAAGCACTGTAATCCATTAAATAAGTTTGTATTTCTATTTATAAATCTATTATTTGTGTAATTTTTTTTTACTATTATTTCTATTGCGAGTTCGAATATATCGCAATAGAAGTAATTGCAAAAATATTTTTATTTGTTAAGGGGTCCAAAGGGGTACTCAAAATTTTATATCATATGAAAAGGTTTCATTTGTACATTTTAAAACATCAAAATTATCATAAAGCATCATAGAAAAAAATTAAAATAAAATTATTCTCGATAAGCGAAAAATCTAAAATATTAACACTTTATAAATGTATATATAATAAAACGGCACTTCTAATATGCCACGTTTTTTTTTTTAGAAATTATCAAGAATCCTCCAATAACAGACAGTTCACAACAAACGGTCCATGTTTTTAATTAAAATTATAGCCGAAATAAGAAATTACGAATTGCATTATTAATAATAATAATAATAACTATTAGCTGTCTATTTCGTATAAAAAATTCAATAAAGGTTATTTTATCTTATCCTTGGCAGGGGAATTAAATTTGCACCTAATAGGTTTTATTAAAAATACAATATTACGAAACTTGACACGTGGTAACTGCCAAGCGGCCGGCTAGACAAAATCTTTTAAAAATAAAAACGGTTACTGAAATATTGTTTATTTAATGCAATGTTTATTCGCTATTTAAGATTTAATTTGGTTTGGCCATTATTAATACAGAACATGGGTGTTTGTGATATTACAAATACAACTAATATTTCCCATGAAGATTACATCGACAATGTAATAGATGAGATGATAAACGATGAGGATTATGAGATGATTGGCAATGATAAAGCTAAATATTTGACTAAGAAAGATAAGAATAAATTTAATGAAATTAATAAGTGCGTAGTAGGGTTATCAGTTGTTTTAGTTAAATGCAGTTGAGATGTTGTCGGTCATGTCTTTATCCAGATAAGTAGCCCTAATTATTTAAATAGCTCTGTCTGTGACTTCGAGCGTATGGAATTGGTATATTTAAGTACTTATATAGAGATAAAAAGTATTACTGTAGTCATACTAAAGAGAGTTTCTACAAAAGTTATCTAATTAGATACACCTTAGTTCTCAGAAATGCAACGTATGTGGGGTATCATGGGCGTCACAGTATACTCTGTGATGTCCACATGGCATTCATGTTTATAGGCGACGGTCACCGCTTTTCATCAAAGGCCGATAACCTGTTTGCCATCTTAAGTTGAATAAAAAAACTTTGTATAATAGTAGGAAAACTATATTGTTGTAAGTTTCCAGACATGCACTAAGAACCACTGAATACGTGTAATGCAAAAGTTTGTACATAGAATGCCATAAAAGAGACACGACCATCTCTTTTTGAAGTCCCGATGATAATATAATAAAAATTTCAGATTAGCGATAAGGGAATACGAGAAAACTAAATCAACAAATATAAAGGATTGGACTGAAAATACAGAACCAGTATTAACAGTCACTGGATACAATGACGGAACAGATAAACTACAAGTGAGTTTATATGATAGCTATAACAATCTTCTAGTTCATAAGTGAAGACAATGTGTTTTTAATATGCACAACATATTAAAAACGTGCATGTGTGAGAAAATATACACGTATAACAAAGATCTTTTATAGAAATTAAAAAGAAAAAGGTGTAAAACGTTCATATCACAAAATATTCTGGGTCTTCATTAAACTTGGACTTTAAATCTTAATTATTAAATGAATAGCAATAACTAAAATCCAAGCCGAAGGCACGAGTAATAAGACATATGACAATAGATCCAAATTACAACAATGGATCCACACAGTAATTTTTATCACTATGTACATGTTAATGACCCAAGAGCAAATATTGTAAATAAACAATACATTGAGTTGATTAAAACTAGGTAACCGAGATAAATAGCTACAAAGTGTATTTACATCTTGAATCTATTTGTCAAAGGGGACTTTGGATTTGAGACTCCATTTGATTGTATATACTTAGAAAATGGAATCTTTAAGTAATTACGATTTCAGATCACTAAACAACGAAAACGTAAAAGGGAAACTAGGGAAAATAATTACGCTGGATATAATTATGATCTTCTATTTAAAGAATATTTCGTCGAAGCATTCGACGAAGTGGATAATTCGAAATTCATCGAGGGTAATTTATAAATTTTATATTAGTATCTCTCTAACAGATAAATACTTGAGTGCGTACTGAAAAGATTGCAATCTTTCCTATTTCGTTTAGAATGTCCAAATCCTTCGTAACTATAACATTATTTGTGTATCTGTGATCCAAAAGTGGGCACGGTACCATTCTGTGGATATGGTATCATTCTGAGTTTACCTTGTTGTATACCTATCTTATAACATCCTGAGGATATAAAGGGGTGATGACACATTGTATTCTTAGCTGGTTAATAAACTTAATTTATAAGCTTATTTTTATTAATATTTTATTTGGTACTTAACACTTTATTTTTATTTATTTTATAAATTTCATCAACTTTCATCACTCATGATGCATGATTGATAGCTACTTGATGCTGATTGATATTCTCTCTCAGCCAAACATGGAATAAGTGGTGATTTTTAGAGTTTTTATTAAGATTACTATTATTTATTTATTTATAATAGTGAACCAAATGAATGGATGGATGACCTAGTCTAATCGTAGACCCTGTAAATTAAAACAGATAAATCAAAGGGAGGCCTGCTGCAATTTCTATATAAGACATTTAGTTTTAATACTAAATTTGAAAACTGTACTGACGAAGAATTAAATCAAATTGGCTTAAGAGCCGTATGCTGTTTATTACACGAATATAGAAGAAATAAAATGCCAAGTCTTCAATTAGCCCGTTTATGGAGAATCATCAAGATATGGGCTTTAGTGTACTTGGCTATAGCGATTCCATTATGGTGTACGAGAGGTAGATATCGCACTTTCTTGAGAATAAATGTGCTTGGTCATGTAGATAGATTATATTAAATTCGATACCTACCTTTCAAAGTTATCTCAACTTATTACAATGAATATTTATTTATATAAAAAAGAAAATATTAATTGACCAAAAAACTTTAGTCAATTTAAATTTTCAAATAACTGTTTATCTATACTTCTATACTAATATTAGTAATAGTAAACATTTAATATTTGTTTGTAATGGATAAACTCAAAATCCACTTAACTGATTCTAAAAATCTATATACCTATTGAAAACTACTTTATCAGCCAGTATCACATTATATATTTTAATTTCGTAAACAGGATCGCTCGTCATCTATACTAAAAATTATTTACCTACATTTAGAATAGTTGATAAGCTTAAAAAGTAATCTCTTTATCAATAAGCAAATTACGAATTTGATCCGCAAAAAAACCCGTCTTAATAAAAAATGTTGCAGGCGTTCATACGCTACAGTAAACGTTTACCATCAGACAAGCTGTATGCTTGTTTGCTCTCTTCGTGGTAAAAAAAAATGAATACAATTCTTTTTCACATTCACTCAGGTTGGTGCTGTTGCTGTTTGGTATGCAAATTTTTTAAACCAAGACAAACCATAGATAAAGCTAAGAGATATTTTATAACGAATCCACCAGGTGTACTAAAAATTCAAACAAACAAAGAAATTCTTTATGAGCCAACTGACAACGAAAGAGACAGTTATGAAGAATTTGAGCATCTAATACGAACTATATAGTTTATTTTTTTCTATAAAAACAGCGATTATATTACAAAATATTAATGAGACTAACACGGGGGTTATAGTTTAATTAAATAAGAATGTTCAAAGTTGATTCAGAATTAGCCAAGATATTATATGTTATATACAAACAAACAAATATATATTGCTCCTAAAAAAAAGCCATTTCAATCGTAACTGAACCGATACAAGACGTGGAGTCTTCATTCATAGACACCAAATGATGTAAATATTACATGATTAATTACAGATACATTTCGAAGCAAAACCTATAATATTATGTAAACAGTAGTTTTTAGCTCCTCAAAAAAGAGGCTGCTTCTACAGATGGGCAAAGCACCGGGTTTAAACCCGGTGCTTTGGTAAAAACCCAATAAACACCCATAAACTCCCATAATCACCCAAAAAAATAGGTTTTTACGTATTTTTTTGAAAATATGTAAGTAATACCAATAAATTATTTTTATAAATTGTATTGATCAATTCTACAATATTAAATAAAACGTTAACTAATAATATTTCAGGAAATTTTAAAAATCTATATATAATAAAATGAAAGTAATTAATTTTCAGTGTTTTCATGTTGCAGTTGATCAACATGTTGGCCTTTTGCTTCCCGTAGATACTTTAAAATTTCTTCATAACACCTCGTTCGCACACATGGCCGTATATATTTAAATTCTTGAGCCACTAACAGTCCGAAATACTCATTTCTTTTATCCTCTTCTCCATAAATTAAGCATTTAGAACAGTTTGTTTCTTCTTTCAGTAAATTTTCTTTTACTTTATCCTCGTTTTTTTCTTTGTTGCGACGACGCTGGGTAAATCATCTGGACACTGGGTCTCACTATCGCCAAATATATTTGGAGATCGGCTTCGGCTACGGCTTGGCAGACATTTTTTTCTTTCTACAATTTTAAATTAAATTTATTAGAATAAATGCTTCGAACACACGCGATCTAAGTACCTTTTGTGTTTATTATACCTTACCTACCTAGGTATAAAAAGAGTACTTACGTAGATTTTCTTTTATTAACTGTTTTATACGAAGATCTTGATCTCTCAAATTAGCATCCATTTTACTTCCAGTGATTATCAACTAAATTAATAATCCACAAAGTATTAAATAACGTTTTTATGAAATATTTAGCACAAAAACAATACCCTTTAAATATCGATCGTCAGTAACTGTGGCTGACTTACCTATATTCTAGCAAGCAGGACTGCCAGATGTGAAGGGGAAATCCCCAATAAATTGTTGCATGTGACTGATGATGTGAGCATGTTCGTTTCATAATAAAAATGTTGCCAGGTAACCAAAAAGTCGTATGTTTTTGTGCGAATTACGATCATAATCTTTACGATCGTACATTAAAAAATAGACAAATAATAGTATGAGTACGATTTAAATCGTATATCTGTCAACCCTGCTAGCAAGACAGCGACAAAATCACGTTGCATAACAATGTAGCCCAAGCTTATATCTTATGAAATATACGGAAGAGATACGGACTTAGAAAAAACAGAAATGTTGTTCTTTGTGGAAGTCATTGATGAAATTCTATGTATTTTAGCCCGCAAACTTTCTTCAAACAAAAACAGCGCCATCTAGTATCGAGTTCTGTAATTATCTCTTTGTTTATGGATTTGAAGTAAGACCGCCACGCATGCAATACATTATGACTGGGGATTCCCCTATTCGTCGACGCTGAATATGAGGCGACGACAATCACTGTCAAACGTGTTCACTATTACTCTGACTCTGGTAACGTGACTTCCTGGTAACGTGTTAGGTAGGAAAAGCAGTAAAAAAGTGCATATTAAGGGAGCAGATTTGAAATAATATTTATACTTAACAAGAAATAATTAAAGGTAAGTGGATTTTTGAATGATACAATTATATCATGATCACTTAACAATTTTAACTTAAAATTAGATGTATTATTACAAGCTTTTATTTAGCTTGCGTTATGTAAATAAAAGTATGTAGGTATGTTCGTATGTTGATGCAATTATCCTCAATCCTCAACCGACTGGGATAAAATTTTCCATACACGTTTATTTTGGATGATAGTGCATAGTTAGCTGAGAGTCGTCATTGGATAATAATGGTGGATAGCCTAAGATGTGTACTAGATATTTATTTTTAACATAATATGCGTAAGTACCTAATCGAATTAAAGAAGTTGCTGAGAAAAATACAGAACAATACGATAATAAACTAGCGTCTGCGTTTAATCCTCCGAGGAGATGTAATTTTACAAAGGTTTTTTGTATTTATTTTATTATTTTTTTAATAAATTTATTGTAAATAACAAGAAATAATCATTGTAAAAAAATAGGCACTCTATTGTTGAATTTTCGTCAGACCAACTAATCATCGTTCATTTTTTTAGGTTCAATGGGGAGACCTAAAGATTTACGCATATGGGAGCACTACCGTACTTTACCAAACAAGTCTGTTTCTTGCAAGCTTTGTAATAAGGTCTACAAATTCAGTAATGCTGCCAAAATGCTTCAACATCTTATCACTTGTCCAAAATCTCCAGAAACATTAAAAGACTCTATGAAACTTATAAAAGATAGCTCGTCCAAAACCAAAATGTCTGGACTGTCAGAGATAGAGACAAATGATTCTTTTATAAGCCCCTCGTCGTCTGCTAACACTACAATAAATGCTGAGTTTCAAGACACCGATGATCATATAAAAACAGAATTAGCGAGAGCTATATTTGTAACAGGGACGCCATTATCGATGGTGCAACATCCTTTATGGATACAATTTTTCGAAAAATTGCAACCAAAATTTAAAATACCTTCACGTAAAGCTTTAGCGACAAAATACTTAGATAAAATATATAGAGAAATGCGTTTTGAGTTAAATGAGGAACTAAATGCTTGTAGTTACTTACACCTTCAGTGCGATGGCTGGTCTAATTTAAGAAATGAAGGAATAATAAACTTTCTTATATCAAAACCTCAACCTGCATACGTTAAAAGTTTGAATACAGAAAGTAATCCTCACACTAGTGAATACCTTAGCCAAGAAGTTGAAAAAGTAATGAAAGTGTATGGAGCAAATAAGTTTCTTGTACTTATTGGCGATAACGCTAGAAATATACAAAAGGCATTCGAATTAACAAAACTCAAATATCCACATGTTGTTCCTCTCGGTTGCTGTGCACATATCCTTAACTTGTTGTGCCAAGATATTGTAAAGATACAAGAAGTAACTGTGTTTATTATGCAAGCCATAAATATAATAAAAACTGTTAAAAGGAGTCAACGATTAAGTTCCTTGTTGATAAAATCAAGGCAGGGTGAAGATTCTACACAAACACTAAAATTGCCTTGTGCTACAAGATGGGGAAGTCATGTTACTTCGTTAAAAAGTTTGAAAGCAAATAAGATAGCTTTGCAAATATTAACAGTTAGAGAAGATGTGGTAATTTCAAGAGATATTAAAGATTTAATTCTAAGTGATGATTTCTGGACGAAGACAGGGGAATGTATAAGTATTTTGGAACCAGTCACTGAAAGCATATTTTACTTAGAGAGCGACCAGAATCGTTTGCATCGCACATACATTACATTTAGAGATGTACAAGCTAAGATACGTTTTGCATTAAATGAGATTTCGACATTGAGCGAAGAAAGCAAACAGCAGATTCTAACATCAGTATCTTCAAGATGCAATATGGCAATGAGGCCAATACATTTTGCAGCATATATTCTAGACCCCAGGACTCTAGGAGTCGAACTTACTCAAGAGGAAGAACTTAAGGGTATGGAGTTTATCTACAATTTAAGCCAACACTTAAGTTTGTCAAATGTAATGGCAGATTTGGCGTGTTATAAAGCTAAAGAAAACTTTTGGGCCAGAGGATTTGTATGGAGCTCATTAGATAGCATTGAGCCCCTAATATGGTGGAAAGGTATTTGTGGTTCCACTGAGTTAAGCAAAGTAGCGATTCGTATTCTATCAGCTCCCTGTACTTCGGCAGCCACTGAGCGTTCCTTTAGTATCCAAGGCTACATACATAATAACAAAAGAAATCGACTTACAACTGAAAGAACTGAAAAAATTTCATTCATTTGTTATAACTGGAATCTTAAACATAAAGCTGAATGCGAGGACATTCAGTTTAATGAAGAAAATACCTTAGAAGCTTTCATTGAGCAAGTAAATGAACATAACAGTTTAGACGAAATAGAGCCTATCGAACCTATACAATTCATCGCTTGTAATAACTCTGAATCTGACAGTGATTGACTGTAGTTTTACATTTTACTTTCATCTCTTTCTTAATAAACTCAAAATCAAATTAAAAGTTTTTTATTCTGTAGGCTGCATAATAATATTGTCTATGTCCAGTATAGTGGACGTCTTGCGGCTGAGATGACGATGATGAAGTACAAAATCATAAACACCCAAAAATTTGGGTGTTTATGGGGTTTAAACCCAATAAACCCAAAACACCCGGTTTTTACCCACCAGACTTTAAACCCACCCAGGTGGATTGCCCATCTCTAGCTGCTTCGATAGTCTGACATTTAAAATGGGACCAACGTTATCGATTGTATAAAGAACTGTGATAAGATTGTGTCCAAAAAAAAATAGAAACAACTTCAATTGTGGCAAAACTAGTTATTTAATATAAAAACTAAACTATTGATCTGAATTTTTATAAAAATTTTATGGGACCAATCTATAAGTATATAAGTGTATCGCTTTATAACTAACAAACATACAAAAAATACAACCAAATTGAGAACTACCCTTTTGAAGTTGGCTACATATTGCTACAAATTCAAAAGGAAAAAAAAATCAGATAAACAGAAAACCTCCTTTCTTTTTCCCTCAAAACAAGTGTATGGCAACAAGTCATGATATCAACTATATTTGCAATAATGAAAACTTTGACACATATATGAAAATATATCAACGTTATATGAATTAGAAAATTAAAATAGTAATAATTATAATTAATAATTTGTAATTAAAAAAGTAGTTCTACAGAGTTTACATGTACAGAGTATGTCCCAATCAAACAGAAACAATGACTTTAATAATACTAATATACATACCTCAAGAATCTGGTTAGCTTTGGAAAAGTCATTGTTGTAAAGTGCAAGTGCTACCAAGCAGTTTGGTTTAGCCAACATAATGGAGATGAAATCAATCCCGCTTCCTTTGCCCGACAAAGCTGTAACAATATAGTAAAAAACAATTTCTAAATAAATAAGTGATTTACTGCTTGTCCATTACATATTTAGTTACAGATTTTTTTAAATATTAGTATTTCAAAATAACAGGAAATAAATTAAAAGAAGTAATTATGGTAAATATTTTTGGAATATCATAGTCTAACACAAAATGAAAAATTGATCACTCATAATTATTTCATCTGTCAGTCTGTTACATATCACAGGTTTTAAATAGAGCAGCTCAAATGCTTAAGTAAATTTTTAAGCAGGTTGAAACATGAAAAAATCCTAACCTTCATCTATATCTATACTTATAATAAATCTGTACAGAGGTCAATTCTGTACATGAAATATATTTCCAAAATAACTATCAGGAGGTGATTAGTGATCGTTACTGATGCCAAAAATGCAATTAGTTAAATTTTTGTCTGTTTGTATGTTCGTTATAAAAACAAAAACTACTTGATAGATTTTAACGAAACTTGGTACAATTATTCTTCATACTCTTGGGCAGGTTATAGTATACTATTTATTACGCCACGATCAATAGGAGCAGAGCAATGAAGGAAAATGTTGGGAAAACGGGAGAAGTTACTCCATTTTTAAGCTTCTTTCAAATGTAGAAGCCACTTTTTAAAATGTAAAAATGTCCACCCATGCCAAGCCGGGGCAGGCAGCTAGTAGGTTTTTTACACATTTGACCGTATATGCAAAATAGCATATGCAGAAAATGCAGTCCTACTTTACATTGTTCACTACACTACACTGTTCACATTTAAGGGATGCCTATCTTCATTAATATTATAAATGGGAGTAATTCCTTGTTATTTTTTAGTGCTTTTATTGGGTCAACTGATTGTCATAAAATTTTATATATGCATATTATTTGACAAGGGGAATAATGGTCATGTTCCCATAACATAACATAATGGTAATTTCCCAGGGGGAGACTTTGTACAAAAGTCGATTGCTTGGGTACCTCTATCCCATTCGTGTTTCAACCGTGAAGCAGTTGTGTTTGCATGGCTGTATTTCGGTTTGAAGAGTGGGATATGGCGTGAATTTACTGGGTACAGAGGAATAACATCTGAATCCTCAGGAATGGCAACGCATGGGGGTATCATGGGCGAAACAGTATACTCTGTTATGTCCATGGTACTGCTCATGTCTATAGGCGACGGTTACCACTTTCCATCAGGTGGGCCGTCAGTTTGTTTGCCGTTCTAAGTAACAATAAAAAAAAAAATGTGAACAATGCCATAGGCACAAGTTACAAATATGACAATGTCAGAAAGTTACAAAAATGTCAGAATTTACCTTCACCATTAGCAGAAATTGTGGAAGCAAGCATGATTTGATCCTTATCATGCTTTGGATTTGTGTGCCTTCTTCTGCATTTCGGCTTCTTTCTCAAAACTTTCACATCAAGTTCTTTATCATCTTCTTCACTGCTCTCATCCACCTCCACATAGTCCAAACAGAGCTTCAACTGTACTGGACTTGTATCTGGAGAGAGTGTTGAGACCAGTTGCAGTTTCCATATTGAATGATTAACTACTTTCACTAAATGTTTCAGTCTTGTAGTAATGTTCTGATCAATCTCATGAACATTTACATTCTCCTCTAATTTTTCCAAACATATTTTGAGAGTGTTCAAAACAATTTGTGTTGTCAATGAATTGCACATAAATCCTGAATTATTGGTGTCTATGCTCTGAGGAAGCTGGGTTTGTTTCTTAGAATAAAAATAAGAGCATTCAGAATGGGTCCCGCATGGATAATCTTGGTTATATTCATTGCAAGCAAAATATTCATACCTTAAGAACAAACAAGAAAAAATATTTTCAATTACTTCAATACAGCAATGCAGTGGTTGTATTGATAAAACAAGACGTTTAATTTCATCTAAAGAAGATGTAATATCTTGTGCTTCTTCTGTTTGTTCAGATGAATTTAAAATACAGTCAATAATCTTTGTTATTGCACAATAACTATTATAGGTAACAATGTCCCAATTAGTATTATACTCTTCTTGTGCCTCAGAGTTGATTTTAGAATTCAAACTCATTAATTCTTTGACAAAATCATTGTTCATATTTAAAAGTCTTGAAACTTTATATCTATCTATTTTAGAAAGCCTGCACACTTGGGATATCACAGCTAAAGCACTCTGTGTCAATACTTGACTAAATATTGATGTTGTCATAATTTTACTGTTGTTCTCTATGCAAAATTTTATTATTGTCAATTCTCTTTTTACTTCAGTAATATAAAACTGTAGTTGATCATCGGTAGTTGTGTATGTATCAAGTATAGAAAATATGTTAGTCAATTGATGAACTAGAGAGGGCAAATCATAAGTTTCTGCACTATTTGTTAGATCAATAAGTACCATGATAAGTATTTGTTTTGTAAAGTTATTTATCTTAAATGTCACAGTTTTCATGTCATGCAATTGATGTTTGTAAACTTGGGCTGCTTTCAACAACCAATGTATTTTATCTTCATAACATAATTCCAACATATATTCTGGTGTCAATTTAAACTCCTTGTGTGGTTCATTTTTCTGCATATTATCTGAAGCTAAATGTAAAAGTTCAGGCTTTTCATAAGGTATGAGACTTATTAGAATTTGTTTCCTAAACTGCCGATATGAGTCTGCTGTGAGTGGCATCAGTATCTCTTGAGTAAACTGAGGCAAGAACTTACTATCCCATCTCATTACTGATATCATTGTCATTAGTTTATCTGAACACTGGTTTTCTATAAATTCATTTCTCAACATTTCTAAATATATTGGTTGTATTTTGTCTAGGTTAATGGCATTGTGATGGTGTTCTTGTATAAAATGTATAAGAGACAGAGTTGTAACAGGATTATTCTTTATGTTATTTTTCAGAAACTGAAAAACATTATCTGAAAATTCTTTAGGCTGTTTAGATTCCTCGACATCATAGTAGAAAAGCAAGATTTCCTGAAAGTAACAACATATAAGATAATAATATATCAGTAAAGACAGACAGCAAGAGATCAAAGTTACTATTTGTTTTAATAATTTAAAAAATATAGAAAATATTGGTGTGTATTCAAAAGTTCATATTTTTAAAACCTACCTCAAATATCTCATCTGTAAGGTCATCTAGTAGTCGCAACATATACTTCAGTTCCTCTTCTGTCATTTTGCTGTTTTTAAATGTGTCCCTGAAATTATATTTTCATAGATAAACAAAGCCTGTCCACTGATTTATTTCAATATTGTTGTGTACTAAAGTGGGTAATTTATAAAATATCAGTCTATAGATATCATCCACCAGAGTAATTCAGTACCTCAAAAATACATATTTTAGTAACAATAGAATAAATATATTACATTTTTTTTATAATAAATTCGTCTTGTGCAGTAAGATTTACCTGTATGTATCAGTTGTAAAAACTAACCTCAGGACTTTATTAATAAAATATCACTAAACACTACTATCAAAATACTAAGCAATTTATCAGTGTTGTTGCTCACCTTCTAGGTCATATGTCATTGACTCTCAAGAATTTTATTGCATTATTTGTTACTATTAAGAACTTTTATAAAAATATTTTATAATACAAAAATACCATGTTTTATACACCGTCAATTTATTGTTGGAATTAATACCAAATACAATGCTGGAAATATCATTATTTATTACAAAAAACAAATCAGTGCAAGCATCACTTTCTTACAATAATATCTACGTAACTATTGGATAAATAAAAGAAATTTTAAAATTGAAACCTACCTCCCTAATAGGCAATAAAAATGTCTGGCACTGTTATTGTAATTAAACAGAACAATAACATTTTTTACGTTTAACACGACATTTTCGTCCAAAAAATTAATTGTATATGAAAACAAATTTTAATAGTTAAAGTAATAAAGTATCCTTTTCTTAATACCTAGGATCAAAATCAACAAAGAAAACAAGGTTTATTTTTACCACAGATTAGAGACTATCCAGTTGTCTCGAACGTCAAAATACGAAATCGGTAGAGTTATCAACCAAAAATCGGTATATAAAAAAAAACTATTCAACCAAATCTCATTTATTTTAAACTTCTAGATTTATTACTTCACAATAAAATTATTAAAACTAGTGAGAATATATCATAAAAATTAAGTACATAGTTATCTTAATAGAAATTCTAATACATTCTCAGAAATCGTAGAAAAATCAAATTATTTCAGTATTTCAGCAGGACAAGTGAAATACCGAAAAATCAGTAGGTTCGGACCATTTACTATCTAACAAAAATTGAACTGGGTTTATCTTGTCGTTCGTTCTAAGCACTGGGCCTGTAGACAAATTGCAAACGAATTCGTCGATGGAATCGACATCGCTAGCGAGTCCGTGATATAGAATGAGAAAGCAACGCTAGATGACTCATTCCAACTTACGGACTCGCTAGCGATTCGATTCCGTCAACGAATTCGTTTACCACTTGTCTAGAGGGCCAGGTTCTAAGAGAACAATTGAGCTCTGTAAACGATCCAACTTACGACTGTTAACAACTTACAAACTACTGATTAAATAAAAGAAGGCCCATAATTTTTGATAAATTACATTAGCACTGACTATTGCAAATTATGTACTCTCTGTCTTTGCTAAAATTTGCTTGCATCCTGGATTAGAAACCGAAATATTCTCAGGTCAGCAAGTTCGACCTCGATCGGAGTCCTTGGTTTCATCACTGTTAGCTATATCTCTAACTAATCTGTTAATTAGAGTAAGATGTCTAGTTGATACAGTATCCTCATGTCCATCAGCAAAACCATTTCCATTAATAGATCGTTTAGAACAACAGGGCAACTTATCATGTGAAATAGCATTCGTGGCTAATGCATAACAAAGAGCGGATAGAATGTAATGCTAAAGGTAGAATATTCCTGTTCCGAATATTGCATGTCAAGAGTATTGGACTTTTAAAATAATTGGATGGTTCTTTATAGTATCCCATTCAACCTTTCAACTTGATCATTGCCTTCATGGATTGGTTTTAAAGTGTAGTTTGACTATAAACAATATTATTTCTTAGTAGATATCTTTAAATTTATGCAACAAAAATCTGAGTGAATATATAAAGGAGTTCCAAAAGTAAGAGGTTTTTTAAGCACGCTGTGACAGTTCAAGTTAATATGTCTTTACATAGATAAACAAATGGAAAACAAGAGAATTTATAAACAATAGTTAATATAAATTTATTTTCAGTATTCGAAGGTAACAGCCCTTTAAAATCTTAATTGAATATACTGAAATACAAGTCAATAAAAATATCCTTCATACATATTTTTTTAAGTAACTTATATATAGGCTGTATGGACCATGCTCTTTGCCTGCCCAATTCGGACAATATCACAATGATATTAAAACGGCAACAACTTAAAGTTTAAGGTTATTTCAGAAATGTAAACCTATATATTTGTTTTGTAAAAATTTTACTTTTATTTATTAAATTATAGGTTTATTGATAGTGCATGTGGGAGATTTCGTTTGGTTATCGAAACATCAATATGAGACTCTTAAGCCGATATTTCTTTGTTAAATACGTATATACTGGGTTTCAAACAAGTACTAATTACGATATTTCTTTTCGGCAATATATGACTATTGTTGCTAATAAATATGCATTATCAAAATATTCCTCCGTTTTTTCATATACTGTATTGGGATATTCATCAGATAACAAAAAACAATTTTTAAATTTAGAGAAAAAAACTGGAGCACTAAAAGATGTCTTTGAACATAGAAAAGAACGGTTAAAAGATACAGAATACAGAATTCGACAGAAAGGCGAGGAAATTGTTAGAGATATAAAACAGCAAAAAGAAATTACTGGACAGAGAATTAGGGAGAAAAAAGAACATTTAATAAAGGATATTTTAGAAACTAAGGCAAAAGTCAAAGTAAGATTAGAGGAAGTTGTTGAGGTATATATTGGTGTTATGTTTATGAAAACTTGTTTAACAGTTTATATAATTATTGGCGTATTTAAGATTATTTTTCAGGGTGGGCCTGACTCCAAAAAGACATATGTGTTTTTGCAGACATGTCTTTGTGAAACTCCATGCCTGTTTCAAGGACGCGCATAGAACCTTAAGAACTCTTCTGTATATAGTAAATTCAGTAAATTTTGTTTTGCAGCCTATACGTTAGATATTGAAATAAAAACAATATTATCTTTCAAATTTGACTAAATATCTCTGAAACCATTTAACGAATTATAATGAAATTATAAATGTGTTACTAGAAAAACAATAAAACCAATGCACTTCACATAAACTATGTATTTGGACTAACAAGGAAAAAGGTGTTAAAAATAAATATATAAAAAATTTCATTCGAATGGCTTCAGAGAATAGTGTAAATGAATATTTTAATATGGAATTTTTATATATTAAGATTTGCTATCAATCTATCATAGATTTATATAATTTTTTTATCATATATTGTTTGTAAAGGCCGTCAAAGCTTATGATTAACTTTAAAATTGATATTTTTTTCAGAGAGAAAATGTGTTTACCATACCAAATATATTGTGTGTAACTAGAATAGCATTGTCTCCTTATCTGGGTTATGTAATATTACAAGATGACTATAATTTAGCCTTAGGATTGATGGTGTTTGCAGGAATCACTGACTTGGTTTGTAATTGTTATTTTATTAGATAAGAAATTTAACTATATACTGATATTGGTTTGGTACTGAAGCATAAATAATATAAAATTCTCAGTATTAAAAATAAATAGGTATTTTTTTATGATGGTATGTATGTCATAAAAAAAATATAAAATCTTTATACAGATGATCTTGATGTAGCAGTGCCACTTTCGTTTTGAGGACTGTATCATGCAGTAAACATTGTTTAAATTTAGAAATGATTTTGGGAAATTAATTGAATTTTATAAAAAAAAAATATTTTAATTACAGTTGGATGGTTGGATAGCAAGAACTTGGAAAAGTCAATCATCGAAAATGGGATCATTTTTAGATCCCATGGCAGATAAAGTACTCATAGCGACCCTCTTCATTTCTCTCACATGGCAAAATTTGATACCATTAAGTCTGACTTTGTTAATTGTGAGTCGTGATGCTGCTTTGGTAACAGCTGGTTTTGTCATTCGATATATGAGTCTCCCACCTCCCGTAAGTCCTATTGAATTATCATTATTTATAATTAGTTCATTTATAACTCTCAGCTCATAAGAGCTGATCTAATAAGAGCATAAGCATGCATTGCTCATTCTCTTATTAGGTCAGAGAAACAAATTTGAAGTATGTATGTAAAGCTGATATAAATATCATCTTTTTAGTTTGTATATCATGCTACTTTATTATTTATTTGTGTAACTTTATTTACATGTAATTTTCAAGATTTTTTTATGAATTTACACTTTAGAAAATATTGCCCATCTAAGGTACTCACACAATGAGATTTAGTATGAATATTAGTGTTAAATACAGAAAAATAAGCATAATGTGAAAACTGTTAAAAACTTTTATTAATCTATATTTTTTTCTAGTTTCCAAATATTTTTTTACCATTAAATTTTAAAGATTTACTTTTATACATACTAGCAATGTTTATTTACTTTTATTCCAATTTGATAAAATTATATTTTTTTCTATATGCACTACAAAATCATATTACTATACTTATAATTGTATTATGTAACTTGAAAAAGTAAACAAACTGATGACCTAACTAACGACAATTAACATTCATGGTATCTCTCATGCATTATTACTAATCATGAGGTTTTAGATGTTATAAATCAGAGGTCCAAATTCTATAATTTTACTGTGACATAACCAGTTGGCTTCTTCCTCATTGGTGTGAGTAGAAATCATAGACCCTAGGTGATTTGATTTAAACAGACCTTTTTAGTCTTCTTCACAATCATGAATCTATTTACATGAGCAAACATAAACCCTGTTGTCAGTTTTAAAATTTCTTTGTTTTGTTTACAGAGAACACTTAGCAGGTACTTTGATGTGACACATGCTACAGCACAACTTGCACCAACATTTATAAGCAAAGTGAACACTGCAATACAATTATTGCTGGTATGTACAAATATTGTCATGTTTCAGTTTTTATGCTATATGGTAATTGTGATCAGTGTTTAGCCTCATTTTAAAATGCATGACATCCAAAACTTTATGAAAAAGTCAGACCATGCTGTCACAATACACATACACGGGGAATTTAGCACAAAACATTGGTACAATATGGCAGCCACAATATGATACAACTAAATGTTGATCCACCTTAATATTAAACAGCACTATTTTTTGTTCAGGCTATCTATTATTTATTGTGGCGCATTGATGTATATTTATATGTAAATCAGCTGACAGCAAAATATCCATAATAGCGATTGCTAGCACACTCATGTGTTAAATAAATATAGAGTATAGAGAAATATTAAGTGTTTGCTTAGTCTGTATATACATACATATATAGTTACAAATTTTATCTAAAATTACCAAATTTTTACATTTACAAAATTAGTAGTATTAGCAAAATATGGGATTACAATTTTTATTATTTAAACACATTTAATCAAGTTATATTTTTACATAGCCTGCACGCGCATGACTTTTAATATACATTTTTTATTTACAGTATACTATATTATTTCGAATTGTAACACTATTGGCATAATTAGGGAGGAAAGGAGATCTGGGTGATTCATACCCACTCCAAAATTGTCTAGTGTGTTCCCTAGTATGCGAGCAAAGCTTTGCAAAGACAGATTTGATGAGACAGGTCAAGTGTGTTACGTAATTTTTAAATTGAATTGAAATTGAAAAAATTTTTGAAGACTTGACCATCCTTTACCCCATGTAACACACGGTAACATTTTTCTGTACTCCCCCAAATAGTGTTACGTAATACTTGAACGCCCCCTTTAAGAATACATATGTATTTTATTTATGGCGCCAGACCTCGCGTGGAAAATAGTCATTAATATGCCAATGTATATCACCATGCAAACAATACAAGTTTGCAATTCACCCTGCTTGGATTTTGAAAATAACTGACAAAATTGCCTGTATTTGTGTATAATTACTTTGGAAGATTTAATCTTTTAGTTTTAGTAAATTTCTACTTTAGATTAAAACTATGAATATGAATTGTAAACCTCATTCTCAATGTACTTACATACTTAATAATTTCAGGTTGGAACTACTCTTGCATCTCCTGTATTCGGATATGCGAATCATCCTGCATTACAAACACTCTGTGGTGTCACTGCCGTGTCTACAGTAGTATCAGCCATAAGTTACTTAGTTAGTAAGGACACCTATAAGTTTCTAAAGAAAAATCGCGAATGACATGAAATCGCCTGAAAGATTGTCTAATAGTCTTCCAGATATTCTTTAGTAATGTCATAATACCAAGATAAATTATTTTGAAATTGTAAATTGTGCAATGTACAGTATGTAAATAAAAGTTTTAAACTTATCTTCCTTTATTATTTAATTTTCTTTGTTTTTAGTAATTTATTCTTTAGAGATAATAACTGAGAAAATTATAGGCATCACTTAAAATGATAGGGGACATATGTGTACTACACATTAGTTTGAAATTAAATAATATATTGTAGATACAAATGAAATAAATTTATTTTGTTTGATCTATTCATATGATAAAATGTTGGTAATTTATATGAAAAATTACTCAGTGTTATAAAAATATGTAATAATATTACAAAATTATACTTAAACTAACCAAAAATACATTTCATTTGCTTTTAATTAGACACATCCATTATTTTTAATGGATATATTCAATTTTTAAAATAAGCAATAAGTATGTAGTTTTTAGAAAAAAAAAAATTCACATAAAAGATCTATAAAAATAACTTGTGGAATGTTGAATAGATGTATGTTAGATTTTAGTAAAATGTTATTTTGCTTATTCAACAATTTTATCCACTGTAAATTAAATTCACTTAACCAAAATATAATTCTAGTAAAAAGAATATACTGGTTTCTAATATTGAAAATTTAGTTACATAAGGATACATTACTTATTACATACATTTAGGAATTTCAAATGGACTGAGTGGATGGTGAATGTTAGATTTCAAAAGGCACATGTATAATATCAGTTCCTGTATGTTATTTGTTATAATAAATTATATAAATTAAAGGACCAATTAATAATATTTTTTCATTACATTATTATAATAAGGTACCATCTATATTTTTGGTATAGTGTTTCATCTCAGCAGACATTCTAAATAAAGCAGACTTTTTAGAGGGATTCAAGCAATTAGTGCAGTTTTCTAGATTCTATTAATTTCTATTAATGTCACAATTATTAGTAGAGAAAGCTATGAACATGTTTCTTATCAAATTCTCAGACATGAGTACACAGTAATTTTTTTTTATATTATCAAGTGTTATCCTTGCTAGTCCTTTTCAAAGCAATATTAAAAACTAGAAGAATGAACCAACATTTATGATGCCAAAAATTTTTTTTTATGAAGAACTTAAATATTTTTCGATGTGTATGTAGAAACTTACATTTAATAAGAAAATTATATCAAACATTTTTATGTTTAAACTACATATTAAGCACATACATAACTTTTAAATACTTATAATTTATACACAAAGAAATTTTCAAAATTAAATATGGCAGCTAGTATTTCTTATGAAATAGTAGAAATAACTTAAGAATGTATCTCTAGGTTTATCAGTGTGTAGGTAGAACAATCCCCAACTTAGTTTCTTGATTCAATATCATCTTTGGATATAGAGTATTATTACAATAGGTAGTTATTATAAATGGGGACAGATCTTTGAATATAGCCAGAGAGCACACAGCATGTAAAAATTACTTACAAGAAAGTTTCTCATTTAATTATTTTTGTGTCTATCAGACACTAAAATATTAATCTCATTAAAATAATCATTTAGAGTAAAATTGTCACAAGGAATTAAAAACTTAATTATTAAAATCATAAAATTGTACAAAAATAAAAAAAAATAATAAAAGATTAATTGCACAAGATATTAAAAATAATTACATACAATGTAAAAAATTACAAATGGTTAACAATAATTGTTTGTATTTAGGTATTACAGTATTTTCTAAATATTAAATGTAGATTTTTTGTGTACTACACTAATTTTAAATGATATTTATCTGCAGATACAAATATAAAATACATAAGGTATTATTGCATTGATGAAATGCATAACTTAACCAACCTTGTTAATTAGTTCATCACATATAGCTGTGAGTTCTTCATTGTCTTTTATTTTCTGTGCTAAGGATTCCTGCAAAGAAGATGCATGCACCTCACTTTTCTTCAGCATTGCATTCAGTTTCAGAATTTCGGCTTGGTGAGCTTTTTTCACTGAGTCCAATTCTGCATTGGCTTTATTAAGTTGTTGCATAGCATGTTGTCTTAAAGTTTCATACCTAGCCTCCAACTTCTGAATAGCATCATTATTTTCTTCAACAGTATGTTTCAAAGTTTCTTCATTGCTTTTATATCCTTGAATAATAACTTTGCACCTTTCATATTTAGTATGCACATCATTAAATGCATGTTCCATTGATGCCAAATGAGCTGCAGCCTCATCTCTTTCTTGGACCAGAGTAGCTCTTTCTTCAATCCATCTTTTGGACTCTGCTTCACGTTCACCTATTAGAGATGATATAGTTCTTTCATATTCTTCCATAACCACACTCATTTGTTTGTTGTTTCTGACTTTCTCTGCAACTCTTTGAGAGAGTGTTTTTTCTTTTTCTGCATATTCATCATTTTGTTCTGATAACTTTTTTATTTTTGCTTCACATTCTTCAAGACGTTCTCGTAGTTCACGATTAAGATCTCTCAAACTTTGTGCCTCTTCCTCTTGAGTTGTTAATAACTCTTTTACCGCCCGTAGCTGTTCAACTGTATGTGGATCCATGTCCGTTGGCCGTGTGATAACAGGAGGAGGTGGTGGTATATTCGCACCAAGGCTTAAAAGTCGATCAATAGTTGCAATAGCTGGAGACACTGTACTTGCCTTCACTGGTGTAACTTTTGCAGCAACAGAAGGTTGACTTCTATTAACAGCTGGAGTAACTACTTGAGTTGGTTTCTCTGTAGGACCACTATTGCTTGGTTGTACAGATAATTGTTGCATAGAGTTAACTATATTCTGCTCTGTACCTGACATGGTACTGTCCACAGTTATATCTACGTGCAAAATTTTATATTTTTCGGTAAAATAATGCACACATGGTCTTACCTGTAAATTAGAAAGAAATATAAGTATTGTGACTATATCAAGGCTTCAAGGGCAAGACACTGAGTCATTTATGTTACTTATTCCAAAATGTAGCGACAGAGTAAACTGTTTAATTAAGGTCATTTACATTTCGTTAATATAAAAATATATACGGTATATTAAGTTGGAATGTGAAAAAACACTATACGATACTCTTAAATGCACTACAACCCACGCATGATGCAAAGAAATCGAACAAAAAGAATGATCACATTATTAAGTATATAAACGGCAGTATAACGTACCGTAATGTCCTCGAGCCAGCTTTATAACTGAGGACAGGGAAAAGCAACAGTTTATATAAAATTCCGTAATAATTTAGTAATAAGACCCCACTATTTAAATAAACATCCAATTCGACAAGAAGAAATAACGATGATGACATCACATCACTTTAATTACTGACGTAGCTGTCAGTTAGTTTGACATTACATTGTGTTTCCACATAGATAATTATGGTGATTATATTATTGATATGATTATATTATTTATCTATGGTATTCATAAATCGTTTTAATGTACTTTTGTTAAAAAGTTTATGATAATAGTAGAAATAGGGCTCTATATTATATCCGCATATATTTGTGGTCAAATCATTCGTTTCTTTATTTTTAAATATTCGTTAAGTTCTATTGAAATAAACTTAATAGTATACAGTTTCTACGTTCTATTTTTTTTTTTGCATATCTTAAGAATATTACGGACCGGAACATTTCTTATTAATAATTTAACTTGCCAGCATCTTCCGCCATTCCTTTACCCATTATAATAATAGAATTCCTTAGAGAAATTTCCAGAAAATTTTATTTTTAAATGACTTAAAAACTAGAAAATTCTTAATCAGTTCTCGGAATTTTCAAACGACTTAAAAAAGAAGAAGGTACTCGATTCGTCTGTTTTTTTGCGTCATAACTCCGTAAGTTGTAAAATGATTTGGAATATTATTTTTTATTTGAAAGAATGTACAATCACTCTTTGGAATCAAGTTCACACCTGCAATATCGTTAGTGTTATGGGTAATAATGGGTGGTGGTAGTCACTGACCATCAGGTGAGCCGCATGCTCGTTTGCTCCATGTGTTGTAAAAAGATACAAAAGTTCCCATAGAAAATTTATCAAAATCGATTCAGTAATTTTTTTTTAATCAAAGTAACTGGTTTTGTTATAATTGAATTTTTTTTTGTGGAAAACAATCTTAAATTATTTGCAATAGGTAGCCCATGTAGTTACTATAACAAATAATATATACAAGGAAAAAGAGTGACAAATATACCTATATTAATTAATAACCATATGTAACGACACTACATGAATATTTAGTAAATACATAATAATATAGTCAATTAAAAAATTTAAATGTAATAAAAACTGAAATAGGGTGAATTAGTAGGTTTGAATTTGAGTATACGAAATACACATTAAAACAAAGTATAACAGTATTATCAACAATTATATTTATTCATTAAAATTTTAAAATAATATACAGTCATTTAGAGTCTGGAAGTAACTAAACACCAACAATATATTTTTCTGTTTTATACATTTCATATGCAAACTCTTCTTCGTGCGTTGGGTCGAATTCTAGACCTGAAAAATTTAACATAATATTTACAATTACTATATGGAGAATTACATATATAATACTATCTCAATTTTAGATATGAAATACTGCATTAGACCTTGTAGGAAACATATGTAACAATTTAGCGGCCTCGCCAATTTCCAGCGAAGGTTAATAAAATGCAAATTCATTAGGATGGAAGAATCGGAAGTAGGTACCGATGTTTATTTTAGACTTTGTCTTCTACGTACGGCACTAAACATATCATATAAATTAAAATATAACAATATGTAGTAGTATTATTTATATCTATTATGAATACAAAAGAATTATAAGAATAATTGACTTAAATAAATGAGTTTCGTGAATTAAAATAAAAAAAAAATGTTAAACGTTCAATGGGCGTAAGGATGACTCAAAATATTTTATTATTTTTCGACCCAATAGAAAGAAACATTATTTGATGAAAATGTTCAGTTATTGATAGAACACATTTTTTCGTGAAACGAAATATAGATAATTAAAAAAACTTGATATTTTTTAAGTAAACGGTCATTATAGTATAGAAAATAGATAAATTAAACAATTTTCACATTTACATAAAAAAAAGACTTTGGAATAAGTAATTCTAAACAATCTCTTCTCTCTAGACATGGCAAACGAAACGATATATACGTTATCGTTGTCGCATGCATGAGATGAAACGATGTGATATTTTTTTTAAGCGATGAAAATGCAATATTCCTGTGTAATTACAATAATCCTACCTGGGCTATCGATACAAACCCGACAACTTGCTGGTATGAGGGGTGATGTGCCAAATTCACTAGAAATTAACGACGATGCATGGCGAGCGAAATGAAAACATACCTATTGATAGCTAAAGCAAACCTTTGCCACTTGCCTGTCTTTGTAGAAAAATTTAATTTCATTTAATTTGATCGAAATCGTTTTTTTTTTATATGGGGAAAAAATTTGTTCTATATATTTTAAACACCTAATATTTGTGACTGGGTGGAAGGTATTGTTAGTAATGGGGAGGTTAGTCCCTTTTACTATCAATATATCCTATCGGGTCGACCTCCACGTGGTCCCCCTGGAAACTATCGTGACTAATTTACCGTTGAATAAGTCACGATGGGCTAACTGAACTGTCTTTTCATCTTCACCAATCATCCCTCACTGGTGCCCCGTCAGTGTATACCGATAGCGCAGGCGGGGTTACTATTTTCATTCATTAAAAAAAATACTCGTGACTCGGTGTCTCAAGCAATTGAGCAGTTTTCTACAGGATTAGTCATAATGGGTTCATTAAGTTGAAACCTTTCATAGAAAGGTGTAGTCACGCGATGGAGTCGTATTTTTTCAATACGTGATGTTTTACTAAAGATTTTGTAAAATCATTTGCATGGATAGAGGTACCCAGACAGAGTAGGAAGAGATGTCCTACTGATGTTTCTTTAACAAATTACGTCAAGTAAGTAAAGTAATTATAATAATATTTTAGCCCTCAAGAATGGCAACGTATAAGGGGTAGTATGAGCGCTATAGTATATTCTGTGATGTCCAGGGTACTGTTCATATCTATAGGTGACGGTTACTACTTTCTCAGGCAAACCGTTAGTTTCTTTGAATACTAATGGTTCAAAAATAATTTTTACTTTACATTATCTATGTTCCTTAAAAAAATAAAGGAAAATAGTTCACTTTCATGAAATCAAGGTCAGTAGGTTCTATAATCACAGTCAGGTAAACATATTAATATGATACGTCTATAGTATGTGTACCTTATAATATGTGTTTAAGTAAGTAATTGAAACAAATAAATACATTGCACTTTGTAAAGAGCTCTCAAAAGTCAGTCTAATTTTCGCACATTGGATGTGACATTTGTTTACTTACCAATATATTCTATTTCTAAATCAAATCTTCCAGGAATCTTGTCGCCACAAGATATACCAAAGTGTGTTATTCTATCTAGACGTATTCTATTTTGCTTGTCCTGTACTCGTCCTTTAGATCCTAAGATGAACTTCGAAAATGGTATCTAGAAAAAAAAATGTCATAAATTTTTTTAAAATGCTAATCTCTAAACAAATCTCTATAAATTTTAATTTTATAATTTATATGAAACTATATTGTGGTTCATTAATAATTATATATTAAAACGTAGTTCTAACTTAATTTTAAAGGGAGGTGAATGGATGGATGAATGTTACTCTTTCATGCAAAAACTATTGAACGGATTTGCATGAAATTTAGTACACAGTTAACACATAGAATATTTTATGTACTTACTGATTCACGCAAAGCCTTGGGATATAGCTAGTTACCTATATACAAGCAAGTAAATAAGCAATACCGCATATACATAGTTCTTTTTTTTTAATTATAATTACGTACTTTAGCTATTTGCCAGTATGGTCCACCTCTAGTGTATAGTACATAATGGTAAATATCATTCCATGTAATGTCATAGTATCCTTCGCAAGAAAGATTTAACAAGTACGATCTACCATCTCCTCTGACTTTCAGAACAAGTGTGTTATATAGATGCCAGTTGTAAGTAGATTCACGTTTAAATGATTTCTGTAATAGAAAACACAAATAAATAAAATTCCACGACAACAAACTTTAGCTATTGATTTATACTTGTTGTATGGTTAATATTACAATAACCGTAAAGAAAATTAATGTATAATTGTGATTTGTTGTTTGTGTACGTTTATGAGTATACCGGAAATAGCATATCCGAAGTCAGAAGACTAATCAACATCTACAAGTATCTCAGATCACGAGACTCTACGAAGGTTTATTGATAAAAATGAAAAAGATATCTTCCGTCATGTATGGGAGAGCCATCAGCGCCATCTAAAATCATGACGAGTTGCAATAGCAAAGAAAATAAATTCTTGAACGTTTCAGTTTCGGCTGCACTTTCGGTATTTTCTACCAAAACCGAAACTCTAAAAGCACCTCTTTTGTATCGACAAGTGATGTTTTACGAAAGAATAACGATGTACGATTTGTCTTAAGTTATAGTAAGCACCTATTACTTTAGGTAAGTCGTAAACAATCTGTGATACTGGAGTTAATTAAACTACTTGGTATAAGGAAATCATATTTGTAGAATTTTACGTATTTTTTAATCTTACCCTCGCCCGTTTCGATCTCATAGCACAATAACCAGCTTTTTTAATACGGCCATCTTTAGGAACTCTTAGGTCGAGGTGTCCATGGAAGAGTGCTCTGCCGGCACTGCTCATAGTTAGGCTGCATTGACTGTATCCTTCGTTATGGTCACTGTCGCTAGTCGTCACGAATTTATCAAGAACACTTTGATCACTGAAGCACCAAATAAGATCAATTTCCCCTGTAATAACAATAGATACATAAAAATATTTAATATACCTTCAGTCAACTAAAGGAAGATCTAGCTGAGGGTCTCCTCCACGAAATATCTCCTGGAATTTATTTATTTAATATATATATATATATATATATATATATATATATATATATATATATATATATATATATAATAAATACATAAAACAATTTATGACTCAAACTTAAATTTAAAGGGAAAGTGTTTATTTTAAGAATACTGGAGCGTAATTTATGTTTGAAAGCTAGTTTCCTCAGAGTAGATGTTAAGCGGGAGTGCGTTCTAGTGTTTAATAGCCTGAATAGTGGAGAAATAGGAAAATAAGTCAGTACGATGATCAGGCGTGTGGAGAAGATTTCTGCATGGACAAAGACAACGATTGGTAATGTCCCCGTGAAATTGAAATTTACACTTAAGGTAGTCGGGAGAATTTGGATTGTATAAAATGGAATGCAGAGTCCAACGTACGCAGTCGGTTAGGGATCGATATCCAGTCTGATAGCAATCGATATCCATTCCAGTGACATTGACTTTGCTCAACGGTGTCATGAGCCAGTATCCAGATTTGGATATTTTGACTTGTAGACTTATCAAGTTTCGCAGAAAGGCAATAAATTGTTTAGAAAATGTTCAATAATTAAAATTTGTTGTTTCATATATTGTGATTAAGGGCGCGAATTGGAAAACTGTCAAGTTTCCTTTATTTGTAAATATAATAAATAAATAAATATTATCACATGGTGACGTACATACCATAGAATATGGTAATTGTTTATTAGATGGCAAGTATGTTGGGTCATGCTTGATTACCATTACCGTAATGATTTTAAATCGATCTATTATTATATTAAACTATAGGTAGATTTTACCTACAAATTCGTAGATTTTGGAAGTAAGAAAACCAAAAAAATAAGCCACAGCCGTGTGCTCCTAGCATCCACCTGGGTGGATGCTAAGAGGGTCATGGGCCACCCCTTTCTTTCCCGTGGGTGTGGCAAGAGGCAAGTAAGGGACTGTGACAGTTGAGGGATGGGCAGCAGCGTGCCTCTTAAAATGTCTCGAAAGACTAACTGCGGTTGCAAACTCGCCTGCAAAGCGTGGTTACTACTGGTAACACCCTCTTAAGGGTGAGGCCTATATTTAGCAGTGGGCAGAATATGATATGATAATGAATCCACTTTGAGAAGGTGTATTAAGATAAAACATGCACAAAATTTTAAATTCCGATTTTCGGAAAATAACTATAAAAGCAGCATTTAATTTGTTGTAGTATCATTTGTGTGATGCCAGAACAAATATACACGTATTTACATATAAAAATTAAAAAAAAAGTATTGTTTTAAGCCAATATATTTGTCTGATTAAGATCCCTGATGTCCATTCTTCTTAAATACATGTACAATTTGTGTTAGTAAGTTACCTTAATATACATATAATGTTAGTACCTACTTTGTTTTAGTATTTAGGAAGTTTTTACCAGCACACAAATTATAAAAATAAAAATAGACATTTTTCTCTAAAAAAATTTATTTCAAAATAGTAATCTAAATAAGTACAGCAAGTAAAATATCAAACATAGTGATTAACATAACAGTATCAATGTCACAATGATTTCTTGTTATTATTAATTAAAAATGCAGAGAATAATGTCAATATTAAATTTTAAAATTGTTTAACTATTAGTAATATACAAGCACCTCCAAAATATGATACCTAAATAAATATACAATTTATGTATTGTAGGTACCTAACAATAATCAGATCTTTAAAATTGTATAGTTAGCAAAGCATCTTAAGATAATATACATATTGAGCATAATTTATATTTTGAATGGAATTTTCTTTATAAAAACCAACCAATTGGACTATTTACTAATCTAGATTATACATGTTGAGACCCTGGTTTACCTTAATAAAAATTTTAAATAACAAAGGACTATAATGTATACACCTATTTATAAACATTGATCAGATTTCGATCCATATTTATATGGTAAGTACTTAATAATTTGATTACTTAATTAACAATAGTGTTTCATTTCTGTCAGGCTCTCTGCTTATCCTGTATCCTGGTATGAAGAACAAAATTATGCTGAATTTTCTACAAACTTATTAAATTTAGGTTCAGTAATTTTATGAACAACTTCTTTTAACATATTCTTTTTAAAAGGCCAGCAGAATACCTGTAATGCCTCTGGTATTGCAGATGATCATGGGCGGCGGTAGTCACTTACCATCAAGTGAGTCACATGCTTATCTCCTGTGTTATAAAAAAACTACTGTTTGGACTAGTTGTCTATTTTTAGTGCTATATTCAATATTCTAGAGACATCCAAGTAGGTATCTAGTTTAGTGGCTATTATGAAGACATAATTTTACTATTAATTATATATAAACAGTAATAACATGTATAACTAGACAGATCTATAATTTACTGATAGTAAGTAAAGAATAATAATAAACATCACAGAAGAATTTTGACAATATTGGATAAATGAAAAACTTTCCAAAATGTCATAAAAAGTACTAAAAAGCACCCAAATATCTATAGTGAACTTAAAAAAATACTGTAGTAAATTGTATTATCAACGCACTTCGTTGATAAGTTGGTCACATATTCTTGTTAGTTCCTCATTGTCTCTGGTCTTTTGTGCCAATGACTCCTGTAAAGATGCTACTGTAATTTCATGTTTCTTTATGATTGCATTTAATTTTGTAATTTCTGCATTATGATTCTTTTTTACACTTTCCAAGGTCTCATTAGCTTTATTTAGATTATCTGAAGTAACTTCTTTTAGATTATTGTATAGAGCATCATACTTCTTGATACCAACTTCATATTCTGAAATTTTTTCCTGAAATACTTTCTCTCTTTCTTTAATTTCCATTACAACACTCTTACACTTTTCATATTTAGAAAGTAAATCATTAAAAGAACTTTCCATACTGCTCAGATGGTTTAAAGCTTGGTCTCTTTCAGATATTAATTTGTCATTGAGTTCTTGAAAGTGCATTTTGTCTTGCTGTTGCTCACCAATTAATGATGATATAGTTTTTTCATATTCTTCCATTACAATACACATTTGTTTGTTACTCATGATCTTTTCATTTACTTGCTGAATCAACTTATTTTCCCGTTCTATCAAATTGTCTCTTTCATCAGTTAACTTCTTTATCTTCTCTTCCATATGTTCTGTTGATCTAAAATGCTTGTGTTCCATATCTTGAATTGTAGATCTTAATTCTCTGTTTTCCTGTCTTAATTGTAACAACTCTTGATCTTGTTTTTGAAGAATGACTCTGAGTGATTGGAGGCGGTCAACTTCTTGCGAACTATAGGTAGTATAACGAGGGCTACGAGGGGCTGCAGTTGGTGGGGTACTCCCAGAAATACTAATCAGTCGATCTGTTACTACTTGTGTGGGCGTCAGAATTGCTGACACACTTCGTATCAAGGCAGGAGTTGTCCTTGTTTGATTAGCACTTGTTTTAGGAACATCACAGTTCACTACTGGAGGCACTATTTGCATTGGTTTATCTTTGCTGTTGTTTGATATGACAGATCCTGCTGACAAAGTATGTTTAGGTGTACCTACCAGATTATCAGTGAAGACTGATGCAGCACTACCAGTCTCATATCCAATATCTATTTCAGAATTGGCTACTGTAGTGAGCGGAAGTGTTTCAGAGCTCATTTGATTATACCTTGCATATAATGGGTCAAATTTAACAAACAAGCTTTCTTTTCCTCTATCTATAAGATTGTGGTTACGATTAGATTCGGCGCATTTAACAAGGTAATCCAAACTAGAAGCATCTATAAATGTATCGTCGTACTGAGGTACTTCCTGCATTGTCACATCGCAGATGCTATCAAACTCTGTTCCCGTGAGAAGATCTTCTGTAACATCAGGCTGCTCAGTTAACTTCTCAGGTTTTTTTGGTGACAGGGCCATGAGATCGCCCATGGACGACACTGGAGTAATGAAACTATCCTCGGAGGCCGTAGTGCTACCCTTTGCGGATAACATATTTTCTTTAAAGCTAGTATTGTTACAATTGTCGGTTCCACGCCCCAATAGATTTTGGAATTTGTAGTATATATTTTTTAAATTGCTCTTTTCGTTCTTAGTCGGCGGGGTACTATTCAATATATTCGAAAACATTCGCTTTTACGCAGCCCTTACAGGGCATGAACTACTATTTCGTATGAAACTAATATAAACTACAAGTTTGTTCTATTTCTGTGTTACTCAAACAAAAACAAAACAAGAAACCAAAGAATTAAAAATACTTTCGACAATCAAATCAACGAACAAGTCAACGGAATTTTTTTAAAACATACGTCAGATTGACAGTGTCAATGTGGTGACAGTGTTGTAATAATTACAGCCAATAATAAAAAAAAAAATTTTTGCTTATTCTTTATCTGTGGCAGATGAAACATATGAAAAAGAAATAAAAATTACACTAGAATAAGATAGGTAGATTATTTGATTATCCTATACTATAGAGGCTATATATCCATGATATAGGTAGTTTTATAGATATATGGCCGGAGCTACAAACTCCGGTAACAACTTTAGGTAGTCTCTGAAAGTACGTATACTGTCAATGTCTGAAGTGAACTACGATATAAATTCTTAATTTAAATATAAGTATTTTCGCGTTTTGAAAAGTATTTAGTTTTACGTGAACACAATTCTTTACAATAAATAGATATAACAACAAACAAAAAAACAATATAAATCAGGCAAAAATTATAATTTATATGAAATTAAACAAAATATCGCTCATGTGGTCCCAACATAGAATGGCCCATCTCTTCTTTTCCCATGGGTGATGTAAGAAGGGAATAAGGGAACATAATATTAAAATGGTTGATATGAACTTAATATTTAAGGATCAGTATCAACATCCAACATTGGTTTAATTAAACATCACCAAAGCCAATTTGGTTGCTAACCCACTTGCCAAACATGGCAACTATTGGCAAAATCCTCACAAATAGGGGGAGATTTATGTTTAGTATTAGACAGTTAATGGCTGATATGATGATACAAAATATGTCAATTTTTCAGTATAAAAGTTCAATACTTAATGTGATTACCTATAGCTACTATTTTTCAGCTGCAATTCCATAAATTAGGAACGGTACCAGCATTCTCTATCTACATTTAATCTCTTCAGAATTAGGTACACAAACATGTAGATATCTATATAAATTAGGTCAGACAAACACACCAAACTAATATAAATTTTGGGCAAAGATATTGATAGTAATTTATTTGCATTTTCAATTTCTTAGTATGAATATACGTATGTTATGTATACCCTAGTAAGAAAAAGGAAATAAAGAAATAAAAAGAGAAAGCAGGGAAGAGAACATGAAATGGGAAGATGATTTGAAGTTTTTCTTAATGGGTAATAATGGAACAATGACCTCGCCTGTGCTAACAGTATATGCTGTTAGGGACCATTGAGATGATTAATGAGCATGAAATGGCAGGCCAGTTAGCCCATCATGATGAATTCATCTGAAATTAAACATGATGGTTTCTAAGGAGGACCATGAGAAGATCAATCAGACAGGGTGTATTGCTAGCAATGGGGAAGCTAAAGCCCATTATTAACTATCTCTTACCACTGATAATTTCAAGTTAACTGTGGGCGCAAAATGGTGAAGGGTTACAAATGATAGAAACCAGTGGAAGTCATTGAAGAAGGTCTATGTCAAAAGGCACATTAAGATTAGAAATAAACTATAATAAAACATAGATTTTAGTACAGTATATATTAATCTCAGAAAGGGCTATATTGTATTATGACGCTAGTAGTGTAATATGTTTACACTATAGTGAGTGAATAAGAGTACATTGTAAAATATAATATAGACACCCTAATAATACAGGCCAGTTAACATCTTTTGCTATACCAAATTCATCAATATATTCATATCATTTATAATGAAATTAGTAAAAATAAAATTTAGAACAATTTCCATTACCAAATTCCAAATTAATAATTAATAAATAACATTATTTTGTATTAACATAGCATAAATTTAAATAATTTGACTGAATATACATACAAATCTTAGACAGAAATTAATTCAATAACAGTGAAATCTGCAACAAAATGCCTTTGTAGTTTGGAAGAAGTGTAAGAAAGTGAATAAGAGAAATAGATGAGGACAGCAACTAGGTTTATACTAGTCTCTATGCTATAAATTTTTAATTTAATAGTTATTAGAACTTTTTGAACAACTTATGAGGTTTGACTTTCTAAATTTAAATGCTAAAAAACACATTTTTTTAAACAAATATGTTTTATTATTAGATATGGAAACAATAGTTTACAAATATGTTCATGTTTACAATAACAGGCAATATAAGAGTTAAAGAGTCTCTTTTAAATTTACACTTTAAGTACTTATTAGAGTAAGATAGTGGTAGATTTTAAAGTTCATACCTGGTCTTGCAACTAGTAGAGGATCAGTTTCCACCAATTCTTTGATTTCTTGTTTGAGTAAACCAAATTCATGCTTTAGTTCTTTGAATCCAGTCTTCAAATGATCTAAAATGGACACTTTTTCTGTAGTGCTATAGCCCCCTTTTCTATCTCTTTCCCAAAATAACCAACGTTTTGATACGGTCTGAATTGATGGACGATTTAATTTCAAAATTGTGTCTGCATTATTAAAATATGAGAATTGACGAATGTTTCTAAGTATGACTCTATATGCTTTGGTCATAAATATAGGCATTTTCTTAGAATATTTCTTCCATTACTTTACACTTAATATCAAAGTAAATATTTTTCTAACCTAACGAATGGAATTAATATTTTTGTCTACCTAACAGCCGAAAACAATAAACTAAAACTATATTTTTTAAGTAGCTAAGTTATTATGATTAGGTTAGAATTTTGGTTATAAAATGTCAAAAACAGCTGTTGAAACATTATAAAAACTTATTTAATACTGTAATGGCATAGATTGAGTAAACGCCATCCTAAAGTAAATTAGGCGTTTTTTTACTGACTGTTGTTACCGTTTCAAGATGGTTAAATCATCACGTAGGTGATTAGATGCGTACTTAATATTTATTCACCTAAAAAATGTCCAGCTAACTATAAAAATTTAAAAGTTAAATTACTGCTGTAACTGTATGTTCTTATTTGAATTTGGAATGTATTAGTTATTCAATATCTGTGCAAAAATTTTGCAATGGAAAATTCAAGCTTCAGTTTTGTCTAATCTATATCGTTACGATATTTTTTGCCACTTCGTCTTTTAATCATTGATTCGATTTGAAGGTTATTTTATATCGCTTATACTTTCACTTAAATATAAGTAGGTAATAACGTAGTGATTTTATTTTATAATATGATCTTTATAGGGAGAACGTAATAAAAATTTTAAGTTGCAAAATGTACTAAAGCGAAATTTCAACGCAACGAAACTTGTTGTTGTAAAAGTTTGCACTGTTTATTACTTGTATTATTATAGAAATTAGTGAAAATGGGAATGGAAAAAGTCAACTGTAGCACAGTAAGTTTCTCTGGATTATTCTATCTTGTATCTAATGTATTTATTATATCTAATGTATTTGAATCCTTTCTTTATTAATACTTTTTTACTTATTGACATTGAAATATTTAGATCTATTTAAATATTTTATATTAGTTCATTATCTTCTTATTCTTATCCCAATTATTAATTGTCGGCATAATATTGGGTAATCTCCACGCAGTTTTCTAGAAACCATTGTGGTTAATACTTGATGAATTCATAACAATAGACCAACTGGGCTATTATGGTTAATCATGACAATCAATCCTACTAAATGGAGTGACGACCTGTAATGCATTGCAGGGAGTCAGTGAATGCAGATGGTTCAGGACCGTTCTTTATGGTAGTCTATAAGGGAGGCCTATGTCCAGCAGTGGATAGATAATGGCTGAAATGATGATAATGATGATGGCAATCTGACTTTCATTCTTATTTATGCCTTATTATACTTACTCCTGTCAGTATATACTGATAGTGCAGGATGGTCAACATTCCATTTTTATCTGTCAAAAAAGCCATATCATCTAATGATTTCTTTTTAGAACTTCTTTTTAGTTATATTATTAAAAAGGATGTAAATGTTAAAAGTTTAATGAGTATTTTAATGTAAGAATATCAACATTTACTTATAGATATATCTATAAGTAAGGGTCCCAGATGGTCTTGAAACTAATAACACATTCTCATTTAAGGCTCATGTAAGTCAATGTGTAAAAAATTTAAAATTTTGCAGAAGTATTTTATGATCTAATATAATCTGATTAAAAAATGTATATTATTATAAATATAATGATATAAATATAAATATTATAAAACTATTTGTTGAAATATGTTTTATATTTTCAAGTTTATTAAATATTTTACAGAAATAGGTGTTATCTTGCAGAAGTCCATATCACTGGTTATTAGAATAGAATTCTAATCAAAATCCAGTCTAAGTTTCTTATTCTTTATTAGTAAGTTAGTATTTAAAAAAAAAAACAGGTTTTTTGTTATACAATCAATCTATAATACTAATTTAAATATTAAAATTGCCAGATTCCATAGTTCATATGTGATATATTAATTTTACTTTTGTGTAGTCTATGTCATTTTGTACAATAATACAAAAAAATTATATATGGATTTATACAAAATACTATATGATGTAGGTTGAATCATAATTTACTATATCATTTCTAAGAATATATTAATCAGATTGAATTACTATTATAGATAAGAAAATTTCATTGTTATAAATCACATTGTTGTTACATTGAAAGATAATCTTTAAATACTGAGTAGTCAGTATAATTTTTTTTTTTATTTGAATAGGTATGTAACATTGTTTTTAATAAAATTACTTTACCTGAGAAGCTTCTTACTAATATTCATTTTCTATGTAATATTCAATGGTTAATCAAGATATACTAATCATTTGGATAAAGTACCAGGTAAAAACTAGTAATTTATAAAAACTAGTCTTTATCAGTTACTTCCAGGAAATAGTCCCATGACTAGCAAAAATACCCTATTAGGTTGACCTTCATGTGGTCTTCTCTGGAAATTATTGTGTTTAATTCTCTAATGAATTCATCATGATGGGGCAACTGATCTGATTTCATTTTTACCTATTATCCCTTACTGGTATATCTATATTGATAGTACAGAAGTTGATATTCATGTACTTACCTTGTAATATATTTTTTAGGATGGAAAACCATCTGAATATCTGTACTCTCCTGAGATCCTACAAAGATTGGACTTTAATAAGAGTCCAGCTATATTCAAACCTAAGATTAGTGCAGCACAACCTGGTGAAGATTGGATGGTTGTGAGGCCTCTACAGCGGTCTGATTATGACAAAGGCTTCCTGCAATTGCTTAGTCAGCTCACAAATGTTGGAAATATTTCTAGGAAGCTATTTGATGGTATGTTATTTTTAACATAATTAATAAAGTGATTGGAAGGAAATGTATTTACATCATATTTGTTGATGAGTGATTTTAAATTACATACTTATGACAAAGACTTGAATAAATTTTAAAAAATCTTAAATTAATTTATAAAAATATTTTTTATGCAACCGATAATGACAAACAAACTGGCAGTCTATTCATATCTTCATTCATATCTATAGGTGATAGTAGTAATTATCACCTATAGATATGAACTACACCATATTTCATATTGCAGTGATTTGGTAACTTGATAAAGAATAATAAAAGAAATGTCAAGTATAGGTGAGTAGAGATATTAGTATGGGTTAGACAGTTGTATATCACCCAAATAAGTAACCTGCTGGGAAAATACTCGAGCATGCCTAAACAAGTTAATGTATCTGGAACATGCACTAGGTATTATTGAATAGGAGTGTTTAACATTCCATTATTTCTGTTCATCCCAATGGAATATAAGCTTGACATATACCTGTGTATCTTTATACTTTATATTACATAAAAAATATACATTTATGCAAATTTATTATTTTGTTCAAAATACCTATACAAAAGATATAGAAAATGTAATAAAATTATTATTTCTCTAAGATCTAACTCGGATTTTACAGTTTTTGAATTGAATAAAAACAAATGCTAGTGCAATAATAGTAAATACTATTTGTGATAGTACTTTGAATAATATACGTGATATACGATAAGTGAGCATATCGCCATATTTAATATTATTTTTAATACTATTAGTAGGTTTTAAAATTATATTATTAACATGATATGATACAACTGAGGATTCTAATTTCCTATTGTTAAGTAGACCTTGAAAAAATTGTATGCTATATAAATATACTGCATTACCATTTTAATATGTATAAATAATATATACCTACTTTTTAATGTATAACAGAGTTGTAGTTTCACCTGAACTGTAGTGAATATTTTTGTATTTTGGTATGAATCTCTTCGCGATTTCACCGATTCACGAATTCAGAAATCAAAAGCCTAAAATAGATTTATGTCAATTTATAGAAAGATGCATTAGTTCAGTATCAAAGTTACTATGACAAGGTATCACTGAAGATCATGTTAAGAGGAAAAAGTAGTTGTTATGAATCTTTACTATAAGAATTTCCCTACGTTATTTACTTTCATTATATAAAATAAGGTATAAAATAAATACTTATAGTTGTAGAAGTTAATCAGAATATTTACTTGACAAATAATTGTTGCGCACAATACAGGTTTCATGAAGAATGCGAACTATCGGATTGGTATTTAACTGGACGACCTTCGAGGCGGCCACTGGCTGCTTGATATAAAGAATTAATTATATTTTCATTGCAATTTTTTTTAAGAGGCTTCCCTAGCTAAGTTTGGTAAATATGGTTTTATTATAACGGATTTGCACAACTACCTACTAAAAAATAAAATTGCTCCTTTAGGAGGGTTGATCGTCTGGATTTGCTCTTCGAAGAAAGAATCCCTAGCTACGCTAATTATGAAATCTAGATACAATGCTTACCTGTCTTTTCTCAGATCGTTTCACCAAAATGAAGCAATCGGGCGGTTACTATGTAACAGTGATTGAAGACACGCGAGTCGGGAAACTTATCGGCGCTGCCACGCTCACTATTGAACAGAAATTTATACATAACTGCTCTTTGGTATGTGTCTAGGTAGATGTATTAAAATATTAAAAATCGTAGGTAACTTTTTATTTTCCAAATTAATTTTTATTTTAAATTTATTTTAATTTTAAAAAGGTTTTCAATTATGGTTGTATTTTTTTATATTTATTATGTTATAAATCAGTTATAAATCAATTTAAAAAATTCTTTTTTATCTGAAAGGATATACTTACAGATCTATAGAAATTTATCAAAATCGGTTAAAAAATTTTGTGGGTAAATTAAAATAACTGGTTTTTCAATTTATTGAGTTAATAATTTTTGTGGGTGACATGACCATGAATGTGTGAAGGTTGACCTGATAAGATTGTTAGGATACTCGCTAACAATAAATAATAATAATTAAAATACTAGAGATGTGCCGATCATGACTTTGGCGGACTAGCTGATTAGTCGGTTTCAAAGAAGCCGACTAGTCGGCCAAGTCGATCACGGTTTTGGTGACATTAGACTTGTTTACTGAAATAAATCTTTTCAGTATTTTTAACAACGATGACTAGTGATCTGGTCCGGCTTCGGACGGGTACATAGAATTTTCGAAAATAATATATAGCCTATGCTCACTAATGGTGTAGCTTTTTATAGGTGAAAGAATTTTTAAAATCTATTTTTTTTTTTAGTTTTTTACTTTATCCATTATAAACAAACACTGAAATATTTTTTCATTAGTACAGATATTTGCAACCGTCTGATTTTATATAACTAAAAATAATCTTTATGTGAACACTATTTTAATTAATCGCTATTTTATTTACAGCGCGGCCGTCTCGAAGATGTGGTTGTAAACGATACGTACAGGGGAAAGCAACTGGGCAAATTGTGAGTGTCTGCAATCTTGATCTAATATAGTAACAGACTATGTCCACAGTCAAATGCTTTTGTATCTATATTTAATTAATGCTACGTGGCAGTATGTTAATATACTAATTATTGAGTTTTGTATAAAATGCTTGCATAATTTATATAGCATGACACGATATCATATAATTTTATTTTGATATGACGTATATGTAAGAGGAGCAAAATGTATGATTGTATTTTAAATTTACTACTATGATATTGAGCTACGCGTAATTCAGATAAGCATTGGCTGAGTAAATTCTATTGAAATTACAAATGTTCTGTGCAATAATAAAAATAAAGTTTAAAACAATATTACAATTATGTATGTTATAGTTGTCGTTAAGCTTATAATCACCATTTGATTATTAATTTGTTTACAGAATTGTAGTGACAGTCTCTTTACTAGCTCAAGAATTAGGCTGTTATAAAATGTCACTAGACTGTAAGGATAAATTGATCAAGTTCTATGAATCACTTGGTTATAAAATGGAACCTGGAAACTCTAATGCTATGAACATGAGGTTTGTATGAATTATTCTTGTGATTTCTTACGGTAGACTATTTTTTATCTGCGAGTTGAGGAAGTACATAATTTTTACATAAAAATTGTGCACTAAAATTGTAAATTTTCAATAAATATATTAATTTGTTTAATTTTTCAGGTTCGACGATCCATCCTGACAATTAGCCGCTGGGGCATCCGACCTACGTTCTAAACTGTAAGTATACATAGCAGCCAAGCAGTCCTCACAACGCTTCATCAGCTTGCATCATCGATTCATCTCATGCACAATCTAGTCTGATGTGTATGCATTGAACTAATAATGTTATGAATGTGTAGTAAAAAAGTCATATTGCAACAATTTAAAATAGCTTGAGATTTGTTAGTACTGTTAGATATTTTGTAGGCAAATGAAACCCTGATAAACTGATTTGATAAATCTTTAGTATACAAGTGTTTTGTATAAGCATATACCGCCAGAGCTAGGTAAATGGCTTCTATTAATCGAAGTGATAATCGTAAAGGTCCATGTTTCCATTTCAAGTTGATATATGTCACCCATACGTAGGATTCGTTATTTTATTTCAGAGATGGGTCGATAGGTTTGTTACAAATACACAAAATACAATCACTTCTTTTGTGTGGGGCTTTAAATGAATAACTATAAACTACCTTATGAGGCTGGTATAGTTACTTAGGTGAAGTAGCCCTAAAGTGATACAATAAAAATGGGTTAAGAAGGTACAGATTATATTTATGAAATCAGATTGTGGCAGTGTTTAAAATTTCACTTGTATAAAACTCATGTGATTTCTAGTCACACTTAAGGTCTTATATCAGCAAGCTAGTGTGTTATTTCAATTTAATATAGGTATATATTTTACTTAACTGGTGCTTTACGTTGTGGATTCTGCTTTGTTGTTAATGTTGTTACAGTTTACAGGGTCAATTTTTCTATCCATCGAAAATTGTGTGTTACATTCTTTTGCCATTATCGTGACTACAGCGTTCGATGGGGTGATCAATTGATTTCAGGATGTCTTAGCACATATTTTAGTAAGAATTATTATTTGTTTATATTAAACACAGAAAAGATCAATAATATACGATATGGAGAAAATACTTATATTTTTATTGTCATTAAATATTACTAACATGTTTTGCAAAATGTAACTGGCATGTAACTTTAATATTATTTATACATATATTTAGTGTTTTATTCTATGTACTTTTGTTAACTAACTTTCTAATTTACTTTATTATTAGTTGGCTCATTAAAACTATTTTTGCTTTATTGTTTTGTTTCATTTAAATCATCTGATAGATTCATTAATTCACGAAAAAATCATAGCATTGCTTATCCGAGACCTAAAGGGGGTATGATTAACAAAACAAATAAGTATATATAATTTTAATTTTATTTACAGAAGTGTAAATTTTAATAGTGGATAGAACAAGAATTTCGTTTCCATTCATTTTTAATACAATATCAATTTTAGGTAGGTATTCATCGTACTGTAGATCACATTGATACAAACGCCATTATATGGAACTTATAAATAATAGAATGATCAGGATGTAAATTATAATTAACATGTAATATATAACAGTAGAAAAATACATTTATAATTGTGATACAAATTAGCCAAACATTATGGCAGACACAAATATAAATTCTTAATAAATAGTCACGATCTTATCTTGGCCATTATCACTTTGTAAGTTACTTTATTGTATTACTGTTAGTTATAGTTTTACATTGTAATAAAAACTCCTCTAATATAGATAAATTTTCAATACAATTCCAAAATAATAATCCGTCACTTCAATGATTTAGACATTAGTACTTTAGTTATGATGAATTTGTCTTTTAAAATGGGTGTTGTTTCTGATCATTGATAAATTGGATAGATATTCGTTAACATAATTTGGATTAACAGCAATAAGATCGTCACTATATAGACTACTACTCGCCTTATTTATAAAATCTAAAATCGTCTACAAACCTGTTTTAATTATTATACTGTTTTGTCACTTTCTTTTAAATTGAGAGAATTTAGCGCAAAACAAAGATAAAACAGTTCAATACTTAAAAGAGGTTTGATGTTTTATAAATAAGAGATTAGTTTCAAAATAATACATAAAATAAAAGCGTCAAATATTTTTTTAAATTAAACAATGTGTCACGTTTAAGTATAAAATAATTTTTGGTAATTATAAATGACATGAAAAAGTAATCTAACCGTAATAATGGGGGAGGGGGAGGTAAGTCTTTTAAAAAAAGAGATGCTAACTGGATTCTTCAACTTCAACTATTATGTAACAGTGGATTATACTCGTATGATAATGAAGTGATAGGTAAAGATCATAAATTAAAAATCTCATGCATCGTCACAGTAGCTATTATCAGTAGTAATATTGAAAAGTTACAATCAAAGTTTATTTCTATCAAATGCCATGTGTGATTATCGTATTTAGTCACATCACAAATTATGTTCATTTTTATTTTATAACTAAAGCGGATCATATAATATACTTGGTGTGCCTGGCTACAAACACTAGTGAAAAAATTGTGGCTAAATTTGAGGGAAATAAGAGTTGATGAATAACCTTTCATATTTTATATAAAATGTACAGACTGATTTTATGCTGCGTAAAAAGTTTATACTATTTAGTAAACACTGTAATTTTATTATAAAGAAGAAATAGGTATTTTTTTATTTTGTAATATTATATTGGATGAAAATTTAATACGTAATTGAATAGGTATTAATAGTATTGGGATCAAAGTATCGGTGAGCAAATTTCAAAATGATACTCTATGAAGTTTGTGTTTTTAAATTTATTAATATACTTCCTTTTTAAATTTAAAGTTATATTAAAATTTATGAAAGTGATATACATATAGTTACTTAGTAAAAAAATCATAGACCGTCTCAGTCTGGTAGTTTGAATATTATACATATTATAATACATATAATGGCTGACAATAGATATACAACATGAATATAAAACACTTTCTATTCATCTAAACTTGGTGGCTCAGGCTGGTGTATTCAGTTCTCGATACTCAAAAATGCGCGATGAAGAGTATGAAATTTTAATAATGCATTTGATTACATTATTGTAATTGATTGAAAAGAGCTTCTTTGTACATTTTCAAGTAGCGATTTTGGAATGTTCGTAACAGCAGTTCATCCATACAAGCACTTACATTTAAATTGACACCCTCATGTACCGATTGCACACAATCCCATCCTCTCAGGGAAAAAGCAAAATGAATTCTGTACATTTATTCTGAATATACGCGTAATTAACTACGATGAAAGCTGTCAATAATTATACTTATTTAACATAAGGTCAGTTACAGGTGTTAATGTGAGCGTTAAACTTTACTTGTATTATTACATCTTCATTCATGTGCTTAAAAGTCAATGATAATAAATTAGATCCAAAGGATTTATATCTTGAGGAGAAGAACCCGCCCTTTTACACATTTTTTATATATAATATATCATAGAAAGTATTAAAAAAAATATATAAAAAATGTAATAAAAAAAAATTCGAGGTTCGTTTTTGCTGATTAAAAAAATAGCAACTGACTTCAATGTTTTGATGGGACTAGTGTCACTAAAACACTGGGGCGGGTGAGGAGGAGAAGAAGACGGGTGGATGATTGACTTTAAAAATACTCAATGGTATATTTAAAATAGCGCCATCGCGACTTAAGTTGTTATTCTTAGTTGTCTGTCTCGTCGAATTTAATAGTCAGTGACTGACCCAATATATATAATATAGTAAACAGATCCTTTTATTATTTAACTGACCATTTTTGATATACAAATAAGAGGACAGACAATATTTTTTTACTGATTGCTCTGTGGACAATATTGTTTGTGTTAAAACTTCTGTCTCACAGAGATAGAGCGTTTATTATGAAAAGCGGGGATGCCCCATATAGGTCTAAGTACAAATTGATAATATCTATTATATTTGCCTTAGTGGCATCTAATCTCACTTGAGCTTTCTATTTGATTTGGATTATAAATAACAATTTATAAAACTTGTTCCCTAATATTGAATACAGTTTATGACAATCACAAAAAAAAAACTCATTTCAATTAGCCACTCACTATTGATATAATTATTAATAGATATGGGAACAATAAATATCGATTAAATTAATACATTTTATATTATTATATAAAATTAAATAATACACAACAATTATTACCTAAACGGATAACACTGAAATTCGTATTAAAGTGATTACAAAAAACGTATTTTTTTTTTATGTATTTGAACTAAAAAAAGGCTCTAAATAGTCTGCGTTAAAATGATTACTAACTACGATTTCATATTATTATTTCTCACAATGAGTGTGAAGTTGGTTGGAACATAGTGTTGTGTTGGTCATGTACAGTTTAATTTACATGTACATTTTAAGATGTACACCTAAATTAGGATGTCAGTATTAATAAATATTTTTATCAAGACTTGACAGGACACATAGTTTGCGTTTTCTAATCCGAAAGAGGAAAAGGTGTTATTTACTGTGTTGTTTAGAGCCTTATAAAATTTTATTGTTCTATTTGAAAAATATTTAAAAAATGTAATAATTACACTGATAAAACTAGCCGTTTCAAATTACCATTTGAGACAAACGATAATTTAAAAATTCTGCACATACATGCGTCCATTTAAAGATCTCATAAGCACTATGGAACACTTCGCAGTGAGGCGCGCGAAACGCGCGACGTTTTACGTATACATACGCCTCCGGCAGGAGATTTAAAAATACAGATTATAAGGGCGGCAATACAAGAGTTTAATATTAGAAATCGGTTCCTAGTGCACACTTTGTGAAAGTTGGGAGATGCTTTTAATTTTTAATATTAGAAAAGGCGTATAAGGTCGTAATTCACCTGAAGAAAAGTAGTAATAGTCGTAGGTATGAATATGGACATAAATACCATGGATGAGCTTGTGGTGCATTATTTATGGTAAAAGTTCATATTATATATTTATATCCGATCTGTAGATTAAGATCTCTAGTGCAACTATCTTTTTCGTACATGCAGTATCTTAAACGTATCTATAAATGTTGGCGATAGTGTCTATATGGATAATAAATGCTTTGCTTTGTCGATAAGAAAATATTCGAAAAAATTAACAAAGTGTGCAATGGTTAACTAGGTATTCACATCAAACTCATTTATTACGGAGAAGTGCAACAATGAATCCAATATTAATTCGTACATCATAATGTTTGATCATATCACCGCCCTAAAATCACGTACGCGTTTCGTAAATATCAGGAATATATCAGTACTGGTTTATCCGATGTTGGGCTGACGAGGACTAGAATGGTGGTGCGCCAGAGATTTTGGTGCCGAGTTTCATGGGACCCTGACCACGAGCGTTGCGCCTTGCCTCCATTTCTCGTTGCCTTTGCAGCTTCCTCTCTTCACGTTTCCGACGCATCTCATCCATTTTTGATGCGTTATTTTCTGAAAAATATATTTATATTATAAATAAAATATAATTTATATTAGAAAAAGATTTTGCTGTCCATAAGCTCTTATGGTGTCGTTGAAAAATACTTATCTGGAATTTTTTTTCACTATTGTTTTTTTTATACTACTATGATGGCAAACAAGCATACGGCCCATCTGATAATAAACGGGGTTACTGTAGCTTTTGGACGTCTATAACACCAGGGATATTAGGTGCCCATTGCCAATCCTATTATCTTTTAGGACAATATTCTACATTTTGTGCCTGTAAATCACTATTAACTGGTTAGAGATCCGTGGCCTTCGGATGGATCATAGAAGTATAAAGAATTTTTTTTAATACTTTGGTATAGTAAAAACAGTGTAATAAAACATACCATCTGCATTCTCTTCAATGGGTTCGAATTCCCCGTCTTCCCAGCCGCCGAGCGAGTCGTTGCTATTTTGATGTGCAGTGGGCCTATGTTCGAGGCGACTGCTCGCTGTCGTGGTAGTCGTAGAGCCGCGCACATAAGTCGCATTGGCGTTCATACTAGGGTCGTTCCATTGTGTGTTGTTCCACGTTTCTGAGGGACTTGCAAGCTCTGCTTCAGCCGTCTGTTGAAGTAATGAGATTCATTGTCTAAGTTAAAGGTTGGAATAACAATGGGAGATGAAAAGTAACGAGTCGTGAAAATGGATGGTCATGTGCGATATGTTTTTTTTTATACCACTGAGGTGGCAAACAAACATACAGCCCATCTGATGGTAAGTGGTTACCGTAGCTTATGAATACCTGGAATACCAGAGGTATTACGCTTGCGTTGCCGACCCTGAAGAAACCTCTTAATGTAAGTAAAGCTGCTTTTGGCAATCTGTTCTCTAATTACCATGTGAATCATGATGGGTTAACTGACCTGCTTTCAACCTCACTTATCATTCCTTATTAGTAAGCGCCAGCATATACGGATAGCATTGGTGGGATTATAATTTCATTTTTATCACATAAAAAAAATCAGCGAATTTAACAACAAAAAGTTAATAAAAAATTTGAGATAAATTACAAATTATAATTAAAATATAATTAACAAAGCCAGTTTTCAAGTTATTGTCTTTATGGAGTTTTTTTTTTGTGATTTAAAAAATGACTCATACTTTATATTGACGTTATGTAAACCGTATAGCGCTTGCATAATTAAGAGGAATAGAAAACATTATGCTACGTTAGTAGCGATTACAGACCGGCTGCTCTTGTAGTGTGCCCCATTCCTCGTTGTCCCAGTCGTCCTCGCAGAGCGCCCCCAGCCCCGGCGTCGCTTGAGCACTGCCGCTGCTTGGTGGTGACTTCGCACTTGCTCCTGTCCCTGCACCAATATAAGAGTCTAATACAAATTTATTTACAAGCTCTTTAAGGCAGACGTAAGCCTAAGCGTTTGGAGCTGACCTAATCCTACTAATATATCCAGTGTATAGAGTTAGCGCAGGCGGGGTCATCATTTCATCATCGCCATTTAAAAAAAAATCCTACTGATATATAAATCTCAAAGTTTCTAAAAAATAAACATCTTTACAAATTTTTACATTTACGAAATTAGTTTTGTTTGTTACTTAATACATTTTTGTTGTTGGTTAAAAATTAAACTCATAGCTTTTTGTATTAGTATTGATTATTAGAGTTTTATTTTTAATTAAAACTACGAACTATACAATAAAAAGAAATCCTATTAGATGAAATTATATGAGAAATGGACCGGAAAGCAAGTAAAAATCACTGAATTAAAAGGCGATTTTTTTTCTATAAATCAATCTTTAAGGTAGCATAGATTGTATGACGGTTTAGCGTTAAAAAAGAAGGACTTAATTGTTACATATTTTTTACAGATATCTATCATCACAAAGCTGTCTAGAAGAAGAAAAATAGAAATAATTTGTATGCCGTCCAAGTTTATTTTATAAAAATATAGATACGTATTTACAAAATATTGAATTTTGTTTTTCAAATCAAACCATCAACTTGCTATTACAAATCGTCAAATATTAGTTCTCGGAACTATTTTTTTTAGACTTAAAAATAGCAAGCTATTGTATCACACTACCATTCCTGAGGACCGAGATGTACCACACATACCTCCCAAGCACAAAATAAATAATTTTACTGCCATATTTCAGTAAATTATTAAACTACTTTTATCAATTCATTAGTTAATTTTTATAAGATAATAACTAGCTGACTCGGCAAACGTTGTTTTACCATATACATGAAAATTTATTGTACTACAATTATTATATTCGATTGTAATCCTGCAACCTTATTGAGGCATATAAAAATCGCGATTAAAAAACAGGGGTTAATTGTTAAAGCGTGAAAATTTGAATTTGTATGTATTTTTCAATGCTAATTCATAATAAAATAAAAACAAAAAATTTAGTCAAAAAATAAAAAAAAATAATATTTAGAGGTAGGTCACGCTTATTATTGAGGGGTATGAAAAATAGATGTTGGCCGATTCTCATACCTACCCAATACGCACACAAAATTTCATAAAAATCGGTAAAGTCGTTTTGGAGGAGTTTGGTAACAAACACCGTGACACAAGAATTTTATATATTAGATTTACCAATATGGATATAAAATTTTCCGATTGTAAAACGATTTATTTATTTTCCCTTTTAACAAGTTATTAATAGTTGGCAAGGCAGATAATTAATGATATTGTCGCATCAGGATATTCGTATTATCATTGTATTACACTATAAATGTAAAAGTTATTTGTTTGTTACCTCTTAACGCTTTTACGCCTTAATTGATTACTATGAAATTTGGTATGCACGTACTATTTGAGATGGTGAAGGACAAAGGTTACTATTTATCCCGGTCAATCAAACCATATATCCTGGTCACGCGAATGAAGTTGCGGGTAAACATTAGTAATATACATAGATTATAAGTAAAAATAATAAGTATAATAAAGGTAATAAGTATAAATAGATATAAAAGTCGTTTGCATAGCTGTATTTCAGTTTGAAGTGTGGAATATGGCAGTTAATTTACAGGGTACAGAGGTATAACACCTTAGTCCTCAGAAATGGGAACGAATGGGGGGGGGGGGGTATCATGGGCGAAATATTATACTCTGTTATGTTCATTGTACTGCTCATGTCTATAGGCTATGGTTACCATTTTTCATAAGGTGGACTGTCAGCTTGATTGTCATTCTAAGTTGCATAGAAAAAAGATGAAGCCTCCCTATTAGTACATACCTGCACTGGAATCAATCTCTCCCCAAGCGGCCATATCCCAGTGCTCCGGGTCGTAGTCGGAGGCCGACTCGCTGTGTTCCAATGACGTCATTGATGTCACCGACGACGTAGTTGTCGACATGCTGCTCGACGATGGTTGTTCTGTTTGATTATTTTTTAAAAGATAAATTATGATGTAAATGTATAATATATATAACGTAATATATATCCTTATTATCTGAAACAATTTAATCTTACTATTTTATAAAAGTTTGTGAGGGTGTGGAATGTTTGTTACTCTTTCATGCAAACTAACTGAACGGATTTGAATGAAATTTGATACACCAATAGGTTATATCCTAATTTAACATGTAGGATACTTTATATGAGATGAAGGCCATCCCAGAATCTTCTGGTGTCTACCGCAGGATGCAAGCAAAGCTCCGCAAAGACATGTCTGAAAGGACATATGTGCTTTCATTAAGGGGATAACCTCTCCTCCCGTCTGGAAAATAATTTTAAAATACGCCAATGACGATAGTAGGATGTTACAGTAAGTACAGATACCGAGAGAGCCAGGCTTGGAGAGCGTGGACTTGGTGGGGTGCTGCACGCGCGTCGTGTCCGAGTGCGAGCGGTAGAACTTGGCTGCGACGGCGGTCACTGCCCAGCCCGCCCAAGTGGCTGCCGCGTTGCTTAGTGACGGCGTTGCTGAATGTACATCAGCCTCTGTAAACACAGTGTATACATCATTGACATTGTTTTAGGTATTACAGTTCATAATAATCACAGGAGGGAGTTGGACTAAAAGAATAAAGATGTTGGAATAAATATATTGAATAACCTAACAACACACAAAATTGTTTGTGAATGCAATTACATAAACAAAGAATATTTTTAAAATTATTGTATTTAATCCGAGAAAGAAAATTGAAGAAGTATAGGAAGAATAAAAACATATGTGTCTAGCATAAATTCATGTAAAATAAGAAATATGAGTAAAGCATTAAGAATATGATGTGCCACCATTTCTTTTTATCTTTTGAATGTTGGCAATAATACCACGAGCACAATATTAGTGTAGGGAGAGAAAAAATAACAAATAAAAGTAGTTATATAAAGTTTGTTTATAAAATTTTATATATTAATCCTATGTATCATATTATAAAATGAAAAAGTATAAAGTAGTAATCTTAATTTTGATATTTGAAGATAACATTTCAATTGTAAAATAATACTAAAAATAAATATTCTTATGACTGTAATTCGTAAACATAAACTTACCCATTCCTTCCTTTAGACTAGGATCCTCTGATACTTTTTCTAATTTACCTAGGAAGCCCTTTATTGTTCTAAATGCTGCATCCCGAACCTACAATACGCAATAACAAAGGTTATTGATCTATTAAAGAGACAATTTAACAGAATAGATAAAATAGGCGACACCAATTGATGTAGAGGTCATTGCACTTATGGCTAATTTAAGCGCAAAGAACTGTCAGATTGTAATAATATTAAATTCAATTTATTAGTATGTTAAAGTACGAAATTTAACACAATAAATTTTTTTATATGGATTTAAAGAGTTATGACAATTGCCGTGGCGCAGTGGTAGGCATGTTGCTTTGTGTAAAGGTCTCAGGTTCGATCCCGGTCATGCTGAATTTCTGGATTGTGCCCTCAGATGTAATAAATACAGCATGTCCTAGCTTTAGGACCATGCACTTGGTGTGATTGAGTGGCATAAGAACATATTGACTCAATTTGCCAATTATTCAATTATCATCAACTTAAATTAGTACATATTAAATTAGGATATAACCTATTGATGTATCAAATTTCATTTATCATCAAGTCAATGACATTGATAAATTCAGTCAATATGATATTATGAAAACAAGTAATTGTATACCTGTTTCTCTGGGTCGGCAGTAAGCGGGCACAATGCTGGCAATACACGATTAGCGACCTCGGCGAGTAAGAAGTACTGTTGAGTCGCAGCTAGCGCCAAAACCCCTGCTTGTCTCGCCGGCGGGAATGCGTCACGGGTCGCTCGCACAAACGCCGACACAAGAACTTTCTGTCGTATCTGTGGGTGGAGGTGCGCGGCGATCTTACCCAGGCATACCGTTGTATTCGTTCTGAAATAACAGATGTTCTAAATAGTACAGGTCTCTTAAATAATTATTAGGTAAAGTCACATGCACAATATGAAGACTATAATTTTTTTGGGTCAACAAACATTGTTGACAATGTATACTATTGAAGAGTAATCGGAAATTTAAAAAAAACAACAGTTTTTGTGTCTTATCATAGTGAAAGTAATGCTATAATAATAAATTAATAAATAAAGATAAATTTGAATCAATATAACAGACATATGATTGTAATCTGTACAGGTCACCAAGGGTGATTTAATCTCACCTTATTCCACCCTGATCATCTTTAGACTGGAGCCTGGCAAAGTGTCGTAACACTTCCACATTCAAATTGTTGTAGTTGAGTTTAGGAGCCAGGTGTACGATAGATTTGACAGTTTGTTCTCTAATGATAGCATTTGTATCTAAAAACCCATTCACTACTTGCGGAAATATTTGATCATTTACCTGAAAGTCATTAAAATTTGTTCATGTAAGGATAATACAATCAGAGAGCTTCTTTATACAAGAGGCTGTAAAAAAAGGGAGCCATCCTCACACATAGTAATAATGGTATATGTCTAACACCTAGTTCATTCTATTATTTTCTAGATGATAGCAGTGATATTAAAAAAAAACAACATTTTTGTAATATTATTTAATAAGTAATAAATTACATAATTCTACAACCATTAAGTATTTAGTCTCATCTTTACTTATACTTTGGAACAGTTCAGTATATTAAGAGTCTGTTTATTTGAGAAAAGTCTGTTGCCTTTTACTTGGGCAAATGAAAATAGTGGAAATAAAGTTGTTTTTATTAACATTGCGTTTGCACTGTGGTTGTGTAAATTATATTGATAAGGTGTTATGAACATAATAAAAATAATTGAATTTGTTACTTACAGTTGCATTCTGCAAATGCAATATGAACTGATCAAGCTGTTGTAAGAGACGTGATCTTGTTGTTCTGTCATTAGATGCGAATAGTTTCACAACACACGGCACTATCTGTTTTTGATAGTCTGCCTCGTCTAGTAATTTTCCAAGCTAAAAATATTAAAAGTAATAATTTTATTTTTAAGAATAAAACATAGACAAATGCAAAAATTATAATTCACATGCACATTCATTGCAGACTCTGATTGATCATACACTAGTTTATAAGTTGGGTGTATAAATACTTGATTATAAAATAGCATTGGACCACACTTCCTCCTCTATTAAACATGATGTTAAATTATTTATTTTATAAAATTTATTATTTAGTGCAAAAATTTATAAAAGTATGTTGAAACAATTATCAATTTGTTCAAATATCTGAACTGTGGAGAGCATAATATGAAAATATTATAATGTAAATATTGTTGATAGACATAGTAGAAACATAATTTATGAGGATGCCATGATTAAAATTACTAAATCATAAAGCAGTTTGTGTGCATGTGCATGAAACCCATCTAATTTATCCCTTAAATTCATAGTATGTAGTTAGTGACAATTAGGTTTTTAAAATAAATATAGTATAGTACTCATACCTTAAACATGGGTCCTAGAACGGCAGAACCAGCATCTCCATAATGAAATGCAGTAAGCAACTGTGGTAATATCTTGTGTACACACACTGCTTCAGGGAAATTGTCCAGGAATGAGCTTAGTGTCGAAAAGAACTTGCCTTTTTCTACTTTGTCCTTAATTTGTATCTCTTCTAAGAATAGCATTGTATCTATCAGATCATTTTTAAAATAACCACCGATTTTACGACATCTGCAATAAAGTATCTAATTTATTAATAATAATAAATAATTCTGACATTAGAATTAATAAAAAAATTGCTTTTATATTTTAAGAAGTAGTTATAGTAAAACAAGACAGTAATTTGGTATCGAGGTGCACTGAAGCCAACAAAAATAATGTATAATTTTTATATTATAACTCACATCATTCTGTAAGTTAAAGAGTATTAAAATAGAGAATTCATTATTCAGATTTTTTTTTCAAATTAGATCTATTTCAATGAAAAATACGTAAAATATTATATTGTATACATCAATAATAATAATAAAAAAAATACCTAGTAATAATATCAGCTGGGTTGGGTCTTGATGCAGGATTTGCACTAACCAGTTCACAATACAAAGTACAGAGCTGTTTTGGTATATGGTCTGTTGTCTTTAATGATGGTTGATTTCTCAAAGGTCCATTGAAAGCTTCCCAAATCAGACAACCTAAGCCCCACATGTCTGATGAACTGTTTATAAAGAAATTAAATTTCATAGTTATAATAAATTAAAAATAAAACTTTTAAATTCTAATTAGCTAAGGAGTTATCAAAAACAGTAGGTATTATAATAATTAATGAGACAATAAGTGCATAAAAATTTATAATCATAGATAATTTAAATTATTTTTGTTTAAAAATGGTTAAGGAACTACTGGTGTCAAAATACAGATATAAGGCTGAATAGAAAATAGATAATAGGATATTTTATATGTTCACACATGGGAACATATAAAATGTCACAGAAAAATAAAAATAATTTGTTTACTTTTTTATTATTTATATTATTCTTGAATAAAAATATTATTATTAAGTGAGCAGTGATCTCAGAAATACATTTGTTATACTTAGTGACCAGGTAATATATTCAATAAATAATATTAGCTCATGGACTATTTATGATAATACCAGTTGATATACATACCATTTTGTAACAGCTTTCAACCTAGTAGGATCTTTTTTCTCTGGAGGATCATAGATTTCTAAAGATGGTAATATTTTGATAGGTATAGGATTAGATGTATCTTGTCCAAGAGTGGTTAAGAATTCAAAACCACCAAGTTTCCATTCACCAGCCATCGTTACAAACACAGAGTATAAACAGACATTATTATGTCTCATGTTCCCATCATTATTTAAAAATGACAATGCCCTCTGTAATAGTACAGATAAAAACATTATTAGTTAAGCATATTTTTTACTAGATGGAAGTCCCCACACATTACTACTTTTCTACTGACACATACTTCTATAGAAAATTAATTACATCATATAACATATTTATAAAAACTTAAATATTAAATATATTACATTCCAATTTTTAGTAATGTTTTTCATTATTGTTATAAAAATAATTTAAGATTCTATTCCACTAGAAAAAACTGATATCTTGGGAAAATTTAAAAGGACTTAATATAAGAATTAACCCTTTCAATTTAAAATAGAACCAGTAAAATTAGTTCCATGACAAAAGGTAAAGATGTTACTTAAACATACAGAAAAGACAGTTCAATATTTAAATAGACTTTTGACTTTAAAATGAGCTAAAGAAATAGCTAAAATATTGTTACATGTTTAATTTGTTTTTGTCTATGGTAGTTCTTGTAATTTTTTGGATCTACTATTGTATTGTATTATATGGATATTTAATAATGAATAATAACAATACTTACAGTAATTTGAAATATACCCCATGCAAGAAATAATTCTTTTTGTTGTCCTTCAAGTTTCATATTCTCTATGTGACTGGCTAAAGGCTCTATATATTCAGTAGCTACATACAAAAATTTCTCAGTTTCACAGCTATCTAAATAATGTAAAAGGCTAGGGTGTCTCATAGTCTTTAATCTCTTTATGGAGGCCTTAGCTATATCAAATAAAGTTTCAGAATTCTTCTGAACATCAAATAGAAATATTGACACTTCATCTTGAGTCCCCCTTTTCTTGCCTTTGTGTAAAGTCCACACAGTTCGGTCTTCCAAGCCCCTTACCGGATCTCCTACCTCGTAAGGGAAATCTTTTGTAGGATCGCGTGAGAAAAACGACCACATAGTGGAACAATTTTCAAGAATTAGTTAAAATTTGCTGATATTTTTTTGCAAACAACTAGTGTTAAATATCATATACAATAACATAGTGTCAGAAAATGTGAATTAATTTACTAGTAAACACTTAAAAATACTAATTAATATTTTTTTAACAATATTTTAGAATCACAAAAAAACAAGATGAGAGAATGACAACACGGTCAGATTTTCGAATTTATGACGTGACAGCCCAACGACACTAGCTTTGACAGTTAAGTACTCTGTTAAAGGTTTTTTTTACTGACGTGGACATAGAACAGAAAAGATATTTAATTTATCAATGCAGTTTAATTGATTATTCAATTAGCTTATGCTAATAAGTTTAATAAGAGGTAATAATAATAATAATAATGAGGCGATTCTAGAGATCCGAAGAACTCCCCTCGAAGAGAGACCGAAGCTTCCCCGGATATATCCAAATATGGCGACGCGGGATGCCATTGAGGCCACAAATGGACTGCTGCCTCAGTACCTTGAGGGCAGCGGTGACCTGGGAGAGACGAGTTCAATCCTGTTTGGCGCTGCGTTGGCAGTATGCCGATATACCGGCGCAAAAATGCCCCGGGCTGGACGTAATATCCAAAGGGATAATATGAAACCAGCCTGGAAAAGAAGGATTGAACGACGGATCGCCCAAGCCAGAGTCCTCATTGGTAGACTGCTCTGCTTCAGGGAGGGCAACACACGCCCGAGAATTATGCGCTCCGTAAAAGAGGCCTTTGCTGGGACAGGTGTACGTCTGTTCCAGCCGGACTTCGGGCACAAACTTACGGAGCGCATAGATGAACTGAAGCAGAAGATCGCTGCATGGGGGAAGCGACTCCGACGGTACTCTGAGAGGGTTGAGAGGTATCAACAGAATCGCCTCTTTATGAGTGATCAACGGAAGTTTTATAGGAACTTGGAGCGCCCAAAACTACAGCCCACAGGACAAAGACCCGAAACAGCCAATTTCGTCGCCTTCTGGAGACAGCTGTGGTCTGAACCTGTGGAACATGAGGAGGGCGCATGGATGCACGATGTTGAGGAAGCATGTGCTCGAATAACGCCGATGAACGCCATTGCCATTACGGAGGAAGACGTGGTTGCCGCGATCCGTCGGGCTCCGAACTGGAAAAGTCCGGGGATCGACGGATTGCAGCACTACTGGTTAAAGGCGTTCTCGGCCAGCCATGCGACCTTAGCCGTGCAATTCCAGAGTGCCCTCGAAAACAGGGCGCTCCCGAACTTCCTTACAACCGGGATCACTCATTTAGCTCCTAAGACGGACGATACCGCGGATCCATCTAAATATCGCCCCATCACTTGTCTTACGACAATATATAAGACGTTAACATCCGTTCTGAGCGCTAAGATCTCTCGTCATGTGTACGAGAATAAGATCCTATCTAGCGCTCAGAACGGATGCAGGGGCGGTAGCCGCGGATCGAAGGAGCTGCTCCTCATTGATGCTGTCGCTGGGCACGTGGTCAAGCGGAACCGTCGGAATTTCTCCGCCGCCTGGATAGATTATAAAAAGGCGTTCGATTCCGTGCCCCATTCATGGCTCCGGAGGATACTCGAGCTGTACAAGATCGACGGTACAGTTCGAGTGTTCTTGGAGGCATGCATGAGGCAGTGGACGACGATCCTGACTATCCAGGGCGAGCGATTGACGGATACCGCTGACCGGATAGAGATAAAGAGAGGAATATTCCAGGGCGATTGTTTGAGTCCACTTTGGTTTTGCCTGTCCCTGAATCCACTCAGTACTTTACTGGAGAATTCGGGGACTGGATTTCAGTATCGGAGAGGAGGTACACGAGTGTCTCACCTTCTGTACATGGATGACTTGAAACTGCTAGCTCCGAGCGTCGAACGCCTGACGGAGCTGCTAAATATCGTAAACGATTATAGCAGCTCTATTAGGATGGCGCTCGGAATAGACAAGTGCGCGGTCCTTCATGTGCAGAGGGGACGGGTCACTCAAACTGAAGGGATCGCCACAGATCCCTCTAATATTAAAACCCTCTCCGAGGCTGAAACATACCGGTATCTGGGCATGTCACAAAACATCGGTGTGAAGGAGACGGATATGAAACAGTCAGTCCGCGAGGAATTTTTTGCGCGCCTTACAAGAGTACTGAAAAGTTCTTTGTCGGGCGCCAATAAAATCCGAGCTTATAACGGCTGGGTCATACCCGTACTCCTTTACACTTTTGGCGTGCTCAGATGGTCTCAAACCGAACTCGAAGCCCTGGATCGGAAAGTCCGCACAACTATGACCCTCCATAGAATGCATCACCCGAAATCGTCAGTCATGAGGCTGTATATCCCGCGGAAAGCTGGTGGTCGAGGCTTGTTAAGCGTTAAGACCATGCACAACCGCGAGATTGACAGCCTCAGGACATATTTTCTGGAGAAAAGAGACGAGGGTTTGCATAAAGAGGTCATAGAATGTGACAAAGGATTCACCCCTCTTTCTCTGGCTAAAGAGGACTGGCGAAAACCCGAAGTCTTGAGTACCTCTCAGCGGGAGGCCGTATGGAAAGAGAAGGAGTTGCACGGAAGGTTCTTCAAAGCCCTTCACGGGCCGTACGTAAACACGAAGACCTCCGTGCACTGGCTACAGTTCGGTGATCTCTTCGGAGAGACCGAGGGTTTTGTCTGTGCAATACAGGATCAGGTGGTTAAGACGAACAATTACCGAAAGCACATTCTGAAGGATGGCACTGAGGACATCTGTCGAGCATGTCGCCATCCTGGAGAGTCACTCAGACATGTGCTTTCGGGTTGTTCAGCTCTTGCCAACACAGAGTACTTGCACAGGCACAACCAGGTAGCCAAAATACTCCATCAAGAGCTAGCTCTGAAGTACGGCCTCGCGAATGAGAGGTTGCCGTACTATAAGTACGAGCCACAGCCGGTCCTCGAAAGCGACAGCGTCAGGCTCTACTGGGACCGATCCATCATCACGGACAGGACCGTTCTTGCGAACAAACCTGATATCGTGGTGATGAATCGGGCACTCTCGAGGGTGTTTTTGGTGGATGTCACCATACCGCATGACGAGAACCTCGTGAAAGCCGAAACCGAGAAGAAGAGAAAATATCTCGACCTGGCTCACGAGGTGACCGAAATGTGGGGGGTGACATCTACCGAAATCATCCCAATCGTTATGTCGGTGAACGGTCTTATCCCAACCAGTCTCGAACAACATCTCAGACGGTTGGGATTCGGAGGCGGTTCACTTCCGGGAAAGATGCAGAAAGCGGTGCTCTTAGATTCTGCCCGCATTGTACGCCGGTTTCTCTCCCTGGGGCCCTGAACCCCGGCCGACTGTGCTTCTGCCGGGGGTTAGTTGCCATCTCCTCTCCTTAAGAGGGGAGATGAGAATTTCAGTGAAATTTAAAAAAATAATAATGATAATAGTAAGAAGATAGTCAAGCAATATTTTGATTTTTTATTTTAATTACGAAATGTTTATTAGAGTAATTTATCCGAGAAATCGGTACCTTGCCATAGATTAGGTATCATACTAATAGTTAAATTCTAATGACAATTTGACAATTCATATTTTTTTTGATTAATTTTGATTGAGGTTACTTTTTCCCTTTTTAAAGTTGCGCCTATTGCCATTATTTTTCATTCATTTATTTTAATTATGTAAATATAACTTATGAAATAATATAAAGCTTCAATAAAGTTACCAAATTTTGGATACATTTATAGCCTTTTGTATATAGTTTCTACTATACAATGTCTAAATCAGTATCAAGATTAAAATCAATGAAGAAAGTAGCCGATAAAATTGATCACTCTTCAAAACTGAGAACTAATATTCCAGCAGGTATGGCAGCTGCTGGTCCACCGTTGGGTCCTATGCTTGGCCAAGTAAGTGACAATAGTAGTACTCGCCCATTGCATTATTTTTTGTTGTAATTCATGATTGGTTATTTGTTTTGAACTTGGTTAGAATTATTTTACTACCTAATGGTAGAGGAAATAAACTTTAAAATAATTTTAATAATAACTTGTAATTAATTAATATTTATATATATTTATGCATACTATTATGTTAATATGATACTAAAAATAGAATTTGGTAAAATATATGATTATTTTATTTACAGCGTAATATTAACATAGCTGCATTTTGTAAAGATTTTAATGAACGCACAGCTAACATAAAGCAAGGGATACCTTTGCCGACACGAGTAAAATTGAATTCTGATCGTTCTTATCAACTTATTATTCATCAACCACCAGCATCATATTTTTTAATGCAAGCTGCAGGAGTGAACCGTGGTGCTATGGAGCCTGGTGAGTATGCCATTAAGATTTTCAAAAGAGGTAGAGCATACCTCCTTATATGTAATTAGCACTATTATTATTGAAAAATGGGCTTTTTCCAGGCAGAAAAACCACTAACTTCCTATGATCTTTTTTAAAGTTCCCTGGTAATTTCTATCAGTGATGGAAATTTTAAGATGTTTTGTTTTTGTAGTGGTATTTTTTATCCCCTTAGGATATAAAATGTATTTTCCAAAGGAAATATATTGTTTATGTATGAATGGGCTACAGTCACAAAGTGTTGCGGCATTTCTTCCTCATTGTGACAAAATTTGCAAACACTTTTTGGGCATAAGCCTAGTTGGACCATGTGCTTGTTTAGTTTGCAGTGTTCAGTGAGAACCCTTGTTAATACACACATATTATTTTTACTCAAAAATAATAGTAATTTCTTAATTTTTCGAAAATCCCTTAATTAGGGCTTTTGAGTGATTTGATCCTGGCAATAAGAGCCAGCTAATGTTTGCTATTATATTGCTAGATAATTTTTTTCTTAAGATGCCAACATACTTATTTAGCTACTATTTTCATAGTTATAGATATGTATAAGATTTTGCTGAAAATTATATTTAATCACATAATAATGGTGTGATAAAATTTAAATATTCCAATTTAAATTGTGAAATCATTAGAAACATGTAACTACATGCTGGGTTATTATGATAATTGGATAGATTGTTTTTTTTTTATTGTTATATATGTTCAGTTTACTATGTATTCAAATGTAGAATAAATAGAATAAAATATAAGGATTAATATAATGTTTATATGCTCAATAAAATTTGACACTACAGCTGTTTCAGTGATAGAATTATTATGATTTTATTTTCAGTTAAAGAAACATGTGGAAAAGTAACACTGAAACATATTTATGAAATAGCTAAAATTAAATCCCAGGACCCAACACTAGAATGGAGACCATTAAAGGAAATCTGCACAATGTTGGTGGCTACTGCTAGAACTTGTGGTATAGAAGTTGTTAGGGAATTAGATGCCAAGGTAGACATGTACTAAAATTATATTAACAATTTTCTAATTATAATTAAAACAGATTTTCACAAACTAAGAAGTGTTGAGTCATCAAAAGTGAAGTAGAATAGTTATTTTTGGTTAAAACAGTCTGTTTTACCATGTTTTGTTAAAAAGAAGTACCTTTGATTTCATCAAATTAAGGTTTTACAATGTTTAGAGGAAGCTGCTGTACCTTGATAAATTTTTTATTAAAACATTAAAAATATGATACTGATGAAAATATCAGTATTTTTGAAAGTAGTAAACAGAGGTCATATTATAAAATATACAAAAGTATCACTACATATTAAAAGTTTTTTTATTTTAGTGGAAAATGGTATTTTAACCAAGGCATAGTAGTGTCAATGTGTCTTGATATAGCATATCTTGTACTTTGATCATAAGTGGTTTTAAGATAAATAAAAGGCAATATAGAATTGAATACCCAATGTTATATTAGTTTTCTATATTTTTAAACTTCTTATTCTTCAATAATTATTTAAACTAAACTGATCAATTAAGACAAATATATTTATCATTAACCTCTTTTATTTATTTATTTATGTACATTTTATTGCACCATTTATAAAATAGTAAACACATTTAACTGTAATAAGAAATGATACAAAAGGCGGCCTTATCGCTAAGCAATCTCTCCCAGACAACCTTTGGGTAGAGAACATTGAGAAAAGAAAGAAATACTTTTATCTATTCCTTTTAGGCTTAACATTTTTTCTTTTGTATCAGACATATTTTCCATAATTACTTTCATTTGTATATACATAGTTATATAAACAAATAATGTTATTATCATTGTAAGTGGAATACCAGAGCTTGTTATACATTTGAAAATTTTCAATATTTAGACATTTCAAAAACAGGATGAAATTTTCTTTAAGAATTCGTTTTCTTAGATTTTTTATTTAATATTATTAATATATTTAGTAATAACAATGGATATAAATTAGATCCTCTTTGATTAAAATACAGCAGTATCAAAGTACAACAGATTTACTTATATGACATTTAGTATAAAAATTATAACATTAAAACAGCATATTGGCTTTAAATACTAAATATTAGTTCCAGTCTTATTCTAGGAATGTTTGCTTATTTGTTTTTAATGAAATTTTAATATTGTCTTTAACTAAATTATTTAACTGTTATTTTAGGAATATGGTGAATTTCTAGATGAAAGAAGGAGAATTGTGGAAGAACAGAAGAAAATGCTTCAAGAAAAACGAGAAGCAAAAATGTTAAGAACTGCTTAGATTGTTTATGTTATCATTGTAGATATTAGTTTAAAATATATAGTTTAAGAATTAAATAAATGTGCGTATTATTACGGAATGTTGGAACATTAGATTGCCATAGAAAAATTCTAATAATCCCTTTGGGTGCATACATCAGTCTTGTGTCTCTAGTAAAAATATAGTAACAGTAGTAGTAAAAATTTATGCATGATTCATAGACGTAATATAACAGTCATCTACTGACACACTGGTAATGGAATCATACAAGATAAGAAACTACATTGCATATTACACGTAAGAGTTAGACTAATATGCATGTAATGTGTAGTCTGTATGTAATAGTTCCGAAATTATATGGAATTGGAAGTTGCAAAAATTCGCATATTTGCTACAATTTACATTCAGTTTTCAACTTTGGAATAAATTATATATTTTTTTGTACCAATTCTTGTACAAAATATTTCTGATGATTCTATAATACTGCATTTAAAAAGATAAATGTTTGTAGCGTTTATTTTATACTCGTATACAAGTACAGTACATTCTAACTACATTGACTTGATATAAAATCACAATTGATTTTGTCTATTCTTCTGACAAATTCTTTTCGACCTTATATTGTGTACATGAGTGGAATTTCTTAATTATTGTGTGTCCGCTAAGTTTTTGAATATCTGTACAAAATTAAAGTATAATCGAAATAATGGGATCATATAGATTGTTCTGTTCGATTTGTTTTTAGAAAGAAAATTTTAAAATTCTGAATCCTGCTAATCTATTAATGCACAAGTAAGATAGGAGTCAGAAACTATTTGTAAAGATGGTGTTGCTGGGGTTAAAATAAAAATACACTTTCTGAAAATATTGATTTATTCTTAAAGTATGGTACTTAATTCATATTTTAAATTTTAAGGATAAAAATTATGTGGACTTTATGACAACAAATTTTAATGTTATCGGTATTGTGCACATACATCTATAAAAGAATAACAGTATTCAGTTTTTACTATGACTCGTAAGTATTCGTATATTTATCTTTTTTGGATATTACGGGAAATATTTTCAACAATACATGTTGTAATTTGCACATATATTGAGCTGCCTATACGGTACTGCATTAGGTGTGAATGAATTGCAAAACTAAACTAATGTAGATTACCGCGCATGATTAGCCCTTACGTAAGATATTCTATGCATTTATATGAATAATGATTTGATGTAATATATAAGTACGTTTTCAATTTGCGTATACTGAGACTAAGGTAACGCAACATTGAACCTAGTATTATGTTGGCTACTTTTATAAACAACACCTATATTCCCTTTGTCTACGAATCCTTATAAACATCTAAAAATAAAACAATGTTGTCGCATTATTCAATCGTATTTGGTTGCTATTTTTTACTACAATATTAGCAACAAATAAGACATTTTTTATTCAAAGAGCACCTATCTTACAAAGTCGTGATAAATTTGACTATTTCTATGTAATAAAAATAAAACTTGAAACAACCACTAATCAGTATCACATGTGACAGTCTTGAGAGTATACAACCTTAATAGAATATAACCAATAAAATAATTAATATTATTATAGCACAGAATAGGTACCGCTATTAGCCTCCGCAGTTACGGCTTTTATTATATTTGGCCGCTGCATACATAGCTTAAAATACGAGTATACCGCGTGCCGTACAGTTTCAGCGGTTTGAGAAGTGTTGGTCTGGCGTTGATGCTTTAAATTAACGACGATCTTTAAAGGTAGTATAATATTTGTTCATTTCGAAGTGTGCTTCAGACCAAGAATCAGATCTTTTAGTTTTAGGAAAACATTATATTATTACGTGCCCAATTAGTAAAAGGGTTACTTATCGCAAGGCATTGAAACATATCAGGAACTATGAAAAATTAAATGATTAGACTCATTTATATACTATAGGAATTATATAGGAAGCAGCAATTGGATTTTGTTTCGTTGCAGATCGAATTGCCATTTTCCTTTTATAGCGAGGTAATTACTACTGTGCTACACGTTGATACAAAAATAATCTACCTATCGTCGTCGTAGCACAATGAAATACTTAAATACCTTAATATTTATAATCTTCTTATAAAGGTTATTAGCATAAAGATAAGAACAATTTATAAATAGTGATTAACATAACATATTCTTCAAGAATGTAAAGGTCTGATATGACGAGTCACAATGTAGCGCGTTGTCCATGTCGCCGTTCATGTTTATGGGCGAAGTTTACCATTTTCCACCAGGTGGCCGTTAGATTACTATTAAAATTTTTATAAAAAATATCCTTCTTCAAGGAAGATTGAAAACAAATATTTTTTATACAAATTGTACAGACACTTATTCTGCCACTTGGACAATTTTTTTCAGTATTATCAATTTTGGATTGTTATAGAATCTTTGTTAACACCTTGTATATAGTGTTTAAAAATGTGCCACAATTTTTTTTTGTGAAAGTTGCAATAGGAAATAGAACATATTCATATAAGTAGTTTTGTTTCGAAAACTAAAGAAAGTTGCTAGCTCTCAAAGGCAGAACATTTTTAAACATTATCTATGTTCTTAATTTTTAAACATTTCTGGATGAAATTTCCCAGTAATTATTATAAGTAGTAAAAAAATATTTCTTTTTCTTTAAAAATAATTGGCTTTTTTACCGTCTGAGGTAAATTGTCAAGTTTACAAATGGCATATAAAAATATATGCTTCAAGCTATCAATAGTGTGTACTGAAGCTAGTGCTGTTGAGAAATTTATATACTTATATAACAAATGTTAATTATATAGGAAAATATAACTACAGTGGAGGTTGGATTAATTGGACAAATTATTATTATTGTCTAAAGTCATTTGGATAATCGGAAATCCAGACAGGATTTTCTATTATTAATACTAGGCGATGGTGATTCAAAGTGAATCACACACTCAAAACCACATAACTTATTAATTTGTTTTGTTTAAACATTATTTGCTGTTGGTAATCCTTATAACTGAAGTCCGGATAATCTAATCTCCACTGTCTATTTATAACTACATTATATAAAAACTCAAAAACTATTAAAAATAATGTGAATAGGTAGTTACTTGTTTATACATAGTACAATAAATAAAAGTTATATGTATAGAAAATTTATATCAAAAGTAAATATTTGGCCAATGTTTTAAGCATAATGAAGCTAATTTCTACAAGGACACCGTAGCATGGAATTACACTAATGGTAACTTAAACATTAATAACACCTTGTACTTTTCAATACTGTATAAACAGTTGGTCTAACCTTAATTTCCTTTATATATAAATGGGAGCGAGGACAAAATCAGAACATGTCAAAGATGATAATAGTCCATAAAATATTAAATTTAAAAAATAATTTGAACCTTGTTAATATTCAAATTTCGATAATGATTAAAGATTATAATTACTGACTGTTAATGACTGACTGTATAACTGGAAAACGGGAATTTAATGATTATTTAATTTAAGAATTATATAGAAGTTATAAAAATAACTATACTCTAGTGACACCAGTAATAGACACAGAAAAAGTGTATTTCACAATTGGCAATATTACCATAATAATAGAAATTTGTTGAAAGTGAAAAAAGCTACTTAAACAAGAATGATTTATTTTTAAAAAAAAATTAGAAGATCTAAAATTTGGGACAGCACTTGTAAAATGATCGATTATATGAGTATAGACAAAAATGTGACAATTCCGATTAGTGCAAATGTTGAAAAAGGTTATAGAAACTAGAACCATTAATGATTGCATTCTAGTAAACATTGTCAGTAAATTACCAGTAATACGGGCAACTGAAAAAATCTGACATTGGGCTGGACTTTAATATAACAATAAATGATTTAATTCAATCTCATACTTTAACACAAAATGGGTTTGGCAACGAGGCTGGGATAAGCAAGCAAGTCATGCCGTCATTTATATCAGCAGTCAAGATTGAGAAACTGTTATAATAAACAGAAGATATTGATTTAAATTAAAAAAAAAACCTACAAACCAAGATTAAATATTTTAAATTGTCTAAAAGCTGATTTTTTAAACGATTTTTTTTGTTTCCATATTTATTAGATTATATCTAGATTTCAGCAGTTCTGAGGTCCAATTAATTATATAAGTCCTAAATTATGAATCAGCGGTTTACATTGTCTATAAATGGTGTCACTACGTTATGAGATCGTTTAGTTTTTAATAGCTTGTAAATCAATTGTTTGTAAACAATCCATATGGAATGCGTGTAAAAGCGACAGAAATTTTGCGTCTTTTGAAACATTTTTGTACATATCTCCCAGTCAAGTTAATCAATAGACAGCATTTCGATGAATAAACATCAACAAACAGTTGATGTGCGTGCACAACGTTTCAATTTAGGAGAGTTAGATAAGACTTCTGGCAGTTCTGTTACTTTGTCAATTGTAAAATCCGGTAAGATCGAAGATTGCTCCTCTTTTTGTAAGGGTACCCATATTGTACCGCCCAGCTCTGCTTTTTTACCACCCTGAAAAGAAATAAAAGATGTACAGGTAACTTTTTTCAATAGAAATATTGTACAGTTTTTGTGAATGCTTTTTTTGCAGCCAGGCTAGTTTATACACCAATAACAGGTAGATTGGACAGGTTGTCTGTCTTTACTATTGAACCAATACAAAGGATCCATTTTTTTCAAAAGCTGGCCTGATTTTGTAGCCTGAGAAATAATACCTGCATTCATGATTTTGCTCTCTTGATTACTGTTCTAGCATATTTTTATAATTTTTTTAAATGGACTTGTAAAGTCGATTTCTTTTTTTAGTAAATTTAAACAGATTAGCCTTTATAAGCAGTAATTATGAGCAGGTATGATGCATGAGGCTGTTAACATTATCTTCAATTATTACATCGATTATTAAAGAGAATTAGTACATTTTGTTTCGCAAATTAAAAAAGCGATTGTCCTGCCAATAAACGAACTACTACAAAGGATATACATCAAAATTTGTTCAGGTATTTAGAAGATAGAGGAACAAAAAAATTCATTCACATACGTACATGAATTCTTATAACATTATATAAATTTTTTGGGCAGTCGTATAATTAAAATTATGTACCTTTATATCTGTATCCAGCCTATCACCAACCATGATGCATGTACGTGGCTCGACATTCAGTAACTTGCAAGCTTCAAGAAAGATATGTTGATCGGGCTTCTCCCAAGGCAGGTCACCGGATACCAGGACACAGTCAAAATACTTGCGCAGGCCGAGTCGGTCAATCTTGTACCACTGGGCACGCGATGGCCCGTTCGTGATCAGACCAAGAAGATAATCCTCCCTGTACCACATTCATCGACCAGCTTTTTGTTATTTCCTGTTCCATACTATGCTGAAACTCAGCACACGATATAATTCGAGGCAAAATGGTCTTGCACATTATATGGAAAAGGTTTTTAGTCATAATATGCGCCGGTTACAAAGCTTAAGTAATGTTAAAAATAATATCGAATCGAATAATCGAATTCAAATCCGAATGACTTTTCTCCGTTTCTTAAATATTTTTCAGTATTGTGAAATAGAAATTATTACACCACGATATGGTTGCGGCTGTCTTTCATGACAAATAACGGCAGGGATACTTTTTAAAATTTGTAAGTACATCGTGCAAGAGCATTTTGTTGCAAATTTTGTATTTATTACATAATTCCATATACAATTTATAAGACATAAATTATACATGATTTAGCTGGGACCATGAAGATATATCAGTTTTTAAATATTTTACTGGACTAGGTGTTATCTTGCGAAAGTCCATATCACTGGTTGTTTGATTAAAATTATTTTGTTTAATTCCGCTACTATTAGTACGTGTATAACCGTTCAAAGATTGACCACCATTATTACTACCAGAAGTTTTACAACCTTCCATATTAACAATCAATCTCCAACAGCTACGCTGTACGTTTGTTCAGGTACGTTTTGCGATACGTGTTTCTCTTTAAACGAGCCTAGTGTTAACCGTTCGTTCGTTTTGCAGTTTGGGTGCCGAACGGTTAACACTAGGCTCCGAGTAGTCAAGTAATATTTCAATCTTCGAGTGTTGTCAGTCACACATATACTAACGGTAGTGGAATTTAACAAAATGATTCTAATCATATGACCAGTATCAATTTTTAGATGCAAACAGTTAATAAGTTATGACTGTTTGAGAGAATGTCATCATATATTTAGTTAATATTTTAATATTGATTTATATTCATGGTCCATATGAAATTTTTGAGGTAATGATATTACCTTCGCCGTGATGTACTCCCTCACAAATTTTACAAATACAATTCAAACCTAAGTGTTGCGCACGCGGCGCCCCGAGTTTAGTCACTCGTTGCGCAACAACTGAACTGTTGAAAAACAAGTAATTTATTAGCAACATGCGTCTAAAGCCAGCCCAATTCGGTTGCAAAGGCATCAAAGAATAACATAAAGGTCTTCATGTAGAATTTAGTGAAGCAGTGTTTTTCAAACCCATTGAAAACAGAGATCCTAATATGGTTCAAAAAATCTCTTTCGGCCATGCTTCGTTTTCGGTACAGCCAATTCCATTCTAATGAATGTTTATGACGTCTCCAGTAGTATGACGTTTGTTCATTACGTTATAAGCTATCTTTATCTACGGATCCACGCAACAGCGATTTTCAAATTGATGTTTAGACGTGATCATTAGCAACACAAAAACACAACATACAGAATTTGATATTTTTATTATGGTCGCGACCCACACTTTGAAAAACACTGATTATAGAAAAGAATAAAAAAATGCCTTGACAACATTTTGGATCTGACTTTATCATGATACACTCGAAAATCGGTGTCTAACTGATGTTCCCATAGTATTATGTGGCATGCATGATTCTTGATACAATACAAGAAAGAAAAGAATGAATAACGATTGACAAAAACAATAAGCACAGCAATGATTATGGTGGCGAATGTACGTATATTCTTTCAGGATCATGAGATAATGTAAATGATAGAAAATTCTGTGTAGGTACCACATAACACCATGCAAATGTAGCAGATAAAAATGATCGTATTTAAATAAATTCCATTTGGGCAACGCTTACCAAATATATGTTTTATATTACAGTTGTATCTTTTAATATAATATGATTAAGTATATTTAACAAAGTAAGATATCGTAAATTATTAAATATTTTGGGCTAAACCTTTATTGAAACAGAACAATTTTATACTGCTACATAACAGAGTAATTACTTTGTTATGGCGGTAACAACTGTAAATAGAATTATCAAACAATAAATAATTTTAAATTTAGCACATTTTGAAAAAGAACAAAGTAATTACTTTGCCATGTTTTTCCACATATTTTTAACATATAACTATTAATATCATGAAGAAATATTGTTTGTTAAACGTAGGCGTTTATTGCGTAACGTTGCGTCAGTTTTAAATATTTCTGCATAACATAAAATAACTTTGAACACTGAATTGTTATCTACGTACCGTAATGACTCCAAGAGATGTATGACGTCATTTGATAAAGTTAAGTTCTGATATCTATACTTTAACCATTCAGTCGATAGGGTTTCTGAAACAATCATATTTTCTTTAATTGACGAGTCTTTATAACATGCACGTGGAGAACAATAAGTACATATTAAAGCTCCTGTAATAACTAGCTACTTCAGGATAGGAGGAAGGTGGGCTTATCGAGGATGGGGAATAAATAAGATACAAAAAAATATGGTTTCAATTTTAAAATATTCTGAAGTTACATTTCTACACACAGAAATATTGTATAGGTTTCAATCTGAAGTAGACAGAATCAGATAAATCAATATTTTATTCATACATATCTAACGTAGCACTACGGGTATTGCAAATGCTTATGCGACCTTGTTTAGAAAAAAATTATAAGTCGAGAAGATCGGGCTAGATACTCGTTAGTTTTTTTTTAAGACAAATACTTTAAGTACATGAATTTTTTTAAAGGAAATTAGAAAAAGAATTCTAACCCCATTTTTTAAATATAAATTTTGACAAGAAAGAGATCTGTTTGTATTCAGGTATTTAGCGTTCCATTGCTGCTGTCTATCCTAATGGGAGACAGGCGTGATAGATATGTCATGTATGTAAATTTCAAAGCAAGTCCCTGATGATGTATATTATGGAAAACGTGTTGTATTCATATAATTTTTTAGGTATATGTGTTAAATTTTTATGTTCAACGAATAGTAATAAATGTGTAAAGTGACATCGCTCTGAGGCTACGACTTTATTTATAGTGAGTCTAAAATTATACCGTGTAATGGCAAAAGTCGAGCATTTTAAATCATCTTGGCGATGGTGGCGTCATTCCCCATTAAAACCCTGTCACAACATGTTATTCGGTACCTACTTAGATTTTACAACTTTTCTGCGCAGCTGTATTTGTTATACACCCACTGGGCTCATTGTAATGACGAGGCAATGGTAAACAAGTGGCAAACGATACTATTTTATTTAGGATTGTGTGACAAGGACGGTACCCTTATTAATTTCGTTCTCTGTTAGCCTTTGAGAAACGTATTTTTTTAATAGATTGCAAAAAGAATGTACGAGTATCATATAACTTTTGCAGTAGATTTTTGAGACGCTTTACAAAAGCATATTATTTAGTGACATAAACAGGTATTATAGTTATATTTTGCGCGCCTGACGTCGTTTATTATTCGTCTAGGCTTCGTATTTATTTTTATTAGGCAAACCGAGACAAACACATAAATATGTAGGAAATATGTTAGATTTTATAAACTTAGTGCGTTAGTTACACATATCGACATATGAATGTTTTCATTATTCTCATTATAGAACACTATTATCTATTAATTAGTTTTGGCAAGCTGCCAAAATTAACTGTATTTCTTTCACACTCGCATTTACCTACAGTGATTACGATAGATGTAAATAAATATTCTAAGCATATAAACAAATAAAGATTATAAAATGATTTGCGTATTTGTAGGCGGTGCAGATTTATGGTACGGAACAGAGGCAGAATAATTTAGTTCTCAGGTATACAAACGGCGCCGTATTGTCCCGGCATAGAATAAGGCCACCTCTCTCTTTCCCGTGGGTGTTGGGAATTTTATAGTCGAGGGATGGGCAGTAGCGTCTAACTGCGGATGCCAATCCGCCTGCCAAGCGTGGCAACTACTGGCAATATTCTCATTTTGGGGGAGGCCCATTTTCAGCAATGGACAGTTAACAGTTGATATCATCATCATACGACGTAGATAGATAGGTACATGGGTATATAAATGACAGTGTTTTGTGTGATGTCCATGGTGCTGTTCATGTTTATTAATTGTAATTTTCAATTAAATGGGGGTGATTATTCATTAGATTGTTAATCTTCACGCTTCAATTTCTAGTCAAATCGTTGAAGTAGGTATCTCAAGTACATATTAAACTATATTACATACATTATACCTCATAAGTTAGGTATATAAAAATTAAACTTGCTAAGCTACAACTAATTCAATTTTAGGAGCAAGCCTCATTAGTAGTAATTTTTTATTAAACAGTATTTCCATCAAAGTGATGTGATTATTATTTAGAATAGGTAGGTAACTATACTTACTAGCAAGATGCCTGTAGTTTTTCGGTAAGGAGTTACGCCATAAATGTGCCGGCCATTCTTCAAAAGCAAAACTATCGTCGTCCGGGCGCGCTCGGAATGCTCGCAAAAAACTAGCTGCGCTCTCAACTGCCATTTCTTTGGGTAGTCCATATTCTTGTTCCAACATTTCAATAAACTGTGAACAATAATATTTCCTATAATATTTATTAATATATGCATGAATTTGTATTCATGCCTGTCAAACTTGAGTTATGTGTAAAATATTAAAAAATTTGAGGATATTGTAACTTTTCGAAAATCTAATAATTATATTTATACGGCTATTTTACCGATGTCACTACTCCTAGTTCTTACCTAATATTTTTAAAAATATTTCGTGTGAAAACTTATCCATCATGTATATACATATTTATTATGACTCGATTTGACAATTTAATATTAATTAATCCAATTGAGGTTGTATGGAAAAATAAGATTGTTTCAATTGTTTTTTGTATTGTTTGTTGGGTTATCCAAGCGTATTTAAGATTATTTTCTTGAAAAGGGGTTGTAACCCTGGCCCTCAACCCCAGGAATTATATCTTCTAATTCCTGGGGTGGGTATGCCCCCCCAAAACGACTATTAGTGAATGATTAATCAATCTTCATGTTAGGCCTAAGAAGACAGACATAACACACAGACTGTTGGAATGACCGGCTTGCCTCTGTATTAAAATATATTACATAGATACCTACAGTAAAGGTTAGTACCTATATACAGATAACGTCATAATATTATATAAAATAATTAAAGACGCATTCACAAGATATAACAAAGTTATATATTAATACATTATCAGTAAAATATTTGTATATTTCCATTATATTATCAAGTAGCCAAGAGTTAATTAATAGTTCATATATTAACTAATGAATCATATTTCAATTAATTAAAGTTTAGTAAAAGTATGTATACTAATTTAATAATATTTTTGTGACGGCCATGAATGAAGTATGGTCCTATTCCTCAATTACAGTGATAGTGAATTTTGCTTCATTTGCTTTCTGTTATTGTTAAATAAGTTCCTAGAATAAATATTAATATCAGATTTTTATTGACCTTATTAAAATGAATTTTAAAGAGATCTAACCAGACTTATAGCACCTCCTTCTTAACTTTAAGATAACCTAATCATTAGAAGTTTCCCTTTTGCAAGTTATTAGTACTACATTGATTTTTAGATTCATTCATTCATTTTATCTATGTCACTATTCGTAATTTAAGTACTTTCTTCTTAATTCTTAGATTACGAAAAATGTTGTTTCATTGGTAATTGTGTTTTGAAATGGGTCCAAATTCCTGAGGTAACAAATAACTTTCTCGATTGACATTATGTGTAAGGAAGTGTCTGTTAGTCCGGGAATAGAATAGGGTCAACGTTCTCTCTGTATGCCGCTGGCGTGCACTCACCTGGGTCTTTGGCAAGCTCTGCCTGAAAACTGATACTTCATGTAGTATACCTATAATGTAGATATAGAATACTGTAGACAGTTTGCGTATTACCTAAACATCACTCAATTTATTATTAATGTTTAAAAACGAGACCTCATCAAAACGGCCATACAGCAGTCTATTGTGGAATGTTCTTGCTTGGTTGTGAACAGAAGAAGATGGAGACGCACTGTGAGGACCTTAATCGAGAAGAAGGGCCTCATCGATGATTTACTATCATTATAAAAACCACGACCACTCTGTCAAAAGTGTAAGACTGAAGGGAGAGAAATAAAAAATGTGTAAAAAAAGAGACAGTTTTAAAGTCTGTGTAAATATTTTATACTAATTTATATCCGCGATGTCCGTTTCGTCCATGTGACTGAGTAAGTTAATCTGCCTTTTTATCCTTACCGATCATCCCTCATTGATGCCCCACCAGCGTATACCGATAGTGCAGGCGGGGTTAGTCTAGGTGCTGTTATTTAAATTTTTGTCGACTTTACTAATGTGGTAAACAAGTGTTGAATTGTTTTACAATGTAAAAATTGTAAATTTAAATAGTAAAGAATATCTAACTAATCATTCTACATTACAAGGGATGCCTAGATAACTTGTCATAGTTTCCCAGACTATGTAGTTAGGTGTCATAACCCAACAGTGTCGAAACAAAATTGAACTTTCAACTTGTCTTAGTGCATCAGGGTAATGCAATCCTGGTATGTTGTTCCGACACAACACTTTTATTATTGGTAATACAATTTAGTACCTATTACATTAAATCATGAGAAATAAATTTATAATAATGTGACAAAGTTCTATAGTAACTAATGTATCCTTACAAATAGTCCTGCTATACTAGGTATTTGGCAGTTTTTTACTGTTCAAGGAATTAATGAGAAAATCATTGTGTCAAGATAAATATATATTTCAAATGTTTTAAACACAATGTAGGTCAATATTTAATTATTTTATTTACATGTAGAAAATGTAGGTTAATACACAATGAAAAACAAATTATCAAACCAATAAGTACATATTTTAGTTATTTTTCACCTATGTTTAGTACACATTATCAATATGATATATCCAGTTTTCTTTCAGGAATTAGATACTGGCAAATAAAACTTACCTTATACCCTAGTTGATTTTTTTGACTAGGTTGCACTTGGCATTGTTAAGAGTACTGAGGTACATACATACTTTTATTTACAATTATCTAATTCATGTTTTGAGATGTTATTATACCATATTGATAATAAGTAGGTATTATTTGTTTTATTATAAAAATGTAAAATGAAGTGTTTAAGCAGGTATGCATAATTAAGTTTAATCTCCAAATAATTTCTTGCCCAAATCCATCATTCTATGACTTCTGCACATCTTAAGCGCTCCACCCTTTTTCAATACTGGTATGACTGCCTCATTAGAGTCCACTAATCTACATAGAAAGTCCTCAAAAGCAGATTTTACATTGGGTGGAAGTGTACCAACTTTAACTTTAGCTAACATTTCAGCAATGCCTTCTGCCCAGCCACTCTCTATAGCAAACTCTGATATCCATGGCACAATGGTTAAAACACCACTCATTGTTTGCATACCTAAGAACCACAGATCTGCTATTTCATTCCAGTGTTCTTTATATGTCATTGAAACAACTAATGCAGTAGGGTCATTTGATTCATCCACATTGTATGCATCCCACAGGAATCTTATGATCGATTGGATATATCTGCATATTGAGAAATCATTTTTCTTTACTTTACTTGCTTGTTGTTTCAGTAATAATAAGCCTAAAACAGCTAAATGTCCATGAAGTACAAGGTTCTCTGGGATGTTTTTCAGTTCCGGTAAATTATTAAATATAAATTTCAATAAAGTATTAAATAATATACTGTTTTCAACTACCTTTGGAGCTAATACTGTTAGATTCATAAATATGTTACAAAGGCTGACCATAGCAGCTCTGGAGTCCTTCATATCCTCCAATAATTTGGGATCCAGCTCTGGTTCAGGTTGTGTTTTAACTTTACCCCTTTCTGACTTTGGTATTGGGGGCTTTTTGTAATGTACAATTGACCAATGGAAATTCATTGATTCATATAGAATGTCTTCTTCTTTCAAGTTCAATACTATGTCTCTAGCTTTATCTTCAACAACCAAATGACATAGAGCAGGTAACATCAGGCGGAGTAAATCTACTTGGCCCATGAGGCTTGTATCTATATCCATGCCCTCTCCATCAGATTTATTTTTTTCTGCTAATTTTCTGGCTCGATAGGCATGGAAGGAATCATTAGCAAGTGAGAATATGAATGGGAGCAATGCATATATTTGCTCCCTCATAGCAGTTGTTTCTTGAGCAATCCATGAAACTAGAACTCTGACCATGGCACAAACAAATACTTTCTCATTATCAGGTAATTTATCTCTATTCTTGTCATTACATATTTTAGTTAAGATTGAAACAACAGCATTGAAAGCACCTTTAAGGCTGGTGTACACTGACTGTTTCTCTTTCTGTTCTAGATCTAACTGGTCAGTAGCCATATAGTTGACAGATAATTCTAATACTATAAAACAAGAAGTAATTAAATCTGCATTAGCAAAGGCTTGTTTAAAACTTCTGTCTTCTAGCTGCATTCTAACCTCAATGGCGCTTAATTGAAGAAGCAAAAGGAAAAATTTCTTTGGGTTTTCTTCATCATTCAGGGTCCACTCAATTCCAAGAAGATCAACAATGTTAGCAGCTAATTTAAGTGCTGGATCTCTTTGGTTTTTCCCTATTTTACTAGTAAGAATATCATGAAGAGCTTTGTAGATACTTTGTGGCCATGTTTCCTCTGAAGACCCTGGCACAACCGTTGTTTTATTACAGCTATATAGAAGTGCACTTAGAATAGTAGCTAATTCAAATTTCCTCTCTGACTGATCTGTAGCAAAGTCTAATGCTATTTTGTTGACCAATGAATGAAATGGTGTAGGGTCACTTCCCCATGCTGCTGGACCATATCGGCTCACTAATTTTACAAGAATATTAAGAGCCTCATCTGTTTGAAAACTTTGGTGTGAATAAATCTCTGACATTTTTTTGATTGCACCTACTTCAATCAGTGCTTTCTGACCAGCTTCATGTTCTGCTATGCATTGTAGGCAAGTGTATGCTTCACTGATAATTATTAAATTATCATCATAGTCATCATTGTCTGAAGTTTGAACAATATCAAGGAATACTGGTATATTGGCAAGCATTTCTGGATGTGCAGACAACTCTTGATCATTGCAGAAACATGTGAGGATGGAGAGTGCCACCGACTTGTACACAGATGGCGGACAATCATCTTGTACATTATTGCTTGTTAGGAGTTTCTTTAAAAATTTAAATCCAATGGCTTCAAATAAAGCTTTTTTAGCTTGAGAGTTACAATCCTTGCTTTTCACTAGTTTTGTCACCATAAACAGTGCGGCAAACTTTTCCGTGTCGCTCTTCGCCGACTTGAGAATGAGTATGCATTTCTTTATTGGCTCCGATATATCACCCATTATCACAATACACTAACAATCAGCGATCACAAAGCGCAGTAGTTGCCGCTCCACTGAACGCAAGCAGCCTTAGATGAATCCCACAACGGCGGCAGCCGATCTACATCACGTTTATAATTAGCGCGAGTTCTCTTCCAAAATATCTAAATGTGGACGATGAGCTCGCGTTCTCCAACTTTGAAAGTACTATTTATAACCCCACACTGGAACATTCAACACGCGGAGTGCAACAAGCAAAACAGAACAGGCAAAGACGCAAACTTCAACGACGTAAAAGCGCTCGCTGACAGCGCGCGCACTACGTTTCGAATTTCGATCTTTCATCCATGACCGTGGCAATGTCATTCGTAATAATTTATAAATTAACCTACCTTGTTGCAAGTCCTCGTATCACATTTTCTTGTTTGTATTAAAGTATTGTCTAAATCGAAAAATATAGCAGAAACATCATTATTTTCGCTACAAACACTAGCCATATTTTTTAAAAGTATAAGCACATTCAGTCACAAAACCACTGATTTTATAAACTAGGCAATGTATATTATATAGATGATACGTAGTTATGGAAGGTACTTGCCACAGATCACAGAGACACGTTATTGTACGTAGATTACCATAGATTACCTACACAAATGAATGTAATTTGAATTTTATTTTTAATGAAGACAAAGTCCGACATTTCTTAATTTTTTGTAAATTTACTATAAATATTTATTATTTTTCCTTTAATGATTAAAGAAACAATTAACAAAACAGAAACATAAAACTTATACAAAATTATCATGCAACTTATATTCGAGTATGGAATATTCGAGATATCTGTCTTTGTGTATCATGTATCCGAATTGTGTAAATTAGTACTTGGGTATCCATTGGTAGTCGTATTAACCTGACTTGGCCCATCACTACGGCGATGAGTTGACTCATTCAATGGAATGATTGAATCATTATTCATTCATATGAATGATTGGTCAACTGATACTTATCACGAATTTATACGAACCATGATGAAACATTCTTAAAAAATTATAGCCTGTTCGTTTTTTCATACTTTTTTATGATGGAAGATAGATTTTATCTTGTTTTCATGTTTTATTGATATAAGGACATTTTTAGACAATTTTTGTTAGTATACGCCATCTGTTGAAATGATTTGACAATACGAATTGGCTGAAATCCATGGTTTAAGAACACAAATTACATAGCATACATAGAGATTCTTAGAACAAAGACTATGGTTCGTAATATGTTATACTAAGTCTACGTATGGTATGGTAGTAGTAGAAATAAATTTATGAAATATGCAATATTTTTAATAGATAATGACTAAATGAAATGCCGGAAATCATAGATAATTTAATTATCAAAAGACAGATGGCACTGTAACTTAAATTTACATTGAAAGATAATGGCGTCAATTCTGAGGTATTATTTGTCTGAATTTACTTTTTAATTGTTAATTCTAAAAATAGTATTATGTAACACGACTGCTTTTTAATTGCGCAATGGGTTTGAATAGTTTAATGTGCTTTTTTGTGGCAATTAATATCATTTGTGAACTACTAATAAAAAAAAAATTATAGTACTAATTTTAGTCCCAAAATTGCTCTATAGAGGCAGCACCAATATCCGGTCGCCAATCGCTTTTGCTTATGATAATTAATACAAAATATAATAAAGGATCCCGGATGATTTCGAAATATGTGATATGAGATTTATGGAAAAGAATCGATTAAATAAAAATCGATTTTTCTTTATACAATATTAGTGGATTTGTCAAAAATTTATTATAAAAATATATTAGAAAAAAATAATAATCGATTTAAGTATAAATAGTTTTTTTAACATCCCTACTCTATACAAGCATCATTCGTGAATTGTTTTCGCAGTGTTTTCTGGTCGTTAGTGGGTCGTCAGCTTGTTTGCCATTCTAAGTTGTATAAAAAAAAATATCGCTACCCCATCGGTACACGGGGGTCATCATACACTGCGTTTGTCGGTACGGGATCGCCACTTTCATTCTGATTGTTTATTCTTCGGGTAATGCCGATCTCGCTGGTTCTTTAGCGGATATCCTCATTTCGGATTCTGAAACCCAAAGACACATTGTGTCTTGGTAATCTTTTTATAGATTCCGATACAGGTTTTTCAGTGTACGTATATTGTATTTTCCTTCTTGTAAATAAATAAAAGAAACATCGAGTATAATCTTCTTCATAGCTCGCTAATTAACTTGAAACTTTTGCATACGGGCCATCGTGTAGAACCATGTTTCGGTTTTATAGGTCATCACGGGCAACACGTATTGGTCATAGACCTTCGTCTTCAAACTTTAAGGTATTTTTGATGATAATCTTGGCGTTGTTTTCTGAACGCTGCCCAAACCAATTAGATATCTCGGTTCGACTGAATCAAAAGCATAGTCCACAAACGCCATAAAAAACAGTGGCAGATTATACTCTTCAGTCTTCTATATAATTTGCTGTAGCATATGTGTGTAGTCTATAGTGCTAAAGCCCTTTCGGAAACCAGCTTATTCGGGTGACTGGAAGTCGTCGAGTTTGCGTGGAAGACGATTGGTCAGGTCTCGAAAACAGTACATAGTCACGGTTCAGAAGGAATATCGGACTATAGTTTTTTAATAGGATATTGTTACCCTTTTTGAAGAACAGGACTACTGCACTTCTGCTCCACGCTTCGGGCGTAAATTGTCATGGATAACGAAATTAAATAGTCTCTGAAGAACTACAAGTACCGGCTTTCCACCTGCTCTCAGAAGCTTTGCTGTAATTCCATCCTCCTCAATGCCTTGCCGTTTTTAGGCTGTTTGAGAGTCATTTCAATCTCGTGCAAACTGATGTTCGGGATATCATCGGTATAGTGTCGGGTAATTTTAGCGCTTTGTTCGTTATTCGCATATCAATACTTAAATTTTTGGAAAATATTTAGAGGCCTTGATTCCGCTCTATTGCCTGTTTAATGTATGTAGTATTGAACTGGCGTATGTCACGTATACCCTGGCTAGATTTATTTATTAAGTTGCCTATATTCCGACGTAAACGTTAAAGACTGGGACTACAATTCACGCAGTTTTCTCATGAGATCTAGAGTTATTGTTTTTTTTTTCCAAGCACCAAGATTGCATAATTTATCTCTCGCTACTTGGACAGTTTTTACTAGGTGATTGTCTGCTGTGCACAGTCCACCAGGCACTGAAAGCGATTTGGCAATTCGAGTTGAAAACTCTCAGTTTTCGATAAGGGCATACGAAGGTCGGAGCGTAGACTTAATGCGGACTACCAGTCATATTGCTAATAATATGACTGGTATTATCCGAATTACTTTATTGGATTAGTCTGCATTATTTTATGGTGGAGGTCGACCGACCACGTGGAAGTCAGGTCGATTTCCACGTGGTTCCCCTGGAAACCAACGTGTTGAATTCCAGGTATATTTATATGATCTTGCCACTGGTGCGTGTTAATACAAGCTCTGTCATTATATTGTTAAAATAGTTGTTTTTTTTATATAATATATTAATTTCAATTGTTTTAAAATATAAAACAAGTATTAAAATTCAAGTATATACGTTATTAAAGTAAAGGAGCAAACATTATGAAAAAATGTGATCAACTTAGTGACAAATACAAGATCTATTTTTGTGTGATTCATCTTGATGGACTAACTGAACTGCCTTTTCATTCTCACCTATCAGCTATCACTGGTGCTCCGTCAGTGTATACCGTTAGCGCAAGCGGGCTAAGCAATCTATTGTCATGTATAATAATGTAAAATAAACTTTTATCTCAAGTATCTCATCTTTCACTGGTGTCCTGCCAGAGTATATTGATAGCGCAGGCGGGGTTACCATTTTATTATCGCCTATTAAAAACACCCCCTCCTTTGGTATATTTATGATCATTTGCTGAGATAATTTCAGTATTTTCTTTCAATGAGCATTAGGTAGTTATCGTGTACGGTTGGTAGTTTTGAAGATGACACATCGTTTTTGGTTTTTGTTGGCGGCACATACGGTAAGTTCCGCATAAACCTTCGAGCAACATATGAAAGTAATATGAGGAGGCCGGGATGAGTTACGATCAAGGGACACGTCATTCTTGAACAGAGAAATTCTTTTATCAACATTGTTTCGTCGGGATAATATGCCATGGGTAAGAGGGTTGATTTTTTTATTTACGACTTTAACATTATCTGAACATAAATTCGTTATACTTTTTATTTATTCAATTTATATTATTATTTACTTCTGCTGTTGTGATATATGATGTAATAAAATAAAAAATAGGTCAGATACGAATTGTATTTACACGCTGAGAGTTCTGTACATAAAACAAAAAATGACCTTTATTGCATTTTTAATACGAAATAGTCACCTAATAGTTATTATTATTAATACAACTATTCGTAATTTTTTATTTTGGACCATAACTGTGGTTAAGAACTGAACCGTATATAACTAAGTTTGTTTGTGGAGGTTTTTTTTGATAATTTCTCACCAGTTAGTTACAAAGATTGTTTTGTTTTTGCTATAAAATTTACAGTTACCTTTATAAACTGTAATTGCTTTGAAATTTATCGTTTCAGAAACTTTTTTTTTTCACATTTGACCTAACTAAAAAAAAAAAATCAGTTTTAAAATTTATAAATGAAGCCCTTTCATATGATACTCTTTTCGACTTGTAGATCAATATTGAAATTTTGAGTATCCGTTTTGGATATAATAGCATAATTAGATAAAAACAGGATTGATCGCGCCATGTTCAGTATATTACGTATCTGAGAAAGGGACAAGCAGAGGAGATTGCCTTAGAAATTTATACGTGGCACTCGTTCAAGGGTTATTAGATTTCCTGTCACACGCTAGACCCGTCGGCCGCAGACCCTATTTGCCAAACATTGCCAGCCAATGTGAATTTGTTGCGTAAACATTTTGTGCGGTCATTATAGTTTCTTGTTAGACTTTATTTGTTGGTTTATAGTTTTATATATAACTAGCTTTTACCCGCGGTTTTGTACATATGGATTTTGAAAACAGGAAAACGCTTTATTGTCGTGAAAAAAAAAAACAACTAAATCTATACTTATAATAAATCTGTAGACAGGTCAATTCTGTACATGAAATATATTTCCAAAATAACTATCAGGGGTAGATTAGTGATCAATACTGATGCTAAAAATGCAATCAGTAAAATTTTTTGTCTGTCTGTCTGTATGTTCATTATAGAAACAAAAACTACTCGATGGATTTTAACGAAACTTAGTACAATTATTCTTCATACTCCTGGGCAGGTTAAAGTAT